TGGTGCAAATTACTCAAGGAGAAGCAACATCGTATTTCGTTGTTGATTATTTTCGGTTGGATGGATGGTATAAAAAGAAATTCTCGCATTTTTCTTCTTCTTCTTCTCGTTCTTTCTTTTCTCATTCAATTGAATGACAATTGTTCACAAAGTTAATCGATACATTTTTTTTTTATTTAGTCAATATAAAGAAAAGAAAGAAGAAAATCCTTGAAAAGCAGCTTACTAAAGCTGACTCATTCGAACATACGTACATAGCGCAGAAGTCTCAAACAACACTTTCACATCGACATACGTACGAGATGATGATGACGGTGATGATATTAGCAATCGACAAAATCATTCAGCATGCTAGTGATGATCGTCGATGCTGACGACAACACGCCTTTGCATACTATTCATTTGTCTCCTGAGACAGTGCAAAATGTATTGACGCATGCAGGAAATAGTACCAGCCAAAAAAAATCATTATGATCACCATCTTTTCCCTTCATCATTCTACACCCAAAGAGACTATTATCTGATTATCTTAACTATTTGCGCATTTCTCAATATAAAATACCAACTATTACCTCTAGAGCATTCTTCTTCTCATGTTCAAGTACAAGTATGATTATAAATGACCATCTCGTTCTCTCTTGCTCTGAAATATCAAAAGCGAAGGTCATCGCACATCGATATGACACAATTTCGAGAACTAATTCGCAGTATCGAACTTAACTCAACGGCGTTTTTCGTCGAACGACATGGATACTTCCATGTTTGCTATCATCATGAGACAAGCACTTGCTATATTACATACAAATATATGAAAAGAGGAAGAAAAGTAGATCCGTTCCGGAATAATTCGAAGAGGAAGACATCTAGAATTGATAATTGACATCATGAAGAAAAGAGGAAGAAGCATGCTTGACAAGAGAGAGTAGATGTACGCTCTCTTACACTTGACGAAATCGATGATCGGCAACGATGATCAATAAGAGAGCGTAGTTCAAGATAAAAGTTAGTTTTTCTCTCATTCTCTTCGTCTTCTATCTTCATCTGCATCGATTGATTATGCAAAAAGACAATTTCATTTCTAATTCACTTATCTTCTAATTTTGCATAAAATTTACTTCGAAAAAATCCGCTCGTAACTCGTCCACACTTACGTTTTCGCTTCCATGCTTAGTTGCACTAACTAAAGAGTAAAACGCCGGAAAAATTAGGAAAGGAAATGCTGACAAAAAAAAATCAAAGCGATGTTAATCTTTATTCTTTTCTTGCTAATCGTAATAATAACAAGACTTTCCGATTAACTTTTATTCACAAGATACAATTGAGTTCATTGAACGAGTTCGTGAACAAAAAAACAGAGCTTGTGTACCTTTTGCATCTCAATCTTCTCGCGTTTGGACTCGATTCGAAGTGAAAACAAGAATAAACTTGCTGTCTTAATTGACGACATGGAACAGAATCTGACTAATTCGATTATCTCGGATTGCTGTCTTCAAATTAACATGTTTGATTTTTTTTCAACGATTAAATAACATTCTCATAATTTAGAGAGATCAAAGTGATGAGGACGGCGATCGAACGATCAAATACTTGGAATAAGTAATTCTCGCTCGCACCCACTTATTTCTATGAGTAAATCAAGAAAAAAATAAATCTGTTCTACATCAATAATGGAAACAGCGTTAAAAGGCCCACTAACAACATCATCTTGTAAACGTATGTGTGCACGCAATGGAGAAAAAGAAGAAGAAGTCAGAATTAAACTCTATGTAAGAGGTAGATGACGGCGTTACTATTGTTTGATGTCTTTATCTCTCTTAATAATATTGTTCAATAAAATTGAATGAAACGAATCAATTTGAAAAGCAATCATCTTTCCCCGGAAGAAAAACCTTCTTAAGCGTCTTTTCATTCTTTCATCTTTACCTGAAGGATCGATTGGAAGAGGTTGCTTATTTGCATCTGTTTCTTGTTCTTGCTGGGCGTATTCCAAACTAAAAAATAGAAATTCAAGATTGCTTTTTTCTTCCATATTGACAATGTCCCGTTTCTGTTTGTTTTCACTGATTGGGAAAAACCTCGGCATGAGTGCTTACCAATCATCAGCGATATGCGTGACACCGGTTAAACGATGTACATAACGTTGAATCACATACCACATACTTTCGATAAAGTACGGGTAACGAAATCGATCGGGTACACGAACTTTTCTTTCAATTGACCAGACTTGAATTTGCATTGGAATCTTGAAAGAATTCAGAAAATTTCCACCGAACACCAACGAATCTTCGGGAGTATATACAGCGTGAATCCAACCCGATGGAAGGAAAAATGTCCAACCAGGTTCGAGAACGATCATTTGACAATCTTTCGAGGCGCAGATATCGGCGAAAAAACATTCGTTTTGTCGTCCGGCTAAGATCCATTCTTCATACAAACGTAAATGAGATTCTGTCGGTGGTAATAACCAGAAAATCTTCTTTCCTTTCAGTAGATGATACCATACAGATGATCCGCCTGAGAAAATCAAACATCCGCTCATTCCATTGACTCAATTTTCATGCGTATCAACTCACCCATATCGATATGAAAGTCAGTGAAACATTTCGCGACTGACATGAGAACGTATCTATGGAATAATGGTTGACTTCGATGAACAGACTACTGAATACGTCGGTTATACTTGCGAGTCTTTGGATAGTACATGTGTTCTTGTTTGAGATTCTTTTGAAGTTGTGATTGCACATCAAACCAATATTCAGGCCATGTATTTGTTATCCAATCGATTTCACGCACCTGAAAGAAAACTCACCGAACTATTTCATATGAAAATGTATTCATGCGACTAACAATCGTTGGTGATTCAATGTATTTTTCCAATCTTGTGTGACTGAATTCTAACGAAATGACATTCAACAGTTTTGTTCGTTTCTCTGCTGGTTGGTCGTAGTAATCCGCCCATGATTTCAGCGTCATCTGCAGTGATTCTTGCGTATCGACATTGACAACATCGATCAAACGTTGCGAACCAATACACGCCCGAACATCGTGGACAGTAAATCGCGGCGTTGGAACTCGTAGACCCAAACCACGGTGTTGTTTAATCACAACCGGATTCGGAAAACCGGTACGTTGAATATACGACAAGTTGAACTCTGGACGAACTCGAATGTAGTCTCTGGTCATCGATAAAGGAAAAGCACTCACCATCTACAGTGAGTTCTTCGACAAATTTGCCTTGATATTCATTCGATGCAGTGAACTTCTGCTCAATATTCCATTTTTGTCCTTTTTCCAAGATCTCTTCGAAGAAAATATCCGCATCATCGTCAGTATAATTCTTCTTCTCGCGCGTGCGCTGAAAAATTCAAAGTCAACTATCGTAAAAACCTTGAACGTATGTTTTCACGGAAAATTATTCTTATCAGTTGTTTTAACTAGATTATTTCTTTTCAGTCTATTCGTTAATTCAAGATTTTAGTCTGGATACGTACCAAACGGCGACCATCCTTAGCTGAAGACATTGGATTTTTCTTTCTTTTTTTTACAAATGCGTTGAAATAGTTAAGAATATTTTCTTGTTTTTCTCATCGTTGAAGCCATGATTAACAGAAAAATAAGTACACGAGTAAACGGCAAAGATCAAGATTTGAAGAATGTAATTATGCACCTGATAAAATAATCAATTATCACTGACCATATTGCATTTAGAAAGTCAAGTTTTGTTACACGTAAACTCAATGTCAATTTGTATCCACTTTTTATTGAATGAAAGCAAACGAAAAAACGCATCTTTAATTGAATAGAGGGCGCTAGTTCACAGTATTAATTAATGATTATTAGCGGAAAATCATAATTGACATATCGGAGTCTATCGACTGTTCACACCTGTTCCATTCTCGATGTAAAAGAAACGAATTGAAAATCCCAGACACAGTGCTCTTCGAGAACATCATCATTCGGAAGGTAAATCTGATCAGAATTTGATTAAGACGCACGACTCTTTTTTGTATAACTTACACAGTTGGTGCCTCTGTATATATATATGCAAATGAACTATGCCATCAGTGATACAACAGCAGTTTCACTAGCCACCCCAGCATATATACATTTCATTTTGCTCATTCTTCATTTTCTTTCAGTCACGTACGACACTTTACTTGATCGATACGGCTCATTGAAAGTTCTCCACTCGGAATCGTAAACAAATTGTCAAATGAAGATGAGCATATCTTCGAAGATAGATGATTAGTCAACTATGCCAATAATGAACCTGTCTTCGTTTATTTATCCAAACGAATATCTTCATTGGCGAAAAGATTCACTTCTCGCCACTATATAAGCAGCTCATCTTCTTCGCTTTCTTTCAGATATCATTTCCAGGCAAGTAAGTATGAAGCTCTCTAAGGTTAATCTTCGAACAGGTTCACATTTGTTTGCTGATGATTAATAAAGAACTCACTAAAGCAAGGATTTGTGTACCTGCACGATATTAGCCGAAATTCGACGAACGATTCGCCTTTCTCATCATCTTCAACTCGATCTCTATACAGATTTTCAAGAAATAGGCTCATCACCTGTAAACTGAACAGATCGAATCTATTTTCAGTTGCCAGGTCTTTGGCCCTCTTGCGAGAATCTCCTTACATCGACGAGATTTTAGAATATGAATAGAATAACGTATATGTATACAAACAGATGCAATTTTACATAAGATCAAGGTCAAAAGGGAATCAGTTGTTCCCCGTGCCCATTCCTCATTTAAGTATGAATATTTAGTTCAACGACTGCAGTTCATATGAAAAACACAATTGAGCGTATTTCTCCTTTATTTACAACCGAAAAACATTTCACATCAAAAAGATTTTTTCGAAAAAGAACCTGAAGTTATCTACATACGAAAACGAAAAGTGTATTAACAATGAGAAGGAGGCTCAGACAAGTAAATTTCTTAGATTTCGAGAGAAATATTCTACATCAATTACAGTCAACAAACAATTTTGACGATACGTATCACCAGATGGATAGTTCAATTCACTATTGTTTACGTTTGTGAGCTGTTTTTCGGTGGACGCAGCAATTCTTTCTCTTGATCTTTGCTCGGCGCGTACAATAAGTGTTTATCAGCTCGACGCTACGAACAGATAAGATAAATGAACAATGGCAAATAAATTTCATATCGGATTCTTACTCTTCGATTGAAAAAGAATAATTCCAAGACCACAACAATGGCGATTAAGGATAGCAAGGCAATGATGATGTAGATTAATTTCAATGAACCATATGCATAGTGACCTTTTTCAAGAATTGTACTGACACGTAGTAAACGATTCAATGTTTCGTTATTCAAAGTAATTGTCTGAAAAGGGGAAAACAGATTATGATTCAAAAGATTAGAGATTGATGTTTTACTTGGTCGATCCACATCATTGGAATGAACCGTCGAACAGCACGTGTACGAGTTGGCCTATGGAAATACGAATGAGTGTCAATATCAGCTGTAAAGAAATGAATAAGCATACTCAGTAGACCCGTCTTGATTAAGTTTCAGACGATCAATCCAGGCGTTGGTACTCAATTGAATACGTAGTTGGGCTCGTACTGGTGTACCAGAGATTGGTTCAAAGTAAATTGTTGATTCATGCTTATCGAAATTCGGATGAAAATTCACATTGGTCGACGACGAATTGTGTCCATAGAAATGTGGTTTAGATAAAAATACCGTTTCTTCAGGGATCTCGGCTAAAAATGAAGCAACACATTGGTAAGGATGATGGATTCCACCTTCGTTTTTGACATACCGGAGAGACATTTTGTGATATCGAGTTTATCCGCTTCGGGACAGTTTTCATCCATTTGTGGACACTTCTCAACATCAACTAATTTCAAAACATATTCATGTAACATTTCAAAGCCAAATTTGGACACGGTTCGGTTGTAACGAAGTTGCACAGGTCTGAAATATAGAGGAAAATCCCAGACGAAATTCTTCATGTGATTTCTACGAACCGGCAAAAATCGGGCTGAAATACATTGATTACTTTTTGATTCGGTGGATTTCCCAATGGCGGGAATGTCAGTCCGTCTGAAATAGAAACATGAGGATCTTTTCATTCAAACATAATAGGGAATCTCCTTCTCACCGAAAATATCCGTTTGCCAATCTTGACTTTTCGTTTTAAATGGTGTACTAAACAACAAGTGACGTTCATCAAACCATTTTCTGTACATCGAATCAATTCCTTACTATTCGGTTTCGAAGCTGAGCATCTGTCCTTTTATCGAAGAATTGTCAATGCCAGTCTGAATAGTAAAGTTGAAACCATTCGTTCCGTTATACTAGATGAACAAGAACGAAATATAAAAGCTATTCGTACTCAATGTTATCTTTACTCGGTAGATAAATCCATATTTGTCTTTGTTTGGTCCTTGCATTCGTGATGAGATTGCAGCAAATATGGGAGAGATATAACCTTCGAGTTTGTCAATAGCTTTGGAATAGTTAAATGCATTGTTTCCGCCAAGAATGTAAAAAACGGGATCGGCGACTCGACCGAATTTCGTTCGAAACATCTACAAAAATCGAGATTTTTATTTCCTGCCTGACACATATCTTCCACTCACCACACGAAGTATATCAACGAAGGCACCTTCTTGGCTGAGCAAAGCTTCACTATATTCACCATAGCGGGTGAATATACGTTCGATCGAATAATGAATTTTCGTATTGTTATCAAACCATTTCGGATTATTCTTCTTCACAACAACTCTAGAAAACAAATGGGATCGATTTTGTAATATCCACCCGTGAAAATTATCCAGCCGTTACTTGTACATAAATGGTAGTGTTTCTTGGAAATTCAACGTTGGATTGTTTGTATCCGTCATGATATCCATATAGTTCGTTACATTGAACAAGCGATACGCACGTAAAGTCGTAATGGGAGGGTTTGTCCAACTCTCATTGCCATCGGATAGTGGGGCTAAACGTGTTTTCTAGAAAATCGTGAAAAACAAATGAAATTTGGTTTCGTTTGAGAGGCGTTGATCTACTTCAAGAACTTTTCCTTGAATCATATGTTCTACACTTGGCCATTTGGTTATGAACACAATAAAAGGTGCAAAAAGTAACAGTAAAAGAAGCACTTCGCATGTAACACGAACAGGCGATGAACATATCCTCGACCTTTTCGTTATTGGAATTGTTCTAAAAAGTTTTCAGTGAGAAAAAGAATTTCTAAAACAAATACTAAACATACGGCGTCGTTGATTGCGACTGTTGTTCCATTTTAGCACATAGGAATATTCTAGAGAAATGCTATAGCCGTATGTTCAATGAGGGTAATGATAACAAGCGAAGAAAAATGTACATACAAACAATAGAGCGCATAGGAAAAGAGAAGAAAAGAAAAGAATTGTGTTATTTTCATTGCACTTATTAGAGCGTATGTCAGCGACACACTCGTTATCCACTAGAATAACTTTTCACATCAGTAGTCTCATAATAAACAAAAAAAAACTTATGCTAGCATTTGTAGATCAAGACATACTGTTTAATCCACTTATATTCGGTTCATTATAGTATTAAGGCATGCCGACGCAAATGTCTGGAGATAATTCTTGGTACACGGTTTTACCAGATACAGGCCTTCTTTTCGATAGTGATATCTTTCCTAGGTGCTAACTCAACGAGTAGTGGTTCTGTACATCATCAGCAATTTTGGTCATTTGTGATAGGCGGGAAACTGAACGTATGTCAGTTTTTATTTTCTATTCACGCATCCCTCTCTCTCTGTTAAAAATTCGAAATGTGAGCTATTCTTCTTCTTAATAGCATCTTCTTTCGAGAGTTACTTAATCCACATGCTAATTGCATTCGGCAATCTAATCCTTGAGTGCATGTTCTGCTAGATGAAACGAACAAACAAAGCGAATAGAAGAAGAGAAAGAGAAGGAGGTCAATGCACATCCGTTTTATCTTTCATATGTAATAAAAAAAGGAAATTTTCAGTGATAATTCAATCAAGAAATATTAAAGCGCTCAAGGGAAAAGAAACCTCTTCTGTTTTATGTTCGCTCATGGTAGATTGTTCAAAATTTCTCCATTACATTCAAGTCGTTGGATCCATAGTGCTCATCAGCACGTTTCTCTTCTTCTTTCTGCTTCTATGGCATGCTGATTGTTTACTTACACTAAATCCAGTGGCTACAGTTGAACAATTCGAATGTTTCTGGTAGCGAAAATCGAACATGCACTAGGAAAAGCTATTTTTCAGTTGACAATCTATCAGAATTCTCGATTTCAACTGCTGGTTCGTCAAACAATGTCAGCCTCGTTAGCTGTCAGCTTTTCTTCGAAATGCTTAGACACATCTTGACATATATCATATTTATCTATTTATTTATAGAAACTAATTGAGTGAGTTATAGAATATCGACGATATCATTTCGCTTGAGTACGCTACCATTCATCGTAATTTTAACTATCAAGGTCATTTGAACACTAATATCGAATTTCTTAATAAATCCAACTTGCATTCAATCGCTGCTGGGGACCATAAGCTCCGTTTGGATGGCACTGAAGATTTCAATGAAATTGTATCAAGTGTAATCATGTCACTTTTTAAATTCACAATCGTATAACACAAGTGTTGTAAATAAATCAATAAATCGAGGTTCGGTTCTTTTTCGATCAGAACGAATCCATCCATTTGTAATTATCTGTGACTCTCTCTTTCGTCATAATATTTACCAGCACTGAAAGAATTCTCTGCTCCGTGGATCTATCTTTCCATATATACATTTATCATCTTGTTCTTTTCCACGGTTCGCTTTTATCAACAACCTCAAGACGATATCAGTAGAAAGGAGAAGAAGAAGAAGAAGAAGAAGAAAAAAAAGAAAACTCTTCTGTGTCGTCATTGCCCATGAAGAAAAGAAAATAATGAGGTTAGAGAGAATAGTACATAGCAATAATCGACGTCAATAGCTAGCAAATATCTTCCGTTTTTTTCCACTGATACAAGGTCAGAACAAACAAATTATTTGTTCAGATTATCATGGAAAAACAAGCAACATTACAAATTGTTTGTATACAAACATACTTGACTCAATACCATTATCAATCTTACCCAATCCTTAAGCAATATCTTCTACAACGGATACGTCTTGGCCTCAAAACACGATCGACTACAACGCAGATTCCGTCCAATAGAGAACGCAGTCAGCAACCGACTCTAGTCATTCTTCCAGAATGTACAGGAACGTGGCTGTACTATATGTGTGTGCCAATGCCGAGATTTTTACATGGATATTTTTTCAATTCGAACAATCGTAAAGCAAATTATCATTTATTATTTATTGCGTATACATTAGCAACTCATTTACGATTGTTCGTGAAAGAAATCTATAAAAATTATGAGTCGAGTAAAACCTGGCCAAGTATATTTCGCCAGTCTTGGTTGACTCTTTTTGCTCGTCGAACGTTTTCCATTTATAAACAATTGTTCAGTGAATTAGCGATAGAAACGAACTCTACTATTGTTGCTGGCTCAATATTTGCCTATAACGATTCCAATGACAACAAGTTATACAACATGTCATATGTTTTCCAACCAAACAATGGTGCAATTTGTCTTCAATCCGGTAAACGGTATCCAACGTTTGAAGAAAGTGATTTCATTCATAGCTATGAATGTTCCCCATCGATTTATTCCATTCCAAATACAAATATCGACATTGGCATACTTGTATGTGCTGATAGTTGGATGCCAGAAGTTTACAATGACTACGGTTGGCTAGAACTGAACTCGCATCGGCGTTTTCTTTTTATTATTGTTGCATTAAACACTGGTGATTGGAACATGCCATGGCCTGGTTATGATGCAAGCACGGATGTTCCGAATGATGTAGATAGCGAACATTTGCAAACATATTCATTGCCACAAGCTTGGTTTCATTATGCTGTTCAACGTGCATTTGATGCACTGAGCAAACGAAATGATTTACTTGGATATGGTGTCATTTGTTGTCAAGGTGTATTGAATTTAATGAATGATATTCGTGCCGAAGGAGAAAGTGTCATTCTACTGAAACGTTCGAAAGATGAGGAGAAAGTTTTGTTTGAAGCAAAAACATGTGTCGAAGAGAAAGTCCTAACATGTGAATTTTGACAATGTTCGTTTTCTTTCTAGATAAATGTTCTCGTATTGAATGAGCCGGTGACACCCCATAAGAGAAAAGAACCGGAGTACAATGAATAAAGAAGTTTTGATTGATATTGGATCACAACTATCACGGTTGAGATTGTATCCAGTCTTCGATATTTGTCATTACTTACTAACTGCTCTACACGTACGAGACGACATCCAACAATATCCAACAGGTAAGAATAAGCTTTGATACTTCTCCTCGGGGCTACTTAAGCAAGCAAAGTTCGATATATGATGCAATATAAAAATAGTTATTATGACAAAAATCACGAGCATCAAGCTGTCTTACATCTTAGATTAAAACATTCTCCATCCGCTATCTAATTCTAGCTGGAGAAGAACAACATGTTGTTGTCTCTTATGTAACATCAGAAAGTCGGTTATTTCGATAGATTTCTCATTCAATTAGATCTGAAATGTAGTTCAAGAACGTTTCCTTCTGTTGAGATATCAAAGAGCTCTCTAATAATTGTGTCATAACAACCTCCTGATCGATTGACGGACGTGAGTGTCTGCTATGATATTTTTGCGTCTGATTTTAGTTACACAGAATTTTATACGTCGTCATCCATTGTCATGTTGGTTATCAACGATGCTACTATGTTTTTCCAATACGATTCTATCGAATTTTCTACTGGGTGACAGTCTAGTACAAGATTTTCTTCATCATCAGCATCTGCTATTAGCAACGATCTGCTGGTATTGCGTGTTTTATTCGCCATTGGATTTATTAGTTCGATTAATACGCTGTTTACCTATTCATCTTGTTCTTGGGATTGGAAAAGAACTCTATCGAACAAGAAAAATCTACGACGGCGTCCGTTCAACAATAGTCATATATCCCGAAGCTTATCTTGTTATTATACTCATTGGTGCTATTCGAGGTAATCGATACCCTTGATGACGAGGGAAATTGATCAAACAAATAAGCTTATTTAGGCTGTGGTACGTCAGTTATGACTCTAGTCGACCGATTTATTCGAGGTATTTGGTTACCTACACATCATGAATTTCTTTTTCCATCATTGTAAGTGTCGAGAAACAGCAATGAATTGTATATCGTCTAGTCTGGCTATTTACGATAGCTTATGCTCGTTAACTACATAAGAAACATTGTGAGAAGTACAAAACGAGACGATCGACGAATCTGTCAAGTTGGAATAGTAATTATTCTTAGAGGTTTACTCGTATCTGTCGGATGATCATAGAAGAAAATGTTAATAATACAATGCCATTCGAATAACCTTCTATTCTTTGATGACTATAACTTTCGATACCTAAGAAGATGTCCTAAAGGTCATTGAGTTGATATTTTCTGTGAAATGACGACGTGCTGACATGTTGCAAAATAGTTTTCTACGATATAGCTGAAAGAGTATCAACACATTTGGAACTAGCGAACTCGGATTTTATTTTTAGTACTACCAAAGCATGTTTCCTTTCATCGTCGATCTTTCTCTTATCTCATTTACAAATTCTCAAATTTGAACATGAATTGATCTATTTATGCATTGCGTCAATGTTTATTTATGTTCGAGTTATAACGTCATTTTTCAAACAATACGATCCGTTTATGCCATTTGAAAATCTCACATCTGGCTTATTATTCAACAGTTGGACAGAACTAATTGTTTGTATTTAGATTTTCGAAACGAAAGAATGTCAAGTTCATCTTTGTTCTTTCTAGACTGATGCATATCGACGTGCAGCTGTATCGAACAGTTTACCAGCACCACAGAACGCAGCTCTACCAGCTGCAGCGTCGTCGGTGAATAATCCAGCAGGAATGATGAATGCGAAAAAAGAGATGGTGAACAATGACAGTTCATCAAAAGGAGTCGATGGAAAGAAACGCGATTAGGGAGATTATCTCATTTTCATTTCTATTTATTTTGTTTACAATGCAAAAAATATCTTCTCCTGTTTAGACTTAGTTCACGTGTTTTTTCTTTTTTCTTAACCTTCGAAATTCTTCTAATCTCATAATAAAGATTCTTTGAAATCAACTTCCTACTGCAAGCAATTTGCATCGTTGACAAACGTTAGCGTCATCTCGTCAAAATTTTACAATAAGCTCACCTATCTACCATTTACGAACATTATTTGTCTTTGAAGATAACATGTCATATTCACTACCACTCTCTTCTCCTCAGTGAAACATATCGATGTCTGTCTATTGTAACAATTGCTTTTGTTGCGGTCGCCATTTGGTGCCCAGATATAAACGATTGGTCAATAATATCTTCTCGCAAAATCCACAAGTAGATTGCAGATGAACTTGTTGACTTGTAGTGTCTGATTTCATATGTTTAGCATAGTCCCGATAGGAACAATTTAGAGCGATTACGGTTTTATGCTGTACACAAACCGGAGAAATTGGATAAGTCATTTCGATACATGTCGGAAAAGATTACACGTTATTTACGACACCGAAATCGACCGTGCGTAATAAGTTTACGTAGAATACTGTATGAAAAGTCTTTACTCGTCTAGATATGTAATTCTTGGGATAACTGCGATGACTGACACGATGAAATCTTGTTACCAACAGTTGAATACGTTTATTGATTGGTATTTGGTGACACTTCATTCAGTATTAGAAGAGAGAAATGATTTAGAATTAACTGAACACGTCATTGTTTCGGTAAGTGAAGATTGATCGATGAGCACATGTAATTTTGTTTTTCGAAGTTCGAAGCATTCTGCGAGATTCGCATCGAAGCGCCGAATTATCAACGAGACTATGAATTTTTCGTTGATCGTTTCACGCAACTCTGTCATGATAACTCTCCACAGGATAAAATCAAGTACCTGTTCAGCTGCTTCACGATTTTTCCTTCACGTTTCTATTAAGATTTCGATATCTCGGTCTCCGTGGCCATCAGGCATTGATACGAAAGACGGCTAGTGATGATCTGCACAATAATATTTGGGAGCACATGAATCAAATTGTTCCTTCAATTCTATTCAATATGGGACAACGCGATCTTCATCAATCACAAGACTCAGCCAATCATACGACAACAGTTTCAGTTGATCACGCTATTATCGCCACTGATAAAATCACTAAAGATGATCTTTCTTCCCTGGCTGATACAATACTACGAGATTTATTTAGCCGAACGCATATGAATAACATATCTGCATGTTTTCATCCCATCCTCACGTACGACACGCGAATGAATATCATTTATTGCCTTTGTTTAGTTATCTAGATGACCACAATCAATGGACGCCAGTTGATTTTCCACTCTATATTTTTTCTGCGATAATGGTCTCCATTAAGGTATCTCATCTGACAGCATGCGTTCGAAAGATTTCCATTTGTTGTTTAGAACCATAATAGCTATATAATTGTTGATTTATTGCTAAATCATTTGGAAAAGAAGGAAGCTGAACATGTTAGAACTCCGATTATGAATGTAATTCATCAATGTTTAGTTTTCGCCGCAACGAACAATGAAGCTCGTATGATGGAGATCGACAAATACGTTTTCGTTCCTTATGCTGTCTATTGTTTTAGGTTCAACAATATTTACTGGAGTATCACGTTTACTAAGATGTCTAGAGAAATCATTTTACGCTGCAAGCAAATTGTCCGAAGCATCAGTAGATCTTCAACACGAAGAAAAATTCCAAAACGCAATCATCGACGGCATTCGTAAGGACTTTTTTAATCTAACTATTTGCATTTTCGTCGCGCGTATTTTACCAGGAGACTTTACAGAAAAATTACCTGACTTTCAAATGGTTGAAATCATGCATAACATTTTGATTTCATTAGTGTCGTTGAATTATAAATATAAAGAGCAAACCAAACGCGTCCGGTAGGTAATTGTCACTCATATTCGAATGGAAAGTAGCGAAACTCTATTTCAGAGATGCGAATATTCGATTTCAATTGTTACTTCTCCAAACAATACAAAAAGTATGTTGGGAACCTTTTCTTATCTATCGCTTTGTAATTGAGCATTCAAATTCAGATTGTCGTAACTTATCGATCGATACAACATGATGAAACAACATTTCCTCATCAATTATTCGATCCGTTACTGAAACTAATGCACACTCCAATGGCAGAAGTTCGCTGGATTGTCCTGCAAATCTTCGTTTTGTTTATCGATAAACGACACTATGCTCATAAATTTCGTAAAATCAGGTATAGACTTTCCATTCGATCTAAAGTCGAAAATAGTCAACCTCTCTATTTGAAGAATATCAAAAGATATTGCTCAATTAAATTTACCACCGATGACAAAACCGACTCAACTCATTGATATTTCATTCATGAAAAAAGTAATTTAAACTTCCAATCCGAACATTGAACAAGTAACTTTGATTTCAGTACGGTTCGCAATTTCTCTCTCAACTTTACGACTGTCTACTAATGGACAATAACACCAAAGAAATTTTCTATACAATCTACTGTCTGATGAGTTTAATTATCTTTGAAGATGATGACAAAGACATTCTGGTTGATATGATCCATTTCTGTATAGAAATTCAAGTAGATCTTCAACGAACTGGAAAGTACATTCAGACGTTATCAACTTCTTTTTTTCAGAAGCAAATTCTGTTAACTTCCGAAGAAGAATCCAAACAACTCTTGACAACAACTTGTTATTGTATTCACGCGTTAATTGCTGCTTTCCTTAACACCCTATCCAAATTATACAAAGTTACCACCTTCTCACACTATGTTGATGACGTAAGTTCAAGGCTCTGCTGTTTTTGACAGCTAATTATAAACGTTTTAGTTCAATCTCTTCGAATTAACATTCACCATCGTTCAACTTATCCGACTCTATTTTAGGTGATTTGTCATCGTGAACAGCGTGCACCGTACTTGCTTGCGCCGAATGCATTTCATTCCTCGACAAGAGAGACTTCATCTAAAGAAATACCAAAGGAATGTTTATTCTCCGAAGAAATAGTTATTCAAACACTAAAAGCATCGGATTATGACTTATCACGATTTCAACGTACTATAAATTACGACTCAGGTTAGTTAACAATTATTATAAAGACTCAGGTTCGGAGACACATCAGTTGGATTGTTCAATGTCATCACACGTGACCGACGTCGTAAAATATTCGGTAACATTCGAAACGGTTGACATTGCAGAATTGCTAAGATGTGAAAACGATATTTTTCATTAGTTAACATATAACAAAATGGTTTTAGCACATGGCACAGCAGATAAATATCTTTGATTGTGTACGCCCATTGTATCGTAGTCAACTCAAAAAGCCAATAGGGTATATGAACGAAAGCATAGATCAGCAGGAGAAGATGAGTGGATTTCATTAATGTATGACTATTTTCGATGATAGTTAAATAAGTTAAATAATCAAATACTTGAAAGGACCGTTGGGTGGTGGGTGTCATATCTGTCGCTATCGATGTGGCATGCGAGACATTATGTGTTGGAGGTGTGTACATTGAACGGCGGCTGATGTTTTCGAGATTATTCTGAAATTTACAAAAAACTCATGTTAATAGTTTGTCTCCCCTGAGAATAGCATGTTTTCTTCGACGTCATAGAACTCGATGGCATGTTCTTACCTGATCATATAATAAGATTTCTTGTTGAACACTTCGAGTTAGATTGGCGGCTTCAGTGATGTTTTTCAAGCTATTTCGTTTATATCGTTTGATCGACCATTTCATTTGAATAAGCAAAAGAAACTGCACGAAGATAATCAAATAAGTAGCAACGCAACAAATCGTGTTCAATGTTCGATAGGTCGAAATAGTGATATAGATAAATATTTGTTTACATGATGGCGGACGTTGTTCGTACTCGTATTCATTGATATCAAGTTGAGTTAATGTCGTGGCCAAGTACATAATGAGCAATGGCGTCATGATTAATAGAGAGAAAAAACTTAATTTAGTTGTGGATATATGTTTTTTACAAAAGAATGCCACCGATGTAATGACTAATAGGCTAGTAACAATGATTTCAATGATTGTTGTTAGTTTATCGAAAAATTTCAATATGAAACAGAGAAATACACATGGCAAACCTTGAGAAATGTCGATGAAACGTAGTGGAATAACGATATTACAAACGAATATATCATTGATTAGTAACGCGAGAATGTACTTATCAAATGTCGAGATTGATGAGCGTAGAGCAGGTAGTAAGGGCGGACGAATCATATGACCGTTGACGGATGGATTTTGTCTTAACAGTGATATATTCGTTGTTGAAGTTGGGATTCGATGAGAGTCTTGATGGTAATGATAGGTTTTCCGTTGAATAGCTAAGATTAACAGCCAATTGAATATTATTCCGATCAGACTGATCAAAGCTAAGAAGATCAAGTGAAATACAAACATGATTGAATATCGTCGTCGTCGTCGTCGTGATATTTCAGCGTGTTTCTGTACGTTTTATTTACTTCTTTTCTCCTGCTCTTCTTCCTTTTATGTTGATATGTGAACTGAATTGTCGTTGTTAGTGTTTTTCCTTTTGCATTCGTTTGTCGCAAGAAAAAGAAAAGGAAAATAAGAACAAAAGGAAATCTCATATAGGAAGAGAAAAAATTCCTGTATGAGCTGTTCTTATTTCTATTTAATCTTCTTCATGCACATATTAGTAGCCACTATGAACACGAGAAAAGCACATTCATCATTTTTCCTATATGCGAGAGTAACTTTAGCTTTTTCTGCTCTCTTCCATGTCATCTGCAATAATTGAATTGGGAATGCGTTTTCATATTATAGAATCTGATGTTCCTGACAATGAAAATCAGAACGACTTGGAAAACGACGATTCCGTAAGCATTCAAGTAGATCTTACCGTACGAGAAGAGTCTGCCAAGGGTAAAAATGGATGTATAATTAGTAAATATGTTTTAGAGTAATGAAAATCGAAATGAATCAATCAATGCGACGATGTATGAGAATTCTTCAGTGCTCAAAGACTTTCGTTCGAAACGATTTCATGAATTGAAATCTCTCGCTCATGAAAAAGTAAACGCTCTCGTTGCTGATCTACAATATCACTTTTTTGTTTAGCAAATACAAGTCAATCAACGGCTCGAACAAGTACTAAAAACCCGTCATTCATCGAAAGAGAAGTTATCAACTGCAATACACATGGATAACTTTCATTATCCTGAACTTTTTGTCAACTAATGATGTTATATTTAGTTTTTTGTTATTCAGTCACGATGTAATCTGGGAAAGGATTTTTTCACCGGAAAGAAAAACTTTTATTAATGATGATTAAATAACCACCTGCTAGTTTTTTTTTCAAGAAAAAGGATGTCATTGTATAGACAACCCTGTCGGTTTTTTTTTCTCTTACTCTTCAAATCTTCATTAGCTAATGAATAAATGGGTTGTTGAAATCGTTACATCGGTTACTCAATCGATTTTTCCATGATTAAACATCGAGTTAGTGCAAGACTATGTTTGTATAGAAAATGTTAATAAAATAACAGGTACGGCATTGTTCTGTTGTCTGTCAAGTATGATGAACTTGTTTGTATAAGTGTCAGTCGAAAGGTCAAGATATATGTAATAATCCCTGATCGATTCGGGCCTGGAAACGACAATTCCACCAAACGTAGGACATTATTGAAACAATGCAGATAGTTCAAGACAGTTCTGTTTGTATTAATAATTATTGTCTCTGATTGATTGATGCTATTAATAAAGTCAGTCAAGTACGTCTAATCGGTAGCCTTTGCCTAGACAAGGTTTAACTGTTAGTGCTATTGACATTTGTTTTAAGCACTTCAAATATGTATATATATACAAACAAATACTAAGTTTGTTTCGCCAATATTCCCGCGCAATTCTATTAGATGCCGTCTCATAAACGTAGCATGGAGATCAATGGATACTGACTGAATGCTGTGCAAGTGCGAAGAAATGGTATTACGTGCAGGTAGGCGTCAGCAGATAAAAATTGCATTGAATAAAGAAATCCCGCTTGAATACGAATGTCTCTGGTTAATACCAACGGTGATTTTGTATTTCTTGATTGTTCTTCGTACAAAACTGTGATCTTGATTTTTTTGGAAATAAGTAGAGCATTCTCTGTTGTTACAGTTTTTAAATAGATTTCAAGTGTTCCAAAGAGTACAAGAACACCTTTAGAAGCATAGAGAGCTCTCAAATTGCCTGACGATCAGCGAGTACTCTTTTCTCTAATTGAAGTAGTCGTATTTCGAGAACCACGTTAATTTGTCTTGATTTGTTCAAACCGCACTGCAACATCCATCTTAGAATGACATCGTAATGCTTAGATAAATCTTATCACTCTTCTTCAAAAGCAGAAAAATTCGGCGTTTTACTGAGAATCTAATTCGCGAAGATATCCATGAACCATACCCTAGAAATGTCCCCAGTACGCATAATGCAATATTTGTTTCATTGATCGAATTCTCTTGAGAGTTATTTCAGTTCTTTATACAAGATCAGTATTGCGATCGTTTCCAATCCTAATCGAGTGATCCTTTCGACAATATATGCGAAGTGTTCAACTCATTTGCCATTCAAATGTACATCGAATACGATTTCTCCTCGCGCAAATTATCGCACAATTTTCTCGAACAAATGTATAATCAAATCGACCTTTACTCTCCTATGTTCAACGATAAAATATAATTATTCCAATTGTTGATTGCCTCGAGCTGCATACTTTCCTTTTTTTTGTTTGTCTTTGATAATGTTCATGCCTTCGAGCGCGACTCCTCCCGCTAAACTTTACAGAACACATTTTTATTCTGCTCGTCAATGATCAGGATGGAAATGTTAGAAAAGAATCAGTTACTTCCGTCTATCTTCAATCGATTGGTCATTGAACATGAGTTAAGACACTGTTCTGAGGCGTGTGTGTGTGTGTGTGTGTGTGCTGAGGTCGTTGACGATAAGGAGAACATTTTCTGGGAATGGAACTTCACTTGCTAGGCTTTGATGTCATGATTGTATGTTCTGGGAAATGGAACAATAGATGCCTGAGAACAATTCTCGTTGAAGAGAAGCATTACAAGGTCTTTACAAGTTATATATATATTAAAGAGTAGGAGAAGAAGAAGGAAAGGCGTAAGAATAACGGGAAAAAATGTTTGGAAGATCGCTAATGGTAGTGTTCAATAAGGAAGAGAAACGAAGACGACGGAGAGAATTAGGCAAAAGTGACGTAATCATTTGCACCGGTACGACAACGATGCTAGAAAAAGAAAAGAAGAGAAAATGGCAATAGTAAAATCAACAACTTTTTTTTAGCTACGATCCGCTCTGATAGAAAGAACAAACGTAAATAATCATTGCGTCAATATGTAGGATCGATATTGATAACTCTGTTTCAAACGAAGCATTCTTATCAAGTAGAAAACATAGGTAAGAGAAGAGATGAATAGTACGTGACATTCTAATGAACAAAAGAGAGTATGAGTAGTTGTTCATTTGCGTTTCACAAATATATGATGTAACTAATGTGCATGATCGTGTCTTATTCGACGAACGAGATGAATGACAGACCAGTCAGCAGTCATACAAGAAAAGAAATGAGTGCGAATGAAATGATCCATCTACATTTCTCAGTTGGTAATCTTTACTTCTGTTGTGTTCCAAGGACGAGTCTATTCTCGACTTTATAAATTTTCCGGGATTGAAAAAAAAACGAGAATTGTTTTGTCCTTGTTAGCTTTCTATTTCTCAGCGAAGTGAGCAAAAGGGGAAAGTTTTCCTCTTCGAGCAGAGAAGTACACGCTAATTTTCTTGTTTTGTCTAATACTGTGATATATTTGTTTAATGAAGCACATAACAGTGCTCATTGCTGTCTGATATATGTGTGTATATATATATATATGAGCACACGTGGAAAGAGAATCGATCATAGCTACTATTCTCAGTATTATTATTTTAGCTTGATCTCATCATCAAATGTTTCTGTTTGACTAGCCAGATTAGACAAACAGGCGTTCTTACCCGTTTTCTCTCTCTCTCTCCCTTTTTCTCTTCTTATGCCTGATGCTGAACACTCGAACCATTGATTGTTTTATTTTATTCATATTTTGTTAGGAAGAATAACGTGATGCATTTCCACCAGATTAGGTGGACTTATCAACAAACACCATCATCGCATGTTGTCTGATCGTGTACTACTTTTTCTTTATTTGATGATCATTATCGTCGTCGATTCTGGAGATAGTTTACCATGTACTCCAACTAAACAAGTGCTTCTGTCCAATTGTTCAATTCAACCGTCTCAAAACTCGACGACGAACGATAATCGAACATTAACAATGATCATACCCTATTCGCTGAATCGTCAACATCAAGACGAGTACTTAGCGACCATCCTCACTCAGAATAAGTCGTTCATACGTTTGAACTTAAATTTGATTCAATGTGAAAATAAAAGTTCGACATTAAATTGGACTTCATTAGAGTCTTCGTCAACATTGAATGGCGAATTCCTTCGTACATCGTCCATCAATAAAAACACAATGTATTTACCATCTGGAAAGATTTATTTACGAAATCTTTCGACAATTGATTGTTCAACAAACACGATTTACCGTACCAATGCCAATCAATTATTTCAACTTGATTTACGCATTGAATCCACATTGAATGATTATTGTTTAGATGATACATCATGTTATCCTCATGATACTTATCAATGTGATCCCATCGAACAGCGATGTATATGTCGACAACCTTTTCAGCCATATTCGATCAAAGAACATTATACAATATGCATTCAAGCTGCTGAAACCGTCGAGCAATGTCCAAGGCAAACTCAACGATGTTTACCCTGGTGTCATGAAAACAGTTCATCATTAATGTGTGTATGTCCGGAGGACTTGGCGAGAAAGAAATTTTCCTATAATAATCAAGGTAAACGCGTGAGAAAAAAAGCTAATTAGCTTGTCTGACTCGAATCATTCTTTTTTTTTTAATTAGCTTATTGTGAAAGTCAAACGGGTGGCATATGTAATGCGTATCTTCGATGTCCATTAGGAAATCTATGTGTACATGGAACTTGTCAAAAGATCACCAATGAATTCTATCAATCAATTTCGATGAATATTGTTACAATTTCCATTATCGTCTCATGTTTAATTATATTCATGATAAGTGCCATTCTAGGAATTGGTATATACATATTACGTCGGCAACGGTGGAAAAAACATTACCATTCACCAATGAGTTCAATCTGCGCCAAACAACATCCAATGAGTCTACCAGCGATTAGTGATTATGATAATGTAACTTATAGCGCGTTTCGTGCTAATGTTCAACTTTCATCGAGTGACGATAATGACAGTTCGCCAATGACAACATCGGATGAATGTTCATACGAACCGAAAATAGTTTACCTTGGTGGTGAACAACAATTAACAGCAATATTTGCTTGAAATCAACTAGAAAGAGTTCTCTTCTGCTTTGTCCTTGAAATAAATTATTTCATACATTTCTTTTTGTGTCTGATCAAACAATACTTTCAAAGGATTAGTGTGAATAGCAAAATAATAGATGAGATTATTACTCGACAATAACCACTTGGAGATTGATTTGGCCTCTCATCGTCAAGAATATGTACTTGAGAATAGTTCATTTTATCATCTGAACATTAGAATAACTTAAAACTTCGATTAAATCCACAGGTCAAATTCTACTTTCCTCGAGCTAATTTCATAAAACCTCTGTTTTCCTTGTGCATCTACATGTAAGCAGATAGTTATCAAATTCCGAACATTTATTGTCATACTTTCAATAGTCTCGTGCGTCGCGAAGCAAGTTATTCAAGATTGGAGTCCATCTCATTAATATAAGAATAATATTTATCATGTTATGACAAAGACTTGTCCCAGTTAAAGGATCGAGTGTCTTCGAACTCCGTTGATGTTTATTTACTTCGGAAAGTGTTCTCACCAGTCTAGCCAATATAAGACCAGTCAATACTTCCTGTTCGGAGACAGTACAGCAATTTGTCTACTTTTATTTTCATTGAAGCATACACGAGTTTTTCTTACGATAGAAAGTCAAAACATAAACGACGTGCTGCTTTACACTTCTCTCCTTGGCTGATTGAATTGTCTCGCATTTGTTCTGTCAATCTCTTTTTGTTTCCTCATCGCTCGCCTGCTTCTTTTTTCCTTTTCTTCTCCTTCTTCTTCTTTTTTGTTTCGTAGAATCAAAAACAACTATCCGACAGTTGTTCGCTTTATTGAATGACAATCTCATCTATTTAAAATGAATACTACCAATTATACAACTAATAACGGTGATGAATTCTCGCATAAACTCGTCTTTATCCAAGGATTGGTTTACATTCCAATTCTATGTACTGGAATTGTCAATAATCTTTTCACTATCATAGTCATGCTGTCAAATCGAGAAATGTATACAGTTACCAATTGTTATCTCCTCAATTTAGCTATCAGTGATACTTTACCATTAATTATCAGTTTACCATTTGAAATTACGGTAGGAAACTTTCAGTATAAGACGATATTCGAGATTTGCGTATTTGTTTTAGTTTTTGCGCATCAAACTTCCATGGAACGAGATCGGTTGTAAACTTCGGAGCCTACTCGCTGAAACATCGACGAATGCATCGATTCTAACGATCAGGTAAAGAAATGCAAATGTGTGAAGATCTCACCCTCGTTGTTTGCCACTTTCTAGCGCGTTTACTATTGAACGTTATTTAGCAGTTTGTCGTCCGTTACATACATCTTATCATTCAACTACACGACGTGCTATTAAAATCGAATTTCTGATTTGGTTCATTGCCGTAACGTCTTCTATTCCATACTTTCATTTCATTGAACGAGCCGATAACGATTGTGTTTTTAATACCGACTTGCGCTCTTCGATTCAAATATGTTTTCATATATCTGCGATAGTATTCTTCGTCTTGCCCGCATTCATTCTCTGTTTCTTGTATGCATTGATGGCACAACGCCTGTATTCAGTTGGTTTAATTAATCGAATTCGATGGTCAAAATCCAGCGGAACGGAATCTTGTTCGTCGCCGAGATGTTTACAAAAGATTGAGTGTGACAATGTGAATTCCAAATGTCAACGACACTCGTCAACGTCTTCAATACTAATTCGACATTCGTCGATTCTGCGCTCTAACAAAAGTTCTCTTCCTGGCTCAATTAATCCAACTCCATCAATGAAAATCTCGGCATTTAAAATGCTTTGTAAGTAGTTGGAATCTCGTTTAATTCTACCTAAGTAGACAATACTGTCTGAAGAGAATTCATGATCGTGACTACAACGAAGAATAAGCAAATGTTCATTTGCCTAGTATGTCGTGCTCTTTTAATTCGAGTTATTTTCAGACACAAATATTTTGCATAAGTTCAAGATCATATTGAATAATTATCTTCATTAATCTCCTTATTAAAACTCTATGGTTTTCTATTTATAAGCGTCGATGATTCCTTTTATGCTATGTTCGAAATAGGAGATCTTCAATTATGAATCAATTAGAAAAGAAACAGAAGGGAGTAGTCTATTCGCAGGTATGAATGACGCGGAACGGTTTCAATTGAATATATTGATCGACTTCGATTACAAAGTTAAGTCGAACTAATTATCTGTTCAAAACAAAATCTGATGCTTATGTTATTGGATGAGAGAAGTGATATTTCAGAAGGGTTATTTAAGATGCGGTAGAGCCACGCAACTGTCGTTGATATTAAAAACTCCTTTTGTTCTATAGTAAATAGATAAAGAGTCTAGTCTTTCATAAACTCGAAAATTCTTATGTTGCTCGACATTCTTCCTTTCGGAATACATTTTTCTATGATCAAGCACTGTGATTGCATTATTGATGATGTGTTGTCATTGTCTATTTTCTGTGATGTTTAGTTGCGGTTGTTATTGCTTTTATCATCTGTTATGCGCCATTTCATGTTCAACGATTAATTACAAGTAGTTTAGATGACAATCATCTTACTACCATTCAGCAACGTGCCATTACTATTTTTTTCTCTATAAGTGGAATTCTCTATTTTCTTGGTGCATCTATTAATCCGATCTTCTATCATTTGTACTCTCGACGATATCGGCAAGCATGTCGACGTACAATAAGACGAATTCTACACTGCCAACAACAGTATCATCATCATCGTCATCATTATCATCACCATCGTAATCATTCTTTTCGTCAGATTCAGTATCGCAAGACTGAACAATTGCAACCTTTTACACGCCTCGTTGCCTGTGCAAATAGTGATTCAATCGTTTTGCCAAAAATTGCAGCCATCGATCGATTGGCACCTAAATATCGAAGTAGTTGCGATCTAAGCATCAAAACACAGCATCGATGGAGTTGTTCATTGCCAGACTTAAATATAAACCCGGTGAATTCATAAAGAATTTATTTTTGTTTTTCTGTTTGATAAGAAATAAAAACGAAGAACGAAATGTAGAAGATGAGGAATTTTTCAGTTGCCATAGGTACTGTTGATAGAAGCTGCATCGTCAAGATCATCATTACCAGGTGTTGAACGATTTTGCTGGTAGTTCGATGGAGGTGGCATGGTTCTTCGACGAACAGGATCAAGTGTTGAATATGTATTTGCTCGATTCGGTGCAAGATTTGAATATCTCTCTTCCCGATCATCTTGAGATCGAGTTTGCCGTGAGCTAGTCGTATTCCTCGATATGTTGTCATAGTCGGCTGATGCATACGAACTTCCATCCTCGTAGTCATCATACTCATAATCATCGAGATCGTCTCCATAGATGTAATAGCGATAAAAATCACCAATGGGCATTGGCCCATCGAGTGTTACAACTGCGGCATCTTCATGAATGACATTAAAACGTTGTTTCGGTGGTCGATACCAATCGAATGGTGCATGTCGATAGCCAGGCAATTCACGTGGAACATGCCGAAATTGGCCATACATTCGTGAATTGCACACGCTCTCCATAGTCGTCGTCAAACAGGCATTCATAAAATTCGGTGGACAACACATCGGGGCAGGCTGAAGTGGTATCATTGGTACCAACATCTGCGGCATGACTGGTACAAGCATTGGTTGAGAACCGCACACAGGTAACATTGAACTGCTTTCAATTAGTTTTGATTCTAGTTCGTTGAGTGAAATGTAAATTTTCAAATAAAAAAAAATGTAAACCAAGAACAGAAAGAACAACTCATCCGTAACACATGACATTCAGATATATTTCATTGAACAGTGTGCTACACAGAATCAATACCAGTACTTGACAATGAATGATGTTCGTATATATTCAATAGGAGTATAGAATGTAACACCTTCCATATTCATTTTTTCCGTTTAAATGTAAAAATTCATGTTAATAAATGAAAGAACTGAACAGAAATCATTAACGTGAACAGCAACAGATTACAATAATTGCATGAATGACACCTTCGAATATGTTCAGAAAATGATCTTGTAAACAAAATAAGAACAGATATCTACCTGGTGCATAGCCGATCATTGTTAAAAGAATGTTTAAACTAACCATCCATGAGCATATTTTATTTCGAGCAAAAAAGACACTAATAGGAGGCATAAGAAAAGCCTATAGGGATACAAGAGCAGAATTTATAGGTTGATCAGTATATATAAACGAACCAGAACAATGAGTATAATTTTACCGATAAGACCGAATAACATATTTAAATAAAAAGTATAAAATCTAGAAAAAGAAAGTATCTCTATTTATTTGGAAGGTCTTTGAAGCCAGTCTCCACTAGGAATTCGTATCCAACTCTGATCAGGTACTTTCAATTTCGGCACATAGATATAAGCATGTTTTATTTCATTGTCATTTACTAATACTTCGACTATTTTTCGTTCATAATCATCACCTTCGATCAAATCTGCTTGAGTTATTTTCTGCGCAAACTGTTCTCTCGATGGCCAACCTAGAAGACGTACAACGATGCTATCACTTGAATTACCTAAGTTACATAACAAAATACAAATGTAATTATTATTACAATCAAACGGAACACACCGGTATAGATAGCAAACGGGTAGGTTAATGATGAATGAGCAAACAATTGGTATCCGGTCAGTTTGCCAGTAATAGCATAACTCATATCCTTGAAATGCATCGAAAAAAGTTTAGTTCAACGTTCGAAAAAATTTCAAGAGATACATTAGTGAAATTCTTTGCCCATGGTGCATTGGTATCATTATCGTCTCGTAGCGTTCCATAGGTAGCTAACAGTTCAATGGCACTAGGTTGTTTCAAGTCAGTTGACATTGTATGCGAAGCAAATGTGAATCTTTCTGTTGAGTTGTACTGGGATTTTGTACGTCACAACTGCAAATATGGTATTCTGTGGATTGATAACTACTTTTGGATTTACCTATATAAAACGTAACTTTACGTTGATTTATCACCTGTTATACGATACAAAATGAATGTCGAAGCACTGTGTTCGACACAAATCGAAAGAGAAATGTTTTACTATTTGGAAACATCACGAAACCTTTTCTGTTTCGATCAGCGTGCAAGTAATTCATGATGAAAAAATAATCAATCATCAAAGTAGATGAAATTGGTTCAAGCGTTGATGTATAGATTTCATTATTTTGCTTAAAAGTGTTCGTCGAATTTCAGTACTTCTTTGCAGTGTATTCCATCGTGTGAGAATTTTCTTATTAATGGCATGTGAAATGACGAATCTGTCTTCAAACAAATAGAACTCTTATGTGTCGTTCGGAGGAACTTGAAAGTTTTCGATACAAGAAGAGCTTTGGTCATACCAATAGACATCGATTATTCATCTTCTAAATCGAATAGAATATCATTGGTTATTTCGTACCAATGACTACAGTGGATAGTAGAGACAGGAAATAAACTAATATATTAATACAAAATGTTTATTTTGTCGAAAATCTTCAATTTCTCATTTGAATTCGAGAGCAAAAGTGGGAGAACCTAACTGAACTATTAGTGTCCTCTATACTAAGAATAAAAAAAAACGCATAGTGGTGGTCGAAATCCTTATTTTCCACCGTCGCTACTATCAAGGTTAATCATTTGTTTAGTTTTGATCAAATCATTTGCAGAATGTTATACATGTAATATTGCTCGAATCGTTTCATTCAATTACAAATGAATCGCGCATTGCAAACAATATGTACTCGTTTCCTAACGCGTCCTCTTCTTCCAGTGTCGAGTGTGAACTTCATTCCATGTGCTGGAATACGACATCATAAACTAACCGATCAACATATGAGATTACGATACAAGAAACTTCATTGGCACAAGTTTTATGACGATAAATGGGTTCAACGACGTGGAGGCGGGTTGGTCTGTTTAATTAGAATATTTTTCAACTTAATAACTCTAATTCATTGTTTGTTTTTAGATGGGATGAAAAACTCACTCCGGAGAATATTTCGTTCATGCAAGAGGTCGTCCATGATACATATGCCAATGAAGAAAGTCCATTGAAAGATGGTCCCTGGAAACATGGAGAATACACAACCAATCCAGAGACAATTCGTACTGGTGTTCTTGGACTAAAATTAGGAACATTGCCACAGTGGAATAAAAAGGGTCAAAAGTTTTATGTCACAGTAGTTCAAGTAAGACGATTTTCCGTCGATCGATGTCTGGAAAAGATGTATATTCTAGATTATTGACAATCATGTGATTAACTATACTCCGCCCGAGATGATCAATTTTCGAACATTATTTACTACTCGTCCGTTACGTCGTGATCTCCATGGGAAAGTCGGTATGCTTGTTGTCGGTGCCCTATCTTGTGATCCTAGGAAATTTACTCGAGCTTATAACGGTTTATTTGAACAAGCTGGTGTACCGCCCAAACGTAAATTAACTCGATTTTTTGTCACGCCAAACAGTGTGATTAAACCTGGCACCCCTCTCTACGCCACACACTTTCGCTGCGGAGATTACGTAGATGTACAAGCACGTTCCATAGATTATGGTTTTCAAGTAAACAACCGGATTGAATATCGATCTCACAAACGAATGTTTTGTTTTCTATAGGGTGTTATGCGTCGGTACGGTTTTCGTGGTGGCCCTAGTGATAAATACGGTGCAACGAAATTTCATCGTAAACGTGGTACCGTTGGTTCAGGTCGTAAACATCGAATTCTACCTGGAACACGAATGGCCGGCCTTATGGGCAATAAATTAGTAATGATGAAAGGTTTGAAAGTTTGGCGAATAAACACCAAATACAACATCCTTTACCTCATGGGTCCAGCCGTGCCTGGACCTAATCATGGTTACATGCGTATACAAGATTCAACGTTGTACGAACGTAAACAAAAGATAACGAACGAGAATCATCCGCCATTTCCCACTTACTTTCCCGAAAATGGAAAAGTTTTAGAAGAAGAATTATTCGCCGATGACATCTACCGATTCGATCAGCCAACACTAACATTAGATGATGTACAAATAGCTCCATTAACAAGTCGTCGAACAGCAGCGAAGACTGCTCAAAAGAAAAAATGAGTTTTGTTTGATTTTATTTGTACAGAAAAGGAACGTTAGAATGTTGAATCACATAGAATCAGTTATTTTCTTTCATTCTACTGTTTGTTTTTTTGTTACTTTTCAGATCGAACAGATTTCTCTATCAACTTTCGTTCGATAAAAATCTTCCTNAACAGCTGCTGCGGCTGCATGATTTAATTGACGATTAGGATTCTGATAATGCACCAAAGCTGAACTTTTCGACGATAAAAATGGAATATTTTGTTCAGTTTTATTATGATCATCGAATGATTGTTGATAACGCGGTTGAGTGTATTGAGTATGATCATCAAACTGACCGAACGAAAAGATGTTATCAAAAGGACAAGATATATACATGTGTAGGACATACTCGACGAACATCTGTTGAAGTCGATGGTGGAACTAATGGCGGCGGAGTAGATACAGCTGGAGTGGAATATAACGGTTGCTGATACAAATGATTTCGGTACAATAATCTTAATTAAAATGAAAGGAAAAAGATGTTAAAGACGATCGTGACCTGTTTAAATGCAAGGCACTGAAGGTCTTATCATGATAGTTTTTGCGAGAACAGAAAAGGGTTCAGTCACAAACATTGACAAGTAAATGTATCATGAAGATTGAACATTCTTTGGTGTAGATGGGTGTGAAATGACGTGTGACGTTTTTAATAACGAAACAGAAAGTATTTCTACAATCGTGCGATCGTTTGTTTGTTTTGACAAATCCTTCGGAGTGTCTTACGGCATACAAAAAATAACAAACTCTTTCAAGCTTATGAAAAAATCTGTGAGGTCTACCTTTCAAGAAACCTCAAAATAGCAGACAATCAAGTCAACTTCAAACATCTATACCTTCTCTTATACAAACAAACAATCAATACTCACTCGTGTTGTTGTTGTTGCTGCTGCTGTTGTTGATGTTGGACATAATTTTCGTTGTTATTGTTATTATTATTTGTATTTAATATCTCATGTTCATTCGATTGATGATGATGCTGATCGGCATTGGATGTGTTGAGAGACTCATCATCATCGTCGTCGTCATCGTCATCCTCATCTTCACCATCCGATGGCTCTTCGTGCCCTTCGAAAGCAGCCATGATCAATTCAACAATCTAAACGTTGTAAAATTGTTTTTCGAAAATATGTTTTCGTATTTTGTCACGAACTTCGTTTTGATTCGTTTGTTCATGAACTATATCTTCATGATCTTCTTCATCAAAATCATTTCCATTGAGGCCAATCGTATCAGGTAGAAACATACTAACACCTGAATTGAATTCCATTTTGAAATATTTAGTTCACAATTAAACAACTAGCACCATGAATGTTTCTTTTTTTTTCTTTTCTTTCTTAACCGCACTTCTTCTTTTTCATGCAATTTTCTCGTCTGACCTTGTTACCATAGTTACCGTCGGTAAAAACGAATGGCGAGATAAAATTGTGTTTCAACGAAATTTGATTAGATTTTCAGTTTCAAGAAGTCTTTTTTATGGAAATTTTCGACAAAATTTTATCTTTTCAGCGACATCTATCGATGAGAGTTATTGAACATTTTAGCTTAACTAATCGTGGATTATTAATTTATTGAGATTGAAAATGATTTCAAAAAGGCAATCGTACAGATTTTAACTCATAAAGCGAGAAACAAAGTCAACATCCGTCAATCTTCTCGAATTGTTCGTTCTGTTATTTTATGACTAAAAGTTAAAAGAGAGAGAGATAATTTAGTAATCTTGCATGATAAAAGTTTTTAACTAAAACAAAAACGAATTTGGTCCCTATGAGGATCGAACTCATGACCTCCGCGTTATTAGCACGGCGCTCTAACCAGCTGAGCTAAGGGACCACGGTTCTGAAATGGCAGAAATGATGAATCGACACGAATTATTCTAATGACACACTGTTACGTTAATACACACGTTTATTATTGATGATTGCATGCTGTCGAAAATCGATCTCTCAGATTATTTTGATTTATATCATGTTCCAGTAGAATGCATCGTCAAGATTAGCCCATAAATCTCTCGCGAGCATGTAAACTACACTAAATTTAAAACGACCTGTGGGACGATCTTCGCACTTCTTCCCCCTCTTATGTAAAAGATGTCAGGCGTTTGCCTTGGCGAAGAGAAATCTCTCGAAGATGAGGATTATCCATGTGCGTATAGTGTTCATCAGAATCAAGAGAGTTAATTTTCTTTTCTAGTGATGATTGCGAAATGACCGGAACCATGTTGGCGATTTCCTGTCTCTAGCACTTCATCCTCGTCACTTATCAATAGCAATAAATGGTCCAATGAACGCACATGCGTATCTCTATATTCAGTTAATATCACTATTGTCTCTGTTTGAAGTGTCATGCCAGGCATACGTCGCGTTTTTTCTCTGTATTAATATAATCCAGTGTAATCTTTTTCATCGGGAAAATGTTCATCGAAGAACACAGAACAAATTAAAGGTTACTGATCATTTACATACAATTAGAATAGTAAAAATTGACTCGTTGGTATATTTGCCTCTCCTGAGAATGAATAGAGCATTGGTGAAAAAAAGTTCATTAACTAAAATTTTCTCTGGGAGTTATCAAGTTGAAATTTTTTTTGTCATCTTTTGATATCTTGCCAAAGATGGCATTGTTCTACAACGACCTTGCTATTGACTACACAGGAAATTAGTCTTTTATGAAAATCAGAGCTGAATTTTTCTTTTCGATAAGGGCATCATTATTTCCTTTCTTCTTTTGTATAACATACAAGTAACACTATCATCATTATCGATACTTATGATATAATGAACTAAGTTCTTGGATGTATTCAACGAGTGAACAAATTCGTTTATTCATACAATTTGATAGAGCAAAAAGGCATGCAAGACAAATGAATGAGGCAATTAGAATCAGAAGTCATCTGAACGAGGAAAAAGCTCGACTCATTCGTCGAGATTTTTCATTTGTTTTTCATGTGTGGAAATCAAGACGAGCGTGTGTCAATGTCCGGAACCTCAATCTGTTGAACACATAGTCAAATATAGACATCGGAGTGCGTGTGTATTTAGTTTTCAATGACGCATTAGAAGAATAAAGATTGCCTCGGGTAAATCTCCTTGTTGACAGTAACCTTTGATTACAGACATTTATTTCTAATATAATCACTACCTGACAGTGAACTAGAAGAAGAAATGAGTCCGATCTAAGTTCCTATTAGACGTACAATTTTGTACTTTTATGATTTTCTTTATTCTATGATTCGCTCGCGATGTGTGCGATTGCCATTTCCTCTTTATCTACGCTCTTGTCTTCTACGAAGAGAAGGAAAGAGAGAGAGAGCGAGCGAGCGAGGAAATAGAGGCAAAGGAATAGATAGCACAACCCGTCATATACACATGCGAACGTCAAAATGATCCATGATCGGAAATGACACACTTAACAATACTTTTTTCTTCAATTTATTAGAAGTCATCTTCTTTTTATTGTTCGAGTATTTTTTACGATCACCTGCATGATGCGATAAGTGAAAAAATCATGGCTGATGTTGTTCATCGTATCAATGAACTAACACATACGCGTCTCTCATGGTTTGGTTGTTCGGACGATGACTCTTGTAACCGTCTCAATCATCGTCACACTGTTTTAATCTTATTAATCTTCTCAGCTATTTTAACTTCACGTTTATTTATATCAGATTTAATTATTTGTTGGACACCGGGTGAATTCACAGGTAAGATAGAATGATTTCTTCTGTGAGTGATTGACAGATCAATCAAAATTAAAGAGACAGAATTGAACGATAGCGGTCTAGATGTCTCAAAGCATAAACAATCCATGACAGATTTGACACATATCATTGATGAGCATGTTCATTATGAGGAAGATAAATGGACTCGAGCTTGACATGACATTTACCATGATATCTATTTATCTCTCATCATTCGAATCCCTTTGGCAGCGATCTGCACTTTAAATCTTGCATTGATTTTTCAGGTAATTTTGTTTCCTACACACGGCATTATTGTTATGTAACCAATACTTATTATATATCTGTTAACGAAACGATTCCGACATTAAGTAATGCTCATATACGTCGAAAGCGTTCAATCTATTATTACCAATGGTTACCGATCTTGCTTGCATTTCAATCCTTACTTTTCTTAATTCCGCGGTTGATATGGAGCAGTTTTAGTTCACGATGTGGCATCAATTTGCAGCATTGTCTATCGCCTCAATTCGATTACCGTACAAGTCGTTATAAAGTTCATCATATCACAACGATGCTTCGTCTGCTGTCACGTGCTAAACAGCACGATTTCGATCGTATGACAGCAACGAATCCGATGAATAGGACAAGTTTAACCGCGAATATACATCTACTGAAAACGTTTTGTATTCCATTTTTATTTCTCAATGAAAATCCATTTCATGGTTATTATCTTGCAAATTTGTTTCTTGTTGTGAAAATACTTTTTCTAATCAATTCATCTCTACAATTAGTATTTTTGAATACGTTATTAACGAAGAATTCTATTTTTTATGGCTTGGAAGTTCTGGAAAATTTCTATCGAGGAGAATACATCGTCGGATCGCGCATATTTCCAATTAATGTCTATTGTGATTTTAACATCATCAAAATCGGTCAACCGACTCTCTATACCGTAAGAATAACAAAAAAATCTCCCGCAAATATTCTTCTTTTGCTTCATTTCAGGTTCAATGTTTATTACCAATGAACGTATTTAATGAAAAGATCTTCACCATCATCTGGTTCTGGTTAGTTTTCCTCACTATAACCAATTTAAAAAGTGTTTTACTCACAATCCTGCGAAGTAATTTTCCTCAATTCAATTATGGTTATGTTACCAACTACTTAGATTTATATTCAAAGCGTGAACGTTTCAAACGCCACACGCTCGTTAAACGTTTTATATTCGATTATTTATCAGCCGATGGGATCTTAATTCTAAGGCTGATCTCGGAAAATATCAGCGATTTACTAACTAGTGAAGTGATCAATGAACTTTGGAATGAATACAAGAAGTTATCCAATCTATCGCCGACCAATCGAGAACGATATCAACGTTTGAGAGGAACCAATTCTCCATCGATCGAGACAGTTCCATCAACAAAAAGTCTTCATTATCGTCATATGTTTCGATAAATAACTGACAAACTCTCGACAGTTATCAATGGTTTCTTTCTCTTTCTCTTTTGTTCGAATTACTGGTTGTGATTGACATTCTGTTTTTTTTTAATCTTGACAATACATACATAGATGCGAAAGATTGTTCAATAAGTTTTTCATCTTCTCTAAGTGATACTTGATACTCGAAGAGAAATCGAATACTGTGTCCTTGATCGCACAAGCGTGCTTACTAGAACAATTGGTTAAAGTCAATATATACACGTCTTGGAGACAATCAATGATAATGGACGATCGTTGGACAATGTTGACATTTGTACCTGAGTTGTTTACTGAGAAAATAATGTGAGATCGAGTTGTTGGAAGTGAACCGATTCGAAAGAGAACGTCTAGAGACATCTGATCAAGTGAAAAGAAATGTAGTCGCTAAGTAACATTGTTCGGTTGTTATTGAGAATGATAGAAAAGGTAAAGAGTCGTTAAAGAATTGAAGGAAAAATATTTGATCAACAATCAAATCAATATGGTCGAGTAAAAGAAAAGAAAACAAGTCTTTGTTAAACAAAATATTTTGTTTTCATCTTATCGCTATTTATGTGATCAACAATCAGAGACTCAACGTCTCAGAATATGTCTCTCTATTAAGGATTCGTTTTTAGATAAGACTTGTTCGATGACATCGAAAACCGATCGATTCTTCGACCCAAAAGATGGAACATACGCCAATGTTCCCATCATTCCAGTTCATCGAGAGATATTTCGCGGAAAACGACCATACAATACCAAAGTTCTCATTAGAAATTGGTACGAAGATCGATCGAAGGTGAGTCAATACACAACTGTTAAAATCAAATATTTGCTATTTATTTAGTTTAAAGAATCACATCATCGTTCAAAATCGTCCTCTGAAATAGCATATCCCGCTCATGTCGGCTCTGTACCCGATACTGTTTTCCGCCGTCGAGTTCTGATTTCAACCGAACAACGACCGGATCGATTGATTCTTGATCATCACGACATTGATCATCAAAAACAGTTGATTAGCAGGTAAGCGAAGACAACAATTCCTGTTCGTTTCCTCATCATTCTATGTTTGAATAAAGTTACGATGAACAGTACAACAGACGAGGAGCTTATGGTGATCATCAAGTAAATTAACATAGAATCACTGATATACATTTCTCAGCGAATATATTCTAAAGGATGCATCGGAACGAAAATGGGCCTTACAGGATAATCATTGGTTGCCCGAACGTAGTGATCATCCATTGCAAAGCACGCCGACAAGTTGGGGTTTAGTAGATTTTAAACGTGCTCAAAGTCAATTTCTTCGACGACAGCGTACAATGCCTAATCTAAGGTATTCTTATATCCTCTCGTTTTCATTTCTTCTTCTTCATTGACTGGTTTTAGTGAATATACAAACAATTATGTGCCTCATCGAACAGACGAATATGTCGTAGCAAAACGCATTGGGATTCCACGAATCTATTCATCTGGAATAAATCGCACTGATTGTCTGAATAACAATATTATTAATCGACGCGAACCACCCGTTCATGATCCAACGGATATCGATCACGTTTGTTCAATCCGACGAAATGCTCATGTACCACGAGCATATTTTTACAATTCTCCTACAACCATTGAAAACTGGAATCGACCGCGACGAACAAGTTCTTGTCGATCTGAAGCCTACCTTCCACTACGCTCAACGAATTTCTCGATTGAACCCATTCAAAGTCAAGAACAAATTGTCTAAATAGTCTTGCTGATACATTTCAGCATTTATTTCTCATTTCTTTCAATAAAATCTATTCTAGACGTACTCGGCAATCTACTATGATAGTTTCTCGATAACTATTTATATCGACTGCTATGTGAATTACAAACAGAACAGAGGGAATGTTTGTATATTTTCTCATATGAGAATATGTCCTAAGCGAGATACAAACCTGATGGACAAGACAGGCATTGTACTGGCATTTTTGCTCATTTGAAGTTCGCATTTTTTAATTCCAGATATTCTTCCTCCGTAGCTTGCTTTATTTAAACTACCACCTCACAACAATAGGGTTGGATATTGTATTTTATAGTTATCTACTTGAACTCTTTTCTATTTCGTTTGATAGTTGAAACGTAGATGGATATCATATGACTGCAGAGGAGAAAAAAAGCAGAGACTTGTTGAAATTAAAATATGTCCAAGTATTGTTTTCTTTTTGATTCCATGCAACTGTATGAAGAATCACTCTAAGCATGCATATCGTAAAAGTATCATTATCACAAACACATGATCCATATTGTGATTGAAAAGCGAGATAATTAAGAAAATTCTAAACACTTCACATGTATTGTAGTTTCATTAGCAAACTTCTATTTCGAACCTCTGACTTGCGTCTTTGCTTTCTCTGAACATCGATCCGATATCTTTCTTTTTCCTTTACAATTACATTCTTCAAATATAGATAACCTGCATGCGTTCTTACCGATCGATACATAAGGTATGGTGTATAAGTACACTATCTCGTTCGACATATGAGTGTCAAAGTATCAGCAAATAATTTTCTGACAGTCATGTCTACGCTACGTTCCATGGATATACATGAATTATAATCAAGATAAAACATTTCAAGTCGTTTGATTGACAAGATCGCTTGTGGCATCGAATACCTTCAATTCTTGTGCAGATAAGCCAAGTACTTTTCATTCGGTACTCTCTTTATTTTTCCTTTAAACTTTAAACTTGTATGATATGCAATCGAGAGTTTATTAGATCACATACTACGTATGAAAATGAAGAGCTAAATAAAAAGTTAATAGCATAAATTTGAAAATATTCAAGGCGATTAGAGTGTAATTGTGCATTGAAACTTTTTTGGCAGCGGTGTACGGCGGAAACGTAAGGGTAATGGTTCATGAACTGCAATAACACGAGCACAATCGGTTACTTTCAACGCTTGCATTAACAACGTTTGAAGTTCATCGGAATTGATGGCAGATCCTATTTTCACAGAAGAATAATGTTAGTCTCACATTGAACGACTCTTACCCATGGAAACTTCAGCTTGAATTACAAACATGCAAAGAAGAACGCACAAGAGAACTTTTCTCGAAACCATTGTTGTGCTATCCTGTCACAGGATTAACATTGACAGTCATGTACATGGAACATTTTCGTCCTAAATGAAATATAAAATGAAGCAAACAGTCGTTATTGCATGAGGTTGAATAGGAATTAGATGGACTGGTATGCATCGTAGCCGTATGCTTCTTTAAATAGCAATAAGAACACGTAAAAGCCGATAAGAGAAACAACGAAGCATATTTTCGGCTGAGATTCAATACGTGAATACATGTTTGAAAATGAAAATACAAAATCTCACTCAAGAGTGGGGGAGTCAAATCCCATTGCTGTGGATTAAACCATCGTAGTAATATTTAGTCGAAAATATGTCTGATATGTTGGCAAATAGACGAACATTTTTCTTTCATGAAATACGATTTTCTTATTTTCGATCGTAATTCTGTTTAGTCTTGAATAAAAAAAAAGCAACGATTGACAGATGATACACACGCACGAAAAAGAAATGAACAATGATGACACAAATAGAATAATAGAATCGATTAAAGCAATGGAACAAATGAACAAAATGCGATGGCTAGAGAGAGCGAACAAAAATGAACACGGAATAAATAGTGCAAACAATGTACAACACACACACACACCCACAAATATATCTGATGTTACGCACATGGAATGCAGTTCGTTGGGAGAGAAGAAAGACCGTGAATATGAATGTGTATCTGACTGCTGAATTACACAAATTGATTTACTTTTCTACGAGGACCATGTGTGATTCTAGAAGAAAGAGATATGTAAATGAAATGGTTAGCAGTTCGAATAAGACCTACTTCTAATAGTTCTGAATGTTGATGATCGAGATGATTGAGAAAGTATTGTCGATCATTATTAACCGTATAGTCGCATTTTGAACATTCATAAACGATCGTACGGGTTTTTTGTTGAACTAAAATAAAGCAAACGAAATGTAAGGAAATACATCAACTCAATGATCCTACTTGTAGTAAATTGTTTGATTAATGGATTATTTTCTAACCAGTGTAATTCTAAAATATCGAAAAGAGAAGTATTTGATTTTGAAAAGAGAAAATATTTTCTCGACATACCATAGTCAAACATTTGTTCATCGAATTGAATATCTCGTGTTTTTTCCTCCTACAACCAAATCAAACGAATAAGAGGGAAACAATCAATTGCGAAAGATCTCTTACATCTTGGTCATCATCATCATTTTCGATGTCACTATCATTCGTTGATGTTTTCTGTTGCTGAAAATCTTGTTCGAAATTGTGGTTACATTTCATTGATGCATGTGCTTTTCGATGAACAAGTAGATCCGATAGATCTTCCGCTTCATAATCACATTGACGACAACGAAGATGGTTATTCTGCGAACGAGAATTATTCGAAATACGCTTTTGTTTCTCATCGCCTTCGTCCTGTTGATGGTTTTCATCGACAATGATTAAACTATTGTTTTCATCATCTTCATCATCATCTTCTTCGACGATTTCCTCTTCGTCATCGTCCATTTCCAAAGATTTTTGTTGTTGCTGTTGTTGTTGCTGTTGTTGATGAGCGAAAAACGAAGACATTTGCATGGCGGCTGCCGCAAATGCAGCAGCATTTTGCTTATCAGACGGCACACCTTTATTCATATCATTATTTCCAATGACAAGGCCAAGACTCTAGAAATAGTCTCAGTGTGAGCTTTTTCTTCTTTTCATAAGCTGAGAAACTTACCTCCATAACTTTCGCCATCGCTTTTCGACCAACTAGAACTGGACCATGGTGATTACAGAGACGCATGTGTTTTTTCACATCACATTTCCATTTCGATTTGTAATCACAATTAAAACAATGATACGGACTTTCCGCTGAATGAACAATTAAATGTCGACGCAGTTCGGCCATAGAATTCGCAGCGAATGGACATTGTTGACAGGCTAATGTTCGATCACGTGTATATTTCACTGAGGATAGTTTTTGTTGAACATCGAGACCGAAGAAACTATAATCTTCATCGGTTAAGGGAGCTGGTGCCAATGCTCGATCATCAGTGCCCTCGTGTTTCGCTTTCAATGTTGTTTGAAACAGATATTTGTCGGGCAATTCGACGATCTTTGCAGCATCGTGTGCATGTTGTTTCTTAACATGTTTCTAGAAAAGGAAGTTTCTCGTATATCTTCTATAATCGATAGAAGAAAGAGACTTACTTGAACATCCCATTTCCAGCTTGATGCATAGGGACAAGCAGAGCAATGATAAGGTTTATCTCGTGCATGATGACATCTCATATGTTGAATTAATTCACTTCGCCATCGTCCACGATAATCGCACCAACGACATTGAAAATTTCGTTCCTCCTTTTCAAATTTTCGTTGTTGTTGTTGTTGCTGTTGTTGTTGATGATGGTTTCGTAGATGATTATTAGTACCATTGGCTGCTGCCACCATTGCGGCGACGGCATGCATGCGTTGTTGCTGTTGTAAAGGTGATGATGTTCGCGGTGATGACGATCGTGACGAATTTGGCGATTTGGTCGTTCGTTGGACAAATGCTGATGCTTGTTTAAAAAAATCTAAGTTGGTATTCATTGACATTTGAGTTGGTCGCGGTGAAAAGTTAAATTTCGGTTGCAGTAATAAAGATGAATTGAGGAATGACGAAAACATCGGATGATGTGGAAAGAATGATGGTGGTGGAAAGAACATATTGCCTGTTGTAGTCGGCGGCGGCGGTGGCAAGAAATTCGATAGGGATAAATTTGATGGGTTCTTTTCATCATCTTGTTTCAGACGTTTGGCTAGTTGTTGGCAATCGTCATGATCCGACGTTGTTGAATGTTGACTTTGCCCGTCGTCGTCATCATCGTCATCGTCATCGCCACGAATGGAAGTTTTCTTCATCGTTGATGCCGATGATACAGATGAACAAGTAGAATGATGGTCGCTCGTTTTTGTTCCTACTGCTGCTGCTGTTGGAGGAGGAGCGAGATCCATCATTGAACGAGCTTGATCGCGATCGCGTTTTTTATATGGATTGATTAAAGTAACACCTTTGCCGCCAGCTGCGTGTGCACGATCCCAGTGTTTAGCTAAATCCCAACGCCATTTGTAAGTCAATGAACAAACTAAACATTTGAATGGACGAGAGGTCGAATGCGATGCGGCATGCTTTTGAAGTTCTGTTGGCCAACGACCAACAAAGTCACATTGAATACATTTTAATGGATTAACAGGATCACTCAAGTTCCATTCTTCGTTTTGTTGAGCAACATTCGTATTTCGTGGTGGCGATTTGCCAGCGATTTCGTTTTCTAATTCGGGTAAGTGATTCTTCAGAAAATGTTCGTTAATCGATTCCACAGCAAGAAAACGTTGTTCACATATGGAACATATGAAGACTTTTTGTCCATAAGGATTCGGTGGACTGGACGAGGATGCATGTTCCGAATGACTTTCGTCGTCACTCTCATTTTGATTATAATTCGAACTATCACGTTGTTCATCATCACTACTATTGCTATTACGATGTAGTTTTTTAGCTGGAGGATTCAATTCAGATTGAATTGGTGATGATGATGATTTCTTGTGAGATTTAATTGTTAAATCTAATGGAGCATTTAACGATTGCTCATTGGTTGTTGTTGAAGGAAACATCTGTTGAAAATCACCGCGTGTGGTGAGATTTAACCAGTATGGATTGAATGGAAATGCAGGATGATGAGTTTGAGAAGGTGGTGGAGCGGGAAGATTCATGGATGTATGTGGAAGCATCTCACTGACTCGATTAGCTGGTTTCAATTGAATGGCTGCACTTGATGTCGATGATTTTGGTGGACGAATAGTAACTGGCGCGTCAAGTGGAGGTGGACTTTCGTCGTTATGTTTTTCTTTCCAATGTTTATTCAAACTTTTTCTCCATTTGTATAAATTACCACATAATGAACAGGCAAATTTGACTAAAGGAAAACGAACGCTTGACTCAATGTCATCTTGTGAGATCAGTTAACTTACTAGCACTAGCATCGTCTGGATCGGGCACACGACGGTATCTCGCAGGATCGACAGAGACGTTGTACGGACGTTTTCGATCAGGAGCAGCGAGTGTTTGTTGTGTTGTAGTTGAATGCGATGAAGTGACGGATAGATTAAGTTTCTTGTTTGTGCTAGCTGAAGGATTCTATACGAGAAGAGAGAAAGAATAATAGAGAGAGAGAAAAGAGAGAAGAGAATCGTGAGTACGGATTGGCTGATGAAAGAGTGAAAGTGAGAAGGCGCGCGCAAGAGAGAGAGAAAGAGATCACTGGCATCTTTTTTTATGAGTGCCCAATAATAACAACCATGACCGAAAAAAAATGATCTTTCGAGCAGGTGTCAGTGAGCAGAAAAAAAGAAAACAGAACTATTTCTGATTGTTAGAGCCTTCTACACGAATCAAATGAAAGAAAAATATCTCATGATATAGTGTTAAAATAGAATTACATGCGTGAGCGCAAGTTCTCATATTCTCAAGAGAAGAAGACATTTAGAGAAAACGGAGAGACGCGTGTGTGTGTATTTTATCATTGAAACATCATCGTTTTAATCGAAAAAAATGCTCTGTGCACCTGCGAATGATAAGAAAATGAATTGATCTGTTCACATTCTGTTTTACTTGTTGTGTTGTTTTATTATTTTAACGATGAAGAAGACAGAATAAAAACGAAAGGTTTCACACATCATTACTGATTTTCTCTCTCGTGCGAGAAATTAAAAATTCACTTCAGATTAGTGTTCTGACATGGACACATAAAAATTTGATCCATTTTTATGATCTCGAATGGAAGTAATTAATCAAACGCTTCTGCTGAATGCGATTGAAAAATGAAACTTTTGAAATATGCATAAAATCAGAGTTCTAATCCGATGAAGTTTTTTTATGCAAATCTCTTGTAATAGTAACTGTCTGACTGCTGTTTTTCTTTTTCTTTTTTACTTGAAAAGAAAGCGAGACATTTGCATTCACGGGGAAGAATGATAATTATCATAAAGGTTTGTTTCGTTCGCTGTTCGGTGATGTCATGAAGAAATTTCTTGTTTCGAACGACTAAAGATCAAACAAGAAGATCGAGAAAAGGCAACTGATGTCGATATACTTAACGACGATCAGTTTTCAAGTGGATATATGGTAAAACAAGTGTCAACTTCAATCAGAAGATCAAGTGAAGAAAGATATTTAATATCCGATCAAGTCTTTTCTTCGACACAGAAGTTCACGTTTTTTTCTTCTCCTCTCTTCTTGAGAGAAAGATTATAATTGAAATCAATTTATGCAGGATTCAATTCATATCGAATTCGCTTATCTTGCGTACGGTTGTTTCTTTCGTAAGAAGAAAACAAGTCGATATGTTACTATTATCTCTTAAACGAATGATTTCAATTACGAGAAACTCAATACGATAAAAAAAGAAAGAAAGGATTTTGTCGATTACACGCTTCTTCTGTATTAGTATACATTAATATATTCACGTCTATTGGAAGCATTTTTCTCGATCGAACATGCGAATTCGATTGATAATGTGACGCGCAGAATGATTTGCTTACTTGTTCGTCATCGGAAATTTGTTCATCATTTTCGAAGATCATGGAATTTTGTTCTTTTGTATAAATATTGATAGAATCGTCATCTTCTATCTCAGCTTCAGATTCCACATGTCGGCCATTCGAGGATAAACTCGATTTGACTGTTGTCGCTGTCGCCGGTACGGTTGACGACGATGATGATGATGACGCTGCTGTCAATGGTTGATTGTTTGTTCTGAGAAAATCATATAAGAAATTAATCAAACGACTTTTTACATGGAATGAAAGATTCTTACTGATGAGAATTTAAATGTAGTTGATATTCAAATGAAGACAGTGAATAGTATCGACAGATATCACACAGAAAGACTTGCTCTTGTCTATGCTCGAATTTCATATGGGTTTTAAATTCGTTAATAATTGATGAAGAAAAGTCACATTCTTCACATTGACGAACAAGTCGAGAACGTGGAGCTAGTTGTTTTCGTCTAAAGATTGAAATTATTTATCAGAATTTTTCAAACAGAAATATTCGACTTGATTGCTAAATAGTATACCTTGTAAAGCTATAATTATCTCATGGTTTGATTTTCAATTAGACTGGCAAGAGTCATAAATGTACTCAAATTCATAACTGTTATCTTTATAGATGTCGTCAGACGTAGTGTCCAGAAAAAAAAGAACTTCTTGTCGTTAAAGTTCTTCCGATTGACTTTACTCGTCATTTCGAGTGAAAATGGATGTACAGTAATAGTTAAAATACTTCGAGCCTGAATACAGCTGCATTCGAACTTTCCAGGTACATTTTTGTGTTCCTGTGTGGTTATAACTATTACCTGCTACTTCTACCGGTTGTTTCTCCATGTATCAGTTTCTGCATATTGTTTTGGCTGCCATTGTTATTATTTGAATTCGACTTGTCCGATTGAGCATCACAATCACTGGAATAAACAAAGAGAATATATCAGCATAACACTTGTCTAACACATTATCAGTATTGTTGTTGATATCATATCTTATTTAGGTAATGATCAACAGAAAAGGAAGAGAGATCCTCGTATGAAGGCAAAGGTGTTGTTGAATTTTCAAGATTGAATGTTTATTTAACATACATTCGTTTGATCAAAGATGAAACATTCGAAGCTTCTCCCTTTTTATTTGCTTTTTTTTCGGAAACATTTAAATCTGATGGACGAAAACAATAGTAAAATGAAAGATTTTAATCTTTTCACATCAACAGTCATTAAGCCCAACGGCGGCAGAGACACCGATGAAGCAGACACATTCACATGTAGAGAGGTCGATTGAATCAAATGATAATTCATATGGTCAGACATCGACCAGGCATGACATTAGACTTTACNACACACGCGATCTGATTCTTTGCAAACAAATGAAGAGAAAATGACAGTAGAAATAGAAGAAGAAAAATCCCTCCAATACATAAGAAGCATTGTTGCACATTCAAGGGATTGACAATGAGATGTTGGAGTAAAAGAAGAGGTTGATTATGGTGGGAGGAAGCAAAGGCAATGTTCAGAGTAAATGTATGTGTACTCTGCCGGTCGGAATTTTCTTCGTTGTATTATGTCAACAATTAGAAGAGAAAAAAAGACGAAGGAAAAAAAGGAAAAGAAAGAAGACACAAACGAACGAAAAGAATCATCATCAGATGATCATATCTTCGTTGCCGACGACGTCTTCTAAAGCTTGACATTTTTCGTAGCAGACACGTTCTTGGGAAGAAGCGTATATATAAATACGGTAAAGAAGACACAAAAAGAAAAGAAAAAGGACTGCGAAAAAAGGTCAGAGATTATGGAAGAAAACGAACGAAAAGGATTATTCCTTCTTGTTCTACTTCAACACGAACGTTGTCTATCATACCGAAAAGGGGAAGGATGTCAATTCCAAGAAGGACTATTCCGAATGTTTACATTCAGATTTACTCTGCTAACGAAAACGTAGTGAGTAAACAGAGAGAAGAAGGAGATTACTGCGAAGGAATTTTGCATGCGTTGTCTTTATTTATGGCAAGACGAAAAAAAAAAGAGAAACAGAAGGACACTGCCAGAGATAATCGAATTTTACGAGCGTTATATAGCGAAAAAAATGAATACGAGAGAGAGAGAGAAAGAGAATTGTGTGGCACATGGAACTTCTTGTTGTTGACATAAGAAGGCAGTCAGGCAGCAGTTATAGACTGATAAATGGTCTTATCTTTCGGGTGCTGAAGCGGGCAGCACCACAAACGTCTCACATATACACACATACATGCACTTCAAATCTTTTTCATTTTAAAAACAGAACGAGAGAGAGAGAGAGAAAGAAGGAAAGATCATAAAAGTGGTGGAATTCGAAAGAGATTAGAATTGACGCATCCACTTTAAAATCTACTTGAACATAATGATAGTCCGAAAAGAAGAAACGAATTTCTTTAAAAGAATTTATTTGCCAATATCTACTAACTGAAGACATGTTTCGTCAATGTTGACTTAGCAAGGATCGAGGCAATGATATACATCTACCGTTGTTCTGTGTTCTGTCGCTTTTCACGTGTTTTAACCGAATATAAATACACTGGCATTGTTTTTTTCTTATTATTAGACGAAAGTATAAAAAAGAATTGCTGGCTGAAGAATGTTGACGAAAACACGTCGTATGTTTCGTTTCTTGTTTGATGAACATTCAATTAATTTCCCACCTGCAGATCGTTTTCGTTTCAATTAAGTAATATATGCATTTGATGATGATTATCTGTGCTTCGATCAAATTTCATTCGTTATTTTCTTGAAAGTGAGCCATTCGATCGAAACATGTTCCTGACATATCAAAGTCAATAGTTCGTGTAATCATTCTATGAAAAAGCCTATTTTATTTTATTAATTAACAGGTAATCAGCAATATTTCGTAACGAAGATGTATATGATAAGCATAATTAGGAAAAATTCGAGACTAGGAAGCAAAAAAGAAATCACCTTTCTCACGGAATGTGACGCGGAGAGAAAAATATCATTCGTATGTGTTTTCGTTAGGAGTTATACGGCCTACTAGAAGCGTCAATTTGCGTGTGTAGCCCTCGAAAGTAAAATTTCAATTACATTAAGTCTCTTGCGATCGTTGATCGAGAATTGATTCTGACGTATTCTGACGCGATGTTTGACGTTTTTGATTCCGTCGAAATATACTTCGAATTTTCGGTGTGATGCACGCGAGCACGATCGTTGTAAGCGTCAAATCAATGGATATGTTCAACAGTTGAATATCATAAACAAACGACGTTAAATAGCCAGTAATTATATAGATAAATAATATAACTAACGATGGAATACCAACGAGGATTAAGCAGAACAGAAGAATAAGAGTACGTCTGATAACTATCATATTTCGTTGATTCGCTTTGCGTCGTTTTCGATGAAGAGGACTGGTTTGTTGAACATACCGAATAATGTAAGTATAAATAATAATGATGATCAAAAGAGGTTCGATATAGATAGTAAAAGCTGCTAAAAACATGCCTCGAAGGTTTTTGAACGAAATCCAACAATTATAGTCGAAGGGTTGATATTGAAAATCGTTGAACAATATATGCGGAGCAATGAATATTAAGGATAATAGCCATTGCAAAAGAATGGCAATATGAAAAACTTTCTTTGATTGTAAGATTTTCTTGCGATAGAAAACAACGCGAAACAGACGAAAGATTGCTTGAAGAACAAACGAATGAAAAAATGAGCAGAAACAAACGTGAGTTAAATACGCACGCATTTGACACCAACGGTCAAAAAATGATGTCGAAGGGTGAGCATGGCCATAAATGTTCCGTATAACAATATCAAACAATGTTAAAGAAAAGATGATGATTGAAAGGTAAGTATTGCATGTTAAAAGAAGCGAAACATTCGACAGCGATAGACGTTTGAAGAAGAATATCAACAGAAGGATGACAAATGATATAAAACAACTCAATGAAATGAATGATAGATTAATACTATTCAAAATCAATGACAATGGCATCATGTCTGTGAGCATCACTCTCATCTGAAATGCGACGACAGTTTGGAAATTTCTCACCGAACAGTGACGGTCTTTCTTTCTTATACTATGAATATAGTAGAAATAATCAGATTCCTACCAGACGTCTATGGTGTGTGTCAGTACGAAAAGAACATCGAGAAAAAAGTGTAAGGAACACAAGTTCTAGTTCTGCTTAATAACAATTCTACAGTGTGGGCTGAACCAAAACGAACGATGGCGGGGTCTGGCTGTTTTCAGAATAATTTAATCGGCTTCTACTTATTTAAGTAGAGAATATTAGCTTAATAATTAACGTTCCATTGATCAACCTTTTCATGTATACTCTTTAAGTAGAGCTTCTGGTATTTCAGAACTAAGACTACAAATTTTCTCTGTCTAGTGATGAACGTTAGCCTTGCAGTTATAAACAAGAATTCTATTATCGATCAGAGATTAGCACTTGATGAAAAGTATGATCAGACCACTCATTATTCCAAAAAGTAGACATGAGCTTCATTATATTCATGGCTGCAAATTCTTTCTGAAATATTTGCTAGCTGAAAACATGTTTCTTTTCTCGTTGATCGAAACTGAACGTTCTTCAGACTTTGTAGGTCACATTCTAACTCGTACTAGATTGAGGACAATCATTTTCTATAGTAGAGTCTTCATTGTTACCCAAAATAGCAGTCTCTTATTTTCTTATTAATTGACATGAAGAGTATTTGAGAAAGCCATGTTTATTTACTCATATTGTCTACTATCATTGTACTTCAGACCGTGGGGTTCAAAATTTTTACCAGAAACATGCTCCAATTCTACAGATTCTTCGGTTATAATCAAGCAAACCATATATCTATCATGCTCCTGTTCAAACTTTCTTCGCTAATCTGAGATTGACTCGTATTCTGTGAGTTTCATGTGAAGACGTTCTTAAAGATCAAGCGAGTCTCTCTCTTGTTTTTTTCGAATAAAAAAAATTTAAGACAGAATTTTCTTTTGCGGTGTTCCCATTTTATATATATTGAAATCATCTTTCCCTTCATACAATCGTTCGAAGGAATAGACTGTATCATTTGACGGGACTAGCTCGGTTAAACCAAAATTTTCATCGGAAAATGAAAGTAAACCGATAGCATCTTTTGTTTGGATTAAACCAATTCGAAATAGATATTGTTGATCCCATGGTTCTGTGTTGGTTGAACTTGTGACGTAAATGTACTCTTCATCTGCACAGAGATTATTTGGGATTTGTTCGAGCATTTTAGGATAATCGGGAAACAACTGACGTAAATTAAATTCTAGAGTTACATGACGAGTGTAAAGATTATAGATGAAAAGATTTGTTTCATCATCGATAGCAGCAATGCATGTTGAATTAATCGTGTCTAAATGAAATGATAAAGCTTTTGAGAGAAAATCTAAAGATATTTCTGATAGATATTTGTTGATTTCCCATGAAGTAGATGAACTGATGTTCAAAGTGTATGCTACGTATCCATCAAATAAGAAAAATAATTGTGATGGTTCATTGGGAGATGGACTCGGTAATAACCAATTACCATAGGAATTGTTCGATGGCAGCCGACCATCTATTATCTTAGGTTTACTCAGTTCATTGGTAGTTAGATCCCTAGAAATGACAATGAAACATTGTACAGATTAAACCGCAAACTCAACATACCATTGCCAAAGATTTGCTATGATTTTATTCTTTTCTGGTATAGCTTGTATCCATACAAATTTAGTAAATGTTTGGAAAGAGAAAAGTCGTTGCATATTCTCGTTGATTGTCATCGAGCGTAGATCAATTCCTTGCAAGAATGTTCCTCCTTCGGGTTTATAAGGATTTTCAATGAAACCGACAAATAAAAAATCGTCCGTAAATGGAAGAAGAAAGAACTGTTGTCGCCAAATTGTATCATTATAATGATAGGGTAAAATGCATCGACCAACTGGAAGCATAGTCGATGTATTTAATTTTACCAATTGATACGGTTCCTCGTATGTATAAAGTAAATAAATGAATGTTCGATTCGAAGAGAGACCACCGATGTCATTGATATATGAAATTGATTCATTAACAGTGATCAAAATTTCGAAATTGTTATTTGCAAAACTAGCAGAGATAAGAAAACAAAAGCAAATTAGTGCTACCGAATTCATCTTGCCAAACGCACAATGATCGTGCTTATCTTTTTTCAACTTTCGAATAGATAACAATGTGTGTGTGTATAAAACGTGTCGAAGACCGTGTAATTGATCTAAATAACCACCAAAAGACTCGTTCTGTCAAACCATTAATTGAATATTACAGTCGTTTGGAGAGATCTGACGATGATATAAATAGGCATTTCCTTTCTTAGAGAAGAATGCATCCATATGAATACTCAAAACACCTAAGAGATGTTTTCGAAACATCAAGGAAGACATCGCTTGAGTAGAACTGATACACAGAATTCTAAGAATAAACACCGTTACATCAATTTATCACAACGAACGATGAACCCGTCGTTACCTATTATTTCATCATCGATATGCATTCGTACGTCTTCAAAGAACTAAATGAGTACAATCCGTTACTATATTGAGAATTAGCTAGTCTATGTTCGTTTCGATTCAATGATGACTAATTCGCAGATTTTCAATCATTATCCTTCGGGCATAAGCTACTTATATGTTTCCGTCTTACGCGAAACGATCCTATTCACTCTCGACAATCTCTTGAAAGGTTTTCTTGTCATTTTCTTTCCCTATCTATCGCTCATATAAAATCAACAGTCATTTACACATAATCAGAATGGAAGATCATTGTCATTTTTGTTTCTTCTTTCGCATCTTGTGACATCGAAGAAAACAGATTTACAAATATCGATGGACGTCGAAAGAGTGACGTGTCATTAGTGATGAGTAGACTATCAGATTGATTCTTTCTTATTTTGTGCTGTTGCTCCTGCTGCTACTATTATTGTTGTTGTTGTTGTTGTTGTTTGAGACGAACATCAACATCATCGTTTTCTCAGCGTTACTCTATACTTTTTCATCGGAACCCTGCGGCCTGTCAGCCAATTTTTTTTTCGACATATAATGAATGAACAAAAAGGGAGTGATGATGTTGACGGAATAGATCCAAATGCAAAACGACTCATATAGACGGCGACGAAGAAAAAGAAGAAGCAGCATGAACATGAAGAAAATGACTAAAATCAGATTCTTTTTCAGTACAGACGTCGAGTAACATGATGCGAATGACAAGCGAATGAACATTATTTAAGACAATTTACTTTTCAAAACAATGAGTAACTTGACGGTTACAAATTCGACTTTCAACGAAGGTTTTTATATCTCTAGTTTGCCTCTATTTGTACAAGTGAGAAACATTGCCTTCTTCTCTCACTTACATATTCCAGTTTTCCTCATTTTCAGTGTATCTTTTTATTCTTATTTGCTATTGTTGTCCTATTAGCTGTCTGTGGAAATAGTATTGTTATTTGGATTGTTCTTGCACATCGTCGTATGAGAACGCCGACGAATTATTTTCTTGTTAATCTTGCTTACGCGGATGTACTCAACGCACTTTTCAACATTCCGTTCAATGGCTACTATATGGTAGCTCAAACTTTTTGGCCGTTCGGAAGTATCATGTGCGTGCTAGTACAAGCTGTTTCTCATATATCCATCGCTGCCAATGTTCTCACATATGTGGCTATTAGTTTAGACAGGTAAGACAACGCTCTCGATGAAGTTAATTCTCATCTAATTGTTAGATATTCGGCAATTATTCATCCGTTGCGTACAAAACTAACTCATACACAAACGATTATGATCATCTGTGGTATATGGATCATGTCTTTACTTGTCTCATCCCCAGCGATTCGATCATTCAGTACAGTCAAATATGATTGCAAAATCGACGATATTGAAAGTCATAAAAAGTAAAGAATAAGCTTGCTTGATTTGCATGGATGACTAGGCTTTAATCAGGTTCGAATGGATCTTCTTTTGCGTGACTTACATATGCCCAATTATGATTCTAACAATTACTTATATGCGAATAGCAGTAGAACTTTGGGGACAAACTGGTATGTGCCGACCGTTATGCTATAATGGATGATCGAATTGAAATTTTTTTTCTAGCTATTGGAGAAGTAACAGCACGTCAACGAGATTCCATTCGATCGAAACGAAAAGTAGTTAAAATGCTCATCGCTGTCGTGCTGATCTTTGGAATTTGTTGGTAAGTGACGAGAAAACATGAGATAATCTCTCGGTTGCTATTGCTTTTCGGTTTCAGGTTTCCTCAACAATTATATTTCATCCTCGTTTCGATCTATGAAACTATTCCACAATGGCCGGGTACGCCCTACGTTTATCTTATTTCGTATTTCTTTGCCATGAGCAATTCAATGTACAACCCCTTTCTCTATTGTTCCATGAATAATCGGTAAAACAACATGTACCCTTCGTTAACTTAACTTATGCGAATGTTTAGATTTCGAAATGGTTTTCGTAGTGCATTTCGCTGTTGCCCGTGTGTCAAGTGGTCGCCTGAATATGCCACCGTAGGTCATGTTTCCTGTCGCAGTGGATCTGAACCAACAGCGCTCAGTACACTCTACTCATCTCAGCGTAAAAGTCGAACAGTTGGTTCAGCAAATTCTCCGCAACAATCGATTGTTACAGAATTGTCTGTCAATTTCACTCGACATCCACGACAATACGAAACAAAAAATTAACACTTTTTTTTTCTTGCTGCATAATGGACATTTTTTTTTATTGATGTTGTCAAAGAAAATAACAGGAACAGTAAATATAGAGACATTAGAATTCAGTATGATTTTGCAAAAATAGAACGAAGGAAAAGTTGATATTTGATCTGTTGTTTATTGGAGCCAATTACCATTAAGTCGAGCAAGAAGACGTGTCCAATGATTATCTGTCTTCTGCGCTGATGTTGATTGACGATCGGGAATGAAATCAGAAAAATAGTTGTTTGACTCAGCTCTGTTTTCGCGACGACTTAACGAATCGGTTTTCTCCTAAAACGACACCATATTGTTGCCATGCCGATCCGAAATGGTTTCTTTTCCTTACGCTGCGTTCATTTTGTACGGTGTTGTAATCGTCGTTGTACACTCGCGATCCAGCTTGTAAATGATGAGGTGTAGTAGGTGTACCATGAAGAACTAAACGGAAGCTCTCCAAGAAACCATAATTATCAGGATCATCGGTCTAAATCAATGACATACAGATACAGATCTGAAAATATAATTAAAACCATACATCATCCGCAATTTCAATAGCCCATACACCATTGGGATTCTCTCCCCAATTATGTACACTCATGAATGGCCAGTCTATAAATCCTTCTGTAGATTTATCTTGTTCACGTGCAGATAACAACGTCGTTTGGGTACCTAAATCAGAAGTTATGTCTCGAGAAACACACACGCACACACGTTGTCCATCTCTACCCTGTGGACTAGTTATATTGATATTCAATGCACCACGACTTGTATAACTAATTGTGACGTAAAGTTCGATATGTTCAAGAAAACGAATAACATTATGCTCCCCTTCACAACCAGTTACTTGGAAATCTAAGACGACTGGATGTTTATTGGCTATTTTTCTTTAATGAAAACAAGTCGAAAGTTTGGTGTGTTAACGTTAGTTTAACTTACTGAGCTTGAAGATTCACTGGTTGAATCTCACAGAAGCTTTTCTTGGGCACTGTGACCCAGTCTTTAGCTGCCTCTGTCAACGCTGCTGCATTAAGAAGACCAAAGCCAAATCGACTGTTAACCTTAAAAAAAATGTCACCCGTCGCTTTTTTCATTATAGTATGAGCATGATTAACAGTGACGCATAGAAAGTACGCATGCATTCCAGAGACATTCTTTTCTTTACATTGTCTGAACAATTATTGATGATAGTCTCAGTGCAAATCTTTTCAGGTGCAAGAACTGATTAGTCTTTTAATGTCATAGATAGGAGCTGTCGATTCATAAAAACAAATATTTTATATTAGCAAAACCATTTCCATCTGATGCGATGTGCCTATGTAAAGAACTTATCTTAACTAAAGAAAGTTTTATCTAATAAGTTGCCATAAGGTATGCACAACAAAGCGGAATAATCAAAGGAGCGAACCGGCAGTTATTTTTGACTCTGATGCATCGGTAGCAAATTGAACGGTAAGAAATAATTTATAACATACTTTAAAGCCGGCGCCATTTGTTGTCCAACCAGGATTGTGTGATAGTGGAGCATATTCCGAAGTCCATGCAACTAGATGTTGAACGTCACGCCATGTCAATTTCGGACTTGAATTATTTAAATAAAAGTGTGAATTTTCGAACAGAAAGAATATATAAATTAGTTACTTTGCTTCCAGGACTAGTGCAAATATGCCAGCTGCTAATGGTGCTGATGCTAAAACATGACATTGATTTAAACGGATACTGAAGTAAGTATACATACCTGATGTTCCCGTATGATCGTCTGTACATGAATCATACAGATCTGTTGTTGTCTGTATGAGTAAAATTCAATTTCAAAAAGGCAGGAAAAAACATTTCCTCTAACATACCACTTTCTGATCTTCATAAGCTCCAGATGAATAGGTTGTTGCCATCGTACTAGGACAATGTTCTGCATACCATGGCGATTGTTGATGTTCGGATACTGATGAAATCGATATTGTATAGATTGAGCCGGTGTAACCATCACAGCTAGATGTATATGAAGTTTTACAAAAATTCGTGATAGATAATCGAACTAACTTGCAGTTGTCTTGTCGTCGTCCGCCATTTCCCGATGCCCAAACATAGATAGCACCCTTTCCATTTCGACCTTCAGTAACGCCTTTAACAAAAGCAGCAGCCGTTAAAGTACCTGGACCTTCTACCTAAGAAAGACGTTCGATTTTTATCAAATCCTATCCGTTGTCCTTACTGTTCGTCCATCATCATTTGGTCCCCACGAAGCAGAATAGATATCCACATAATTATGATTAAATGTAATTGCTTCAGCTTCCACTCGATCGGTAACATGTCCATCTAACATTCGAATACCGCCAACTTTTGCATTATATCTAAACAATCATATAATAAACTATTCTTCTCAGACAACAATCTCGTTACTGACGCTATACCAACACCACAAAAAGAATTATTAGCAACCATTGCAATTTCACCTGCACATCGAGTTCCATGTCTAGAATGAAAATTCTCTGCATATCCTTATGTTACATAGAGCCCAGCTAACCTATTCTCATTTGATGAGTCATATCGAGGAGATGGATCAGGATCATTATCGTTCAAATCATAACTTGCTTGCGGGTCGTAGTTTGCCAATATATCCGAATTATTCCATTCAAGACCATCGTCAAGTGTTGTAATCTTGATACCTTTGCCCGTATAACCTGCAGCCCATGTCGGTAAAACATGTAAATCAAGTTTGGGTAAACGATTTGCATTTTCTAATCGTGTGTCTTTCTACAATCGGCGAAATTAAATATGGAATAGCATAGGAGTTGAATACTTACTAGGTACCATTCTTTGTTCCATTTCGGATCTGAAAAGGCAACTGATCGATAGACTCGATCTTCCTGTGCCCGTTTGTCGACATAGTCTCGTTTCACTCGATTGCGAGACTGTTGCTGTTCTGCCCAAGAAACTTTTTCATGTTTATTAAGTAGATTGGTTAAATCCGTTGTAGCACGTTTCGATCGTCGAGGAACGAACGGGTGCACAAATAAATAGTAATTGTCAAAAATCTAACGAACAAAAACAAAAACTCTTCTCTAATTAAGACAAGAACAATGCTTTCCAACCTTTCGTTCGTTTTTCACACCAAGTTCACTTGCTACCAGATCGGCAATATCATCTCCTTCATCGATTCGAACAACCCATTCATTCGCATGTTCCGGAATGAATTGTACATCGATATTATCTTCCACGGTGGCAAAAGAAATATGTATAAAGCATAGGAATCCAAAGCAAAGAAGAACAAGGGTAAAAAATATTTCCATCGGCATTCTGTTCGAAGTAAAATATTCAAAATGTCATGTAATTCTTTCTTATTTTATACTTTGATATCACAGTTTTCTTTTCCCCGAAGAACGAGATTGTTAGTTTTTGTTGCTTTTTCTCTCTTGAGTTCTTCCTTTCTCACGTCCGTTGATATACCGAATGACGTCAACATTTTCTGTAATCGAGATGATAAAACAACAACTTAATGATTTTCACACTTTATTCACATATAATCAGAGCATTATTCTTTTATCAAACACACAATTCTGTAGATTTAATACACTCTTTTCATCAGAATTATATTTACATAGCCAAAAAGAAAAGCAATGACGATCGTTTGTTACCTAGTAAACAAAAAAAACTACGTATGATAGCGAGTCGTGCTCCGCATGAATAATCACTTCGAAAACTAAACGCCACACAAAGCATGAAGGCAGACACAGAGGAGCAACGCATGCAAGGCGAAGTGAATGAGTTCAAAAAACAAGTGACACCAGAGATCGTTCTTTCGGCAATTTTTACTTCTGTTTTAATTTTTCTAAGTTTATACGACTATTTACCATGGAAAATAGCTGACAATCAACATAAAAACCAGCTTTCATTCAAACGTCGTTGCATATTTACATTACAACTGGTATTTTTCGATATTTTACCATTACTGATATGCATTGTCATCGTTTTCAATCGTCGACGACAAACCTATGCGATCAATCCAATGGATCCACGAGGAGAAGAATCTGTGCGAGCTTTGAAAGGGATTCTACAAAACACCCTTGAACAGTTCATTGTTAAAGTGACACTTTCGTTTCTTCTCAGTATTGCTCTCTATTCCAATGAATTGATGCTACTACCAACATTTACTTTTCTCTTCCTTCTCGGACGACTCACTTTTGCATTTGGATATCCTGTTCATCGATCTTTCGGTATGACAATGAATTTTCTCAGTGTTATTCTTGTTACATGCCTAATCACCTATCGACTTCTGTTTCGACCTGTTCTATTCTCGCGATATATTTATTGGAAATCAAATTAGACAAGATTCTCATCAAACATATCATCACTGTTATTTAAACTCGCTAATTTGGAACTCACATCTAGGACGCTCAAGGATTCATCGTCAATACCTTCATCGAGACTGCTGTGTGTTTCGTCATAATCATCTTCATCTTCATCATTCAAATATACACCGTGTTTGTGTAAATCGCATATCAAATTTGTTAATAATAATCTAAATCAGCACGAATTATTCGAAATTTTCGTTTAGATAGAGCAATGTCATCCTACCGTTTGGATCGAATGTTTTTCATGATGGATTCGGATAGAATTAAATATGTGTTGTACGTATTCAAATTATTCGATGTTGGACTATTGTTCAACTCAGTCAAAGCCTGTTTGACATGTTCTTCTAAAAAATAAGAGAAATGACAAATGTTCCCTTCGTTTGATGTCAACGTACTGATCTGAAAATATTCGTCAACGTATTGATTATGTTCATTTTCTACTTGTCGAATTTGTTGAAGAAGCTCAGCAATGTTTTGCGCCATGATCATTTGATTTGATGCAATGACTCGAATGTTTACCCTATATATGCATTTCTTCACAGAGAGAGAGAAAGAGGAAAAGGTGTGAATGACCGGCATGAATTGAAAATGAGTTGCATTGTAATCCGGAAGACAAGCTGCGCTTTGAACTTCTTCGCATTTTCAGCTGTTCTGACTGCTGATCTAATCGATGAATGATGCATAAAGAAAAAGTCGTATATAATTGCGAAAGCCGCCTTTGATACTCATTTATTAATTAGTTGTGAACATAGAATAGAGAACAGATTTGATTAATGATAATGAGAATCAGCAGAAAGTTCATCTGTTTGAAAAAGAATATTTCTTGAGTAAGTTCGTACACAAATTCGAATGCATAGAGAATCATTTTATTTGCAAAAGTTTCAGTTATCCAACACGTCTACCTTTAGGAAAGGTAGGATCAATCATACCGAAGCTAACAGTATGCAAGTGCGTATCAGTTCTAGCATCAGCTGGATGAAATGATGGATCTAAATATCTTCCGAGTTCACGAACGAAGTCTCGACAATTTCTTTTCATAGCATGATAAGTCTGAGCGGAATAATCGCTCTTCATAGTATTTACTTTTTGAATAATTTGATTGAAAGTTTTTGTAGTAGAAAATCTATCATCATAGCGAACCTCGCAGTCATTTCCCATTATTGTACCACAGACCATTGTGATGCCTCGCTCTTTCGGAAAATATTGAATAACAATTCCTTCTGCGCCATACTCGATTAGACTATAAAAGGTTTCGCCTTTAAGTAGCCATGCCCAATGTTTTTGGTTGAGAGCACTTCGGATAGCGCGTCCGAGAAATTCAATCTGGACAGGTGATCTCATTTCTCGCCATCCAGGAATGCGTTGATCGAGATTCTCTTCATCCAAAAAGATAATAACATCATTGTGAGGTGCACGAGGATCAGAAGCACCACCCAAAATTCGACGTGAGGTTTCTGTTAACGAGCCAACTGTGCGGGATACCAATCCTGATGATGAGTTTGAACCCATAGTTGTTTACTGCTGCCTAGAATAGAAATTATTTTCATATTTCGACTCGATATGAAGATTGCGTTCATCGTGCTTAAAAAAATTACATCACCATATCTGTATGAAGAAATGACGAAAAACAACACGTATACACGTATTGATCCGATGATGAAAATAATTATTATAATTTTTCATAGTTTTCAATGAAACGTTTCGACTGTATAAGAATTGAAGTGTGGATTGGGATTTTTCCAAGTGGAGGGTATAGAATAAAACAAGCCAATGTTCCTAGATAACTCTCTAACGCTATTCATCCAGTGACGACGTGATGGTTTTTTCCTCTTGTATGAGTCATATCGTCTGTTGTTTTTTTCCTTGCTTGGAATCGTATATAACGTAACGTATTACTTCTTTCTTTCCTGCCGTCGCATCATTTTAACCTTAGTTTATCGCTTTAGTTACCCTTTTGTATCTTGTGTCATTTTTTCGTCTGCAGATTTGAATTATATCATTGGAATAGATCATCATTCGAGTCGCAGTTTTATATCATAAGTAAAAGAAGTTAGTTTGAAATATAATCATTCATTTTCTAGACTTTTTTATTCATAGAAGGGATCCAATGCAGGCGATACTTCGACATATTCTCTTTCCAGCGCCTTATCCACCTTTTCCTATATCGGACTCTGATAAAGACAAGGTGTTCTGGTTGCCAAATAACACAAATTCATCGCCTGTGCCATGCATACTTTTCTCACCTGAAGGCCCAGCAAAGTACTTTTTTATTTGGTGTCATGGAAATGGTGGTGATATGGGTAGTATGAGTTATACAGTAAAAACAATAAGTCACGAACTTAAAGCACATGCACTTATGTTCGAATATCCCGCCTATGGTCTGTTATCTGGTTCACGAGTGGCGCCAAGTCAAGAGTCGATAAATGATCATGCTGAACGTGCGTATTTATTCGTCCGTGATACACTCAAATGGCCAACCGATCGAATTATTCTCTATGGACATTCGATTGGAAGTGGACCTGCTTGTCATCTTGCTTCAAGGGAACCAGTTGGTGCACTTATTCTACAATCACCGTATACATCTATTCGAAAACTCATTGAAAATAAAGTTCATTGGGTTCCTGATTGGATGAACATCCCATTTTGGAATAATGAAGAAACTATGGAAAGGGTAACCTGTCCCGTACTTTTCATGCATGGACAACGAGATCGTTTGGTCCCATCAGAACAATCACAGACGTTGCACGACGGATTAAAACATGAAAAGAGGAAGTTGGAGTGGTCTCCTGATGATGATCACAATTCAATTAGCGACTCATTTATATCACAAAAAGTTAAAGATTTCCTCGATCATTATTTTAAAGATCCAACAGAACCTCTGCCGGATGTGAGAATTGATTCGCAATGGCGCGAGACACCACCCAATGTGCAAAGTGGTGGTTCATTTCCATTGCTTCCATTTCTGATCAACGCTTCAGTCAATCTCTCAAGAGGAGCATCTCGTGTATCTGGCTCACGGCGTCCTGATGACCAACAATAAACATCGTATGATTTGTGTGTTTCTTGAAAGCGTTTTATATACGCCAGAAATTACTGGAGAAATATAGTTTGCTTCGCTTTTTCAAGTTTTCAAAAAAATTTATCATCAATAATCTAACGAGTAACAGGCATGAGAAGATCATATTCTTTGATGGTGGGCATGCTTTTCTTTCGTTCGATTCTTTCTAATGTTCTTCCATACCATTCTCTTGGCCAATTATCAAAAACAATATCTTTGAACAAAGTTGTCATCATCGCATACCGACGATTGAACACGGTTGTACCATGGTGAACTTTTGCCCATCGATGATGTTCTCGACTATCTTGTTGATCAAGTTTCACAACTTCATAAAGATTACGAATAAATTTCCTATAACGTTCGTCTAAATTTGTTAAATCTTCGACATAGGGTCTCAAGTTCCAATTCGGCTGTTGAGTTGGTTCATTGAGTATGAATCGTAATAAGTGACGGAGAACATCATCGTTAAAATTAACTAATTCACCATTTTCTATTCCATCGTACAGACTAGAGAAATCCGTAGGAAACAAAATGAACGAAAAGCGAAAAGTTTTCTTCATACTTCATCAATGGCGACACCCAACAGATGTTGGATGTTGTGTGAGCATCGTGTGGTTTGAAATGTGAGATGGTATTCAATTGATAAACTCGAAAAATCCCAGTTGGGCAAGTATTTCTCCACCGTTTTGGGCTTCAGAAGTCAAGAAGTTCTGTTTTTCCCTCTTGAATCCGAAAGGCAAACTGTGCTTTGAACTTATTCACTAGGATAATTACAACAATTACCTATTGAAAAAGAACTAATCGAAAGAGAGTTTTGATAATTGGTAAAGAAATATGAGTTTCATTTTATTTCAACAAATTTTCATAAAAAGATTAAAAAAATACATTACTGTACTATATAGATCTACTATATAAATTGTTCGTTAATGAATATGTCTACTCTTTGGAAAGGTAGAATCAATCCAACCGAAGTTAGTAGTATGAATAAATGTATCAGTTATGGCATCAATAGGATTGAATGATGAGTCTAAAACTTTGCCAAATCGACGAACAAAAATGCGACAGTTGTTGAAAATTGCATGATATTTTTTAGCAGTAAAGTTCGATTTCATACTATTAAGCTTTTCGAAGATTTGATTGAGAGTCATAGACGTGGTAAAGCGGTCATCATCACGAACTTCATCGTCGTCTCCCATCATTGCATCACAGACCGTATTTATACCTCCGCTTTTCTGAAAATATTGAATAACTAGTCCATTTGTTCCGTATTCAATTAAACAATAACAAATTTCGCCTATGAGGAACCATGCTCAGTGCTTTTAGTTGAGAGCAGTTCGAAAAGCACGTCCAAGAACTTCAAGCTTGACAGATGATCTCATTTCTCTCCAACCTGGAAGACGTTCATCAAGAGTCTCAGTATCCGAAAAACAATGACATCAGCTTGCGATGGTTTCAATCGATCAAAGAAAATTGTGTCTGATTTAGATTATTTTTCTCTTTCCGTTTGATAGATACTCCTCGATAGGCCTTAAAGTCAACATTGACATGGAATTTTCCATGACTTCGGTAACATACTTTGCCGAATTATGACAAATACACATGAAATAATATATTTTCCCTTACTGATCGAATAAAATACATTCTTTTCAAATTTACTCATAGCCGTTATCTTATTCTTTCCTCAGTGAAAACATATTTAATTAAATTTAGGAGCACGTTGTAAGGAATTTTCTCTTTCATGAATCACAATGTGTATGGGTTTCCACATTGTTTTGAAATACATGCGACAATATGAGTGGTTTTTTCCTTTCTTTCCTATCGCATGACGTCAATTTTCTCTTCGTTTTATGTTTTATATTGCAGCCTATTCTGCCGATGACTCATAGTATAAATATGTGAAAATACCGTCTCCACTATCATTCTCTTCGTATAAATATGCAGTTTCAAGGCATAAATTCTTTCTAAGTTTTGTTCTCTCAGGTACATTTTCAATACTATTACAAAGTGGACGCTATTTTGAAGGTATCATTATTAATAATAGCTATATATTGTCCGGGAATTATTCTAGACAAGATGGGTCTTTTTCAATGGATATTAAGACAAATTCTTTTTCCAGCGCCTCATCCACCTACTTATACATTAGAATCACATAAAGAGAATCTTCTTTGGCTGCAGCCAAATCGGAATTCGTCAACTAATCTGCCTATACCATGTCTACATTATTCTCCGAATAATGCAGCCAAATATTTTTTTCTCTGGTGTCATGGAAACGGATGTGATATTGGAAGTATGAGCAGGACAATCTCAGCATTAAGTCGACGAGTTCAAGCACATGCACTCATCTTTGAATATCCTTCCTATGGTCTATTATCAGGTGCACGAGTATCGCCAAGTCAAGAATCGATAAATGATCATGCTGAACGTGCGTATTTATTCATTCGTGATACACTCAAATGGCCAACCGATCGAATTATCGTCTATGGACATTCAATTGGAAGTGGTTCTGCTTGTTATCTTGCATCAAGATATGACATTGGTGCGCTTATTTTACAATCTCCATACACATCTATCAAAAATATCATTGGAAGAAAAATTGGAAGAGTGGTCAATTTATTCAATATTCCGTATTGGAATAATTCTCAAACATTGAAAGATATAAAATACCCAATACTGCTTATACATGGTCAACGAGATAATTTAATTTCATCGGAAGAATCGCAAATATTATATGATTCATTAGCAGAAAATACTAAGAAACAATTAGTTTTCTTACCCGATGATGATCACAATTCAATCAGTGATCCAGTCATGTTATCACATGTTCAACCATTTCTTAATAAATATTTTAATGAGCCAACAGTATCCTTGCCGGATATAAAGATTGATCCAAAATTACGTGAAGTGCCTCCGAATATGCCGGATAATTCACGATTCAAACTAATTCCATATTTAATCAATCTTATACGATCAATATTTCAACCATATAACCCACCAAGTCGTAATGAATAAAACTACGGTTTCTATCATATATTTTCCTTTCATTAGAAAAAGGAAAGACATTTCTTCGATATTTCTTTGTTCATTTTTACATATACCAAAAGATCCTTTGAAAAATATATTCTAGTCCTTTACTTTTTCTTTCAACTTTTTATTTATCATCAATAATCTAACGAGTAACAGGCATGAGAAGATCATATTCTTTGATGGTGGGCATGCTTTTCTTTCGTTCGATTCTTTCTAATGTTCTTCCATACCATTCTCTTGGCCAATTATCAAAAACAATATCTTTGAACAAAGTTGTCATCATCGCATACCGACGATTGAACACTGTCGTACCATGGTGAACTTTTGCCCATCGATGATGTTCTCGACTATCTTGTTGATCAAGTTTCACAACTTCATAAAGATTACGAATAAATTTCCTATAACGTTCGTCTAAATTTGTTATATCTTCGACATAGGGTCTCAAGTTCCAATTGGGCTGTTGAGTTGGTTCGTTGAGTATGAATCGTAATAAGTGACGGAGAACATCATCGTTAAAATTAACTAATTCACCATTTTCTATTCCATCGTACAGACTAGAGAAATCCGTAGGAAACAAAATAAACGAAAAGCGAAAAGTTTTCTTCATACTTCATCAATGGCGACACCCAACAGATGTTGGATGTTGTGTGAGCATCGTGTGGTTTGAAATGTGAGATGGTATTCAATTGATAAACACCAAAAATCCATTGACGGCGATTACTAAGAATTGTTTGAGCGATCAAAGGATATGTTGGTTCTCTCCACATGGAAAAACCTAGATAGTAGGCTTGTGCGAGTAGTTCAGCATGACTAGCGTTAACGATCCACGACATCAAACTAGGTAAGAGCTCGTCTTCGCCAAAATAACTATCGTATCGATAGATGGAATCCATTGGATAGACTGTTAGAAGGTTAAAATCGTGGCCTTCACCATGCCAGTGACCTAGACAAAGAGAATGAAACGATCTAGTGAACTTTCGCTTATTTTTACCTGGAATCTGCATAGGTAGATAACGATCAGTGAACACTTTATATGCCGGTGGAGGATACGGACAGAGTGGGACAGGAGTTTGACATAGAGTGCTATTAGGATCAACAATCTAAACAAAACTCACAGTTCATGTTCGATGGAAATGATGAAGAAATGCATTTACACTTCTTAATGGTCGATCAGTTTTAACTTGTACGGATGCTTTATCACGAAATTGAAAACTTGTGGTGTTCGAATCATGATGCCATTTAGCTCGATCTAGTTTCATTCCATTCAAATTCGAGCTCCACCAAGCTTCGATTGGCACATCGGATCCAATCTAGACCGAGAACATATACGAAGTGTGTAACGAACGATCTATTCTAGTCTCACCATTGTTTTTCTCAGATATGGTTTGTGTTCGGCGAGAACGTTCACGATTGTTCGAATCATTTTTGTCAACACGTTCGTTGTTTGTTTTTTATCCATTTCAAGTTGTTTATCTCGCATGACCGATGGTACTTTATAATCACCTTTGTCATACATATCTTCTAACGGTATGTCTTCTTTTTGTGCATATTCATCAGTTAGTATCCGGTCGATTAGAATTGGTTTAACATAATTCAATAAACTTTCCACATCCATTTGTTCGTAAAATTTCGGTAGTTCATCTGTTACATGCGTTTGAGTGATATGTTTGTAGAAGGGTAAACAGCGCGGTGAGCGTGGTCGGCCAGTTAACATCCAGATTAATTTCGAATCGATTTGTTCAACATCTAATTCATCATAGTAACACATCATATTCTGATAGGCCATTATCGTCAGTCGTTCTTTGACGCATTTCAAATGTCGATAATACTTTTCTCCTAACTCGAAATGCATCCACGCCTTTTTCGATTCCATCGAGCCCCATGAACCCGGGGGATGTTTTGATCGAATCGGTGGATAGAGTGACTGTTCAGTGTATTCATCCGGAAGATTATACGGTACTTGATATTGTACACCATGTGGAATATGAACACCTGGATGATTAAGACGGTGTTTATATCGACATAGATTCAAACGGTACCATAGGAAAGTCGATGAGGTTGTACGATGAAACAGAACCATTATTTTGTAAAACTATTTGGAATTTGATACATCTAGAAAGAATGATATTATTTGCTGGTTACACAAAGTGCAAATAAGTTCAATTCTTTTCATTTGTTTATTTAAACGAAGCAAAACAATCGATAACAAACAGAAGATATCTATTTTGGTTGATAATTCGGTCTGAAAACAAAACGAAAGGTTTTCAAAAGAAATCATTTTTGTTAATGGAACATACCCAACTTCTCGTACAGATCGTTTTTCGTATTTCTTCATCTTGGTCTTTGTTGGTCTAGAGAAAAACAAGAGTAGTAGAGAAGAACAAAACTGGCCGAATTCATCATACTTTGCTCGCACACGTGGTTCGATAATATTTCGTTTTTGTAATGATTTAAATCTATCATGAAGAAGATTACCTTCGGCCTAAATAGATGACAAACAAATCAAAACTTCATTCTTCGTTGAAATTATTTGTTCTACCTTCATGGTTCGTAAGTTTCCGGTGATTTCATCAGATAGATTCAAGTCCAAATCAGCTTCTTCAAATCGATATCGACCGAATTTCTTCGTGCCATAGTTTTTCCGATTTTCATACTTGATTTCACGTTCTTGCAATAATTGTCCATGTTCTTGCGTTTCTTTGTCGACTTCTTTACGAATCGATTTAATTCTAAGATCATCAACTGAGAAGAAAACTTATCTGTTGTACATCTCCTTACCGGAATAGCTGAGTATCACGAATACGTTTTTCCTTCTTTGCTTTATTTAAAGCTTCTTTTTTCTTCTGAAGTTTTTCTTTATTTCGCTGTTGAACGGTCTTAGTCTCGATTGTGACTGGTTTACCCACACTAACTGAAGTCGACTGGTTATTCTCCCCGTTGATATCGTTTTCGACGTCATCATCAAACAAACCAGATGACATTTCTTTCAGCCATGCTTGCTACAAAATAAACCCTAAATCGATCTTCATACTTCTTTGCAACGTACTTTGATCGGTTCAGCGGCGCTCTGTGTTAACATCGCCGGTAAATTGCGCTGTAATTTCAAATCTTTTCGTTCCTTTTCTAATTCAACATCGACAGCTTTTTTAAGTAAATCCTGCAAGAAAACTTTCATGGAAAAGACATCAAATTATTTCAATGATTCTCACTTGATGATCATCATAGGTTGGATTGTACGATGTGCCAGGTAATGGTGTAGTAATGGCAGGTAATTTCGACGGGTGTTTGATAATATGTTTAGGAACTTTCCAATCATATGTTTGATATACTTGCTCCACATACGCTGCCATTGCTGGACCAACAGATGCTCGAACTTTTTCTAAATAATCTTGAGGGTGAACACAGAAATTGTAATCTGGTTTCTAACCTTTCTTATCATCTTGTGTATTCCATAGGTCATAAGCTTGAGATACATGAGGATCGATAAGTTCCATTTGCTCCGCTTTAGATATGGCATTTCTTTGTAAAGCTTCAGCACGTTGTTTGACTGCAGTTTGATACTTCTTTGTAGCAGCTCGACGCGTTTCCGTACACTTCTCTGATTCGATCAAACGTTTAGTAGACTTCGACGTCGAAACTCTACTCTGGCGTGAACTATATAAATTACAATCGAAAGAACATCATTCGATCCATGGATTCAATCTTACTCCGATCCTGGAGGTTGTACGCTACTGTGTGGTTCCAAGATTTTGTATGTATTAAGGTTATTCAAGTCTAATGGTGGACGCTTTCTCGGAATGGAACGAATGATAGGCGAAGAAACTTGCATCTCTTCTGCCGATGGAGATTTCGAACCAAGCGGATGTTCAGTGTCAATATGGTATAAGACATGATCCGGTTGTTCGGATCGACGACCACTGAAAATGATAGATGTAGAGTTGAATATTGAGATTGGATTAGGATATACCCTGTCATTTCCTGCACGCGAACATCTTCGAGTTGGTCTTCGATGTCTTGTGTGTCAATCTTTCTCCAATACTTCTTCTTGTTTCTTGCCACATGTTTTGCTGTTTTACGTGGCATGATGTTCTTTCTTTTACTTTCTTATATCTAGAATCGTTCGGTGAGGATGTAGTCAATGAAGAGAAAAGTTTAAAAGGAAAAAGAAAATATCTGAATAAAAATGTTTAGTTTTCATCTTGTTCATGTTTTTTCAGAGCTTTGATTGTTTCTGTTAATTTCAGAATAACTGAACACATTTCATTGATACGAGTTGCATTTTGTGATTTCGTTAGCTAAGAAGAGAAATATTAGATAGGCAAAAAAACTTTCAAGAACATTGAGTTTACTTCATCGACCGCCCATTTAAGTTTACTTTCCAGTTGGTCGCAATGGCTGATGGTTTCATTTGCTTCTTTTTTATTCTTCTGTTTCTTCGAGTGTTTTTTCTTCTTGCTTGTCGTTACTGTCGTCGCATCTTCACTTTCACTCTTTTCTAGAAAAAAACAATACGTACAAAAAAAAGGTGCAAAACATATCATTCAAACGGACTGCTATTCGCATCGATTTCACTACAACCAACGCAGAGTAATTCACGTTCCGGTGTACGCAGAAGAATGCACTATTTAAAAAGTATTATACAACAAAAGAGTTTTCCAAAAGGATCCAATACATACATTGCATTCAGGACAAGTGTCACCTAACATACAGTAACCTTTCAATAGATACTCGCCGAGCTTTTTGGTAATTTCGTTTTCGCGAACACGACGTTGCTACAACAGTTGAATTTTATCACTGAATATCATCGAGAGGAAAGTATTTACTTCAGCTAACACCGGATTTTCTTTTGGAGAATCAACCATCCATTCGAAATCTTCATCAGTTTCATGTTTAGCAGTCGAATGACCGGTGGCTTGATTTTTATTCATGATAAGTTTTCGAAAGTTAGAAGCTAAATGACTCGACTGCTTTTTTTGTACGTATGCTATGTTTTACTAATGATTCGTCGAGAAGAGTTACACTATCCTTCGGATTATTATAGATGTCGTTAAACATCAGCAGTAAAATCAATGAATACAATATCTTGTCTTTATTTATGAGACAAGTGGTGAATTTTTATTCTTTACGATAAAATTCAAAATCAATTGTCCATATTCGGTAGGATACAGACGAAAATGGTTAACATGTCCTGAATCTGCAAAGCGATGAGAGGTCACTAGCACGCCACGGTCTTTTTGTTTGTTGATAAATTGTTCTGAATGAAAAACATAAACAAGTTGAAAACTCTAGGAATCAAAAGAAAAACTTACCGATGATCTGATGTGGAATTAAACGATCGGAATCACTATATAGATAACATTGCTTCACATTCACCGGTGAAGCATTAAGAAGAAGTAAAACTTTATCTGACGATGAGCGCGAATCTGATGAAAGATACTTTCGGTAGAAGAAGCGTAGGAATAGATAATAACTGATCAATGGTGACCAAAGATAATGATAATACTGTGCTCGGTTAAGTATTATGCTGACACACGCTCGAGATGCACCGATGGCTGACGCAAGGAGCCAGTCCGATGATCCATTCAAATGTACGTAAGGTGCGGAGTCGAGAATGACTCCTTTGATATTTGGTAATAAATGACTATAGTATTGATTTGTTTTCATTATTTGAAGCATGTGCCCCCAGACTAACGATCCATTGTTCGAGTGTAGGTGAATAATAATTTGATTAGCATGACGGTTTTCATGCAAAAGAAAATCTAGTACACGCTCGACTTGTTTTCTGTCGACGCCGAAAAGGTAATTAAACATTGGATTAATCCATGATACTGTTGACGTACCTTGAGAGGAGTAAAACTCAAGTAGACGCCGTAAATGTCGACGTGTACATCCACCCCAACCGAGAACACATACTAATGCAGCAGAATCTGATGATCCCGGTGTATATTCCGGCGTGTGATCGGTTGAATTGAAGCCTAGATATCGACGAGCGTAATAATCAGCAATTTTATATAGAACAAATCCAATGATAAGAAGAATAGTACATTGAATGAACATGATATTTTATTCTAGAAAAAGGCAAACAGTATATTTTCTTTTGTTTCGTTGTTAACGACATGACATTGCAAGAAAAAGGTAAATATTCAGAAAAAACTTTGCTCGTTCTGTCGAACGACCTATACGGTTATCGAACGTACTTTTCTGCCGCACTTTCACAAGACAAGAGACGCGCACACTCTATTTTTGACTCGCTGATGTTAAAAACTCGATGTTAGATAGTAGTATACCTCTCGTATTCAGTATGAAATCGATACTCGGATAACTCATGTAAGTTGTGTGCGGTTTTCAATTGATAGAATTGAATGAAAAGTTGTATTCAGTTTAGAAAATGTGTAGATCAACGTCATCTGGTATCAAAGGAATTATCATTTAGGAAGTTAATTAGTAGCTGAGATGAGTTTATGTGAATAAGTTGAGTTGGTTCCTCCTTTAGTTTTCTGATGAAAACAGCTCTGAATTTTATCAGGATTCGTTCATTTCGTTCTCGACCTTTGACTCTTTTCCTTCTGCATAAAGCATTTATCCTGCACTAAAAGTACGGCTTTTTTGTGATTGGATGTGCCGTAAAAAAATTAGTATTTCTCTCTTTCACGATTCATAGTAAAATGAATAGCGTCTTATAACTTTCAGCACACATTTGTGATTAGAGTACAGTTGAAAATATTCGTCAGAATCGATCGACATTAATTTAAGCATGATTTTATCTTTTCAGATTTTTTTCTTCCTATGGATTCTACAACTTCAACTTCCAAGAAACGTCGAATAATGATCATCACTGCAGATGAAAGTGTCATCGAACAAATTCAAAACAATACCAACGCTTCGTTGATCAAATCGATTGTTTTGGATGGTAATGGTGATAATGTAGAAGTTTCTCAATCAAATATTAGAACGATACAAGCGGAAGCGCAGTCATTGTCGGTCAAGAAGCAAAAGACTGGTACATTAACGTGTGTTGTTTGTAGTTCACCGGCTAATGGGTATAATTTTGATGCAATAACCTGCGAGAGTTGCAAAGCTTTTTTCCGTCGAAATGCACTTAAAGATTCCGTAAGGATTGAATAATGAATGCGAACCGAAAGATTGTTTTGTTGATTGTAGGTAGAACTGGAATGCCGCCGTGGCAATAATTGTGATATTACCATCGACTCTCGACGACGTTGTGGAGCATGCCGTCTAGCAAAATGTTTAAAAAGTGGAATGAACCGTGATCGACTTTTAACGGTAATGTGCCTTTCACTCTCTTAAATAAATCTCTGGAGGAAGGAAAAGAAATGTTATAGGCGGAACAGAAAGCGGTGAAAATGCGTAAAATTGAAGAGAACCGGAATCTTACTACTCTGACACATTCCGAATCGCGTGAAGATAATCAAGACAAGGACGAGAAACCGATAATAACAGTGGTTCACAGTGATGTAAGACGATCATTCTTTACAATGAAGAGAAGACTCTATCTTTATGCTTTTGTTGCAGGCACCTTCGCCAAAGAGCACGAACTTACTTCTAGTCAAAGACGTAGCCGATCTTTTACCGAACGAACCACCATCGGAGCAACAGGGATTACTTAGCTGGAAAGACTTACAACGCGTCGAAACGATTAAACTGTCTTACGAGCAACGTATTGAACTCGGTTAGTAAACTGATAAGATACAGTACAGCTGCAATGCTATTAGTCTCCATAGAAAACCTCATGTTTCTATGTCTTTCTAGCAGCTCGCGAAGGTCTGCCATGGAATCCGACTGTACATGCGACTACACTTCTCGATCATATCAATTCCCACTCAGTGACAGCTCTGAGACTTCTATCATTCTTCAAGCAAATTCCGGAATTCAATGATTTGAATGTTCACGATCGTGTTACCTTAATCAAGTATAACCTAATGCCACTTACTATTTTAAACTGCACTCTTTCCTATGATGTCAAAACGGAAACTATCCAAGAAGCGAAATCCGATGCTCCGTGGGACTCGTCTATTTTACTTACAGTTCATGGTGACGAATTTTACCAACGAGTGAAGAAAATCTTCGAGTCATTCAGTCGTATCGCAAAATACGATCAACGGATAATTCAACTAGCATTGATTGCGCTTATTTTAACCAAAGGTTTCTCTGCAAACAGTAATGTTTCCGAACCTATTCTAAATGACGGGTTAGCTGTTTATCGCGCACAAAACTACTATACAGAACTACTATGGAAGTATCTGGAAACAGTTCACGGGTACGGAAGGGCTATTCATATCTTTAATGAGTTAGTGGCACACTTCATGTCCTGGCAAGCGCTTCAAAATTATCTAACTCGTAGTTTACCGAAAATGTTAACTCCCGCCGAAATGAATGACTTACTACCCATAATGAAATCATTGATAAATATTCATTAGACGAAATATTTCATGATTGGCTTTCCTACGTAGTTTTCCAATGTTTAAATTTAACTGTTATTTACATCTGATTCTAAAATATAATTATACGTTTCTTTTCGCCATGTGTAAATAGTTCATCTTAAAAGAATTGATTACGTTCATATATTATTTGTAGAGCCTATTTGAATAAAAACCCAGCCTTGATTTATTCATGTTTGTTCATCACCAAATTTAAAAAGCGAAACATACCAGAATAAGAGAGAGAGAGCGAGAGAGAAAAAATGAAACAGATTCATTGCACCGTTTAAGAAACAAATGTTTTCTTTAAGCTAATGATGAATGAAGAGTAAGAGCTGGTTCATCGGTTGGACCGAAATCAATTAAAATTATGTGTCGAACGTTTCGAGTTACTGGATTGGAACTTGTGGCAGTCGGTGTACTAACAATCGAAGATATTCCAACAACGCGATGTTCGATGATAAATGCACCCTGGAGAACAATCAATCATCAATTCAAATCATTAGACATCGTTCAACTTACAAGAATTGTCTTTACAGATGAAGATTTGAGTTTGATATAACATCGAATAGCTATTTTAGCAAATTTTCGATAGAGAACCAATTCTCTCGAATCACTCTGTCGAAATTCGTCGTCCAGTTTCGTGTCTGTTTCATTCGGTTCGACATGTGGGTGTAATTTAATGGAACGATCTTTACTTATCGGCAATGTGAGTTGACTTGTTAGAATGTACTCATCTAATTGATTGATTCGGTCGATCAAATCTTTATCAATGTTTTCTTCACGAATTTCATCTAATGTATATAATTTCAATATTGTTTGTTCATCGAGTTGATTGACTATGGAGAGAACACATGGGTTACTTTCAGTCGCTGACCATGCTGGATGATGCCAAATGCGAATCTAGATTAAAGATAAAAAGAAGTCCGAATGAGTTGCTAGATAGTTCCGTTAAGGATTTACTTCTGGAATGAAAAAGAGAGCCATTTGATGTAATTTGAATTTGATCAATTTTGGCGATGGTTCTGGTTTGAGAACGTTATGATCGCATTCTTTGCAACGTTTCGACTGTTTCGATGTAAAATGTTTTGCCAGCGGATAGAGTCGATCAACGGTTAACGGTTGAATTTCTACCGAATTCAGTCGTTGGGTGATAGTTGTGAGCTTGTTGAAGTCAAATGTGTTGCTTAGGAAGAGATTTTCATCAAGTGGTTCGATTTCTGTGATTGGATCAGATGGTTTTATTGTTGGATTAGTTGAATTCGGAGATTCAGTTACCGATGGACTTTTCAATATCCCACTCGTGCGAATTCCGCGGCGGGTGACCGGTGCTAGGAGACCATATTTATCCGATGATGATCGCGATGTTGTTGTTGTTGGCAAAGCAGAACGTAATTTAACAGTGGAATATCGTTTTCGATCACGTTCCTGTTTCTCACGTGTAGCTATCTGTTTGTAATGTTGTAGAAGTTCATTAAATCTCCCTTCGTGAATATTATCCTGCGCTTTCCAAGAATTTAATGTCGGTTGATCAGCAAGACGAATATCTCGTGTTGACCAACGACAAACACTACATGCCAAATAGTAAACCTTTTTCGATGGCGTTTGTAACCCACTAACATTTGTACTGCTGATACTCTCATCAGCATCTCCACCTCCAGCATTGCCACTATCCGATGTCGTGTTTAAACTAATCGGCATAGCTGCTGATGTGTTCGTTGCTCGTGTGACCAACGTATGATTACAACATGGACAAGAAAAACAACTTTGACAACGATTCTTGCGAGTAATTGCTTCATGTGATTGAAGATGTTCATAACAACTTGGGCAAAAACGACAATCGACCTAGATTATCACGAGTATATACATCATTGAAATTGTCCACGATACGACTTACTTCTAATATAACACAGTCTTTGCATTTAATCTTCAAACAATGTCGGCAAAAGTATAAATAACATAACGATTTAAACGATCCACAACTACATTGATATTTCACTCGATGAAGATTCAGTAGTGTTGTCATTATAATGACAAACTTTCGTTTCAATAAAAATCTAAAATACAACTGATCAAATATATCTATGTATATATTCAAATAGTAAAAAGCAAAACAACAAAGAATTCATGTTTCTTTTTTTCTACAATTTTGTTGAAATATGCTGGCAAACATACATACATACATAACAGAGAACATGCAGTTTACTATTTGATTCAAACTACAAATGAAGTCTATCAAAATTCCCATGATAAATTAATACTATTATATTCATTATTGGAACGATCTAGAAAACGAAACGTGAGCGCATTTTGTGTGAATGAGGAAAGGCTTTTCTCACCTAAGATTTGATCTATGGTAGTTGACATCTGAGTGATTTGCTTGTCCTTATAGGAACCAAGAAGTTTTGCCATATCCTCAGCTACAAGTTGAGGGTCATTGCTGATTTTCCTGGGATGTTTGACAAAGGGATGTGTTAATAAGTCATCAACTGTACATCTAAACGATGAGATATGATTGAAGAGTTGTTTTCGAATGTCATTCTATTTTACCTCGATTCAAGTCGTGTTGAAACACAGCTTTTAACAAATGAATGGAATTCTTTCGAATACCGCCGCTTTTTTATCTCTTCTACATATGCACTGGAATTTTCATCACTCAGAGCAATCACTGCGTAAAGAATCAATTGAAAACTAGAATGGACAGAAGTGAACAAACATACTTTCATCCGTTAATTGAGTTTGGTCAAGCAGAATTGGTTCTGAACCTTGGACTTTTGCATATAACATCTAAAACATTCGCACTGAGTGAAAAAAACTCCTTTCTTTTCAAATCTGAACTTACGCTCAAATGTCCAAAAGGCATATCAAGATAAGCATTACTTCCATTGGCAAGTTCACATGCAACACTACCTAAGCTATACACGTCACTTTTGAAATTATAACCTTCTGCATTCTAAAACGAGAAACAAAACTTCAGGTATTCAACTTGGAGAAAAGATTTCTACGAACTTGAAAGATTATCTCTGGTGCTAAGTATAATAACTCATCTTTAAGATCATCTGTATAATCATATATCTGGCGCCGTAATCTGCCATCGAATGGTGATATCATGGATATACAATGCGAAAAATTATCTAACAATACACGTCCGTCATCGCAAAGATAGATGTTCTTCGACGAAACGCCTCTAGAATATTCAAAGTCAAAGAAGATCAAACAGATGAAGGACCGTACCGATGCATGACATGCCGGTCTTGTAAATAGCGTAGTGCTTGTAATAATTGCCACATAATGTGCGCAATGAGTTGTTCGCGTACGCCGAATGGATGAGCAAATAACAGATCGGTACAAGAACCTTTTGGGGAATTCAAAAAGTCACCGTTCAGATGCGTCAGCAGTGTTTACTTACCAAACGATGCATAGGGTTTCACAAGATGAAGTTTTGTATCAATGAGAAAACAATCCCGAAGTGACATTAGATTTTGATGGTTTAATTGTTTATACCATAAGATATCTCTCTGAAAAGTAGATAAGTTCAGTTGCAAAAACTCATGTCAATATTACAACATACGATGAAATCATTCAGATTTGTGAAATCTTCTAAATCGATAATTTTCATAACATATTTTGTTTTGCTTTTATCTCTCTGATCGCAGACTAAATAAGATCCGCAGTTTTGATCTTCATCAGCTTTCAAACCAGGCCGTCCTTCAAAAGAAACTTTCTCGATCAAAAATATCCTTCAACACGAAAACTGTCTTACTTAAAGTGTTGAGTATGCGATAATTCAACATGATTTCTAATCTAAAACAAAATAAAATCGAAAGACACATTCGTAAAGTTTCATTGCCAATGGTCAAGTATTTGTTTAAGTATATTCTCAAACAATTTCATTGCCTCCGTTTCTATAATCATTTCAAAACCTTTCTCAACTTGTTGAACACCCTGATCAAGGATGGTATTCAATTGATGATCAATCGGTAACCGACCTAGAAATGGAATGGAGTATTGCTCAGCTAAGAGATTTCCACCACCTTGTGCGAAGATATTTGTGCATTCGCTACAATGTGGACACACGTATCCACTCATATTTTCGATTAGGCCGACGATATGGAATGATGTCTTTTGACAAAATGTTATCTCGCGTCGAACATCATTTATCGATAACATTTGCGGGGTTGTGACGAGAAGAGCACGAAGGAAATCTTTGGCACGTTCTTGTTGTTTAAGAACACTCATGACTGTAATGTGCTCATCGGATGTACCAGGAGGAGTATCAATAATAAGATAATCGAGTTCACCCCATTTAACACCGGTTAATAAACGCTGAATCATAGCCATTTTTCTCGGTCCACGCCAAATAATTGCATCATTGGCATTATCCAACAATAATGCCATTGACATTAACTTGAATCGTGAATTTTCATTGGATGTGGAGAAAACATTGATGGGTGTCATACCTTAACTGATAAGTTGAAATGTGGATATTCTAGATAGAAGTCGTACCTTCTTCAGTTTCGTAAACGGTATTCGATGGAGAGTTTCGGTCAACTCCGAACATTTTCGGTATTGATGGTCCACATAAATCAACATCTAATAAACCAACGCGATTCCCATTAGCATACAATGATAGAGCAAGTTGCGATGCCACGGTCGATTTGCCTAAATATTCAAACATGCATTACCATTGAAATACTGCTCAACTTCTACTTGCCAACTCCTCCTTTCCCAGATAGAACCACGATGATACGTTTGACACTGTGTAAACCTGTCATATCTAAAAAATAGAAATATTATCATAAACAAATAAATATATGCTTATCGAGGTTACATCTTGCAACCTTGTATACGGAAATAGAGAAAACTGGGAGAACAAAAACAGAAATTTCATCTTGAATAAGAATACAAATAAATTAACATTGTTTGTACGAGGGGAGATTATTCAAAACTATTCGGATAATAATTTCATCGTAAAATCAAGTTCAAAATCATGAGAAGTAAATATATCATCACTGTTGTCAGTTAGCATGGTGAATGAACCACGTTCGCGGGTGGTCATCGAAGGAAGACCGTTTGCTGAAAGCTGAAATAGAGAGAAAGAGAATATCAACGATGAAAATGCGATTATATTCGCTGACGAGTATTACCACTGTTGTATCGATCGTTTTAGTTATGGTACTTTTCACTGTTTTAACTGGATTTTTTTGTCCCTAAGATATCAATACCACTAGATGGAAGACAGAAAGTAAAGGCAAACGATTCTTACGGCTAATCGTTGTTCTTCAGCTTTTTTCTTTGCAGCGGCTGCTTCTTCAGCTGCACGTTGTGAATGTAATTCACGAATGAGTTCTTCTTTAGTTTGTGGAGCCTAAATCCGCATAGTTCTTGAGCACATCTGTTTCCTCGAAATGAAATCTTACTTTTGTCACAAGAACCGGTGCACATCGACGGCGTGTAAATGGATCCGCAGCTGCATTCGCATGTTCTAGCGCTTCACGCTATAAAATTGCAATTCTCAATCGTAATTTGATAAATATTCGTTTTACTTACCGCTAATGCCATTTCAACATTCTCTTGTGTATTTTTTCGATTGCGTTGATTGATCTGACTGTTTTCAAATCGTTTCAGTACAGAACGTTTGGGCTTTAGACTAGATCAACTTACGCAATAGCTGAAATATTCTGCGACCGTTTTCGATCTAATTCTGATGCTCGCTTTTCTGTTTCTTCTAATTTTTGCCGTAATTCGCTTTCTCGTTTGATATCATTTTCACTTATAGCTATATCCTAAATCGTATTAAGAAAGGTCTTGTAAGAGTGTCAATATTTCATTTTGCCGCTCACAATTTCCTTAAGTAATTCATTCTTAGCCATGGCATAGTTAATCGGCACTTTTCGAAATCGACTTTTTTCTTGCACTATCTTCGTTATATCAGCATTGCTTAAGACATGCTGTTTACATTCATTAATTTCAGCCACTTTTCTTTCCATATCTTTCAATGTTGGTAATGTCACACCCTGAAAAGAGCTCTTTTTTTTTAAATGATAGATATACTCATCTTGAAATTACTCGTTTGATTAGGGCTTCGCACCAGCGTTCAAATTCTTTATCGGATATTTCACTATTTGAGACAAACTCAAGACGAAAGACACGCTCATGATCACCATGTCTAAGAGAAATGAAAATATCTCGTACGCAAATGAAAACGATGATATTTTGAATACTTTAAACGAAGTCCTTTGTTTGTACGTGTAGCACCAAGACTGTATACTTTTGCTGTTTCTACAACATCACGGATTTCACAAACCTCGAAAATCAATGGCATCGGATGGTTGTAATGAAAATTTGTTCGCAGCTTACTCGATAGACAGGTGCACCATTGTGTTGTCCGATGTTAATTCGAACAAAAGCACCTTTTGCTACTTTTGAAAAGAATGGTGCATGGCACCATCTAAGTAAATGCGTTTGATCTTCATGATTTCAAAGACGAGGGAAACCTTACTTTTCCATACGAAAACGAGAGAGAACCATTGACTTGAGCTGAGATTTTTTGGTAATTGGAGTGCAGCTTTTACGTGTGTCGTCTTCTTTAGAGGAAGATTGACTATTATGATGTTCAGGTGATCTGAAACCGAAAAATTTTGCAAATTACGTGGATGGTCAAGATGACATTTTTACCGAGATCGTCGATGGCGATTGTATCGATTATCATCCTCGTCGTCCGAACTCGAACTTGAATAAATTTCTTGAACTGTATATTTTTCTTTTGCATTGATCTTCGTTATTTTCCTGCTTGCTTCGTCTTTATCTGATAATCGATTAGTAGATTTTGGTTGAGATTTCTTCAAGTCTTCATCTAAATGTCAACCATAGATCGATATTACAGGTCGATTCTCATTGAATATGAACACTTTTACCTTGTTTCTTCTTTCGTTTTTCAATTAAAGCTTGCAGTGTTTTACTGTGTTGTGTTTCTTTCTGTTTCGAAGCATTGGCTTGCTGTCGACGATTTCCTGACGATCGATAATCATCTTCATCATCTTCTGCGTAGATATTGTCATCAAATAGACTTGATTTAGTTTTCGTTTCGGTATCATCATCAGTGCCGCTCTTTTGTTTCGACTTTAATTTCTTAGTGATTTCTTCACTGAAAATAAAACAACACCGAAAATTGTTGACAAACTGTTTGTTTTCTCCTACCGGTGATTCAATATTTCTCGCTGTTCATGTCTTTTCAACAGTTCAGCTTCGCGTTCACGTTCAGTTAAAGTATCCAACCAGGCTCGATCTTGAGTATTACCCCGATATTCGTCGTCATATCCATCAGCATAAACTTCTACATACAAAAACGAACTGAATGCACTTGCAACAATGTCAATGCGTACTTTTTGAACGTGATTGGTCTTCATCGGAATCGGAATCACTACTTTTTCTTTGACGTTTCCTTTGAACGTTTTTATTCATGTTTAGATGGTCGATGATGACAAAACGTACCGCAAATATACCACACTTTCCCCTTTTAACAATCCATCCGTCTCTGTTAGTTTTTGCCGACTCATATAAACTACACGTCTGGTCCAATCAAACAGTTGTAAGAAGATGGCGCTGAAAACTAGCATAGTCATCAATAGATCAAAAACTTGTTCAATATTTACCATCTCTTTGGTAACGAATAGATATCGAACATCTATCAAAAGAGCAGATCACTATTCGCACTCATTTTGGTTCTTGAATTAAAACAAAACGCTATTATGACGATTTATAGCACAATGTGCATCAATATTTCCCTGAGATTATTGATGAGAAATTCAATAAGATTCAAATCATCATCACCGACTACATTTTCGAATCATATGTACGAGAGACTCTATTTCAAATATTCTACAGATCGAGACAATCAAATAAATTTGATAGAATTTCAATATGAAACTCAAACCTTGAACTGTGCGATGACAATGAATTGGCGAATGCGCCACATGTCACCTATTGTTGGTTAATATGTTACAAAACAGCCTTGACTTTCCTGTAATTATAGATCGTTCGCATACCCTCTTCTTTCAAAAGACACAATAAGATGACCGTCCATCTATACAATAAGAAGTTTTATAAACGCAAGTGAAATTACTAGTAGAATAAGATTCAATTATATTTCATATCCTCTTATAGTTAATAGCATTACATGCTTCAGTGAAATGTGTTGACATGAAAAATACGTATGTTCCTATTACTAAACGCGACGGAAATTATCAAAGCCAGACACTGTCAGAGAAGCAATATAGAAGAATATCTGCTTTTGATCTCGCCAAGATGCAAACTGGAAAACAACTGCATGTTGTTTCTTTGATTGATTGCCATATAGATCTATCAAAATCTTTACGTGAACTTTCTCGGACTTTTCTCTACAGACTGACAGCTGCAATAACATCTAGTTGAATCCGTTCGCGCAATCATACAACACTATCCATTCGGTTTCAAGTATATTCTCGTTCTTAATGTATCATTACATAAAACAATTGCCTTTAAAACGAGAAACAGCGATACATTTGTCGTTCTCTTTTTTTTCAGTTAGATTCATCAGCGAGTACATAACCTTTTTTTTTCCTTTATTGAAAAAGCGCTGTTGCTGCTGCTGATGATGATAATGATAGAACAAAAATGAAACATAACCACAAGTGTAATGAACATGACGAGAAAAGTAAACGCAAGTGTGCAATTTGTAACAACTATGAGCCAACTACAACGTTGTTTCATACGTGTTACAAGCACTTAAGCAAAGAAGAAAAGTTTCATAGAACGGATTTTCTTTCAAGTTGAAGACACACGCAAACAAAAGACAAAAAAAGATCATTCTCAAGAGAAGATTATATGGTTTTTTTTTTATTTTTGAGCAAGAAGAGACAAGAAACAAAATGAGAGAGAGAGAGAGAAAGAGATTCAGTATTGAATGTATTCTATTCTAACAAGAATTCTAATCTATATACACACACAAAACATAAGATGAAGTAGAAAATAGCTATGAGAAAATAAGCAGGATGAAATGGATAGTAAACACATCAAAACAACAAAGAAAGAGAGACACACACACACATGAAATATCGCCTATTTCTCTTGAACAAAACGCAAATGTCTTTTTGTGATGTTCTTCGTTCTTTTTTCTCAAGTTTTAAGCTTTGACAGCTTTAGCTGTTGTAGCTCCTGCACGTTTAACAAACATACGACGATCATAATGAGCCCAGACCGTTCTAAAATGATTGATATTTTTTTATTGAGATAAATTAGATTTCATTTGATCAGCTAACAATCTTACCGATAGAGAAAACCAGCAACAATGGCACCAACAATTGGACCAATCCAATAAACATAGTGTTTTTCCCATTGATTAGCAAAAATAGCTGGACCAAGTGAACGAGCTGGGTTGAGTGAACCACCGGTGTAAGCACCACTAGAATAGCCCGAAAGATTTCTTTTTCTTTGTTCATGTTTGAATAGTCTTCGCACTTACACAGCAAGGATATTCACAGCCAATGTAAATCCAATAAGAATTGGAGCAAGACCTGTTTTTGATTTTGTATCAAGCGCAACCATGAGAATGACGGTAACAAGAACAAATGTTACAATAAATTCAATTGCAATACCCTGTAATATGAGATGAAATTCATGTCTATCAATTGCATTTCAACGATATTGTAAGATACATACTTGCCAGATTCCGACTTCTTCATAGGTATAAGTTATTCCTCGACCATTGGTTTCATTAGCAACGACATAGGTTGTTAATAATGTAGCTCCACCTTTGCATGCATTGTAAGTATGTCCTGTAAGTAATAAGCGTAAAAGACCGCCAGCAGCAATACCTACAATACAATCGCGATTGTATTTTGAGATCTATTTTTGAAATGCTCACCTCCTAATAGTTGCATGATGACATAGAGAACAGCCAAAACTGCTTGCATTTCACCAGCAATCAAGACACCAAGTGTAACAGCTGGATTGAAATGAACGCCGGAAATATGTCCGAAACTAGCTGCTAGAACCATTAAAGCGAGACCAAAAGATAATGCTGCGGCGATCACACCACCATTGGAGCAAGCACCCCACATACCAATGAGTACAAACAAAGTTGTACCGATCTTAATAAAAACGAAAACAAAATGCCAATGAATTCTCTCAGTTTGTTGTTAACTTTAATAAACTTACGAGTTCAACCAACAGTGGTCGAATAACTTGAATAAATTTGTTTTTGTCTTCGGGTGCACCTTCAACATTCCTAAAGATAAATCCAACATGTTAGATATTGAATTTCCCTAGTCTTGATACACAATCTGATATCTAATATGATGATCGTCAAAATGCACTCAATGCTCGCCTGATGTTTTCTTCTTTCATTAATTCTGGTTCATAATCGTTTGATACATATTTGATTGATGACATACTGCTACGTTAAAGGCAATGTGATGAATACTGGAATGAACGATTTATCTATCTGTCTATCTCGCTATATNCTTTCACCCATCTGCACGAGAAATTCGCGATGCGAATATATATATATATCTCGCTAGTTTTTATATAGCTTTCAATAGACTTTATCAAAACATAGAACATGATCGATGGTACTACTATATATATATTCTTTTTTGTGGTTTAGTACTATGTCATCCATCTGTCATTTTTTTTTCTCTTTTGATAATGCCTCTGTGGTATGATATATTCTTAGAATAACTAATCGTAAAAAAAACGGAAAGGAAAGAACAACAACAACTTTACCACCCACTGATATTGCATTTTTATATCTCTAAGGGGAATCTCATCTAATGATGATGATCATGCCTTTTCGTTTTGTTTTGTTTGCGACGTGCTCTTAGATAAATCATCAAACGAGAGCAATGACCTTCTTTAACAGGTTTGCTTATGTATATATTGGCGAACGCTGAGAACAAAAGTCGATTCATGTAAATTAACTTACTTGATAATATTTGTTTTTTTAATGAATGCAATTTCATCAGGCGATGTTGCCAAAAGATCTTTATGTTCGCTCATTTCTGGTTCCATTTATTTTCACAATAGAATAATCTGTCAAGTAAAATAAATAGGATGAAATTGAGAGAAATGAGATGATGATGAAAGACGAGCTGTTTGTATCTCTTAAGTGGCTTGAAAACAACAGCTGGCATTGATGAGAGAAAAAACGAAGGAAGAAAGTGATGTCGTCTGTTGATCAAGGACTATCAAATTAAAGAATCGCTTCGATTGTGCCAGTTAGATGTAAATGAAGGAGATCTATTATTACTCACTTAATTATCTGATATAAATCTTCTTATATATATCTTTTCTAAAATAAAGTAGACAAGAAAATGATAATGTATAGAAGCATATCGATGAACAACCAGAGACATACACACACACGCTGATTAAATCAAACTGCTGTTTTGCTTTTCTCTTGTCTTTCAAATGAACATAGACACATACTTAGTCGATATGTATAGATCCGCGTGGATGTCGTTATTTAGTGAACAAAAAGAAAAAAAAGAATTCATTTTTCTCTCATTTTTCGTTTATCCAACCGTCGAACAATTGTATTTGATATGTACATGTCTACAAAGGGCACATAGAAGGACGAGGTCGATAACTAAACAAACACGTTTTCGTTGAAAAATATCGTTCAGATATCCATGTGCATGCTTGTCGACGCCTTTAGTCTATCTACTACTGTTGACCTTCTCTATTTTCCTTCGAGGCCAATACAAACGAGAGAAAGAAAAGGAAATTGCTTTTGGATATGTGCATATACACATCTGAATGTTCGTTCATTCGTTGGCATACATGCGTCTATTGTTTGAAATATGAAAAAGCAAACGCGAGAATTGACCAGATGTTGATTGATCGCATATTCATTGAAAAAGCAATGAGTCAGAAGATTAAGTTATTTTCATCACGAATGAATAGAAAGGTAAAAAAAAAAGTTCTGCATGATTGATTGCACTATAAAATAAATGAGAAAATAACATTTGACTGCATATTACGATGTATTTCGCAGCAATTATTATTGTATTTTGTTTATTGCCAACAGTTACTGCTGCTAGCACAGGTAATAGTTATGATACATCATGCACATGTACGCAAGCTTCGCCAAATGGATCATTTTGTTGGGCATGGACATGTCGAACAGATCAAATAACGAAATGTTTTCCTAATGATGCAACGGTTGAAATTATTCAGACACGTAGACGTATACCGATGAAAAATCTAAATATAGGAGATCGAATATTGGTTGATATTGATCGTCATGGAAATCGTATCTATGAACCAGTTTATGCTTTTATTCATGCGAATCAAAACGGAACGTATGATTATTTGAAAATCACAGTTGACAAGAGTTTCGAACAGCCGTTGATGATTTCAAGTAATCATTTGATTTTTCGATTCAATCAAACCAAGCCATGCTTTGCTGGACATTTGAAAATTGGTGATCAGTTACAGATAGTATCAGAACACGGCGCATATCAAGCAGGAACAATAGCCGATATTCAATTGATTAAAAGTCAAGGCTTTTATGCACCACTGACACGCAGTGGGAAATTCTTAATAGATGGTATTTTAGTTTCAAATTATGCAGTTGTGGCTAATCATCAACTTGCTCATTTGGTTATACAACCATATCGATGGGGTATTGAACTTTTAGGATCATCGGCATATTCCGCAAATATCCACTGGTATTTTCAAACATTGTATGACTTTGTGGAAAAAGTAAATAGATGGTTATTCTCGATAGATCTCTATGACGGACATATGATTGTTTCTTCGTATTTATAATTATTATTTTTTTCTATAAATAGATCTTATTAAAATAAACATAAAATTATTTTATATGTTCTTTGCATTATTGATATCTGGAGACTGATACGAGTAATGAGAGAGGTCATTAGTTGAATGTTGATTTGCTCATACTTTCTGCTGTTTTTCAATTTCGTATTTGACATATTTTTCACGGTTATGATTTGCATGGTTTATTCATTTGTATTTATGTTGTCATGTCTCGCTACACAGATTCTCTTCTGGCTTTGTTTGTACAATGTAAAATAATATTATCGATATACATCGAACTGATATCTGGAATGATAACATGTTTTACAGACTGAGTGTGTATTAAGCAAAAGAAGGATATGAGTTTCCGATTAGAATCACCAAATTTATATATAATCTGATTAAGAAAAAAAAAGCCGAAGTGTGGTGTCCGAAAATAATTTACCCCATTTTATAAGATATTATCTATTGTTATTTGAGAATGTGCTATCATTGAAATCAATGAAACAAGAACTGTTTCCTAGCTTTCTATTTCATTACAGGTAAACATAAAAAAAATTATACACATAATTTAAAAGTATTTTTGTGAAATCTTGTTTTGTCAGTGGTCATATTCGGTTTCATATTCATTCAATAAGATACGCTTCGCACTTTTCATCGACGATTTCTCCTAGTTTCGAAAAATCTCACAATAATGCATGTTGACAAGTCGGTAGCACAATAAGAAAGAATAAGATCAAATAATCATGAGCTCATCAGTTGGAGCATCCATCTTTGATGTCATTCAGAAGACAATTAAAAATAGTCAAACCAGGAACTCTATTAGTGATTGAAAGCTGCGGTAATTCTGCAATAACGTCAACCTAGCCTGAAATTTCGTTTCGCAATCAATCTGAAATAGTTTTCAGCAGAGAAATGTAAGATTTTCAGTCAATCTCCTTGTTGATAGTATCGAGTGTAGGTATAACGTTGCTAGATTTCCCTAGAGCTTAATCGATTGTAGTCTTGAGATCTCACCGATTAAGACAATGGTTGAAACGCCAAAATTATCATTTTCTTTTCTAATCGTGGGTGTTAACTAAAGAAGGTGGTGCAGTTTCATTTGTTACGCATATATGCGTCAGGGTAATATTTGTTGGTTAGAAAATAACTTGTTAAAGAATCTTCTTTTACGTGCCAATGGATATTTTCTATTGATAAAATTGTGCGCAATCCGTTTTGTAATCAAAGAAAAGAAATATTTTGTTACTAACTTATATGTTGTGTACAATAAAAAGCAGTGGAGCATCTTTATTATTTTACGAACAAATTTGTCGAATGTATTGCGTCTAATTTAAGAAAATCGTCTGACTGTTTATCTACTGAAGTAGTCAGTTATCCAGCTTATCTTCGCAGATTAGCGCCATCTAGACGTCGATTGCAATTGACTTATAGATTACGCCAATCACTACAAAGTTTGTTGTCAGATCAGATCAGACCAGAAAGAGAGTAAGATCTCCTTTGTGTTATATTAATAATAAGTGTCTGAACCCATCTTAGCTCAATCTAGTATTGATGGCAACAGAGCACGAGCAAACAAGTGTTTCAGCTAATGATAATATAGGTACGGCGGATACGAGCTATGGACAGCATGGTAAAATAAATAAAACGAACGCTAAATTTATGGTTTTTCCCCAACTATTCGTTATTTAGATATTGATCTTGATTTACAAACACAACAACAAAACCAAATAGAAACGGAAGTAGGACTACCACTGATTGACTTAATCGATGATGAATTATGATATAAGCATACTATTTTTTCGTAGGTAGCTTTGACTCAACCGTTGATTAGTGAAAAAATTCCATTAATACAGTTACAGGATGAATATGCATTAGACGACAAAATCTATCAAGATAAAGTTTCTGTAAGAATCTGTCATCAATTTTGAAATCTTCATTTTTGTCCTACGTATTCACAGGAATTAATTAAACGATATAAATATATTCGACGCACCCGTCGAGATGGTAATTGTTTCTATCGTGCATTTGCATTTGGTTATCTCGAGAGAAATCTTAACAATCAAACTGAATTAGAACGATTTCGACAATTAACTAATGATCTTAAAGATCACCTAGTTAAATTAGGATATTTAGAATTCACTGTTGAAGATGTTAGAGACATTGTTCTTGAGATTATTGATAATCTACGTAAAGACGGAAGTGAAACGACTCTAATTGAAAGTTTGTGTTCGTCCAATTATTCGGATTATGTAGTTGCATATTTACGGTAAAGAATATAATTTGTGGAGATTTCTTATCAGTTTCATTGCATAGATTATTTACGTCAGCTTATTTGCAAATGAATCGTGAGTTTTTTGAAAACTTCATTGAAGATGGCAAAAGTGTCAAACTCTTTTGTAATACTGTAAGTTGTTTTGATATTCTACTAACCAAAACAGATCTCATAACGATTTTGTATTCAAGGAAGTGGAGCCCATGGCACGTGAATCTGACAATATACATATAATAGCATTAACTAAAGCAGCTGGCGTTCCTCTACGAGTGGTTTATATGGATCGAAGTGAACAATCAACATTAACTACACATGATTTTGCCGCTCATGACGATGAATCGAACAAAGCATTCCAACCGATGATTACCATGCTCTATCGACCTGGTCATTACGATCTTCTCTACGAAGACTAGTGAGCAATTCTTGTCGAGTTTATAGACACTCCGGTGATTTATTTGTGAATCTAAATTGTTTTCCTTTCTTTAATCTCTGTAATATGATCGTAAACACATTTCAATAAACAAGAATTCTTTCGTCTTTCTATAATTTCTGTTAATTGCAAAAAGCTAGTAAACTGTCGAATATGAAAAATAAAATGTAGTTATGTATATATTAGTAAACGAACATAGGTGTGCGTAGAGAAATTGTTCATGCGTAACCATGTAATGTGAAAAAAAATCAGAAGTGCGTGTGTATCGAACTATATGCATGGCAAGAGAACGATTTCTTTTGTACCATGGTGAATGGAGAAAAACAATTTCAGTCCAAAGTCATGATCGTCCATATAGATCGAACTAATTTATGACCGTATACAGGGAAAAGTATACCAATGTTTTGATTCTATGCAATTGAAAGCAAGAGAAAAAAAGTGATGAAAGGTAGAAACTGACTGACGGTTACACTTGAGTGCTTCAAAAAGTACAGAAACAAAGAAAAAAAGTGTCAGCGAAAAAAAAACGGCAAGATTTTACATTTTTCTAAGTATATTATCATATTACACTAGATATTCGAACACGATCATTCCTATTTGTTTGCCAACATGATGAGATTGTCAGTAATATCAATAGTTGTGACTTTGTGTATAGTCAGCTTAGCTAATGGCAAGCAGTTGAGTAAACGAGGTACTGTTTCAGTTAGCATTCAAACAGTATCAACAAATGATATTTTAAAATGGATCTGTGATGAAAACCCATTGGCTCCATACTTTGGCTTTTGTCAAGGATCTACAACAACGACAAGCACGGCGTCAACGTCAACCAAGTCTGGTGGTACGCTACCATCTCAAGTCACGACTACCATGCCAACGACTGTCCGAGCCGCTGATTCGCCAACAGTTCTCGAACTTGCTCACTGGTGTCGCTTCCCCAATGGTTCATATGCGTCACAGGGCTATCAATTTGTTGACTCAAACTGTAATTACTGTCAGTGTACAAAATCACGTCTGATTAGTTGTCATAAAATGTCATGCATGGCAACATACTGTGTTGATAACACTGTCCCAAGTCGTAGACCAGGTCAATGTTGTTCACAATGTGCATACGAGACCAATTCAACCCGATGCGTTTCAGAGGGTTATTCATTTCCTCACGGTTAGTTCGAATATTGTTCATTGTTGTGCCAAGCTATTCTATTTAATTCATTCCTATGTTTCTAGGTGCTGTCATCAAAACTACATCGAACAAAGTTTACTGTTGGTGTCAACTGGGAACAATCGAATGCCGTAAAATTGGCGTTTCACTCTTTTCTGGTTTAGATGTTTGGGGTGAAGGTACAGCTGTCTACGTCATCATCATTATCTTATGCGTCGTTTTAATTCTCGGTACTTTACTCTGCGGTGGATGTTCACTTCTCTATTACTATTACTACTATTACCATAATCAACAATCTGCTGAACAAGCTTATTGGGACAATGCTGGCTGGCAACCTATGGGTGAAGAAGAACAAGTTGCTGATGCTAGTGCAGAGCAAAAGAAAGCCGAAGCTGAACAAAGCCAACAAGAACAAGAATATTCAACTGGTTTTTCACCAGAATACGTCCCACCACCATATGCACTCTACAATGGTACATACGACAACGAACAAGCAAGCAAAGATCAAAAACACATTTAAAACAAACAATGAGCATTTCATTTTGAAATTTAATAAGACAATCAAATAAAAAAAAAAGGAAACCTTTATTTTTATTTTCCGTTATCTCTTCTCGTTGTTTCTTCTTTCCATTAAAGCATCTCGAAGCGTTGTGATAAGGATATTAATCTGTGTATATAGTTAGCGACTCATCTTTGTTAATACACATGTATCAAGTATTTTTTTACATCATACCCGTATTCACCAATTAAGTACTAACATTTTAAGCAATAAAAGTTATAAATTCATCACTGATGACTGAAATTGGATCGATCAACGCGCAGTTTATATGAATCCTATGATATTCGAAATTCTGTAAAGAACGACGACATCTATTGCTCATTCTGCCGTATTTCTAAAGAGGCAACTACTAGACAACAAGACAGAACCAAAGGGAACAAGTATGGTTAGTTGACATTTACGCTCACTATCACTAAGATTGCCGAAACGATGTCGAATCCACGAAGTACTGGTCATATTCCGTTGAAAACATCCATGACGAATAAATGGAAATCTCAGTAAATTATTTCTTGGAATATTTTTCTTGAAACGAAATTCCATTTCTTCAGGGCACCAACCAGCGAGTTACTGGAACGACAAACTCGAGCATTGGAAGACAGTCTCAATAGACTTAAACTAGCGATGAATCCTGATAAGACCAAAACGACGTAGGCTTTTTTGTTCGATACCAAAATCCATCGATTGACTTGATATTTATTTTCAGCACGGACACAACTGGCCCTATTTGGGACAGGGGAAAAAGTGGACCATTATCTCATTATGCAAATCATGTTTTACGCGATGAACCACGAAAACAATTTGATGTAAGTTATTTCGAGTTCAAAATCTCAAAAGAGAGCGGTTTCATCAATCTAGGCGAACAAACCAACAAAAATTCGTGTTCTAACTGATGAACCAGCTGGTATATGAACCTATTTTACTGAGACTAATTCACCTGTCGGGATCTTTTCAGTTCCGGTCAATCGGCCATCGATTGTTGCAAACATGTTATCGGCGAAATCTAATGGGAGTAATGGCAAAACGACTAAGTGTGGTCAATGTGAAAAAGATGAAGCAAAAATGGTAAAGAAATTTATCAATTTTTACAGAATCGAATTTTTCTTGCGTTGAAGAAATGTTTGGAGTGTGCTGAATCGTATTGCACGACTTGTTTCGCACATTTTCATCTTCGGGGTGCTCTGCAGCGACATCGATGTGTTCCACTCAGCGAAAGTCGACCATCAACACCTCAGAAAAAGAAAAAAACGTAAAATTCCTCGATAGAATATAGTTCTCATATGATAGAACGTTTCTTTAAAGTGTTGGAGCCGATGTCATCTTCAAAGAATTGCGCGTAGCTCAATCGAAAGATGATTTTCTTCGGAATTCTACAATGGCAACAGAAGCATACGAATACATCGATGATGAGATTGACTATGAAAATGGTGATGAAGGAAGAAATGGTGGAGAACTACTCACTGGAAACTATGATGAGAAAACGAGCGCAGCATCATTTCAACAAGCTCTTATGCAATGGCGACAACAAGGTAACCACAAGAAGAAAGGCCAAACAAGCAATCCATCGAAGAAAAAGTCGACACACGAAGTGGCCGTTGATACAGTTTATGATACCAATGGAGAAATGAATACAAACTCTGTACCGAATATTGAATTTAGTACTTCAAAGTTAACATATGCAGAGAAACTTTTGGTTAAAAAGTATCGACGTTCGAATAAAAACAATCAAGAATTTTTTAATCAGCGAACAATCAAATCTAATGCAGCTTTGAAGGAAGAATCGAAGAGATCAAAAGAACTCCAAGTAAATCAATCATTACCGGAAGTGTTCGATTTAAGGAATGTCAAAATAGATATTGAGGTAAGATCGACTTGGCACAAAACAATTCAGATTTAACATGTTTCTACTCTTGTCTAGCCTATGTATGATGAATTGTCAACCATGCGAACAAATGAAAGGTATTAAAATCAACGTGAAATCTGTTTGAATAATGTAGATGAAAAACAATCTTCCTTTCACTTACACTTTCAGTGCACGGACAATTATAATGGAAAATGATCATCATAACGATCAGCTCGAAGAACAAGATGACGAAGAGGAAGAGCTTCTACGCTTAAAACAAAAAGAAGAAAGACGACCGAAGAGTCGAGCATCAACGAAACCAATCTCACGTCCAAACAGTTCGGCTATGAGAAAGAATTCTGCAACATCAAGACCTAGTTCCGTGGCACTGTTTCAACATCCACTGTATGTTGATTTTTTTTCGTAATAATACATTAATTCATATTGATGCGAACTTTTTAGACCTTCATTATTACAAACCAATCCTAGTGAGGAATTCAAGTCGATCGTTGACCCTCAATCACGACCGTCATCGGCTGCTTTGAAAAAGCCCGCGAAGCCTGACTATCGTCGTACGTTTTGCGTTAATAGGATTTCTTTTTCCGCAATCAGTTACTCTTTCTCTAGTTCCATCATTGTGGAATCGGAATTGGAAACCTGAACAAAGTATGTCAGATGGAGTAGACGTGAACTTGGTCCGAATCGACCAAGCAGCTGTCACTCAATTTGATCTAGCATTGAATGATTTGCTTGACGAAGACAAAATCGAAAATGCTGGTCGATCAGATAATCCACTTCCAACAAGTCGACCATCAACAGCGAAACAACCGGCATTGTCGTTACCTCCTTTGAATCCACCACCTTCTCCGTCACCGTTATCCTCACGACCAGTCACTGCTCGTTCGGAGAAAGAAAAGCATATAGAGTCATCAACACCAACACCTCGACAAAGCTCGTTGTTTAACCTTTCGAATTCACCTAGTAAAGTGGACTCTTCGTCATCCATCGATGCCGGCGATGGTGGGTTTTTTACTGATGTAAATCCGCCACGAAAATCGATCCAATCTCCAGCTCCTCCCCCAGTCGCAGGTCGTCCGCTTTCGAGCGAATCCAGACATTCATTCACTCAGCGATCTGCTCGTTCATCAGTCGAACAACGTCCTGCGATTCCTAACTTGATGTCACTAAGAAAAACTTCTATAGAAGCTTTAACCCGTCCACCACCAAAACGTTCCATTACACTTGAAGAAACCCATAATCAAATTGATGACTACAGTCGACCAGGTTCCTCACTTTCATCTGCTTCACTTCCCGTCTCTGTTATTTCATCTAAACCGGATCTTATATCACGACCATTGATAGAACGATATCCAAAAGTTAATCCTCAAGCAGCAGCAGCACCACAGACAATTAAGAAATTTCGTGTTGAATTTCAAAAGAAATCTGCCCCGCCCACTGTTCCTGCAATGGTCATCGAAGGGAAGAAAGTAACATCAGCAAGCACTTCCGCACGTGATAACGACGACTATCTTCAACAATCCATGAATTCAACACGAGGTAAAATCTCAGCTGGCGTTCAACGATCGCAGAATGTCGTCAAAGCTAGTACGAATAGTTCAATGACAACAGTTACACGTGATGAAAATGCTCTAAAAGATGAAAGCTTGACAATTACTGATGCCCAGGTAAACAAAAGTATCACTCGCCGGTCAACGAACACCGAACGAAAACCAACAAAATCAAGAACGATGGAATTTACAGTTCGCGATGGGGTCAAATGGCAACACGCATCATCCGAGTAAGATAATATTGATATTTATGATTATGCCAGAGAGAAAACGCGAGCTACTTTATTTGTTAAATACATCTATCCGTCTATTTACTGTCTTAGATAAGAAGATAATTCAACTTTGATAGTACTTGAACGCTTTGTTGAAGCATTTCGTTAATCGTTTCGTTGTTTTTATAATTGAAATCTGTTATTTCAGTTCTGTACTGTCAAAATCCATTTCAACGTCTGGAGCTCGTCAATCTGTGAAGGGAAGCATAGCTCGACCATCCACGCCATCAAATACAGCCAATTCAAGTGAGTTTACGAGAACCATTTCCTCTTCATACTCACTGAAGGGGCGCTATCGTACTTTAGAACTGGCACATCAATTCAGTACATACGACATGGATGACGGTAGATCATCACGTGCATGTCAAGATGTGTGCGATGAACAGTCGTTCAATCAACTTCGGGAAGAACTTTGTTCCGAATGTTTGTATCGATTCACGCATTTTCTCGTTTGTATTTTATGTTCTCTTTATCATTCATAGTGGGTATGAATAGTCCAGGCTGGGATGCAAGTTTAAGTGAACATGTTCTAAAAAATCTTCGTGGGACTGACATGCCATTCAGTGAAAAAGAGTTACAAGATAATCTGAATATGCTCGAAATAAAACTGCGGTGAGTTTCTTTTCTCTTCTGCAAAGAAATGATTGACAAGTACATTCTTCTTCTAGAGAAAGTGAGTCAGCGCAACTTACACAGAGAGATGATGACGACTCAACAGTACATGATGAAATTCGAAACTTATAAACACTGTCATACCGATACGCTGCTTGCTTGTGTTTCTTTATGTACTGACCAGTGATCTTTATTCTATATCATATGCTAGTAGAATGTGTGTTTATATATTTTTGTTTGATTTTCACTTAATCGATTTCTTTCATTCAATAAAAGAGAATGAGACACGCTTTTCAAGTCACTGAAACTCTTATTCGAATAGAATATTCTGTTACTATGCCATCTATCGATCTGTAGATCATTTCCCAGTCATGTAAAAACAAACGAACGAGCTCTATACTCAAAATCTGGTTGGTTACACCTTCAAAATCCATCTTTTACTTTATGGACAAATACTTTTCTGAATTTTTTTCTCCAAATCATTACGCATTTGCATTACATCATATTCCAGCAGATATATAATGACATGTCCTCCTTTAGATCAACATCATTTCATCACTTGATTCGCCGTTATTATTTTACTAATATAATCAATCGATTCTATCCAATGGAAATTATACAAGAAAAGGCAAAACTAGCCGATGAACGCATTCAACAGTTAAAATCGTTAATTGCTACTACAGGTACGCGTGAGTACGCTTCACTGCCGATATTATATTAAGATTTAACACTGTCTCGTTTTAGGACAACTCAATCCTGAGATTTACGTTAAAGTACTTCAAGATGAAAACGATCGATTGAAAAAACGAGTCCAAAGTCTTGTTGACGAAATAGTAACATTAGAAAATGAACGTGGAGGTAGACGTTTCTGGGAAATTTTCGAAAGCAGTTAATAAATTTTTATTTTTAGTGAAACAACAATATGACTTTGTGAACAAAGTTCCAAAGGCTCCTACTCAATCATCTACTAAGTCGGTGGAAGTCCAACAGCCAAGAGCTGAAGCTGCTCCTGCTGCTGCTGCTGCCGTCGGTGGCGAACAAGCAGAAAACAAGGATAAGAAAGATAAGAAGAAGAAGCCTGCCAAAGAAGGTTAGTCGAAAGTGACCGAAATGAAATATTTTCAAACAAAACTTTTTCTTTCAATAGAAAAACCAGCGAAAGCACCGGCTAACAACGCCATTGATATTACTCGATTTGACTTACGTGTGGGAAAAATCGTACAGGTTGAAAAGCATCCCGATGCTGATTCTCTATACGTTGAACAGATCGATGTTGGTGAAGAAAAACCACGAACAGTAAAAGAGACTTCCACTCGGTCACCATCGCCCTACTTTTCTGTACTGATTTAGGTATGCAGTGGTCTTGTTAAACACATGCCAGCAAGTGATGTAAATGCTGAACATCTATTTGTTCCATTTGTATATTCGATATACTCATTTTTAGCTCGATCAAAAAATGGTCATTGTTTTATGTAATTTAAAACCCGCTAAAATGCGTGGAATTATGTCTGAAGGAAGTACGTAATCACATTTCTACACATATGTTTACATTCGATCAAGTATTGTTTCAGTGGTTATGTGTGCGTCAACACCTGACAAAGTTGAATTTCTTGAACCGCCAAGTGATAGTAAACCCGGTGACCGAGTAGAATGTGAAGGTTATGATTGTACATCTCCCGACGCTCAAATCAAGAAAGAATTGTCCGATCAAATTCTACCCGATTTGAATACAAATGATAAAGGTGAAGCAACATTCAAGGGCATTCTCTGGAAAGTAGGCAGTGGTAAAGGTGTCATTAAAGCGAAAAGTTTGGTCAATGTACCTATCAGATGATCTCTTCGAAAACATTTTCTGTTTTTCGTAACAAGAATGCTTTCATAATCATATTGTTACATTCTTTTCTTTTACCGATTAAATCAAGAGATCGATAATATGATGAACTATTTGAAAAGTAAATACATGTCGTCATTGTCACATATATAACTGAAAATTATCTAACGAACAGCGTCCTCTATCATCAGCAAAAGTCCATTCGACCTTTTTCAATACGATTATAAAACCTGTCGACTATCTGTGTACAACATTTCCGAAATTGATGAAATTTTATGATATTCTTTTATATACAGAGGCAAAAATTCTTGATTAATGGTCGTCCTTTTTTCTGCTTCAACTCTAAGCGTCTCTGTATCTCTGTTTCTTTCTCACATACCCCTCTTCCTTTCTTTCGGTTGGTTTCTTCCTTTTTTCTTTCTTTTCTGCCAGCTAGCTTACAGCTTTTTCTTCGTCTTCATCGTTTTCTTGCCCACTATTTTTCATTGATTTAGTCTGTACAGAATTCTTCTGGCCACTTTCTTTATGTGACACTGAGAAGTCCACTCGCGTTTTTTTCCCACTTAATTGAGTATGACATAGCACACATTTTCATCGTACGCCATGTTTTGTAAAAAAAACTATTTCAATCTTGCAAACAGAACGTATTTTGATGTTTATTTGACTGTGAGAAACGAGATAAAAAAGCGCAATGTCATCAATAAATAGAAACAAGAGAGAGAGAAAGAGGGAAAAACAAGACTCGCTTTTCTTTGTCTTATATTCAATGATAAGAGACAACAAACAAATATAGTAATAGAGCTACTGCATCATCGTCGGCGACTATATTACGAATGAATATCTGTTTCTCTTCTTTCCTCCGCACGTCTTCCCTTTTTAGCGCTCTTTTTCTTGCTTTCGATTAGAAAGACGAGTGGGGATGTTGTGTATATTGCATACCCTTCTCATACCTCCTTGCTTAATTCATTCAATCCAAAGGAAAGAAACAACGACAAACGCACATTTTTACCGTACTAAACAATCTTAATACAGAACAAAATCCGTCGTCCGAGTGTTGCTTATTATTTTTCTTTTTGACGAGGAAAACTTTCTTTCCATCTTCTGCGATGTTAAATCTCATGCAACGAAAGTCTCCATTTTTTTCTCTTCCGCACTTGTCATGTGCGCTTGAGTTTACACACGTATGTACGCACATGAAATAGACAGAGAGGGAAAAAAATGCGCACACACGCACACTTGTCGTAGATGTTCGAGTATCTGTCCGGTGGGTTGAACCCTACTCTGTTTTGGGCTTTCTTCATCTCTCTTTTTTTCTTCCTCTTCTCTTCATCATGTCGTTCATTCTTTCATTTACTTGGCGAACATGCAAACGGGCACGGTAGATACATACCAAGAGGACAAAACGGACGATACATATGCTTGAGCCGACGCTCTCGAAGCAGAAGAGAAAGAAAAAAAAAGTATATTATTAAGCTGTCGTCGATTTTTTGACAATTCTGCCGTCCAGTGGCATCATCATCACCGCTCATCTGACATGTTTTTATTCTAGATCATCATCTTTTGCTTTACATTTCGTTCTTGTCCATGCTTGTCAACTGATCTCTATTGATTCTTTTTCTACATCTGACAATATACAAACACGATAAACCAAACTATCAAAACAAGAGAGACTATACACGCGCTATTTGTCTTTCACATTTGTTCAAAACAAACAGTAGTCTTTACTCTGTGATCGACCGAACTACTCGTGTGATAAACGAGTACCCGTTTTTGTGTTTTTGTTTCGCTGAAAAGAAAGTAATCGAATAATAATGATGATGACTATGGACCAACCTTCAGCGTCTGGTGAGAAGTCAGAAATCGCTTTTCTTTCTTTATTATCTTTCTATTTTCACTAGGATTCGGTGATTTCGGCGGTGCTTATGCATCTGATCCATTTGCATCAAATCAATCATCTTCACCACCAATTGGTAATGATCCAGATGTTGATTGGAGTGTTTTCGAGAATGCTGGTATGAAAACGAGTTTCTCTTCGCATCCATGTTGCTATACACTTCTTGTTTTCTAGAACGATATTTATTACGTGATGATAGTGCATGGATAACACGATTAAGCAAAGACTTTTGGTGGAATCTCGATCGCATTTCGGAAATGATAACCCACGATATTCCATCTGCTCAACAAATGAATAATCGACCTAATCAGCAGAAATTCAATCAACAATCTTTCCTTCAACAATCAGCTCCACCTGCGAGTAAACCGTTTCCTCCGCAAGCTCCAAATCCAATGCAATTTACAGGTGTTCCACCACGAAAAATCGTTGGTCAACGTGCTGGAAGCAATGCATTCCGCAATCCTTCGATGTTCAATGGTGGTTTTGCTTCACCTCCACCCTCCTCATCATCGTCGTCATCGTCATCAGGCTCAACGATTGTTCGCCCACCAAATACCAATCTTGCTATGAATACGAATTTCAACATTCCAGACAAATCTAGTTTCTTTCAAGCTTTTTCATCAATGTCACTTGCTGGTGGTTCTAATGATCAAGATATTGAATATAATCCATTTCAATCAAAAATATCATTTGATAACAACATGTGGGGAAACAATTCCCAACAACCAATCCCGTGGCAATAAATTGAAGACAAGAATAAAGAAAAAAAATATTACCAAGTCAGTCAAACGTATCTCATCCCTTCTTTTCTTTTTCGTTTCTCTCTATCTTTCTCTCAGCGACAAAGTATGCGCACTTGTTCTTTTCCTGTGATTTATTCTATTATAATTTCTTCTTTTTTCTAATAGTAGTTAGCCGTCTATACATGTGTGTGCGTGTGTGTGGGTCTTTGCAATAATAGTTTGTGTGAGAAAGCTTCTTCCAGCCAAAAACAAAACTTAATTCTCTTCGTATGAACAGCAAAACACTTCTTTTTTCTTCTTTCGTATCTTGTTGTATTATGAAATACCTTTTTTTGATGATAGGATGTATTGTCCGTCCTTCGAATGACGCGATGGATCTCTTGAGTTCCTTCCATTGTCTATCGAAATGATAATGTTGACTATAGATATACATATAAACTTCTCTTTTTTTTGATAACAAAGCTTTTTTCGTGTAACATTATTACATAGACGAGAAACCAACGATTAGGTGTCACACGAAAACTGGACACATGAAACGAAAGAAAAAAAAAGGACACAAGACTGATGTCTTATGTCCTAGAAGAGAACGATGAGAAAGTAAACATGGAGAATAATATAGGTTTGTGTGTGGTAGTGGTGTGCGTCTGTGATGTGTCGTATGAAAAAGAAGTTAGAAAAGGAAAGAGAATGCAAAGAAAATATAGTGCTTTGGATGGTTTCGGTTTAATCGACAGATAGATTGATTTGTTCTCGTATTGAACATAAGAACGAGTGAAAGAGCCAGTAAACGTGTTGACTCAATTCGATATTGCATACGTAAAGCAGACAACGAGAAAGAATAGTCAGTTGCATTGAATTCGTTTTATATTGTATATGTTGTTGCATATATACCGAACGCTTCGTACGTTATTCCGATATAGCAATTTTTGTACAGATTCGACCGACACAAGAATGATCTAGTTTATCGACGCTTCTATATAATACGACGTTGATGATTTCTTTTAGACTTCTTCTAGTATGTATACTAGATGATCTTTAAATGTGATGTCGGTGATTGAATTGCTTGTTTAAGTAGTCCTACTGCATAATTCTTGATCTTTGGGATGTTGCTGATCTGGTAGATGTTTTCAATCGATGTGAATATGCGTAAACCCAATGCAGCCTGATTGCTTTGTTCTGTATAATTTGTAAGCGAACCCATAGTTTTCGATCAGCTGCGAGAAGGACAGGATAACCGTGTAATATGACTGTACGTACAATTGACTTGAAGACATTTATCATCGTCTTGTTTTTTTTTTATTTTGCGCTGATCTCGACAGATATCGAAGGACACCGATCCGAAACCAAATCTTAGATTCAATATGTGCTCAACATTTTAATCTTTTGTCGATGATGACACCCAAAAACCTCTCTTTTCTAGTTCCTTCGTGCACAAATGTCTGATGTCGTCTCTTTTGTTCCTCTTTTCAATACGCAAGAATTTTCTTCTTCTGCTGCTTTTATTCAAATGCAAAAAACTCTTTTCTTCACAACAGTGAAATGCAACGACTAGATCAAAAGATCCCATGACAAACATTTCCTAAAGACGAACTCCATTAGCGCGTATGTACAGAATTGCGAAAAGAAAACAAACTTTCTCTCTTGTTTACAGTGATTCTTAGAACAAACACATGCACTGTATTCTATCTTATCGTTGTGTGCTAGTCCTCCACTTCTTTTTGTTTCGTTTTTTTTTCTTTCTTCTATTTCGCATGCTGACCAACTCCGGTGTTTGTTTATCTCGCTTCCAGTAACATACATTTATCTATATGTCCCATTGTTCAGCATTGTTTATCGTCAGGGATTGAAGTTTCTTCAGTCAAAACAGTGAATAAATTTTGCATCCCCTATTTCCAAATCAAAAACTAAAAAAAGACGCGTACACACACACATACACATTGAACCTTTGCGAATCGTTAGAAATGAACTAAAAACAACAGCCTACATTGAGACTTGAATACAAACACTTTTCCTTACTCTCTTCGTTTTGAATGCTCATTTATCTTTTCATTGCCTAAAAATCATAACTCAGATATTTCTTGTTCTTTCGACATTAGTATACAAATATGCGAGAAAAAAAGCAGATTCTTCAAACAAACGAAAAAAAAACTAAATGCGAAGGTAAAGCTTGATCTCTCTCTCTCTCTTTGTTCCGGTGTGTGTTCGTATCTTCTGCGTCTTGGGTGCTCGTTTGAACATGCGTGAGATATCGAGTTTAACGCATTCTCTCCATCTTTACCCACTTTGTACATTGATGCGCATTGATTTTCTTCGTCAGTCATTTCACATTACAGTTATATACAACTATTCATACCCGCCTGCGTGCGGTGTTTTCTTTTTTCGTGTTTGTTTGTTTCTTTCTCTCCATTTCTCGCGTGTGTTCATGTATATATATATATTTGGTTTTCTTCGGTCGCCTCATTGAAAAAAGAAATCCTTCCAAACATCAGTGCATTTTCGTTGCTCTTAGCCAGCGAACTTTCTCTTCTTCGTTTGTTTTTCGTTTTTATCTGATCGTCTTTCCAAATAACAAAAGAAAAATGGAAATAGAGAAAAGCTTTGAAAGGAAAACAATATGTATGTATTCGAAATTCCATTCACTTTTTTCAGTCATTGTCTGTTTCTTGTTTTTCGATTGTTCTGAAATGATCAAAACTAAAGCACACACATACTGTTATTTCTGCAACTTAATATATACATGTATCTCTCTCTCTCTCTCTCTCTTTTCCTCTCAATTTTGCGCGATTGCGTTATTGTGTTTTTTTTCTGTTTTCTTGTTCTCTGTCGCTTTAATGAACTCAATCAATATTAAATTCATGCACAAATTTCAATAAAATACCAGAATTTCAAAATCGAATGTTCTTTGTAGAGGTCTATCCACTGATCATGATAATTAATATTGTTTCCGGACGTGCGATCGTGCCTATCTAAGATCAATGCAAACTGATGATTCTATGTGATCAAACGGGTACATATCTGAAGTCAATGTCGAGAGAAGTTTGTCAATTATCCATTTGTATCTATGTACAAGTCGATTTTGACAATCTCATTGGGGCATAGATCTCCGAAGGCAATTTCTGGCGCTGTTAACACAAAATCTGTTGTTTTTCAACATGTCAGACGAAATGATTGTTGAAATTTCTGGTGTTTTGGACAAGTATATCTGTCTGAGAAGGTCGTTCGTTCCTAGGAGAACTGTACCGAGTAGCACAGATATGATCTAGCAGAGGTTTTTATGAATGGAAACGATTCAGATGTTAATCGGCTAACAAATTTCGCCATTGTGTGGAAATGGACTAAACCGCCGAGGTTTGGTCGCAAAATTGACTAATAGATGACGTAAATGAAGATAGATTGTAGAATTTATCTTCGCTTCTCTTGACGTTGTACAATCAGCATGTGGTAAATGACATTTCAATATATAACAAATTCTCAAGACAAAAATATCACTGATCAGACTGATGAGCAACATCGGAGAAATGCCATCAGAAATGGATATACATCAAGAAACAAAACAGAAACTCTGTATCAATACCAAATATCACTACGAAGAAATCAAAATAAAAGAACTATTCAATCCAGCATTTGTTCCACCATGAAGTTTCTCCGTGTCACTTATTTTTCAACATAATCACTGATAGTCTCCATAGTCATTCACCTTGGAATAGTTGACATACCGGGTGTCGATATCACTCATGCTAAGAAATCCAATAGAACAAACAGCAGTTCATCGACGACGACCACTACACTTGTCTAGCAATGATATATAAAAGTGCTCGTCAGGTGTCCGATTACTATGAAATGTTAACATAATACGATCAATGATCTGCTGAAGATTATCAAATCTATCAATAGCATCGACTAGGGAAATTATCATTTTCATCTGATAATGATTTTCGATATATCGGAAAAAGTCAGTTGATATCAGACATAACAAGTCAATTCCTGGATGTCGATTGAGAATGATTTCGAAGAAGGACAGATAAACAGTGAATGGCTTGTGCATAGAATCTTGTTCTTTGGTTCGATGAGCCTATCATTAAAGGGAGGAGAATTGGCCCAAATGTTTTTTCTTTGTTCGTACATCTTTATGTCTAATCACAAATAATTACTCTTTCTTATCTCGTATTTGTCTTTTTTTCTTCGAGCATAACACCATCCCTGATTTGATTCATGTGTTGTATTTACACGAAGGGCGGTCGTGCATCTAACTCTATCTGCAAAGGGACAATTGTCGTCATCAATAAGTCAATGCCATAAGCAGGAAAGGAATATCGCGTCTATACAGATAGAACGATAAACGTTATCCTCATCGTCAAGGGAGTCTTTTTGTGTATATGTATATATGTGGCAAGAGATGGATAATAGCTCAGTGCCATCAACATCGACCATCAAGTAAGAAAAGAGAGAAGAAAGAAAAATGAAGAGAAGAAGAAAAGAAGAACAAGATATTGCTATCTGAAGGTGATAGGAAAAGCATAACATTGTCGAGAATTGCGAACGGGACCAATGTTGTTTTTTCATCAATCTAACTCGCTTTTCACCGCCTTGTCACTACGCCTGCTAACAAAAGAATAACACACCGACCTATTCATGCTTGAAAATTCATTAAATTTCTTTGCGTTTAGATTTCAAACCATGGCAAGTATTCGCAATGCTCCGGTTGATATCGCGTCGGCACGTATTTTGCACTATCTTCGAACGCACAATTATGATGATTGTGCAATTTATATAAATCGTCTCAGTCCAAATACATTCCGTAAAATTTTAGCAAATGATATCCCGATCGATATCTTAATCGCTCAGTTACCATTTTCAATTGAAGTTTTTGAAGTTATCTACTCGAAAATCTTTATTCACGATCCAGACACATTTCCTTTGCGAATTTTGAAACCTGAACAGATCATATCGAAAATGATCAGCATTTTCACGACTTCATTTACGGACAAATTAACCAACTCGACAACAATGACAACAACAACAACTACAACAAGCCCGATGATATCAAAACCTAAACAGATGGGTGTCGATGATGAACGTTTGTTAAGTAATCTCTCAAGCATCTTACGAATCATTTCGTATGTACAACCAGTTCTATTCAAACGTCTTTTACGTCAGAAGGAGACGATTGATGAATGTATCCTTCATTTCGAACAGCATCCGACACATTTAGCAAGCACACCGTCGCTTCATAGGTCAACATCATCATCATCGTTGATACCCAAATCTCTAGAAGAAACTATTCGTCATGAATTAGAATCAACGATTGTTTGTTGTCAACAGGCGTTACATCGATTAGAAACTAAATCATTAACAACACAATCAGCATTATCAACTCATTCAACACCGATGCCGAGCCGGAAGCATTCGACAATTTCAACAGGACATTCAGCAAGTTCGTTCGATGACATTCAAACACGACTTTTTCATCACAAAGCCATTTTGAATATGGTCGAGCCGTATCTATCTCGCACAAAACTATATTCAGTTATGGACAATCTTGGACAGAAAGTTTCCATTGACAAGAAAATCCTACTAGCATATGCACACATAAAAACACACGAAAAGCAAATTGCATTTGGTGAAACTCTACTACCACTATTCAAACGATTCGCTTTTGCTTATGAACGTAAGAGTGCACACATCTGTGAATATATATTTGTGCATATATACATGTCTGACGACTATTTTTAGGCATTATTCAATTATGGAGACGAGTAACTGACAGTGCATTAATCGATGAATGCAATGACGATGTTGTGATTGATATTACAACTGTTCCGGCTGGTCCTGGAGGTTGTTTCGAACGAGCACGTTCTCGTAAGTGTTTTTCTCAACGATTTTACAAGTGAAAGAAAAGACACAACTGTCAGCGGGAGAAGAAAATCAATTTATATTCCTTCGAAAATTTATTTATTTATCCCGTTAATTAATTCAGGATGAGAAAGATGTCTATAAATAGAAGCAAAATCTTGCTTCCGTTTGTAAATGAGTCAGATCTGTAATAAATCCATTCAATCACCCTTGCTCTTGCTTTCATGTAAATAGAGCATGTTTATCGAACAGCAGTAGTCTGTAAGGAACAAGGCAAAACGATTTCTCTCCCTCTGGGTCTTTCTAATAAGCATCTCAAATGAACAGACGAACGAACGAGCGAATAGTACGGTAATTATCGAAAAGAATTCTGTAATCGTATACTGTTGAAAAAGAAAAGAGTCGAGGCGAGCAGGGCATCATTATGTCATAACGAAAAAAAAAACGTTTACCTTCATCTTTTCTTTCACAAATCAAAAGACAGAAGTTATGTGTGGTTAATTTTATGTCTGATCGAGAAATTGCTCAATATCCTGAACTGTTATTTATACATCTATATACTAACGAGTGATAGACAGATGAGAAGAAATGAGATGATCAACTAAATAGGCAAGCACAAGAGCAATGACGAGAACGAGAGCAGAAGAGGGAGAGAAGGAGAGAATGTAGCAAGATGTATGCACCTTTGTATATTGTAGACATTTGCTTTTTCTTCCCTTTCACTCATCATCATCTTTTTTTCTTCACACACATACGGATATCCATACACTCATCATATTCCATATCAGTCTCACAATATCTGAAGACAAAACCACATTTCTTCTGTGGTCGTTGATTTCTGATCATTACTTTTCCATTCATACTTTCAATGACGACAGTTACGCTCAGATCAAAGAAGCCTATAACGCACAGCAGTCCAAATCATCATTACAAATATGTTCGTTATTCTCTTTTAGAAGAACCACGATCATGCCGTCATCGTTATGGTAAGTACGAAAAAAATGATGGCTTTTCTATTAAATATTTCAGTCAATGAACGGATATTCTGAATGTAGAAGCACGCAGATTGAATCAGTTCAGTTTATGAGATAACCACTTGTTGTTGTTTCATATGAGGTCTCATTCATATGTTCATCTTGATCTTGTTAGAGTATACGTGGAGTGAGGAAGGAGGAAAACCACTTATGATGAAATAATCGATTCAGGATGACGCGAAATATCATCACCGTCGTTGTACCGTTTTGCTTTATTTTCTTTGTGATGATCATGCTAATAATTATGAGAGCAGATATCATATTTCTCGCACTTCGAATTCTCACTGGTACCATGTTCATTGTTACTAGTCAAACATTCAATATACAAGAGGATTAGTTATGTATACGAATGTGCATTGTCTTCGTTGGTATATAAAATGAGTCAGAGCACGAACACCGATCGATTGACACTTTATTTTACTTTGCTGTCATGTACTAAGTCTCGCAGGACAACAATGAATAGATCGTTTAGATTACCACCGCGTAAGACTTCATCTGATGGTAAGTATACTCATATTTCTGTTCTGAAATCTGTTCTTCTGAGAACCGTTGATCACTCGTTACAAATCTCTATCTTTCGTTTTTTCTTTTAGAAATCGATCGTCTGTTCTATAAAGATGACATGGCTGTTAAAAATGGTCGATCAAGTACGTAACGATTCAAATGCTTGAGTGTGATTGCATGTATTTTTCTCAAAGATAAAGTAGCTCTTCATTTTCACCCTCGTTTCAATTCGTACCTATGGATTTCGGAAGTTCGAGGTTGATTAGATCAGATTAATTTCAAGGAAGAAATTCTTCTCATTGAAAACACCCATGAGAATCTGTCGAATGGAAATATTATCTGTTATTCGAGTTCGATAAATATTGGCCTCGACATGTTCCCATCAGTAATAAAAGTTAATCATTAGTGCAACTAAGAGATAACGATTATTAGGAACATTTAAGAAATATGTCTGCACTTTTGTCATAAAAATACGTTGCATTTGGATGGTTATTTCGTTTTCCATCAATGTTTATCAAAATGAGACTCCTCCAGACGCGAAGTAGTGTACTGTTTTATTATTCTAGCAAGGACGTATCTCTCGATTAGGACTGTGTTTGTCAAACTGTCATAAACCGAATAACTTAACAGCATTGTCAAAATAATTCTGTAATTGAATGGAGTGATGGTATACTTTATCTAATCGAAATAACTGCTTCATAATAAGCTTAACAGATCCTTCTGTGATTCGGAAATGCGCGCGCGCGCTGAAAAATCATTTTCTTTTCCCTCGATTTGATGTTGTTCTAAGAAGATTAGAATAAATATGAAATAGAAACGCGCAATCTATCTTATTGACATTGACATGTATACACCATTGCTGACAAAGATGTATGTCTAGCGAAGTGTACAAGTATTCGTCACCTTGACGCTGGAAAGGTCATTCAAAGATTTGTGAAACATCTGCATACGCCTCGGATAGTTCAATGTTTTCTTTGATGAATATTCTCTCGATATTTAATATCGTTCATGCTGCTTTTCTTATCTTCTCAGTGACATAATTTGGTTTCCTTATATACCCATACTGACCAGAGATAAAAGAACAAATATCGCCTATAGTTGGTTACTCAAAAGAGAAGAGAATCTCACCGGGACATAATTTTCTTTCCCGTCTGATTGAGTCTGGAGTTATTCTTAGACACAGTCAGGAATGTTTACTTCATAATATTAGACATAATGACAATAAAGGCGCGAGAGTCGATTGAAGCATAAAATGATGCTGTCGTTTGTTTTTGCGTCGATCTTCCTATAAACATCGAATGACACCGAAAAGACAAACATTGATATGTCACGCAAAGGGAGAGGAAGGAAAAGATCAGGGTTATTACAATGCGTTACTTATACGGCTGAATGACTGATATCATAGACATTTGAAATAAAGACATATTTTGTCTTGAATAATTAAATCATAATTTAGTAAACAAGGCTCTTTTTGAGTGATAATCATGGTTGATTGTAGTTATTATTTATCCATTAATGTAATATTAGAATTGTATGTTAAGCGCGATGAAAGAAGAGAGAAGCATTACTAGGCCATCACCCAGATAGAAAATGGAATAGTAGAAGAAGAAAAATGAGAGACAGAGAGGAACAAGAGAGCAAGAAGAAGGAAGATATCGTTCCTCTGTATACAGATACACGTACTCGATCTTTACTCTCTGGATATCTGACAACGGAACGTGTTTATCAAACTTCATTGCGTTTTTATTTCTCGCCCGAACTGGACTCACTTGTGATATCGAATCTTTTCATCATTACTCGAACGTTTGAGTTATTCGATATCTGTGTCCGCTCGCTCGAGCAAAATAACCAAAATGTCAAATACTGTTGAATTGCAACTAATGTACACTCCAACACATCTCATTGATACTCACAATTGCAAACAACAACAACAATCAACTAGCAAACTTGTTAACAGATATCTCTCAACAGCCGCACAATATCTCAACCGAACAAAAAGCTTCCATGTCACGCCTACAAATTCCAAACATCACTATCTTCAAGTTCCAGTCATTTCAACAAACGCGTCAGTAAGCAATCTAGCGCCATCGATTTCGAACGACATGCACACGACAGAAGAACTCTCCTTCGATGTTACACCAGTGTCAAACGACGAAACAAATTCATCCAGTATACCTTTGGATGAAAGTAATAATAATTCAATCAATGTCAATAAAACACAAGGTCTTGTCAATACATTACGACGATCATTGAGAAAAAATAAAGAACGATTTTATAATAAACAATCGACAGCAATGAAATCCTGTCATTCATTGAATACACATGATCAACCAGGCAACGATATTCAAGATGTCTATAAGAAGATGTCCATGACACCAACTTTACATCATCGACGTCAGCATCTAACGAATAATACTCGACAAATTACGATAAAGACGAGCATTATCACTGATGATACCAATAGTAACCAAACTAGTAAGAAATAGGACGTGCGAAGACGACTTTGTTCCAAGTATTTATATGTGTTTTTATCATTCTTTTCTCATTAGCTAACGTAATGTGAAAGAAAAGCGTACATAACTTGTTTTTTCACATTAGAATATCTTGCAAAACAACTCGATTATACTGTTTACCATATTTAATCACATTTCGATTTACTTCCCAATGAGTTTTCAATAATCCTTGTCTCTATATTCCTGTAAGGTCAGTTAGAAGCAGATTATTACATCAGACATCTGTGCAAATGAAAACAAAAGATACCACTTGACTTGCTCTATCATCTTCTTGTAAACGAAAGGTCGAGCGATGGACAACTGCAGATGCCACTCAAAGCTCTTCAGTGTCTGATCCTATTCGAAAAACATCAGAAAAAAGAAGAAGAAGTAAATTATCCGATAAATAACTCTTTGATTGACAATCGACACATTTATTCAATGTAAAAAGCACATTTTCACATTCGGACATGTACAAACACTGATAACGAGTGGAGTGTTGTCAGAAGCTCTATTTCTTCTCTATTTGACGTCAGTAACGGCAAGCGTACGGAGTTCGAGTAATTTTTTTCTCCTTCCCTCTTTCCATTACAGCGAAGAAGAAAAAGACGAAGAAGAAGAAGAAGAAAGAAAACGAACTGATCCTACTGTATAGTGTACATCTGTTTTGTTTTTGCTTCGGGTAGTCATACAGAATCACGCGAGAGAGACAGGGAGAAGTAACAGTCATGTCTACAGCTTTATCGTGCATGTATTGCGATAAAACAAAATGTAAGGTTTGATTTTGTCTATTATTGTGTATACATTTCATTGTGCTTGTTTACATTTTAGCTCCTCTTCAACCCCTGGCAATCAATGGTCGTGAACAACGAAATCGTATTCTTGCTAATGGTTATGCTGCTCATCATCAACTCACATCTATTTTACCACCAGCTGCATCGCTGCAATCTCTTTCACCTTTAGTCCCATCAGGAAATTCTACGAGTAATATCACATTCACGAGCTCAACAGCTAATGTTGAACAACAATCGATTCATTCGGATTATGACGAGAAGGAAAGACTGAAAAATGATCTACAGCAATTGAAAAGTGAATTGCAAAAGTCAAAAGAAACAATTGCGCGTCTACAAAAAAGTGAAGAACAAATGCGTGAACGGTAAAAATTTTCGCTCTCATAAATCGAAATAACATTCCTGATAAGATAGCGAATCGACTTTTAATGAAGGCTCATATTCCATGTGATATCCGATCGAATTTTCGAAGCTATGCTGAGATTGACGTCTCTTTGCCTGACATTTATTATCTAACTATCCCTATTAGCACACCGTCAACCATAAGAAGTTACCATATGTCGTCGACGTACACAGTGATAGGCATCCTGTTGTTTATGTTTCAGATTGGCGGAACAAGCACAAAGACAATTAGAAAAAGGTGGTAAATTCGAAGATTTAAATCAAGTATCACGTCCGACAGAACTGATTCGTTCCTACAATAATCTCTATTCACAAGCACGAATTGATGCACTGGACGCGCTGGATAATCTTCATGAATTGACAGCATCGGATGATCTCAAGTCGAAATTGTTATTTTCAGTCGTTGTCGTATGTCAGGATGCGTTCGGATTAGAAGTCAATTACCGTTTGATTTATTCTTTCAGCTTGCCTTTCGTCATGCGCAAAATCATGCCAAAGAAATACGAACTAAAGTGAAACAGATTCTTCAACTGTCCAACGATAAAAGTTCCTCCACGTTAGAAGAAACCATTGAAAAATATCTTCGAAGTACAATACAAAAATACGATGTTAGCAAAATCGCATCGGTATGTCAATGAAAACAGCGTTCCTTTGCTCTTTTCATTCCATTGAATTTGACTTTTAGGATGTAGAAAATCAGTTATGGACAACTCTATATGATTATCCAGCATTGAGATCGTGCAATGAATTACTTCGATATATCACATCTGCTTGTCGAACTGCGTACGTATCTTTCATTATTGAATTTTTCGCCCAGACCAGAAACTTCGATTTTTCTAGATGGGGCTTAGCTAATCAAAATCCACCCTATTATATCGAATTTCAAACCATAAAATACGATAAACTCATCCATGAACGTTTTCATACATCTGATACCGACAGTGACACCATAATCGAATACGTTTGGCCATGTTTACTCGACGGTCGTGATCGGACATGTGTAGCCAAAGGTGTTGTCATTACGGATGAGAATTATTTATTAACATCGAAAACTGCTTCGTCTTAGCATCGAACTTCGTCATCAAATCTTACCCATAGAGAGTTTCATCATCTTCTAGTCAGTCGATCGATCGACGACATTCCATGCCATCGAACAAAACTAGACTAAACTAACATGTTATACTGCCCTTTACAAAATCTCTATGTATGTGTGTATGTGTGTGATTTACAGATGCAAATATTTAGACAGAATGAATAACTCGATTTGCACATCGCTTTTCTTTCTTATTTATTCGGCTACTTTTATTATTCCTCGGAAATAGAAGTAGTATTACGATCTGATTTTCGTTTTGTTCCGGGTATGGACGATGTTTCCATATTATCGGGTTTGAATATCGATGCGATAGTTGACAAATAATCGATTGTGAAGACATTGTTTTCAACACTAGAAAATGGAAAGTGTCTTTTGACGGTCAGTTTTCGTTTAAACTTACATTTTTCCTAAACTATCATGTTTTAACGTGAGATTTTTCTCCAAATTGCATAATGTGTTTAGGATTTTCGTTGAATTTGGTTTTAGATTATTGGTATGATTCATCAGAATGTTGTAAATCCATGAGAGATAGAAAGCAAAATGACGGGAATGTTGAATTTGTTCACCAATAAAATTTAGTAGCAATTCAACATATAACAATGGAAGAGATTGACATATATGCTCAACTAGAAAGAGAAATCCAAAAAATTTTCTTTCGAAAAACTCCATTTTCTTCTAATACTTTTGCTTGCATCGATATTTTCGATAATTTCAACAATTAACGACTTTTCATTCAATTTAAGTGCCATGAGTAGTGCTAAATATGAATCATTTTTATCGTACAATGTCTGTCGAATACTCAATGGAGTAATCGTTTCATTTAAATCAATTGGATCAAACATGGCAGTATTATCAATCGAATAAATCAGTAAACCTTCTGTAGTACACGCCGCCCATGCCCGACCTATAATATAACCGAGAAAAATAAGATTATCTATCAATTTGTTATGTTTTATCAGTTACCTGTCGGTGAAAATCGAACGCAGGTAACTAAAATTTCCGGTTTGAAATGACGACTGCTACGATCACCTTTTCGTACACCTGGTAAACGGATATTTTTACCATTTTCATCTTCATCCTGTCCCATATCAATCAACGCTAAACTACCGAACTCGGTCATTTTTCGTCGATTAAGATATTCCTAGAAAAACGAATCAAAAGATCATTCTTTGCTATTGACAAATCGAGTTTTACATTCAGTCCATCGAAACTTTTATTGCATGTCACCTCAAAACGTTTCACCAAGATTTGTTCATGGATATTGTACAATGAAATGTATTTCGATCGACCGCCAGCCAGCAAATAATTACCATCCAAGGTGTACGATATACTTCGGTACGCTCTAAAAAGACGACGAATTTCGTTCGAATGAATACTGGAAACTTCACAAGAAATCTTGCCTTCCGAATGTAAGTTTTTTTCCTGTGACTTTATCGGTCTCCTTCCTTGCGTAGCCTAGATCATGTTTGCCTTCAATAGATGCGGTTTGTTGACCAGTATCGGGATGAAAGAAGAGAATCTGTGCGTCGACTGTCGAAACAGCGATTTGTTGACCATCTGGTCGAAACGCACAACATAATGCTGAAGTAAAATGATATACAACATATAGATTTTCGAATGCAATATGTACAAACCATCTGTCGACAAGAGAAATGTTTCTCTCGAACCCTGACTATCGAATAGACTCCATGTTCGTAGAGTTTTATCCCACGAACAACTTGCTAACGTTGTCTGTGTGGTATTTCGACCAAATGCTAATGCACTGATCGGTGCTTCATGTCCACTGAGAATCTAAATCGAGGAGATTTTAGTTTCGTATGATGTCAAACGAAGAAACCTACGTCGAGCAATTTGCCTGTTTTAATTGACCAAACAAAGATATTGAACGTATCGAAACCACCGGCACACACGACTTCACCGGCAGCATCTAAGGCTACACACGAAAACTGAACTGGTGTAGGAGATGTATAAGTACGGAAATTTCGATATCTATCAAGAAAAAAAGATGATGAATCCAATACGAAATGATCGAATGAATGTTTGTACCTCAGAAGATCGTAAGCACGAACAGTTCCATCCAATGAACTTGAAACAATAAACTGTCCATTGGGTGCAAACTCTAGTCCAGTGATCGTGGATGAATGTTCAGAAAAAGTAACAAAACAAAATCCATTCGATGTATTCCATAGTTTGATCTAAATTGAAATACTCATTTCATTGTCAAGAAATTCCTAAGTAACTCACTTTTCCGTCGTCACCACCACTGGCAATATGCATTCCATCCGGGGAATATGCCAGTTGTGTCATATTATTGAAATGTCCTTGTTGTTTCAAAACGTATGTTTGACTTTGCCATTCCCATACAACAAGTTGACCGAGATTGGAACAAGCTAATGCGATCCAATCACCTAACGGATTGAACAAAGCAGAGGTGATCATTTGTTGATGATCACCAATACTACAACAGATACAAACATGTTCAATAAGAAAAACAATCGAATCTACTGACCTCAGTGAATGAATGAGATTGAAATCAGGCATTTCGTGAAGATAGAAATGTCCATTGGAGAAACCTGCTACTAACATATGTGTCTTTTTGTGATAATCAGCACAGAGTAGTAGAGCACCCCGATCAGCACCTTCAAACGTCTCTTTGTAGTTAAATTTACTCATTCGCTTGAAAACAACCATATCATCTTTTGTTGGATTCTTCAAGAGATGTTCATCTAAACGTTTTTGTTTTCGTTCAAGTTTAATACGTTGTTGTTCAGCCATTTCATCGATATTCTCGTCATCATCAGCATTCTCGCGACCATTCGATGATGCCGGTACGTCTTCCGTATCCATATTATCAGCATCGTCATCGTTATCTTCATCTTCAAGATCTGGTATATATGGCATGGGCTGCATCGATGATAATTCCATATCAACCACCCAATAGTTCACTTTAGCATTTTTACAGATAGTGATGATCTATATGGGGGAAAAAACAAATAATCAATGATCGAAAGAAACATTTTCGAACGTACATTCAATGAATCTTGTTCGAAGAACGCTCCGACTATTTCACGGCCATGGCCGGCTAGTGTAAAACGATGCAATTTATCGAGGAGAGGCACACTAAATACTTGAGTAGTCATATCTGCACTACCAACGGCAACAACTCTAGTCAATAAAAAGATCTGGTGTTCTCTTTCAGCTATGAATAGATCAAATCGACAACAAACCGAGAATCAGTTGTCCAGTCAATACATGTTGTCTTATCGTGGAACGAGCGGAGTACAAATTTTAATGTGAACAAATTAAATTGACGATCCACACTTGGACATGTGTATATTTCACATCGAGTACCTCGACAAACAGCAACAGATCTAGAGTACAAACACATGTTCGTATGTACAAAACTCTTCTAAGGAATTTACTTAGCGTCCGGACTGAATTTAACTGCATGAACATCATGTCCAAAACGATGAATACCGATCAATGTCCGACACTTGACATTATACAAATAACCTCGACCAGCTACAAACAAAACCATCAAATATCTTGCAATGAACATCATCGACTCGACCTTACTTTCGTTAACAGCAAGTAAAAGTGCACCGTTCGATGAGAGAGTTGAACAAACAACATTAAATTCACTTTCAAACGACAATGTTTCCGATCGACCACTACAATGAAAACGATAGATACAAATTTAGTAGACATTCTATACATTACTTCTTGAGATCAATGACAGTTGCTCGATTTCCAACCGGCGTTATTAGTGCATTACTATCCGGAGTAAAAAGAAGATTACCCTTGTGGTACACAGTACCAAGTAGATTAGAAAACTAAAGTGATACGAACGCATGTCAAATCGATACAAACATTCTAGTTCAATCTTACTTTATAGTGTAACTTCATTTTCGAGTTCGAGTAACTTTGATGTGCTAAATTCTCGTACGAAAGGAAGATACTCTTCGATTGAAGAACGAATAACCCAATAAAAGAACACGCTTTCCTATACACCTAAGCCTCTTTCCTAGCCGATAGACGTCGCCTATCGTCAACAAGAACTTTTCATATTAGTTTTAACAACAGATTGCATAGAATAAGATCATTTCGGGCGAATTTATTCAACTATTGCATGCATCATCTACTTTTTAACTTCAATATGCATATAACATCGTCTGATTTAGTTCCAAACGTAAAAGAACATATCATGTCTACACACGTCGTATACTGATTGTTATTCTCGTTGATTATCGACGCGTAATTTATCTCAATTAGATTGATGTGTGTAGCATATCCATTACCTTTTCTTTGTACATGAATAAAGAACGAAACAATTTATTTCACTTTTGTTGACACAGGCAGTATTGAAACGATTTTCAAGACAAGAACATGAGTAATGAACTAATTTGTTGATGATGTCATGCACGTTACACATTCATTAATATACTTATATGGTGCAGCACAAGTTTTTCTTTGAATATGGTAGAGCAATCGGTTCTTATCTGTAATTGTTCTATTATCAGTGAATGCAACTGTGTGCAAAATTTAATTGAGAAAGATTCGTTTTTCATGTAATAGACAAGATATAATTTATTAATATCGCTTTTATAGGTATATATGTACAGAAAAAAGAATGTTAATGAGATGAAGACGATTCTGATAGCTTTAGTTGCTGACGATGAGCAGTTCGTGCACGCGTGCGTCGATTTTTGAACCAGACCTAGACAGAAATAAAACAAATCGTTGGACTCTTTCGACTGTGTGATGAACTATTTACCTGAATTCGTGATTCCGGAACACCCATTTGAGCAGCGAGAGTTTCACGTAGTTCAATATCTGGATATTGATTATGCATAAAGACATTATCAAGTTGTTGAACATTGTTCTGTGTGAATACCGTTCGTTGCCGACGACGACGACCTTGCGGAGGAACTAAGAAATACAATTTACAATTATTCTTTATTTTACTCAATGGTGATACAAGATTAAAAGGGCACAATGAAATTATAGTATACCCCAGTTGATTTTGTATTCATAAGAAGGACAGAGATTGTTGTTGATCGAATCTTTAGCAGGAGTCGATGATGAATTCGTATAGGTAGGTACTGGTGATGTACAGATATCGATTGTCGATGCAGATTCCTGTTCTTGAGATGGTAGCATCATTGGTGAATCAACAGCTGAAAAATTTCCCGTAAAATTCTCCGAATTTTCTTCGATAGTTTCTCTAACTTACCATTATAAGCGTTGTTATGATTGCCGATTAATTGATCGTACATATGAAACGAGTTATTAGTGTAAGCTAGATGTGGATGATAGGTATGTTGATAGGAATAATAAGTGGATGAAGACTGTTGTGGGCTGAGATATTCTCGATTTAGAATTGGAGAGCCATAGCCTGAATCATCGCGATGAATGTGGAGAAACGAAGAGGAGTTATCATCCATGATACTTGTATTCAATGATGTTCACCGGATAGCAATTGGAAATCGAACTAATGCTGAATCGATTCTTTTTCTCTATTTAATATTCTTCGAATGTTGACCAATGACTACGAAAAAGAAATCAGTTTCTCTTTCCTAACCAATCGGAGCAAGAGAAAGAGAAGAAGAAGAAGGTGAGAAGAGAAATTGTCGGTATGAATGATGATGTTTGTGGAACAAGTTGAAAGAGAAGACGATTTGTTTTGCTTTGCACAGATGTTACCTTCGTCGATATCTTCTCTTCTCTCTCTCTCTTTGACTAAATAGTTTTCAAGGTGTGCATGCGACATCGTATCCGTTGGCTGTTATTACCACTTTCTATTAACACGCTGAACAACAAAATGTGATAGAGAGTTATGCCCATGATTAGTGAGCATCATTGTTAATATAGTGATAAGTACTCCACGTGGAGACAATTGACTTTATTGTTTCAAGATCGAATAATTATGATGCACAAATTTGAGTTTATTTTGCTTATGATAGAAAAATATACGGAAAAATTAAGGTTATTTTCTCATGAGTTTGTTGCGGTAGAGGAACTAATTTAATGTCAAAGTAATTGGTGATCACCTCAATTTTACATGCCGGCATTTTTGAATGATTTAGTTTCTTTCAAAGCGTATCAAACTTGTTTAATGTTCAAAAATCAAACTAATCTATTCACCGAATCCGCATATACTTTTATAATCCATTGGGAAGTCGATCTGATCGCGAGAGATCTATATAACTAAACAAAACCGTAGTAAATAAGAATCCTTAATCTGATAATAACATTCAACCATTCTCGAAAGGCCGTTCTCCACCCACTGGAATATTGTGGTCGATTTTGACCATAAAATCGATACCAGAGATCCCGTTCCCACGTTTGATTAAACCATTTTAATGCATGGTCATTTGCTGACGATCGTGTCATATGGTGTTCAATCAAATAGTTTTCCAATTCGTGCGTACGAGTGACACTTATACTCCGACAACATGTTGGAACAACAAAACGGGAAATGTTTCGTTTTGATGCATAACCATTCAACCAAATGTCATCAACTCGACGTATGTCAGCTGGTGCTTGATTAAAATCGAGATAGATGTGAGAATCAAAAAACGACGGACGTATTAAATAACCATGATTAGCAGTTACAATACCAACACGATAGATATCTGAAAGACGTGCGGATTCGACAATATGGTAGAAGAATTCTTCGGCACTACCGACACCCCAAGAAAGATCTTCACGAACTAAAAAGACACAACGTGAAGGAAAAGAATATATAGACATGAAGTCTTACTTCTCCATCCTCTTAAGCCGATAATACTATTTTTGTACTGATCTGAATATTTCATCAATGTCGATATTGTATACGGATGGTAGTAATGATCATCGTCACAAATGATAATTCTCTGAGATTGCAATGTATTCGTTGATAAAGAATGAAACTCTTTGATAATCGGTAAATACTTCGTTGCTGGACCATAATCTTCTTCTTCCATTCGCAATTGCACTAGCTGATCAAATAATTTGCCAATAACTCTCGAGCGATCGATATTTCTCACGTATATTTTTAGATATTCTAATGTCAAATTTGTTCGGTTGATAACATTCGCCTTGGGCGATAAATAGATGCGTATTTCTTTGGGTAGAATCGTTTGAGTCAATAAAGAATGCACAGCAATCGGCAATTCATAGTGAAATCGTTTTGGAGTGGTTGTCAATGACACAATTATATCCGATGGATTAAAACAACAGTAATTCAAATGATAAATGAATATTGCATAAAAAAACAAAATAAATAACGATAAAAACAGCAGTAGAAGAACAATTATCACCAGTATACGATACACCGGATACAGACGAAATGTTTTCATGAATAGCCGACGAGAGATATGTCGACAATACCTGAGTAACTTCGTCGTCGAAGGCATTGTTTATTTCAAAAATAGCGTTACAGCTTTAAACACGATAATACTTTTGTGTTTGCATATCACAAAACTTGTGTGTCAATGAGAAAAAAAAAACTCGAGTATATGAGTCAATACAGCTCACGTGTTGTTACCAGTCAGGAGAACAGAACGCGCAAAAGGTTCTTCCTCTCCCTCTTATATAGATTTCTATATGTCAGTGAGCAACGATAAGAGATATACTGACTACATGAGTACGCCTACAAACATGAAAAAGATTGTCTTTCTGTAGATCGCGATATTCAGCGTAGAATGCATGCAGTAGTTTTCACTTGCGATAATTTACAACTTAATAATAAATAGCTTTATTAAAAAAAGAGAACGGGAAAGTGTTTAGATAGGTACATAAATTAGCAACGTTTTTATACAACAGTCACATATATGTATAGAAATTACACAACTTCAAAATCATCGTCGGAACTTAACGTTAACACTAGAAAAGAGAGATAAATTGACTATTTCAAGCAGTTATTTGTATATGATGATTTACCTCCATGATGTTCAGCTTTTTTGTTTTGAAGGTTGAATGGATTTGCTTCACATATTTCAAACATTGGTCTCAAAGGAAGATTCTAGGAGACACAAGACTTTTCTCACTGAGAAATCTCACTTTCGTCTTACCTCTTTTAATTTTGCAATCAAATCATTGAAGTCAGCTTCAGTTTTACAAGCAAATGCCTATGAGAGAATAAACAAATGAAATCCATGGAACACGGAGGAAAAACAACAATTACTAATGCAAGCGATGGATCAAGGCTAGAGAATTTCATTCGATTCACTCTGTCACAATGATATGTCGTATCATCGGTTGTCGTAGTTGTGTCGACATACGATTGTGTCACATGCGGATCAAGATATAGAAGTTCATCACTTTCTAAAATAATACATGGAAACTTATTTCGATCTATCTAAAGTTGTTTTCATTACCTAGATAACCAATAAAATAATGTGCATGATTTGGTTTGCCTCCAATGCAACCGAGTGTTTGAGGCAATCGAAAGCATAACTAAATTGACATTGAAAATGAAGTATATCGTGAACTTTTGATCTAGCGAATAATATACCTTCAATTGATCGATATACTCTGTATTGACATCGCTTAGGCCCAGTCTTAATGGAATAATGATGACTAAAGGTTTCCAAGTTTGCGGATTGTCGTTCGACTTTTTTGATGATTTTCGACCTTTTACATTCGGTTGACATAACTTTCCTGGAAGAGTAAAAGAAGATAGATTTATAGAATTAGGATATCAATCTTGTAATACATACGTATTTCATCGAGTACTAAAGTATTGTCCATCGCAACATGTACATTCACTTGTTTATCAAATTCGTTGGAAGCAATTCGTCTTTGAACGAATCAATGACATTGGTTCGTGAGATTCTCTTTATAAATGTCTTACTTTAACACTTGAGCAATGGTATTTGGACCAAACCATTGGCCAATTTCTTTGCCTTCGGAATGTCCCATTTGTACTAGAATTGATTTTCTGTGATATTTAAAAAGGAAGAACATATCATTCATCAACAAACCGATCTGATGAATTGAGTAGGATGAATGCCGCTTATCGATAAACATATTTAAAATCTCCCAATATACGGAATCAGTGAGATTTGGCCGCCAGCGAAAATCTATTTCGAAAACAATGAGTTTTATTTCAGGTTCTAAGTTACGTACTTCGTCCAGCAGGCAAAAAGAACCTTAGATAACCTTCAGCCATCATCATTTGCCCGCAACGCATCATACATCCCCATCCTGTATCCTTCACTGGACCCGACGGACCACCTATACAGAAGGAAAGTACGATACATGGATAAAAAGATCATCTTCGAATCGAACCTATGGGTACGAATCCCGTGCGATAGGTAAACCAGAATCTACTAGCAACATCGTGAAGAATTGCATCTGCATCTATGAAATGAAGATAAATAATTCCAAGTTTAATTCTGTTATTCATTCTATTACCGTTGGGTGTTTTATATTTGATTCCAAGAATATATAACTCAGTATCTGTATCGGCTAGTGCATCGTTATCGGAACCGGCTACTTCAAACATGGAAGCGGCTAAACTCAAAGCTAAAGAAAAAGTATGAAAGCGACGACCTTTCAACAGTCTCTCACCCGCACTATTCATTGCACAAAGCCGTGTATTTGAATAAACATCGAATAAACAAAATACTACAAATAACAATCTTGAAAGGAAACACAAAAAATAGATAAAGTCAAGAAGACAGCGAAATGTTATATTCTTGCATGTATACCAACAGGAATCAGCCGGTATTTTAATGAAAAGTGATTGGCTCAGTTATTCAAGCAGTTAAAATGTTCATAAAATTCAAGTATTCGTATGAAAGAAATCGAAATTAAAATCAAACTAATAATCAGAAATATGAATTCGAAACATTTTACTCAACAATTTTCAGAATAGATGGCGTCACTGTCATTCGCACAGTTATGATATAACTCTCAGTTGAAATTGAAATCTTCTTCTCATACTACGGTGAAGTATCAATCTATACCGAGATCTCACCCTAGTGTTCAATTGACTTGTTGTAAAACGATGCACCATTTGTCTTTTATTATTATTGTAATTATCGGTAATAAAAGAATTTCTTTCTTTCTCACCGACACTCTCGTCGTAATGTCTTTCATTCTTGTAAAAAGTTTAACATAAAAATAGCAATGAGCGCAACTGCTTTTCTTTTCAACAAACTATTCATACATCATTCTCAACTGATTTTATTTTAATCTTCAATAATAATAATTAGAAACAAACGCATATAATAATCAAGATTTATTCATCAACTGTCTGACTAGTACATACGTATAAAATGGCATGTGGCAATGTTTTTACGCTAAAATAAAGATCGTCTCGCCGTTGTTGTCTTCGCCGATAATTTTCGGATATTCATGATCGAGTCCAAATCGGATCGAATCTGTTGTCGATATCGTCGATGGCGTTCGTTCATATGGATCAATCGTAAAAATCGATTGATTCGACGAAAATTCCTTTCGTGATTTCTCATTTCGATACCGAAATAAATACCATAATAACGATAAAATCAATCCAAATACTAGCACTATTAAGACGATTAAGATTAACAGCAGTTGATTGAGCGCAGACGTTTTCACGGCATGCGAGTACAGGCAACGGTGAGAGTCCAATGTACAATCACGTGTCATATCAATACAGAACTGTTTATCCTGATAAAGTTTTATCGGCAGAGCGCCCGATCGACATTGACACACTTGATTATGGCAGATTGACGTATGGCGATTGCATGATGAACATTGACTGGAGATCGGACTTTCGAATTCGATGCGAAACGAAAAGATTTCATTGGACTTCAAACGATAAGTAGTCGAATTCCATTGAAACGAACAATTTGATAGTATCAGATAATGTTCACCTATGTAAAGTAATGGTACATTAGTCATAGATAAAATTGATTTGATGTTTAAATGAGTTCGCGTTGACTCGTAGTTTTTCTTCGAGGAGAAATTCGTTATCGTTGATGAACATTGAGTGAATGGAAGATAAGATTTCAACGAGAAACTATTTGGTAAGGAACATTGAATAAAAAATGGAATTAAAGCGAGCGATTGAGATGAATATGTATAAATCTGACCAGGCTGGGAAGAGTCATTCGACGATAGAGAATAAATAGCTTGAATGTGTAATGTTCGAGAGTCATCGGATGACCAGAGAACATTCAAATTTTCTTTGTAAAGATCAAGAGCATATTTACAATTTTCCAGGTAAACGAAATTCGATGCTTGACAATGAAGTATACCAATAAACAGCAAGGATACGTGTATAACGATCATGTCTATCTAAAATAAAGGAATAGGTCTTCTTTTGCTATGATAATAAGCTCAATTATAGTGAATGAATACATTTTTTCAACGATTCGATTCAATAGGAACGTTTGTCGATGTGAAAAAGCTCTTCGGACAATATTATTGTTTCATTTCCACGGCTCGTCAAACAATCGCATCTTTCTCAAAACAAAATTCTTAGTTACATACATACTTTGATCGAATAATAATAACATCTATCTCACCCAGCGTGTGTGCGTGTGTCAATGTTTAATCTATATCTTGCTTCATGTTCATGTACATATGGCACCAGGAATAAGAGAAAAAAAAAGAGGAAGAAATTTCAATTACTTTTCTTTTCTTCTTCTCCTCTCTCTCCCTCCCTCTCTGTCTTTTCGTTGATCAAACAAATGAGTCAGTTCATATTTATGCATACGATCCGCAGGAACCAAATAGATTCAACAATCGATGTAATTCAAGTAGGTGATGACAAGTAAAGAGAAATATATGAAGGGAGGTAAATTGATCAATTGTGAAGTGAACTATATAAAAGTAATCAAAAAAGAAAAATGAAATGAGATTAAATGACAGAACGAGAAGGTAGAGGAGGGAAAGAGAGAGCCGTGAAGGTGAGTAATTGAAGTGTTAGTGGTCTTGTCAACAATTGAATGATTGAAAACATTCGGACATCATCTGTTTGCGTGCAGGAGATCACAATATCGTTTATCTTTGAAAACTGAAATGAAACGGAGTAAAAAAGAAAAGAAAAGCTTATTAAATGAATTAATGAAAAGGAACAAATGCCATGATTGAATTGAAAGTTTTGCTTCTTTTAAACGCAGGAATATCAATGAGTCTTTGAACAATCGAGATCGTAATGTGCTTCATTGCACACGTCTGTTTCGCAAGTTGAAAAGAATTAATATCTCTCCTAATGTTTCTCTCTCTCTCTCTCTTTTTTTTTTGAAGACAAAATTGTGAACATCGAGTATGTATGTCTAGGGTACAGATTCATCCATGCATATAATATGAATTGGATTTCCATAGTTAAAAGAATAACTGACTCATTGATTCATTACTATACATTATTAATTAGAAATCTTTCATTATTAACAATGAAAAGCTTACAAGACATGTCACAAGCTCAAAGATAATCAACTGACAAATGACACAAGTTTCACTTTTTTTTCTTCTGCCATTCTTTCAATGAGCACTTAACAATGAGATTGATTAACTAATCTCTTTTGTTCGAATAGTGTTCTTTTTTGACAATTGACAAAAAGTGCTAATGTGATTTTCATCATGTATGTGTGTGCATATACGTGCTCTTAATTATAAGCAAGATGAAATTCTGTTCGAAAATCAATTTAATTCAAATTGTTCGTGACCACCATGTGAGAAACACTGAATATCGTTTTGCGTGTTTCCAAAATCGATGGGCTCATTCGATTCTGTTCAAAGATCGAATAGCGAAAGTTTAAACAACAGAAGAATACATTTCTAATATAAACTGATGTAAATTATACAATATGACTGAGAATATTTAATAATGAGGTGATATGTCTACTGGAGTATGATTATATAATCTTCGAAGTGAATGATATTCATGCATGTAATTTAAATATTTCAAATAATGTCTTCATGCAGTTTCTTTTCCGGGTAATCAATCGGTGTAGGATCGATTTAAGTCTTTCATAAAGCGAATCGATCGTATGAAAGTTATTTAGATTGAATTGAAACTATGCAAGTTTTTAAGGCGGTAAGTGTTGAGAATAAAACGATAATTTAATACTAATCTTATCGATGTTAATGGATCTAATGATCAAGCAATCATAGTGGAATCTATATAGAAGATTGGATGATTTACTGAAATCTTCATAAAAGAAGAAACAAGCAATTGAGGGTGGACAATGGATAGGTTGCGCTGTTTACGATAGTTTAATGAAGCAGAAGTGTAGTTCAAGCGTTGCGAATAATTCGTTGTATTCTATGTGGAGATCAGATTTCTTGAGACAAAAAAAATCTCGAAAATTTTGTTATTCAATGCGAAATTTAATGAAATGAATTTGTTTTGATTCAAATGATTTGCGAGTGTTTAAGTAAAATATGAATTTGAGATTGAAGAAAATTGCATTGAATTGTGTCAGAAGTTCTATGAGATATCAATTCTTCTACACGTTTTCCAATGTTTAATTGACAGATATTTGCCATCAAAGACAAATTTGTTTCTTTCGTTTCATGATTTAATCTTTGACTAGGATTTTCACGAAATGATCAGATCAAATAAGTTTCAGACTTATAGTTCTTCGAAGAACGATTTTTAAATTGAATTTCAAAAGAAATTTTGTATTCGTACCTTATATCTTTGTTCTCGTTTATTGAAGAATTGCAAAAAAAATCACAAAAAACTGTCTTTTTATTTCGATCTTGAAATTCTAAGGGTATAGATTGTCGTCCGAAATCAAATCAAATCTTTGAATTTTGCGATTTAAAGAATTCATAATATAAAAGTTTCCTCTAACATCAAATGATAAACTTGTGGGATAATACAATTGATTTGATCGATCTCCTCCACGAATAACAATTTCACCCTCTGTTTCTCCCTCGCACCATTCGACCATTCTTGCGATCTGCCACAATATAGAACCACAATCATCGACTATTAATGCTGCAGGATCATCCAGTTGATTCAGTCTAACTCCTCTTCCATTTCCGCCAGCAACTAGTTCTCCGCTTTTTCCCTTTCCTTCTCCAACTTTCCATCTTCTCACTTCATGCTTTTCTATATCCGAAACATAAAGGAAACCATATTTATCTTTTGCTAAACCATAACAGTTAATATTTTCAACGAGAATCTCTTCATTTCCATTGAACAGTCGAATCACTTGTTTCTTTCCATAATCAACGATGATCGGAGAATTATTTTCTTCATCAACAATCATATTTGTTATGGAATGATGGTTACCAAATGCCCAATCATATACATACTGATTTACAACCACTTTTCGTTTCCTCCTAGCAATATGCGTTCTACCTTACATCGATTCACATAATTCGCAACCAAAAGAATCGCAATAGGTTTTGCATAAAGAGAAAGAATGGATTTATATAATGTGTGTATATTTGGATATGTTTCTGCAATAGTTTTCCCATTTTGTTCCCATCTCTTGAGTTTCATTTCTAAAGAACAATGAAAAGGAAGTATTTTTGAAAATAGAACTTGAAGAATAGCAAAAGAAAGCGAAAAGAGTTTTTTGAAAAACTCCTGAACATGTTTCCATAATTTTCTTTTAATTTGAAAACAATCTTCCTCTAAGAATTTTTCAATTTATTCTAAATAGAATGAACGATCGAATAAAAATTGAAATTTCTGATAATTGTCTTTTTTCCGAATGAATATAAGAAAAACTTATCCATTCTTAAACAAATGAAAAATATTCAATTACGAAAAGATTTCCTCTGTTATCAGTATATTAGTTTTATCGATTTTATAAGGAAAAGAAATGAAATCATTGATCTTATCAATCGGTTATCGAATGAAATCGATTAGTCGTTCATTTTCAAACGAAATTACAGAAAAAGATTTCAATAATTCATCTCTCAGCTTCGCTTACAAACGTACCAATATCACAACGATTACTTTTCATCTTCTATAGCATTATGAATATAGGCGAAAGGAAATAAATCCATTGGTAGTTTTTTTTGCAAATGTGAAGACTTTCTGTTAAACAGTATAAATCGTTCTCTAGATGATATTTGAAGATAGCGATATAAGTCGATATGAACTTGAATTACTTGGACTTAGTAAGACTAAAAATCTTTGTTTCTGTTTCTATGGGAAAGTGTCTATGCAAAGGAAATCATTCAAGTTCACAGCTGACTCCTAGGAAATATTGAAATACTTATATTTCAAGGAAACGATCGGATTCTTATTGAATAAATAACTCAACTCACTGTAAATGTAAAGGATTCGTTCAATTTGTTTTTGTAATTTCTCATTCAACAATTTGTACGTTGGAATAAATTCGCCATATTCAATTACTCGCCAATATTGACTATTACTAACAGTTGTTTGCCATGCAGCAACATTATTATTTTGTAATGTATTACCACCAGTAGCTTCCCATGTGATAGATGATTTTTGAGTTGTATTATCACTTATCTGTTTTGCTTCATCGACACCAACTTTGTTTTTAGTTATTGCCGTAAAGTTAGCATTGAATGCATCATGAATCTTTGTTTTATGTTCATGTTCATCGACATTCTTATTCACTTCTTAAATATCTGTATGGAATAGTTTACCACCAATAATTACGTATTTTGGATAAACATAACCATATTTTTGAAAGATCTTCTTGAGTTTCTGATGGATAGTTTGTCTTGTAGTTGATTTTCAAAGAATTGTTTAATGTCTTTTTCGAAATTAATCGTTGGTTTTAAATAATTCTCACCTGGTGAGGCTTCGTCATCAAATAAATAGATTGTAACACGAGGATATATCCAGGAACATGTTGTATAAAGAGTTTTTTTCTGTTTATCATTTGTTTTTTGCGTCTCTTGATTATATTTGCTTGCGAACGATACAAATGGACATTGAAAATTTGTGTCTACTCTGACACAGTGGTTGCGAATCATTGTATTACGAATTTCATCGGCGGCGACATGTGCTTCAGTCTTCGATGAATCTGTTATCGTACGATGAACGTGTGTTTTTTCCAGTAAATTTTCATCTTCTTTAAATTGGCAGGCACGAGCTCTACTTGCGTTCGGTTTTAAATCAGCATCGTCAAATGAAATTCCATTGTGATAAATCAAATTTTGTTGCATCACAAGGATCAATACTGGAGTTACTTGTTCGTTCGCCCGGTATCACCGCCGAACGATGTTCAGCTGTAGAAATAGTGCGCCTTTGGATCGAAGCCAACCAATCATCCGGAATATTTGGGACAGCAGGACACGACCCTTCCTCTTCTTCCGACTGCGTTTCCATTTGAATGACATTATTCTCTAACATAATATCTTCGCTTCTCCACTCACCTTCTGCTGCGAAATTATTTCCGCAGCCTTCTTTTTAAGTATTTTGTCATTCTCAATTCGTTGTCGTAGTGACGATAATGACTGATTTTCAGAAATATCTTTCAAGATGATATGTTTTTTACCGTCAAGTTCTATTTTGACTTGAATGACGTTCTGTGAAGGATGATCAGGTAGACGTTTCGTCGTTTCCATTCTGAAAATTAAAAAACGAATTTATTCTAAATGTACTAGTTCCTTGCTGATTGCTTTTAAAAATTTGAGACAATTCTAGAAAGGTTCAGGGAATGTGGAAGATCCGTTTTAATGGTCCAAATAAGATTTATTGTTAATAATGAATAATGGATGAAAGATGGAAAATAAGGCACATACTAGGAAATGCGATCCATATATATAACCTACGTCAAGAAAGTCTTGGCACAAAATGTTGAAATATTTTTTCCCAAGACTTTCTTGACGGGGTTTATTTACTTTCTCTTTTATTCCTCTTTTTTTGCTTGGAAAAAAAAACAATTTCAGTTTGGATGAGTCATCCAAAAGTGTTTCTTGTTTGGCGTTCAATGAAAATATCTCGACGAATGCACAAGGTGGAGACTTGAAAATTATATGGCAGCACAAGCATGAGTTTAAGAAGTAAAACAAAAATAAACTTTACATCGGCCAACAAGGACTAAAGTAATAAGCGAAACACGTCAAAAAACCAATTGTCTAATAAAGTTGCAATTCACTCACATATATATATGATCAACGGTTGTTTCCGATATGATTGCATTAGGAAATACCTGTACTATTACATGTATAAGTGAGTTATAGGAAAAGACCAAAGAGACACACGTCGGAGTCGGTAGAACGAAGAAATCATGTGTATATGTGTGAGACGAACAAAAGAAAAACATGCTGGAGAATCTCTTTTCACATATCCTGAGAATATATTTTTATACGACTGAAAGAAATTTCAGTAGAATAATAAATTGGGATTTCCTCATATCCTCAGTAAGATTTTCGCCAACGGCGAAAGTCCAGCAATATATGTGGACTGAAGCTCAGATTATTCTGTGATAATAGTCACAATAAAGTTATCGTTGAAAATCGTCTTCATGATTTCAAGTCACATTGTAGCTAGCGAAAATCTTATTGGCGAAGTTCCGGTAATTCGATTTCATGTCTTTGATCAGTTACAGCATTTCCCTAACGTCGAACTATTCCAATACTTGAATTTCAGTGAAGAATTTTCCAATTTAAATTCTTGATTTCACTCTCTACTTGTTCAGCTCCCCATCATTTCACCGCGATGACTTTTTATCCCATTCAAAATATCTCGACGATGTTCACGAAGCATACTATGCACATACTAACATCAATTCTCGTTTGTTAGACATCTTATATTTTGATTTATAAAAATTCAAAAAGAAAAGACTTATGATAATGTTGAATCTACACATCTAATCTCGACGTGAATGACTTAAGAAACAAAATACAATTTGACAAGAAAGATGAATTTGAATATATTCGGCTTAGAGTTCGTTTGGAGATGGTTTATCTGATGTAGTAAATAAATACATATTGGACGATTGAGGTTTTGCTTGTCGTCGGAGTAAAATTCGATTCGGCGTCTTTCTAGACATCATTCTTGATAGACTTACATCCTCATCTGTAGTGTCATATTTCAGCGGTACAAAATCGATAGGATATAACGAGGAATGTATCTGGTTAATTCGTCCGTGTCCAGTAGCAATCAATGTCGAACAGATTGTTAACTTGATCACTATTGGATTTATCTTTTTAGTCTCGAATTCAATACTATTAGTTAATGGAGTCGTCTCTTGCTGTTCCGTTAGAATTTTTGTAATGTTATGTAATCTATTTGATTGTGCAACGGGAGAGTACATTTCTTGATTAAATCGCCTTTCATTTGTGATTAGTACATTAGGATTCGAACGTAACACTGAAAATCCATAGTTTTCAAGCATGTGCTTATCAACGTATAATTGATTTTTATAACGAATCGATTGATGATTGTAAATAGACAATAACTGACGTTGGTAATTGAGTAATTTCATTCGACGATGGTTTTGTTCATGGAAAATTTTCTTTAGCCGTTGCAAATCATTTGGAGTAACAACAGGTTGGAAATAATGCCGAAGGTCTTTCGTACAATAAGGTATAGAGGAATAGTCAAATAGTTTAGTCATTGAAAAATAGAATAAATAACTTGCATAGATATTGTCATAGTAATTGAATTGAAATTTCGCCGTTAAAAACATTTCCTCACGCATCTTTCTTCACCCATAGTTGTCCATCGACGACACAAACATCGTCCTGAACAACATTGTTCATCATGCGAACAGATTGTTGCTGATAATCGACATGATTCACCAGCAAATAATCCGCCGTAACCGCGTTGTGATGCTTGAGTGTAGCGAAACACATCGGAATCGTACGATGTTTGCTGATGGAGAAAACGACTAAAACCACGTTTGAACGCGACGCGAACAATATCAGCGATACCCGTCGCTAGAAAACAATAGTATTTCCATTAATGATTAATGCGATATTTATTCAAATTAATCGAAACTTACTGTATGCTCGTCGTCCAAGAGCATCACTTGATAAAAATAACATACTCATAAAAAGGATATAAAAGCCGAGATGGATATGAATTGATTGTTTCATCGTATTGTTAATGTAAAGCGTTGAATCTCTTCAATTAGTGAACAAGAACTAGTGTAGTGTTATTTCACGTTACTCGTCGTTTGTTCTTGCCAATAGTGTAAAAATGCTATCATAGACGGTTATCTTTGGCGACGAGAGAAAAGTAATAAATTACAAGTGTTAAAGAAACTGAAAAAGATAAGAACCAGCAAGTCGACTATTCAAATATTGGATTTATTAATCGAATTATATATCAATATTTTACATGCTCATCACGATTGAAATTGAAAGTGAGTGAAAAAAGCCTTCGCTTTGTACGTGTGACAATAAAAAATAGTCTCGATTAATGCCCGTATACCTATACCTTCACATATATGTTCCTCGTAACCTGTAGAGAGAGAGAGAGGGAGAGAGAGAAAATAAGCAATGGTATATAAAATAAAATCACTCAGTGTTCGATTTTATTTTATCGAACAGAAAGAAACCGTTGGAGAGAGATGCCTTAGGTGGTGTATATGCTTTTTTTTTCTTTTTCCTTCTGTACGTAGCAACTATATAACATAAAATTATTTCTACCGTCGTCCTGTACATTAATATATGAATGGCACTATGCATCGTCATTGTACATGTCACTTGTTCTTTCTATTGGTTCTAATAATCACGCGAACATTTCGATTGACATTACTTTTTCAATAGAAACGAAACATGTTCAAAATGTGCTTTCTATCAGATAGGCAAATCGATTGAGGAGAGTACAAATATAAAAGAATTCAATGATTGAATGTTCGCCGTTCGAGATATAACGTCACATGTTGTCAAGTATTACCAAGCACCCTAACCTTTTGCAGTAGATCATGTTTGATCGAAGGAAAAGAGCCCAATGATTATCACTCGACAATACTCATTCTCGCATCGATTTCGATTCGTTGAATTCGATTCTTGTGTAGACAATGGCGACACACAACTAACTGGTTACTACTCAGATTGATATGTATATGTGTACACACGATAATTTAATGAATACTAAGAATAGACATACCAATGTACGTCGAATAAATAAGGTCATGTTGTTGTGATAGGAAAGAACTCTTATCGGTATGTTGAGGTATTATTATCAACGCATACATTCGTTTTCATTGCTGTTGAACATATCCGAATCGTCAAAGTTTCGTTGTCAGTATGAAAAATGTCAAAAGTAAAGATCAACAGATGGATCTTTATTGGGATTAGATAATTTAAACAGAAATCAATTATCACTGTCGCATCCAAGCGTATCTTCATTATAAACTTGTTGCTACTGCTGCTGTTGTTGTTGTTGTTATCGATGTTCTTTTCTCTTCTATTGACATTCCTCTCTTCGAATGTCGATCGTTCGGAAGATATGTTTTCAATAGTTTCGTTTTAATCAATACATTCCCTGATAACTATCCCGATTTTTGTCATTCGACAAATTTCTTTGCTGTTAAATGATATCTGTCCGCTGTGATAGTGAACTCTGAAGTACATAAAACAATGAATGTTGATGTATGTCTATCTGTCTCCTGATGAAAAATAAGCTAAGAAGAGAAAAAAAAGAAGATGTATGGTGTTTGTCACGAGAGATATCGGGCGGTGATAGATGAAACAGAGAGACGTGATTTTAATGTATTTAAGCATTACTCGACGCGAAATAGCGGGAAAATTTATTCATTCTCCATAGCCGATAGAGCAACATATATGTGTGAAAATGACGTTTCTCATATTCTCAATCTGTTGCCAGATAGACTACTTTTGCAAATAAACATAACGTTGTATTGCAATAATATACATATTTTGTCGATGTTCCGATCCCTCTAATTGCTTTCATACATATGACACTTATCTTAAGACGTACTATTATTGGTATAATAGTCGTTATGGAGTCTCTTCTTCGTAGACTTCTCTCGAGAGACAATCAAAGCTGTAATTCTTCGTTGTTATCGAGTACACATCAATAGATTTGTTACGCGCAAAACAATTCTTTCTTTTCTCTGTCAGTTATTTCAGAAATTCCACGGTAAATCGTCGTATCTTATTTTCATTATCATATCAGAAATCGTTTGATCACTATCAACTAATAGTTGATATGCTGCACATGTATATCCCATAAACGCCTAAGAGAAATCTATCTGCTAAGAAGATTTCTTTTCAATCATTCCTATTCTCTGTCTCTGTATGTTGCTTTGTTGTTCTAATAGAGCCAAGAAGAACACGATGTGAGATGACAAAACAGTATTCTTTCTTATTGCTATTTGGTTTAAGTTCTCAGTGACATTTTTGTTCTCTTCTTCTCTTTTCTCGCTCTTCTTTTCTCCACGGATCGATCAACTATTTTTCTGGATAATAACTGTTCGATTGATTTATATTATTATTTCTCATTAACGAACGGAAAAGAATAGGAAAGGGAAGCTCCCGATATGCTCATTTTGATCCTTGATTATCATTCCCAACTAGATTCATAGACAGGTAAATTATTTCAATCGAACATGGGCCAACGAATGACTCGTCGACAAGTCGACGAAGGCCTGGAATTGTATGCAGGCAAGAATTATGATGCTGCAATCAAGAAATGGACTATTTCATTGCAAAAAATGAAAGACAATCGACTCCGATTTTCAACATTGGGTTATTTAGCTGCTGCGTCACGAGATCGGGGACGAAATAAGGATTATCTGGTATATGCAGTGCAACAAATCGACATTGCCCACGAAATCGATGATAATAATCTTCGTGCTCAAGCATATTTAACCTTATCACGCGCCAACGAAATGTTAGCCGATTATTTCAAAGCCGTTAGTTATTCACGTTCGGCTGTACAATATTCATCACCAGGCGAATCGGTACAAGGCTATGCTTTACTCGTCATGGCTGATTCGTATATCGGTTTATGCAATTTTTCAAAAGTACTCGAATGCTTGGACAAAGCTTTGATTATATCACACGAAAAAGAAGATCGTCTCATGGAAATTCATGTTATGAGTACAATGGGAAAAGTGTATCTCGCACTAAAAGATTTTACCAAAGCATTAGCATTTCAACGACGTGCACATGAACTCTCTTTGTCATATGCCAATTCAACTGTCGATCAAAATGCGGATCTCAGTTCGAAATTTGTTCGTTTGACTAAATTGAAACTAGCAACACCCATGCGGCTAATGGGTGACTATGAAAGTGCAACACGTTCTGTCGAAGTAATATCAAATTCAACGACTTTCGCCTTGTCGAATACCCGTTGTTCATTATAGGAAGCAATGCGAGCTGCGACCAGCGTTGGAGACCGACCTGTTCAAGCCAAGTGTCTCGTGTGTATTGGTGACATACAACGTTCGCAAAACAATAATGAGGTAGGCAGGGAGCCGTACGTGAAAACAAACACACGCACAAAGATATAGAGTGGTATTCAAACGATAACGAGCTGTCTCCTGGTGTGTGTGATGCACGCATGCATATGTTGAGATGATAATGTCTTCGGAGTAATATACTCGTTTTTTTTTCATATTTTTTTATATCTCAAGGTCGCGTGTAAAAAATATGAAGCAGCAATTCCAATGTTGCAGGATATGAATGATCGTTATAGTTATACATTAGCAATGATCGGACTGGTGAAAGCTTCGTTAACATTGAACACACCAAAACAAACAGTAAGTCTCAGTAGCGAAAGTCGCCATGGGTTAGTTCCCAAATACAGTTTCATTTTCGACAGCGTTGGTCTTGTCATCTCTGACTGACGATGTGTATTGTTCTAATAATTAGTTTTGTTGAGAGAATGCCAGAGTTTATCTTGTCTGTCATGTAGATATTCTCGTGATATTTATTTCATCTGTTGTCCTTAACCAACGAGAGAAGATACGATCGACTTTAATGATATATTGATTAGGCTTTCAAGACAAATGAGATAAATATAAAGTTCTTCTTGAAATAACGACAATTAGAAAGAAAATGACTGTATAGCATCTCTCATTAGGTAGGCAACCTTGAACAAAATCATTTGTTAAATATGTTTGGGTCTTGATGAAGATCTCTAGCTTTCGAATTTATAGGTCACAGATATTCTAGCAACAGCTTTGTCGACGGCATTAGCTATGGGAAATAAATTAATGCAGGCTCGATGCCATCTGTTAAATGAGAGCATTTATCTATCTGACAATCGAATGGAAGAGGCACGACAAGCGCATGAGACGGCTGAACGTCTCTTCCAGGAAGCTGATCTTGTATGCTCAGTGTGTCAGAAGCCGATGGGTATGCAATCGGATCATATTCAAATTTTGACATGTACACATATTTTTCACCAACGGTAATCTCAAGGAATGTTCTACTCTCGATTACTATACTAATTTGGATTCTGTTCGTTTAGATGCATAACCGATCTGTTACAAAAGTGGGCCCGTCAAGCACAATCGTGTCCGAAATGTCACAGGAATGTTCTATACAGTCGTAGCTACATTGCATTAGTGTGCATATGATCAAACAATTTTCTTTTCTTTTTTTTATTTTCTTTTAATCTACTGTATGTTTGTGTTCTTTTTACGAATGTCAAGGAAAATAATCTATAAAAAATCTACTTTGGAATACTAAGAAAGAGAATACGCTAACAATCACTCATCATATTGCTCTTTGAATAAACTGCTCGTGCGTCTATTCATTTTGAATACTTGTAAAAACCAGCACCAGTTTTCTTGCCAAATTTACCTTCACCGACAATCTTGGATAATAATTCACTAGTTTTGAAAGCTGCCTCGTCAGGATAACGTTTGCTCCATCCATCAACAATAAATTTGGAAGTGTCAAGACCGACATAATCTAATAATTCAATTGGTCCCATCGGATAACCAGCACCTAATTTCATAGCCGTGTCGATATCTATTGAGAAACAGAGAAAGACCAAATATCTGCCGGAAAGATTCTTATCTTTCACAATTACCTTCTGCTGTGGCATCACCACGCTCAATCATACGAACAGCTTCGAGCATGTATGGTACCAATAAGCGATTGACAATGAATCCTGGAGTATCCTGAGTGGAGAAAGAAGATTGTTATTTCAATCGAATTTAATGAATTGAACACACTTTGCATGACACCGTTTTCTTTCCCAATGCGTTACCGAAAGTTAACAGTGTTTGGAAGGTTTCTTCGCTAGTTGATGATGTACGAATAACTTCAAGTAATTTCATCACAGGTCTAAACATGAACGCTCATGAGCAGTTAGAAGTTTTCATCAATCGGAAAAGTTTACACTGGATTAAAGAAATGAAGACCGCCAAATTTATCTTGTCGCTTAACGTCGCGAGCGATTTCTGTGATCGGTAATGATGATGTATTACTTGTTAAGATTGTATGTCTAAAACGAATGATGAATCGAAAAAGAATGCGTCGGATGTCGAAAACGAACTTCGGTGCGACTTGATCAATTTGTTGAAATAGTTTTTGTTTAATTTCAAGATTTTCGACGATAGCCTCGATAACAATGTCTGTGGCTTTGACGGCATCGTTGACGTTTGTGCTTGTTTGAATGCGACCTTTCACATCGGTCAGATATTTTTCGCCACCTTGTTGATCTTTTTCGAATTTTTTCTTGATTACACGTTTTAAACTGGTTTGAATGATATTCAAGCTTTTATCAAGAAATTCTTGTTTTTGATCAACAAGAATGACGTTATGGTTCGTTTCAGCAGCAACCTAGACTCAAATTTTAATGATGAGAAAAACGACTGAATTCTATTGGAGGTAGGAAACTCGCTTGAGCAATGCCGGAGCCCATCAAACCGCCTCCGATCACAGTTACAGTTTTAATAGTTCGTCCAAGTGAACTACTCGCTTTGCTAGCAACAGATGAAGCCGCCATCTGAAAAGAGAATAGACCTTGTTTATTTAATTTAAACCAATACTCTTAAAACGAGTTCTTCAACCTCCGTAGCAATAAGAAAAACAAACATGATTATACAACGAATAAGACATTAACAAATATAAAAATATATGTTGAAAAATTCACTGTGTACGAGGCGTATTAGGCGATCGAGCTTTTATTGTAGCTGGTTTCAAACAAATCATACACCTTTGAAGATGTTCCGAATCTAAACGGGCAAAGCATTCCCCGCATATACGATAATGTCCACATGGATCGTATTCGTGTGTTGCATTGTGCTCTGAGCAGATAAGACAGAGGTCATCAACTGTTTCATTAAGTGCGACATTTCGACTGGACGAACGAGATGAATAGGAGTTGATGCGATTCACTGGTGGACGTTCACTTTTACGTTTTGATGGACCTATAAAAAACCGGACATTGTATATGAAGTTTGTTTCTCGATGAAGTTATCTTACCACTTTTATCAAATATAATACGCTTAATCTTTTGTTTACCATCTGTCTCGTATCGAAGTCGCCCTTGTGGGACTGCAAACAGACATGTTTCATTTTTATTCGATGAATATGTGCATTCAACTTACTTCTCCCACATTCCAGAATGATTCGATTGATATAATCAAGACCGCGTACGTGTTGAATAAAATCACAAAGGGGATAAAATGTGGCATGCTCTTCGAATGGACAATCGCTAAATTAAAATGTAAACATGTAACAACTTTCAAAACAATAGCAACAAAATACCGTGGTTCGAAACTTTGTAGTTTATTTCCGCAGTAGTAACAACAAACACTACCTCCGCCCATATTAAAGAATCCTGCTTCAGCCATCATTTGATTCGAAAGACGACTGCCACTTGGATAAATCCAATCAGATGCGAATGATTGAATACGTTTTTCGATCTTCGAATATGATGGATATTCAGGATACAGCATCTGACTTACTAACTAAAATGGACCAAAATACATTACTCTATTTCGAAAAATTCAATGTTTGAACAGACCATGGTCACGTTTGGATAAAGCCCACCTGCTTCGCGTCGAACCCATGTACACCACGGATGATCCTGATCCATTAAAATGCCATTTTCATGTCGATGAACACGCATAGGTGTCCATGGTTCATCTGTTATCGTTGATCGTGTAACAGCGGGTCGTGTGCGTACGATCTCTTCGAACCTTTTTTCAGTCAAACGTACTTCACACCATGGACACTGGATTTCCGTACCCTCAGCGTTTAGGTAAAAGCCAACATAAGCAAGATGTGCGACATCAACATTGGCGAATCGTTCGAGTTTTAGTTTCTTGAATGTATCCAAACGATGTGATTCATGAGCAAGCAGCGAAGGAACGTCAACCGGCGAAGAAATAGCTGGTGAATTTCCAATTACGGGCGACATTTCATGTGACCCATTGTCAGATGAAATACTATCACCTGTGTGCTCACGTTTTTGTTCTTGAAGGAAATACTGTCGTTTGAATGGATTCGTTTGATTTGCCATCATCGGGGACGTTAATTGACTGTGATAATCAGTAGAGGTAGGGTCCGAACAAGTTTGTGCATGTTCTGTAGTCGACGATTCATGTGACGGTGCAGATGGAGGCGGAGAACGTAGGGGTTGAATACTATTCGCAAATGACGCAGTAGATGGTCGAGCAACTGTTTGAAAACCTTCTTCATCAGATGATTCTTCACCTTCGGACAGAAATGGTTCATTTAACGGATTCGAAAATGACGGAGGTGAAACATCTGCAGTAGCTGGTGTTGCTAGAACGGATGAGAAAGAACTGATCGTTGTTTGAGTCGACGATGCCGATGATGACTGTGCGTTGTATGAGGTTTGTGGCTGAGGCTCTTCTACAAGTACGATGCTTTATCGACAAAACTTGAAGAAAAACGACAAAATCAACTTTACTCGATTGGTATCGATCGTGTAGAACTTGTGCTATATATTTGACACCTAAGATCTCTTTGATCCATTCACATGTCGGGTAAAGGTGTGCGTGCAGTTGTGCCATGTTGTAATCTGGATACTTTTCTCTTCGTATTTTATCCTTACTGGATAATGAATTACCACATTGGAAGCATCGCATACACTTGTGTTCTATACAAAAGTAAATGGCTTGGTTGGATAGTGAAACAATCGAACTGACTTTACCATCAAAGAAAAATCCGGCCTCGGCCATTTCACGTATAGCACCATCAGTAACTTTATGTCGTTGCTGATAATTTTCGAAGGTTTTTATTCGATCGAATATCGACTGATATAGCGGATATTCGGGAAAACGTTCACGATGCGGAATGACAATATTCGCAGGACATTGCGCTCGTACTATAAGACAATCGACTGTATGAGTCGATTTTGGATCATTCGTTGTGATCATTGGCGTCTTTTTACATGATTGTTTAGCTAAATGACGATGTTGAGACATGATAGACGAACCTGGTTTTGGTTCAATCGTAACACCACAATATGCGCATCGAATAATTTTCGAATTTTTATGACGATAAAATCCACATGCTGCTAATTCCCGACAAAGACGTTGATCATTTTCTAATTGTTTCGTATCGTTTGAATTAGAATGAAAAAATGATAAGCCCACAAGTGTTTCTAAACGCCATTTCTCATTCGCTGTTTGTATGTCGCCCGTTTTAGTACTATCAATAGCACGAATGATCTGACAGTCGTTCTTTCGTTTACGATGCGTACCTAATGCTGTCATACCATGCACCCAATTATCGACTTCTAAGTCACACATAAAACATTTCACGCGTAATTCATCGCCTAAATAATAAAATCCAGTTTCAGCTAAAGCTTGAGCTGATACTGGAGCGTAAGAAGGCCAATTTTCAAATGTTGCTAAACATTCATCAGTTGTTCGAGGTTTGTTATCATCGTTCTTCGAATCACCAATAGGTGTCGATGTCATTGGGTTTCGATCACGACGTTCTAACAAGAAATATAGTATAAACATCAATCTCATGTATTTGAACATGCAATTACCTTGTGGTAACACACTATGAAAGTAACCAGCATTGGCAACAAATTTTCCACCAGCTGTATAAGTTACGAAACGACAAGGAAAAAACCGTGCATGTTCTAACTGAACGATATTTTCATTTGTAGAAGCAATTGCATCTGCCCAATTGACTAGGGTATTTCCACAGTAGAAACAAGTAACGCCATCATCAGGACCTGAAAGAATCACATAGCAGAATGAACATCTGTTTCATTTTTCTTATATCTTCTGACAAATGAAACAACCTGAGAAAAAGAATCCATGTTTCGCCATTGTTTCTGGCGTGACAAAAGTCTTTTGTGCACTATCAGCTGTGAAACGTTCTAAGGGCGGCCATGATTCCAATGACTGTAAACGCATAGAATATTGATTATATTCGGGCTCCTCAGCGTCATCCCATTGTGGTTGCTGTTGAGATGATGGTGGAGTACGAAGATCATCAATATTAGTCGCTACACATAGAAGAAACGAACAACGTTTGCCAAGATGTGCAACTTTTTTTCGATGTAATTTGCGAAAGTAATTCGGTGCATATTCTGTATTTGTATCAATGGATGTGAGATTGATTTCAATTCCACACTGTGGGCATACGCATTGTGATTGTCGATAGACAAAACCGGCAAGTGCTAACTGACGACGAGTTTCAGATGGGAAGTGTGTCAAACTAGTAAAGATTAGAAAAAAAATCTCGTGCAGATTAACGGAATGACCGACAAAAAACAACAATCTACCTGTCGAATGTTTGAAGTCGATATTGTTCTGACGCGACAAGATGATCAATTTCAGATGCATCGAGTATAGTGGTTGTCGTTGTCATTGTTAGCAAACTTCACATATTTTCCTAGGATGATAAATTAGTCAATAAGAATCTAGAAAAAGAAACAGCGATAAATGTCTTTTAAAACAAGAAAAAAAAACAACTATTTGAATATGCGTTAATCATAGTATTTATTTCTTTTCTTCTCTTCTTTTTCTTGCGTCCTTTCTGCTTTCATCAATGTTTAACTCTGCAGATACAGAAAAAAGGCCCTTTGAATAGAAGAACGTGATAAACATACCAGAAGCTTTGTTGTCTTTCTGACTAACGTTTTCTACATGACTATTTTTGATACAGATGCGACACCATTTCAGCTTGCAAATCTCTCTATCTAAACTACTTAATCGACTGTCATCCGATCTATTGATGCTTACCGAAAATAAATACATATGTGTCGTGTTCTAGTGGTAGTTGAGATGGCATCAAGTGCCTTTTTCGATAAATCGTGGTATGTGAAAATTCGACAAACATTCAACATACCAACACGCGCATTGTATCATAAATAACAGAATGAAACAACATAAAGATACTGACGTTATTTTTTTGTGCTTCTTTGTATTAGAAAAACAAAGTTCGAATAATAATAAATTCGAAACAACAAGAACAGGAGAAAAGGGAAAAGAAATCTATCGTTTGCTTTTCTTTGTTGGTGGAACAGATTTCGACCTAGGAATGATTTCAAACATGACTTTTTTCTCATTTTTTATTCATTCTTACTTTCGTTGTGGCTTATCATTTGTCATATCTGTTTCAAACGAAGATGTATCTCGTGATCGTTTAGTTGTATCTAGATGAATGTTCGACGAATTAGAACGTTGCATATGCATATGTTCTACTCACCCTTTTCTTGACGCGATCGAAACTGTGCCACCTTTTGCATTTCAAATTTCACGCGATCGTCAGCCTGTAATGAAGAGAAGGGTAGTAGTTCGATTGTATTAAAAGAAAGCAAGTTCGTACTGTTTTCGGGTTTGCTTTCGTTTTCTCAATTTTTTCGCGTTCTTCTTTCGACAATTTCTTCTTTTTGCCATTGTAAGAACCGAGACGTAACTTGTCTTGTTCGTTCTTACGTTCCTTTCGACTTTGGAACCATTCACGTGCCGGTGTAGTTCCCGCAGTTTTACCCTGCTTGAGTTGTTGTTCAGCTTTATTGATCTAAAAAGCTCGGGATGACATTGGAATTGTGATAGTGCGAAGTTTGTTTTACCTGGGTTTCACATGAATTTATCATTTTCTCGCCGTATTCCATTTTGAGAATTTCTTCGATGTCTGGTTCGAGTTCTTCCAGCTTATTGCGAAACATCTGAACAATTTCTACACAACAGGAAAAGTTTCACTTGATCCTTCAAAGAGATATGATGTTACCTTGTGGAATAATTCGCATTTTAGCTGGGACCTTGCATGTTTTGAGAATATCTTTCAATAGTTGTCGTTCATTCTCTCCAACAAGTGAAATCGATCGCCCTGGAACGAATAAAAGTTGACATGCAGCGTTTAACAGTTAGTTTTCTCCCTACCTGTTTTTCCTGCACGGGCAGTTCGACCAACACGATGGATGTAATGCTTGAGTGTGTTCGGTAAGATGAAATTGATGACCTAGATGTTGAATTTCGTTAAAAAAAATTTCATTTCGACAAAACACTTACGGTTTTGACGTTTTCGATATCCAAACCACGTGCTGCTAGATCTGTCGCAAGTAGAATATCAATTTCTTCATTTTTGAATCGTCTCAATGTATCCAATCGCTAAAAACATATTTGTTTTTTCTCTCTCTAATAAAGAATCTCCAGCTACCTGTGTTTGAGAAAGATCACCGTGTAATTCTCCGACTTTCAATCCAAGAAGACCAAGCATGACATGCATTCGGTGACATTGTCTTTTTGTTTGGGCGAAAACGATTACACGGTCATGAAAGTTTCGAGTTAATAGTGCAGTTACGATAGCTTCTCGATCACCTTCGCGATGTTCACGAACGCGGATGAATTCTTGGCGAAGGTACGGTGCAACAGATTGATTATCATCAATAAACAAACGTATTGGACGGTTGAGAGAGACTTGAATAAGATCTTTGATCTATTTAGACAGTTTTAGAACGAGAAATACTCATTCAGAAAACAAATCATACTTGATCAGTCATTGTAGCTGAGAAAAGCATGGTTTGACGTGTACGCGAACAGTTATTAATTACTTCTTTCATTTGCTCGAAGTAATATTCATCTAACATGCTGGAAAAGAAAAGAAATATGTGAAACATACGACTAAAGTGCATTTCTATACCGATCAGCTTCGTCAAGAACTAAAATTTCAATATTCTGTAATGTAAATGTTGGTGAATTGTGTATATGATCAATGAGACGACCGGGTGTAGCAATGACTATATCAGGCTGTAAACGTAATGCTGCTTCCTGAGATTTCAAATCCAAGCCACCTGAAAAGATTACAAAACTGATTTAGTGCTGTGCAAGACAATCGATTGAAGACCGACCTGTTGAAAGACAACAAGTAATATTATGAGCAAACTGGGTCAATTGCCGAAAAACTTGATGAATTTGAACACATAATTCACGCGTTGGCGCGAGAACTAGGACGCGCGTGCAAGGTGCTGTCTGATGAGGCTTATAAAGCAATCGTTCAAGTATTGGTAATGAAAACGCAATCGTTTTGCCTAAAAATCATTCATTCGATCTACTTGATGGAAAAGACACAATCACTTACCAGATCCTGTCACAGCACAAGCGCAGAGATCACGACCAAGAAGTGCGATTGGAACAGTAGCTGCTTGAATAGGAGTTGGAGAGTGTAAACCCATAGCTGAAAGAGCCTGAAAAGAAAAGAGAATAGAAATGTGGGTTTTTTACTGGTTTCAATCTACTTTAAGTAATGGTCGAGAGATCTTCATATCGGAAAAGACTTGGTCGGGATTGAAGGGTGGTGATTCTTCGAAGAATTCATCTTTCTAAATGAAGATCATCTGATGTACGATAAGCTTGAACATTGATTTTACCTGTTTATTCTTTCCAGATTTCTTTTTCTTCGCTTCTTTCACTTTCATTTTATCGGCAGCTGAGTCCTGTTCGATTTCCATTTCATACGATTCATCTTCAAGATCATCATTCGCTGGCTTTTCTTCTACGACACTTTCCGATTTCGTTTTCTGAATGCAATTCATCAAAACAAAACGAAATCTTCACATAATTCAACTTACCTTCTTTCTTCGATTTCGAACTTCGGCAATTTTCTCATCGATCGTTGACAGTTGTCCTCGAGTTTTCAATTGATCATTATCATTGCTGTCTTTTCCTTTCAACATTCTCTTGTCGTCCGGATCATCCTAAAGAAGTCTTTGCACATCATCAATCACACAACATTCGTTGTCTTACCAAAACAAATTGAAATTGCTCATCGAAATCCATCGATTTGCCTTTGGTTGCTTGTGCTAACTTATGAGCACGTGGTTTGACCACCACTTCCTCTTCTTCGTCATCTTCGTCTGGTCCATCGAGATCCGGTACATCACTATCATCCGCAATAGTCGGAATCAAAGCAAGCGGATCATCATTTCGACCAGGCATTCTTATAAATCTACAAACAAAACATCGATATTCATAAACAACTCTCGTTTAACTTCCTTCTTCGATACACCGAACTTCTGAATAAGATTTATCTTCAATATATCTATCTATCTATCTATCTGTATATATATATACATATTATTTTTTCTTTTATCGTACATATTTAGAAATTCAACCACAGTTCGAGAGTGCTCAGAAGAGAAGAAAATTGAAAACAAGAAATTGACTTGAGATGTACAACATATATGATAAAAAAAAACGACAACGAAAGAAAAAGAGAAGTAATTTTTTTCTTAAAACAACAATTACACATTTGACGATACAATGAATAATTGACTATAACAATAAATATGAACGAAGATAAAGAAAACGGAGGTATTGAAATGACCAAATAAACAACCACCTGTGTTGAATAAGAACAGGAATAACAAGAGAAGAAATCACCGTCATTGTCGTTTTTTTATTCTCTATGCTGTAAACGTTCATGAATGGATTCCGTTTCTTCAAAGATCAATTGCTTCAATTGCGGTAATGGCAAGTCATCCAATTCCATATCGAATGTAAATGGATGCGGAGCGGTAGGTTCGTCAGTTGGATCGTAATATTGAGTGAAATAAGGATGTTTCAATGCTTCTTCTACAGTAACACGCCGATTTGGATTAAAAGTAAGTAAATAATCAAGCATGTTTAATGATAGATCCGATGCGGTTGGATATAATTGTTTCCATGGTGTTCGCTTGCGAACAGGTAATAAGCTTACATAGTTTCGAGCTCGTTCGTTCACTAAAACAAACAAATAGTAAGATTCTAATTAGCAAATTTGTCATATCGAACTACACTAAGTGCAATTGCGTGGAAGCTCGGGAGACGTTTATCATCTATGTGTACTTTTGTTGATTGAAGTTACAACGCATAAAAATAGGCGAATCTATTCGTCAGGAACAACATATAATTAACACATTGTTTGCATTGAATTCTACCTCCTCCTACTTCTTCTTACGTATCCTCCTTCTACCTCAAGTCGCATGTCGAGAATAATCAGAAATATTTTCTTCTTACCGATTGATACTAAATCAGCTTCATTCGGTGAACCAATCACATTTAAAATTAAATTTATCTGTTCGATATAATGTTTTCCAGGAAACAGTGGTCTTCAAGTAAAAAAAAAAGTGCAAATTGATTCTCTCCAGTCGAGCAATGAGAAATTACCTTCCACCAATCATTTCTGCTAGAATACAACCGACCGACCATATATCAATGGGCTTGTAATAACCACGTGCATTGAGCATGATTTCCGGTGCTCGGTACCACCGAGTAGCAACCTACAAATGGAAAAAGACGATTAGTTCGTAGAGAAATACACTTCAATGTTCATTTACATATTCAGTTAAAAGACCAGAATGATCTTTATTCGGATCAGCTATCCTTGCCAAGCCAAAGTCGCATATCTTCAGGTCACAGTTCGTATTTAATAAAAGATTACTTGGTTTAAGGTCACGATGTAAACTGAAAAGAAGAACAATGAAATTATCGATTGATTTTTACGTTGCTTGCTTACACATTTGCTGAGTGAATATATTTCAATCCACGCAGTATTTGATATAAAAAATAACAAATATGTTCATCAGTTAAACGCTGATGACGCAATAATTTATAAAGATCACATTCCATTAAACATTGTACTATATAAATATCTTTCATTTGATCAATGGTTGGCGCACGGATCACTTCCTGAATATTAATGATATTCTCATGCCGAAAACGAGATAGAATCTTGATTTCACGTAATGTGCGTTGGCAGAAACATTGATGTTCAAAAGGTGTGATTTTTTTAATCGCAACACGTTGTTGTGTTGCATGATCGAATGCCGATGCAACCATGCCTGAAAGAATAGACAATAGATCGGCATGACTTTTCTAAACGTAGAATTTGCTTTTCCGGCATACCATATGCGCCTTCGCCGATAAACTTCAAATCTGTATAACGTGGGCCGACTTCAAAACGTTGTTGCCGAACGATTTCAACGTTGGACGTAACTGATGACATTTGAGTTGTCGATGCTTGAGAAGTTTTACCAGTGTCTTCATCCATTTTAATCATATCAATGACTTAACATCCAGGGGGTTTATAGCGATGTAGATATATTTATGTCAATAGAAACGACTCTGAAAATAACGCAAAATGTTCTTATCAGAAAAAAAAAGAACCCGAAACACGTAGGGCCAAAAGTACGACACAGAGAACAGCTAACAGCTTGATGTGCTGTTAAATAAAGCCTAATGATCTTAAGTTAACACATCTATTTCATGTTGTCTTCTTATTTTCCTCGGCTTTGAATTAAATGAAGAAATTCAATGATGTCATTTTTACATACAGGCAGACACAAAAAGAAGAAAGGAAGAAAAAGGAAACTCTACTCTTGTCATGTCGATGATGCTGACGTCAACATGACGTCAATACCTTCGTTTAATAAAGAAAGAAAACTAAATTAACTTTGATAATATGATGTGTATGTCCATAAAAAAAACGAGATTTTCGACGAGGCTTAGTCTGAAAACTTTGACAAATCGTCAATATTTGACTTTTTGCATTAGCGGTAACTACTGATTATTTCCTGGAGAGAGAGAGAGAGAGAGAGAGAGAGAGAAATTTGCAACAGTCGATTGGATGACATGGAAGTGCGCAGATATCTTATAAAACATGTCCTGGCCCGCTTTCGTCCAGGGATTCATTTATAGATAGAATATCTCAAATGAAAATAATGTGTCATTGTTGACATATGATAGGCATTAATCTAATATTCATTTGAAACGAAAACGACATAACAGATGGGAATGGTTCTAATGAATTGGATGCACTGATGCATAGCTCATAGGAAAGATCTGACAAGAAGAGAAACAAAAGAACGAATTCGACTGAACATCATTACCTCCGGAACTTGATTTTATTGAACAAGAGTGACGTCTTGTTTTTTTTCATGTCACATACACACATATACACAAAAGAAGAAAAAGAGTGCCAATTAAAAGACTTCTGTTTTCTCAGTCCTCTTCGTTTGGCTATCATTTGCTCGGTCGCTCAGTTTTTTCTCTTCTCTCGATTTTTTTCAACAAAAACTATTTCTTTTCGCTATCACACACGCACTGCATTTCTCTCCTTCGTCTTGTTCTCATGCTATAACTACTAAAGAACGCTCGCTAATCTAGAAAACAATCACTGTATCCCAGCTGTGAACAGTGAAGGAAAAATGCAACAAGAAAAGTACGCGACATGTTCGATTTTCTTCTCTTTTCATTAGAATACACTTATCAGATTAGGCGTCGATATGCAAACGTACAACGCTAAATATAGTTGATACAACCGACTAATAAACAACGAAAGAATATCTCCAGGACCAATTCGAGGCAACAAAAGTAAAGAACGAAAGGAAACAATACAAATACAAGGACATTACGGCATCGAGGCTTCGCCTATTTATCAATATGAGAACGAAAAAAAGAATGACAATATTAGAATAATCTAGGCAGCTATTGTAATACATGTATAAATATCTAGGGTTTTAATTCGCTCAAGCGAAAACAGTCTCCTTCATTAGTCATTCATTCATCCATTAGAACTCTGATCGATCATCGGATAGGAACAAAAGGAAAGGAGAAAAACACTACTTACAAACCAAACACTCGTCTAATTCTTGTTGGCGTAAAGATCCGTCATCTGCTAAAAATATTCTATCTGCACAGCACATCAGTCAGGTTATTCGGTAAACTGAAATCGCGATTGTAACAATAGGACGTAACTGATTAGATGACTAGTTATGTGGGAAAAGGAAGAATCGTTTCGTTCTGGTAGAGAACTGTGTAATTAAACAATATCGAAGAGAAAGATAAACAGCAATGATGATACTTAAAAGAAGTGGAATAGATACTTGCATACACTTTGTTGCTTTTTGAAGAATAAAAAACGAGTAAAGTCAGTTACAATCAGCTCTCGACAAAAATCTTCCTAATCGGAATTTACCTTATCACAGAGATATTAGAATATTTTCTAATTAGCAGCTATTTATGTCATCGAACGTATTAGTACACTCATACGGAATAAAATAGCGTACATTGTAGGTTGCAACTGTAATTCAGTCGCACTTTCACATTTGCTTAGCACATTGTACACGCAATCGACGTGGGGACAAAGAGTAAGGTTACGACTAAAGTACATTTTTATCGTGATTTCGATTAAACAAATAGGGAATATTCATGTCGCATACATTTATCACTAATGCCGAGGCCAACTTTCTCGCTATGTAAATATTCCTAAAAGCAATTTCGAATGGCTGTATGTTAACACTTACGTTCGACTAAAATTGTATCCGAAGTATTCTATATAAACCGAAAATATGTTTGTCTATGGAATATGAAGCAGAATAGTGGGTTGGTATTTCAACCTACAATAAATTGCGAAATATAACTGAGAGAATCTAATCAGCATACCTAAAGATTGTGACACTGTTCAAATGAAAATTAGCAACGATGTTGAAATTGCTTTACGTAATGATTTTGTGTGAATTAATAATTCAACACTATCTGTCCATAAATGAAAAAAAAAGAAGAAGATGGACGGTCACGATTCGATAATACTGCACGATTCTATTTGATAGTTTTTAGCAACCAATGAAATGCGGAAGGATATTTTACAAAAAAAAAACGAGTAGCGCGGTAGATGTCCGACGCGTAAATGACATCGCACACTATAGACATGTACAAGAGATAATGATTTGTGACATGAAAATTAAATTCCAATGTTTCGACATTATGTGAATTTCAAAATATGACATTCATACCTATTAGTCAATATAATAAAGTTGTACACACGATCGTTGCGAGTACTTCTTGTGCTATTCAACATGTTTAAGCACTATATTTTTTCCCCGCATTTCTATATCTGTAGTAGGACTTTCTCCCTGGTAGAAACATGTCATAGACGGGATTATTTTTCATATTTATACTTGTTATCTAACTACACACGGCTCACTTACCATACTTTTGCACGTGGATTTATATTATTCCGAGTATTCGCGTCGATTTTGTTCTTTTAAGCACGTTTCAACGCTATAGTCTTCATTTCGCTGCATTACACGCATGATACAGGGTAAATATAAAAGCAGTTAACTATGGTCATGTATATCGAAAAATGGTTTGCTGAATTACCACGAATTACTACAGGATTTTTCTTTATTTATCTAACAACGGGAATCATTGCTGCATTTTGGCCATCTTATGCCATTGAATACTATCTTGTACACCATCACAAATCGTTCTCTGTACGTTTAATGTCGTTTTTATACTTTGGCGAATGTCTATCAGTAGGTTATTGGTATGAGTTTATTTTATTTCTCATCTATTCGAAATCTTTGGAAGAAGAGTATTCATATCATTATCGTCGAGCATACTATTTCTTCTGTTTATTACTTGGTGTTGTGATCATACTGTTGCTGACAATGTTAAAACCGTTGGAAACTTATCTCCTATCGGAATCATTTGTGTTCTATATTGTATTCTTATATAATAATTCTAAAAATCCCAATGGAACAACAGTATTCCTTCCGGTACTCTGGATTGATAACAAATATATGATCATCGTGTTAATATTTATCAATGCTTTGTTTCGACCCTTCTTATGGGCAGAATATCTTATTGGCATCGTAGCCGGATTTTTGTTCATGAAATTGGAACGTAAACCATTCATACGAGATTCGTTCGGTCGAATTTAAAAAAATAAATAAATTCTATGACACATGAATCAGTAGTCAGTAGATAGGTTTTAATCATATGCGCATTTGCACGAAGAAGTCTTCGTAAGAATTTATTTCGTTTTGTCTTCCACATATATAAAGTGTGCAGTTATAAACATAAAAATGAATTTTACATTAGTAGAAAAAGGAAGAAATACACACGCACACGGCAGTCGATTCATTTTTCTTTGATAACGTAGAGAAAATCTATCTTTGGAAGACATAAATACCGTAATCAAAAGCACCGTACGTATTAAAAAGAAATCATCTATGTTCTTATTCGTGCACCGCTTGATTACTATTCCTTTTGATATTGATCATTGCCATTTAGAACCTGATCGAAGTGATTTTCATTATTTGTTTCACCACTGCTACTTGTACTGGTAGGAACGTTGGACGATGTTTCAGAAGAAGGCACTGTTGAATGACTTTCCTCCGCACTAAAGCAAATCATCAAATTTTCATCAATGCTCACCGGAAACATACCTCGATGCATTCTGATTTTGAGACGAGTTGGCTAGGTTGCTGTTAGCTGCATTCGCTCCATCGTGATGAGAAACCGGTTTACTAATCGATAAAGAGATCAATAACTTTTGATGATTAGACTCAATGATGGATGACTTACCGAGATTTAGGTGCAGTCAATCGAGTTTTCGGCTTATGAATGCCATTGTATGTCTAAAGAAAGAGAATGGATTGACTTTCTTTTTACTTTTCTATTACAGTCAAATGCGATGGCGATAGCTCTATTTAGTGAAAAGATTCTTGCTAACTACAAATCTGAACTAATAGTCTATAAACAATGTCGTACTCTTATCAAAGAATTGAGAGGAATGAACTAGAAACAGAAATGCAATGATTGTTTTGCTCATTCATATACAAAAGTTTTACCATTGAGGAGTATGAATCTATTGCGGATGGTATATACCAAAAGTTTGTTGGAAAAACAGGATGCTAAAGAAAAACGAGATCTGTTTGATAGTGCCATTCATTTTTAGCAATTCGTCATACGTTTCGATTGATGTAATGTGTCGGCGGATAAAAATTCATGTTGACTTGGTGTGGATTATTTGTTGCAAATGGAAGTGCGGTTGGTATCGTCGGTTGGTGCGGTAACATATTAACGTTGTAATTCAAAGGCACATGTTGTCGTTGCTGTTGTTGGAGGATTTGTGTCGGATGGTAATTGATTGTTGGTTGTTGAGATAAATTTCGAAGAAATGGTGCTGGAGTGATGTGATTCGTCGGAGGTGCTGCTGATGGGAGATAAATGGGCGTATAGTATTCCTGAATGGAAGATTTCGACGATGGAGATGGTTTTGCTAAACTTTCATTCGATGGTATTGGAGGCTTCTGCCAAAGACAAGCTTTCATTCGTGCCTGACAAGATGAGAGGGGATAATCGTATTAGAAAGTTACATACGAAGGATTTTACCAGAATTTTTTGGTCACGTATCGAAATATTCTCTCGTGTAAGATACAAGAATGCATTTTGGGCATCATCTTCACTATGAAAGGTCACATACCAGCAATCTGAGTGATCAGACTCCAGTACTCGTTCACATCCAATTGCTGCAACTGGACATGAGTCATTTATAAATAAGCCTAAGATTTCATTGTCAGTTGCATCCAATGGGACATTACGTAGAATAATAATACAACGTTTTCGTGTCGGAAGATGAATTTTGCTATCAGAAGAACGAACTTTTTTCTCTTCACTATCAACTTCCATTAAAGGCGATTCTAAAATAGAAACAATTCTCCCCCTATGCAAATGTTCCGAACAGCACTAAGAGTTGTACCTTTCAGTACATCGATAATCAATTGTAAATCATGTGTAAGGCGTTTGACAAGTTTGAAATTTCCGATCATTGATATAGGTACATAATTATCAGCATCCATTTGCGATTGTAAATAGATATCATTAATGATATTTTCTCTATAATATAAATAAAAGACCGCAAGGTGAAACCTCCTCGTTGAAACTTACTTGGAAAAGTAATATTCCAATTGTTTACGTAGCTTGTCTCGTAATTGTTCAGATGAGAGTGGCGTATCTAAAACCATTGAAATGTCATCAATGGAATCGATTAAATGTCTTTATATTTACCTGATGTTGCATGAGGATTTGCATTAAGCAATAGCGATGATTGATCATTGAATGTATGCACATGAGATTGATTTGTTCTCATGTTGTTCTCCATTTCATTATTCATCGGATTCAACATCGAAATAATTGTTATTAAAAACTATACCGACAAAACTTATTTACTTCAGATGGAATAAACAATGCAGTTGTCGTCGTCGTTGTTGTTGTTATCTCTGTCTGCCTTTTCTTTTCTTCCGTCTTTTTTTCCTTATTTTTATGGTTCCATCGTCTTCTACTTATTCTTGTTCTCTTGTTTTCTGTCTGACTCCGGACGACTTCGAAGCTAGCATTGAAACGGAAAGAACCTCATCCTATTTTTGTCATATGATAGAGAACAAGCAGCATGAGAGAATGTTTCTTCCTGCTGATCAGCAAGAAACAAAAACCAGTAAAGAAATATTGCCGCTATTAACAAGGTCATTTCGACACCCTTAAGACATTTTTTTTTAATCGTATCCGAACTCGAACATCATCCTCTTTCAAAATCTCATTCGATCAAACATGATCATGATCAGAAGGAAGGCATTTGCTTCTTTGATTCGATTATCTCGTATGATGTTGATAAGAATCCAAATGGTACTTGAACGATTCTCGTTACATGTAGTTATGCTAGTGAAGAGAACAAGCTAGCTCGATAGATTTCTTCCCGTCATTCTTGAATCAACAGTAAAGTTCACTATGCAATTGCCGAACGAAAAGAGGAGAAGAAGATATCTGTTGTTTTTATTTGTCCAGCAAACTAACCAATCAGCAATTTGGATGACTCGACTTCGTCTTCGTATTTTTATACGACAGACAAATCTTGCTGTTTTCTGATTACTACGAGTCATTTTCTTCGTAAAGAAACAAATTAATTAACTATGCCATCATATGATGATGATGTTCCGACACAGGAAGAAGAGAATTTATTAAAACAATTACGAGAGAATCAGGAAGAACAACAAAGATTTCGAGTAATCACCGAGGTAAAAAAAAACGCAATTGACGACATTCGTTCATTTTCTCTTCGTTCGATCTAGGTTAAAAACTTAGTGATCGGCTCGAAACGCTGTAAAACAGCATTTTATCGTGTTGGAACAATCGAAATACTTTGCAACTTACTTCAAGAGTTCTCATCGATAGATACGAATTCCAATGATTTACTGATTGAAATCATTGACTGTATATCGTCATTTGCGAAATCGAGCAACAAAAAGATTGTTGATCGACTGATGGAACTCGGATGTATCCAACAATTATTTCGTTTACTTTCATCTCGAACTGATTCGATTCAACTCTGTGAATCATCTCTACGATGTTTACGTTCATTCTTTCTTCCCAAACTATCTTCAACAATGTTTTCAAAAGTTGACTATACCAATCCGTTTTTAACACCGATTTCGTTCGTCCTTCTCTGCGATCAACATACACAGAAACCTCCTTCTCTTACCACTCAAACGCCTAAACTTGTCCAACTTCCCTCTTTCGAACATTATTCGCCGATTGAAATCCTTTTTGAAATTCCTCAATCATTGGATGTACTTCTACATCTAATATCCGTTTCGAAATGCGCACAATTATCGATCGTCGAAATTCTATGCTGTCTATGCGTGAATAACGAACGACAGAAACAATTGGTAGACAAAGATTTTATTCCTGTAATTTTTCGTCTACTTTTACAAAACATCTCCGAAAAACAACAACAGCAGCAGAATAGTAAACTTTGTTCGATCAAGTAAATCTTTTCTCATCAGCGAACCTTCTAATCTTTCTTGCCTGTGTTTTAGTCTAACAAATGAATATATCATTGGAGTTTGTTTGAAATTTCTATGTTCATTGTGCCATGAAAACGCTTCGATTGCTCAACAACTACATGATACAATATCTAGCGAAACGAATCAAACATTGTGCGAAGTCGTATCGAGTCTGCTAAGCAAAATTCACCGTCCGGTTGTTATCTCTTACTACGCATCAAAATTTTTCGTTAATCTTTGTAAAACTAAAGTGCTAGATGCTGATCATCCATCAGTCGCTATCGAATCTCTTTCAACCTTGATACACTTGTGTACAAAATCAATTTTAAATAAATGCGTCTATCTACACATTGAATGTTTGGACACGTTAATTTACCTACTCAACGGAAATAGTATATTACACAAAAATGCAACGTACACAGAACAATTATTGAATAAATTATTTACATATATCTTCACTCCATCGAAGGTTCTTGATGAGCAAATAGATGAATTATTACTGGTACAAATACGTTCGTCGGCATTGACATTACTTGCAGTTTTATCGTCATATGATGAAGAGATCAAAAAGCGAATTGCAGATGAAGAAAGTACGTTGGATTGTGTTGGACATTGATGAAATCGAAACGAATGTTTTGGTTTAGATTTAATTGTCACAGCGATTGAATGTTATCGCATGCCACATGTGTCGTTACAATTAGCTGCTCTTCGGCTGTTTCATGGCTTATCACGAAGTGTTCATCAACTTCGTACAACATTTAATGATACCATTTGTGATATTCTCCTCGATGCTATCAAATCAAGTGATTTAGATATTGTGAAAATCTCCTCATGTGTAATAAGTAATATTGTTCTGGAATTTTCAACTTGTCGAACGGTAAGTCAAATAAACGAACTTGTCTTATAAGATCTTCTTCGAATCGATTTAGCGGTTACTCAATGGTGGCATATTGTCTATACTTCTGGCGCTGCTTACACATACTGATCATGATTTGTGTATAAATAGTATATGGGCACTACGTAACCTGTCGTATTTATCAACCTTGAAAATCAAACAAGATATTATCAATGGTAAGTGGAGCATGNCATATTGTCTATACTTCTGGCGCTGCTTACACATACTGATCATGATTTGTGTATAAATAGTATATGGGCACTACGTAACCTGTCGTATTTATCAACCTTGAAAATCAAACAAGATATTATCAATGGTAAGTGGAGCATGGAATTCGGACTAGATAGAGAATGTTCTTTGGGCAATTTCAGGCATAACAGTTGATCGCATTTATTCGTTACTTGAACGGTGTACCGATGAACAATTCTTGATATGTCTCTTGTCATTATTACGAAATTTTTTCGATGAAAAGGATACCAATGCACTACTGATCCTATTCAATGAAGAGAAATTATTGAGTGTAAGTAAATCGCGTTGCTTTCGAATTCATTAGTGTTGCTATTGTTAGACATTACAACGTCTACGGGAAAAAACGCATCCGGAAGAAATTCAACGTGAATTAATTACATTGATCGATCACTTGAATTCAAATAATAATTCGGTAAGAAATTTCGTTTCTTCTTCTTCTTGTCGAAATCAAACATTCTCTTCGGATGTTTCTAGTCCGAACAACGTCTATCCTCTGATTCGGTTGGTTCATCCTGTCGGACATCGTTGTTTGCCGATTGTAACTAACTATCAGCGCCTTTTCGAAAGCAAACTCGTTTTTGTTTCGTTTTAGATACATGTGATGAAATGGATCAACTAGATTGTTCATAAGCGTGCAATCCAGTAGGCGACGTGTGTAACCTGCTCACCTATAACAATCGAACTTAATAGTGTTTATCTCTTTTCCTATTTTTTTTTTGTCGCTGTCTTTTTCAAGAAGAATTCAATGACCATATGCAACTAAAATAAACAAGATTGTGCTTTTCTTATTTCTTTTTTCGAATACATGAACTTTGTTTTGTACCGGTATTTTACGGGTCGACTATGATCGGTCTATTTGCGTCGAACGATATCACGCGTTTGATTTTGTGTGCTCACATGTCGAAAATTAGTCATCGATTAGGCCGTCACAGCAACGTAATCTAGTTTGGAAATTTACAAAAATGAACAAATGGGAAAATATTTTCACATATTGCAAAGAAAAATTCAATGGAGAGCCTAATAGTATTTTTCCCTAGATCGTAACCAGAACGCCATCTATCGTGATCAGGTCGTCTACTCGAAAAACTGTGTTTTGACATATCAATTTCGTATAAAAATTGGGAAATACTCATTCGTTACCCTACTATGGAATTGTTACTGATGTTCGTGTCACTTGATCTCAGAGAAATATGTTTAATAAAGCTTAAATCATCGGATTTCTGTCATTGAACTAACACCATCATGGAGGTACACAACTCTAGGGTATGGCTGATCACATGTGATTAAATTATGTTTTTTTTTGCGCTGTCTCTATATCTTTATACATACATTCGTTCTCATATGCATAGAACATCGTCAATGTCCTTTCATATTCCTAATATCTCGCATCATTGAACATACGTGAGTGATTTCGTGCTTAAATCAATATTCAAAACCTTTTCTACGCTTCAAGGATATTTGAACTTTACAAAACAAGTTCCTAAGAATGTTAGCAACGCTTGTTTTTCATTATTAATCAATTTTTTCTCGGATGCTCGAGAAAAGTTCCTTCATAGATGCATTTCTGATGTATCATTGCTCGATTTCATTTGAGAAAAACAAACTTATCCAAACAGTCTCTGGATGACCTTGACGGCAAGTAACTGAATCTCAGATTGTTTTCGTTCGTTGTTGCTTCGCGCCCTACCGCCAAGAACAGAAAGGGAAAAAAAAAGTTCTTTCTTCCTTCGCTATGTACGTATTTCTACTTTACTCGTGAGTCATTCTTTTCGTGTGATACGATACTTCGTCATTATTACATAGATCCTCGGAAAATTGCAACAAAATCTTATTTCGTTCTAGATTATTCTGATTTAAATTCTTCTACGAACTATCGTTTCATCATCTTTTGTATTTCAGTAGGTAGAAGTTTTTCACGATGACACTTTTTTCATTTCTCTTTTCATACACAAATAGAACGTTCTTTCATTGAATCAAATCAAGCTGTTGCCAAGTGTACACTTTAGATCGAACTAGACGTTGTTGAACATATTCATTGCGTAACAGATGGAACAACCGGAATCGAATCCAACTTTTTGTACAAATAATTGCGGTTTTTATGGATCGTCGCAGTTCGAAGGAATGTGTTCGAAATGCTATCGTGACCATGTCAGTCGTTCAATGAATACCGGCCGAGCTAATTCATGTAACAGTATGTTCACATTTCAATCTCCGTTGGAAATTCTGTATGCAATGAACTTTTTCTTTCAGGCTATTACGCTTCTTCCACCACTCCTGTGACATCAACATCTCAAACACTTCTCTCCAACACATCTACTATCGATGCTCAACAGACGAGAGATGATCAAGATGAAGTTGTTGGCCACATGGATGAAGACAATGAACTTCCTCAAATTGAATCAACAGTGAATAAGATGGACGATGATAACAGTGAATCACCTTTGGCTACTGACGAACAATCACCCACAACCAAAGAAGATAATGACCAACCTATCGATGAACCAATTGCTAGTCACATTAATCGTGTTGTCTCTGCTCCCACTATGCCAATTGTTATTTCAAGAAATATTGATATACCGGGAAAGAATGACTCAAACATTTCATTTTCAGTTATGGAAACAAGTTCTCTGGGTAAGGAAAACACCAACCGTGTGTTCTCTTCTTTCTCTACATTCGTTTGTTTTTTGGTTCACAGGAGCGGATTCAATGTCTCCAGTGACTGCGTCGAGTGTCGATAAGAAAAAACGTAATCGATGTACGTGGGCGTCATGTAATAAAAAACTTGGATTGACCGGTAAGAACGATCATTCTTCGTTATTAGAAACGAGACTTTCTTTCCTTAGGCTTCGATTGCCGTTGCGGAGGTCAATTTTGTCCACTACATCGTTATGCAAACGAACACAACTGCACATTTGACTATAAAGAACACGGTCAAAATGAAATTCGTAAGAACATGCCCGTAGTACAAGCTGAACGGGTCCGAAGAATTTAAATCAATCAGTTTTTGTTCAATATCGAGGCATCAAAAGACAATGTACACTTATTATTTATTTCTAAAAGCGAAAGAGTGTTTCGTTTTTTGTTTGTCTTCTTTCACTTTCGTTTCTGTTCATATAAACAATCCTTTTCTTCTTCTTCTTTCTTCTCTCTTTTTCTTTTTTCTCTTTTTTGCATATGTAGAAGATGCGTTTCTCAATATCGCTTACTTACCGCGTTGGATTAACCTAAACCATACACGCACTCGTACAGTTTTTCTTTCCTTCTATATGTGTGTACAAAGATTGAGTGAAGTGTGTGTATCATTCTTTTATAGAAAACATAACACGCAAGATGAAACAGAAGAAATGTTTACAAAGAATATTTCAATCGACTAAGAAAAAAAAACACTCTTTGTTTCTAAATCGCAGATCAATCAGGAAAATTGCACATGGAAAGTTTTATTAGTAACATCGTTGACTGACGATTGTTAATCTTTAGTTTACTTTTTAAACAAAACCTTTTCCGATTAATTCCAAGAGTCATGATGATTTGCACAATTTTGAGTATTTCCACATTGACCTACGTGAAATTGATTTCTTTGTTTCTTCCCACTCGATAATGATGTACGTGCGAGTCTGTTGACGTCAATGCTGCTCATATTTGCATCGAAAAGGTAAACCTATAACATATTTTGCTGGGCGTATCCGCACCTCTTGCATATCAAACCGTGAAATGAACTAATAACGTATAAAAAAATACATGCATAAAATACTTGTGTTTCAATATTTGATTCAACGAAAGAGATAGAATTGATGCCAACTCATACTTATCTGAAAAATCGGAATACGAACAGAAAATGTCGTTTGAATGGAATCGTAGCTTCACAGCGTAAGCCGGAGAAAGCTAAACTACAGAAAAATTTTCGAGATTATATGCAGTTCAGTTATTCACAATTGCCTCCAAAAGTCGATCTACGATTTGATATGACACCTGTCGAAGATCAGGCAGATATTGCTAGTTGGTAAGTTGTTGAATGTTTCGTACATGCCATTATGGCTTCTATATGTCTCATTTCAGTGTCGCGAACTCATTTGCTGGTGAATAAATGCCATTGATTTGTGTATTGATATACATGTTTCGTTCTAGGCGCTTATGAGTATTTACTGAAGAAAACCAGTGGTTCTCACATTGATGTGAGTCGATTGTTTATCTATTATAATGCTCGTGTAAAAGATGAAGAATCGGATGATATCGATGATTCAGGTTGTACCATAACGAGTGCGATCGAGTCGTTAGAAGAATCTGGTACATGTCTTGAATCTATTTGGCCATATTATACGAAACGTGTGAATAAATGCCCAAGTGATGATGCGTATGAAGCAGCAGAAAATAATAAAATAAGCGATGCTTTACAAGTGAATGTTGATCTGTTAGAGATGAAATCTTGTCTTGCGCAAGGTTTTCCATTTGTATTCTGTATGAAGTTGTTTAAGTCATTTGACAAAGCCGATGAGAAGGGTATAGTTTCGATGCCGAAATCCAACGAAAAGAGTCGATCGTCTCACGGAAAGTCAGTATTGAAAGTAAAAAATATTGACTGCTCATATATATTCTTGTAGCCATGCTATGTTAGCTGTTGGATACAGTGATAATTCAAAAGCATTCATTGTTCGAAACTCATGGGGCGCAGACTGGGTGAGATGTTTGTATATTTTCATGGCTAATAAACTGCTTGTGTTGTTGTCAGGGCGATAGGGGTTATTGCTATATTCCATATGGATATATGACAGATACCGATCTTTGTTGGGATCCATGGGCAGTTCGTAAAATTGAGACAGACGATATGGGCCATGAGAATTGGGATGATGAAGACGAAGTCGATTATGGTGATGGAGATGACGATGAAGGTGAAGACGAAGATGATGATGATGAAGATGAAGATGAAGATGAAGATGAAGATGAAGAAGACGATGATGATGATTGTGACATTGAAGACGAAGAAGTAGAAGATGAAGACGATGATGATGATGATGATGATGGTGAAGAAGATGAGGATGAAGACGAAGATGACGATGATGACGGTGAAGAAGAAGATGAGGAAGACGAAGACGAAGACGGTGGTGAAGATGACGATGAATAGTGAAATTTTAAGTATCCAAACAAATATTTAGTTTGTTTTTCGTTGTTATAATACAAAATTATCTTGTAGCGAGATTTCAGACTAGTTTCCTCTGCGTTGCTCGGATGCATCATCTATTTGAATACTGTTTAAGTATAGACGGGAACACGAAGAGTCATGATCCTATAAACAGCTACTGGAAAACAATTTCATTTTACCAGGTAGCATCAAATAACCTATTTTTCTCGCATTAAACAGGTTGAAGTCAATACCAGCACATAATCTTGGCGCGCCGCACATTTAAGTGAATTGTCTAATCTGTTCTGATCTGCATTGATTGATCATTTGACTTTATCAATCAGTCAATCACATAATGCATATCTACTACACACGTATACATCTGGTCAACATGATTCATTTTTATAAATATCAGATATTACTTTCGAAGCAATCACAGATCTCTTCTGAAAAGTGTGTCATAATAAAAATAATGTCACTACCCATATTCCCCGACGAAATTCAAATTGAAAAACAAAAGTTTTGACCTGAGTCTAAGGATATAAAAGATCATTGAAATTCAGTTAAGATTTCGGTAAAATAAAATTAACAATATCTCGTCGAGCTTATCTGATTAATAAATAGACAAGCCCATGATAGATGCCGAGTGATTGATTTCAAGCCGTCGACTCGAATGCTTGAATCGGAAAATCTGCGCCAATATTTTTCCCATATTGTTACGTGGTATATGGAGAAACTCCCGCCCAAAAGTCGATTTACGTTCTGGAATGATCGAAGTTGAATTTCAAGCTTCCATCGGCAGTTGATCAGGTTGAGATTTCATTATCTGAAGAAGAGATGCGTATCATTCTTTGTTTCTATCTATATAGCTCAACGAATGCATATTGGCAGGTTTCAACAATATGAGCTTGCTTAGCTAGATTTCACACTTTGTTCTTTAGGTGCTTACGAATGTTTATTGAAGAAAGCAACTTGTCAGAATATTGATGTCAGTCGTTTGTTTATTTATTACAATGAAAGAAGAAATAGGTTTCAGTTTTACAAAAATAATTGATGCGGGTTGTCCTATGACAAATGCAGTTGAAGACTTGGCAGAATTCGGCGTACGTTTAGAAAGTGTCCGATCGACCCATTGATGAAGCCTATAAAGACGCGCGACCGAATAAAATTAACGGAGCCTTTTGCGTTAAAATTGACTTAACTAAAATGAAACTGTGTTTAGCACAAAGCCATCCATTTGCCTTCAGTTTGTATTTGTACACTTCATTCGATTAGGCAGTCAGCATAGGTGTTGTACCTCAACCAACTGAATGTAATCGACCACGGCCTGAACACGATGGATTTGCTGGTCTTTCGTATTGACACTAGTCTCCGAATCAACTAGTCTTTTTTTTCATTCTTGACATATAATGTAAGCAATCAGTTCAGTGACCAATCACAATCCTTTATCGTCCGAAATTCTTCGGGCGAATCATGGGTAAGCAGAGATTGCTTAGTCAATGGAATGATATAGATTTCTCGATGATCTGTAGGATCACGATGGATATTGTTACATTCCATATAGTTATCTAGCAAATTCAACTTATGTTTTTGACATGCGGATGATTCAGGAGTCGGAAGAAAATCATCTTGGGCATGAGAGCTAGTGCTTCGAGGATGCCATCAATGATCAAGACATGCGAAGATGAGAATAACAATGATTTTGATTTTGAAGAATTTGACGAGGATAACGGTCGTGGAAATCCGAACATCATAGACGGTGCTAATCAAGAAGACAATTTCGAAGGTAATGTAGGTCAAGAATTTCCTGGTGACGACGATGAAAATAGATAACTCTAGGTGACTTTGCTCTAAAATCGCTCTTCTCTCCTATACAAAATATATAATTTAGATAATAGTAACAAAACGTCTCGTTATTTTTTATGCCAATATATTCTCCTCTTATATGTGTTGTAAAACATCGCATTCGAAATTTGATTTGTGTCTCGTACTCTGCATCTCGAACGTCAGAGATAACATTTCAGATGACAAATCAATGAAGTGTTAATAACCTGACAGAAGAGAAAATATGATGTGTACTATCGAACGGAATAAGACTAATTGTAGAGCATACGACAAGTTGTCAACTCATTTGAAGGTATCTGACATCATTCAGCAAACGCTACATTGATCATTCATTTCATCATTCGTATTTAACAACGATTAGCACAAGAGAAGGGTATGGCATTAAAACGTTATTTATCGAAGAAATTTGGTGGACATAAAGTTCGTTTAACAAATATTCTAACATCAGTACATTTACGTCGACAAAGGCGGCCACGAGAATCTTTTTGTCAACATCGAATCTATCAAACCGATCAATTGCCGCCAAAAGTTGATCTTCGACCAGATATGACGCCTGTCGATCATCAATTCCATCTCGGTTGTAGGTAAGGTTCTATTCAAATATATTCATCTTCTTCTTTCTAAAAAGATATGTCGATTTCTAGTGTTGCAGCTTGTCTTGCTGGTAAGAAAAGACTGTTTGAATGCATCCTTCATATATTTCATATATAATCTTTTAAAGGAGCGTATGAATATTTAACAAACAAAGACAATGATTCAAGTATTCACATAAGTCGATTATTTATATACTACAACGCTCGCGTCTTGGCCGCTAATTCGACTTTAATTTACGATTCAGGTTGTTCTGTTACCAATGGTATCGAAGCACTGGAAGAATTTGGCGTATGTCTTGAATCTCTTTGGCCGTACGATATAACATGTGTCAATACTCGACCAGATGACGAAGCTTACGAGCAAGCGGAAAATCATAAGATAAATGAAGCGTGCCAAATCGACTTAGATTTAAACGAGATGAAATCTTGTCTCGCCCAAGGCTTTCCATTTACTTTTGCACTCAAATTGTACAATTCATTTCATCAGGGAGCAAAAAAAGGAATTATCACGACACCAACTACATCAAAACATAGTCCATCGGCAATCGGCAGGTTTGAGAGGTGATATCGCGCAGAAATGTCGAATAATTTTGTTATTGCAGTCAAGCGCTATTAGCTGTTGGCTACAGCGATCGATCCAAGGCCTTCATCGTTCGAAATTCGTGGGGTTCAAGTTGGGTACATGTCACAAATAAACTATTTCGATGTCTAATATGTTTTGCGTAGGGCCACAAAGGATACTGTTATGTTCCTTATGAGTATATGACAGATCCAAACTTATGTTTTGATTTGTGGACAATTCGACGTATATCGAACGATAGTTTCGGTCGAGAATATTGGCAGTTTGATGACATTGTCAACTACCTTAATGAGAGTTCAATTGAAAACGAAGAGGAAGAATATTTAAGTGACAGCGAACATGAACTGATGTGGACAGATTATCGTAGTCGTAAGAATGCTTTTCGGTACTCTTGGGATGAATACCGAAAGGATGAAAGTAGGTTCGATTTGTTTATTTGCTAATGATCATGTTTTATGATGTAACGAACAGGAGGAGGAAGTTTTACGGAAAACGACGATGATTATATTCACCAACGATACAGACGTGATCGTTATGATCGCGACAACGAAGTGTTTGATCAACGATCAGCAGGTAAACATTTGAAGGAATTTTAGCAGACTTTAAAAGATCGTATTTTAGGATATATTAACAATGGTTTTATTTCGAATAAAAGTTATCCCTCACCGATCTATGATCGTTATGAAGATGAAGACAGATTCTGTAAGTGTGCTTCTCTCGTTTAATCTCGTTTTATATGATTTTCTATCTAGACTATGATTCTGCTCACGATCGCTTCTTTAACAATCATCAGAACTTCATGTTTTAATACATGCAACTGTACATTTACATGAAAAGAATAAAAATACTAGTATAGTCGGTAATATTTTGCGTGTTTACAGTAAAAACATGTATTTCTTCTCGATGTTTTGTACATAAAATGAATAATCATCAGATAAAAATAAATGAGCTTTCTAACTGCACTCTGAGTCAATATGATTATTTTTTCTGTTCTTTTTGAAAGCAATCTGTTTTATGTTATATAGAATGCGATCAATCGCCCCTCGAGCTGAAAGAATAAAAAACTTGTTTGCTTTCATACCCCGTATTGTATATTTACGAAAAAAAGTACAAAAATAATAAGAAAGAAGGTTGTCTGATTCATCCAGTGGCTTTTTAAGAACAGGAGAATTCGATTCTTTGTCCTAATCATAAACTGTTCGGCAAATCACGATGCCACACAAAACGTTTCTATTCAACCGAAGAAAACAACAACGTTTTCGATTGAATGGTATTCTACCCTCTCTACGTTTACCACGCAAAGAGAAACTACGGCAAGAATTTCGTGATCATAAAGTTTTGGACAGTAGTCAATTGCCGCCGAAAGTTGACCTTCGACCGGACATGACCGCTGTGGAAGATCAATCGAAAATTGGAAGCTGGTAAGTCACAATTGAATCGCGAGAAGATTTGATTTATGAACGTGTTTTTAGCACGGCAAATTCTCTTGCTGGTGAGACGTGATCTTTGATTGTCGAACTCGATCGAGCATGTTTCTATACTTTTAGGAGCATATGAATATTTGACAAAGAAGGCGAACGGGCGTAATACAGATGTTAGTCGATTGTTTATCTATTACAACGCACGTGACAGAAACAATAACGGGCAACCAGTGAGTGATACAGGATGTTCGATGACACATGCTATTGAAGCGTTGGAAAAATATGGAACATGTCGTGAATCATTATGGCCTTACGATATCTCACGTGTGAATGTTCGACCGGATCAGTCGGTTTATGATGAAGCTCAAAACTACCAATTGGAAGAAGCTCTTCAGGTGAATATTGATTTAGAAGATATGAAATCTTGTTTGGCACAAGGTTATCCATTTGCATTTGGTTTGAAATTATACACATCGTTTGATAAAGCAGCAAAAACGGGCGTAGTTGCAATGCCCGATTCCTGGGAAGCAAGTCGACAGTCACACGGAAAGTTCGTCGGATATTTTTGAAGTAAAAAGAAAAGTATGAATTCTCTCTTGTAGCCATGCATTATTAGCTGTGGGTTTCAGTGATGAATCTCGAGCATTCATCGTCCGAAATTCTTGGGGTGAACGATGGGTAGGAGAAGATTCGTTAGTGTATTGAAACTGTTGATTTTGGATTGATTTGTAGGGTGACAAAGGCTATTGTTATATCCCATACGATTATCTATCGAATCCGGACTACTGCTTCGATGTTTGGAGTATTCGAAGATTAGAGAACGATGATCTTGGTCATGATAATTGGGATTATAATGACGCTGTCGATTACCGCCAAGCTCCTAACAAAGGCACAACTGACAATTATGATGATGATGATGATGACGACAATGATAATGATGAAAACCATACTATTGAAGATCTAGATGAAGAAGATGATGATTATAATGATGGTCAAGAAGGTAATCGAGAAAGCTACTGGTCGGAATTTAAACAAGATGGAGATTCCAGTAGTTATTCATATTCATATAGCAGCCATCAAAGTTAGTAGATTTAATATACTTCTCTTTATTGAAAACGTTTGTTTATTGCTTAAAAGCATCTGAATACTCAAATGATGGATCAGGTCAATTCTATCATCGACATGGCGGTGATCATCATCACCGCCGCGAAGGATCCGGTGGTTAGTATCGAATATCTACAACAAATGTCCTATAATCAAGTAAATCTTTTTCTTCCAGGTTTTGAACATTTTCATCACGGCGAAAGACATTGTGAGTATTCAAACGAGATTGATTCTTACTCAATTCTTTACGTTTAGTTCATGAATATCCGGACGATTGATTTCTCATTTTCCATATCTACTGTCTACATTTATTATCAGAACAGTTTCCTTTTGCTATTTAATACAATACAAATGAAGAAAGAAGTATAAATAAAATAAACGAACGAGTTAAAACGATCGATGATGAACGCGATAACAAAGGATAGAACGAGATTTTTCCCAATAAAGGACATCGCAAGTCTACGTATGTAAATCGATCGAACAGACGAGCATGGGTGATTCCATCAGGCATAAGACATTTGGTGAATTGAAACAAACTTGACGTATATTTCTTCGAATAGTCGACATAGGTAAACGATCGTTGATATTCACGAAGATGAAAACAGTTGCACTTCGGCGTGTTGAACAAGGTAACAAATGTCGAATTGATGAACATTTCCAGAATAGTAGTCATTGATTCTGAAGGAATCATTTGAAATTGTTCGGGGTTTGGTATAATCGATTGAAATGGAATGTTATTCATTCGAACAAGAAACGATTTCGTGGAATTTTCCCATTGGTTAGCTAACTGAATCCATTGTGAAATAGTGACTGATTGTTGCAATGTCACGTCTGGATACGATGAAACTAAATTCACTAGTTGAATGTTCTCTAGTTGAAAGACACTCCCCAAATGATCGATTGATTGTATGGGATTATTTTGTAAAAATAATGAAAGTAAATTATTCATCGGCTGGAAATCATTTCCATCGATATGTTTTATGTTGTTATTCGATAGATCGAGAATTTGAAGATAATTATTTTGAAAATTCGGAATTGTTGTTAATTGTGTATTGCTTAGATTTACATGTACGAGATGTGTTAGACATGAAAAATCGGTTACTGGAGAGTCCAGGTAAGAGCCACTTAAGTCTAGGATCTGAATACTCGAATATTGACACAATTGATTTGGCCATTGAGTAAGTGCGTTTCGGGCGATGATTTTGGTGATGCTATTGACATTCTGCGAATCGAATATGGGCAAATCAGCTAATTGTTGAGAACAGTTCGATAATGTCAATGAATATTGGGTCAAATAACATCGACAAGGTGTGTTCGGAATACACGAAGTGGTGTCATAAGTTTTCGTCGACGCGATCGAAATGGCAAATAGGAGAAGTTGAATTCGATGAGACATCTTCTCATGCAAGATATTGAATGAACATATGTGGTGGTGGTAGTAGTAGTTGTTGTTTTTTTTTCGTACTGTCCGATTAAGACATATTCAGACATTATTTGTAATCTGACACTACACACAGTTTTTCTGCTTCCTATTCAGCTAGAGTTGACTCGACGTGATCGTAAACATATCAGCAGGCTATTGTATATAATGTAATCGTCTGTCTAGATATTACTGAAAGCTGCCGGTTAATAACTGCGATTACATCTGTTCATGTAAGAGATATGCAAGACTGTGACTTCTGGTTTTTTTCAATGTTCATAGTCCTTACGCAAAATACAACAAAGCTATAACTTGTGAATTGCAAATAAGCAAACTAAACAAGATGTCTCACATATATTCACAATATTGTTATTCTGTCCGATATGTAGATCAGAGGACAGCGAAAAGAAAAAAGACCGAATGACATCGAGCTAGTGATTGCATCTCTTATTTCATCGAACTGTTCGAATAGAAAACGGCAAACAGCTATCTACACGCAATCATTCTATTGAACAGATACATAATGTTTGAATGTATCGCATCAAAATTTGTCTTTCAATCTCAATATGATTGATTTATCCGAGAACGGTGTTACTTACGATAAAGAAGAAAAAAGTCTTCTTCTTCTTCTCCTGTACATTCTCTCGTCATATAAACTTGACATGATTTCATGACGAGTAACGCATTGCTTTACCTTTCAGATAACCGTAGTAAGAAAATTACAGATAAATTAAGACTTTTTCTCGTCTGTAGAACATGTACGGTGAACAGTACAACTTATCGACAGTATGAAACTTGGTTTCTGTCCATTTTGATCCATGTTTTTCTTTGTATCATCTTAGACACTCAATAATCAACCAACTATTCGCCTTAATGATTCGTATTATTTGGATTCGTTACCTTACGCTTCTTACAACACCAATGCATATCCATTTCGCCAACAAATCCCATCGCAGTCAACGTCATCCAATGTTTATTTTTCTTCCCATCAACATTCGTTCTCACCATCAACATCGCAACTGACACATCCGGATTTAACATCTTATTCGACATATGATACAACTTATTTGAATGCAGCAGTAGCCGCTGCTTATCAAACGACATATCCGAATCCGTATCATCCAAATACAACGGATGATTCATTTGATCTTAGTTTTCCTCGGCATATTTCTGGATTTTATGCAACGAATCCTGAACAACAGATAGATACCACTCAGCCAGATCGTAAAGTACCCACATCGGCAATCCCACCAAGTAGAAAAAGGAAATTTCAAGATGAATCAATGAGTACAATCGAAACTCATACTGACATTTCTTCGTACATCGTCATTTCTCGTTTAGAAGTACAATACGAGTCCGAACGTTGTCGAGTATGTGATGATGTTAGTTCAGGTTACCATTTTGGTGTCTTCACGTGTGAAGCATGCAAAGGATTTTTTCGTCGCTATTCGAAAAAAGCCACTATTCTCGAACCGTGTCCTATTCGATGTTCAATCAATAAGAACAACCGTAATAATTGCGCAGCATGTCGATTTGACAAATGCAAATATGTCGGTAAATATTCTCGATTTAACTTAACAAAAAATTCGCTTTACTCTTCGTATTGCAAGGTATGGCTTTGGATAAAATTCGTTTCGGTAAACCACCAAAACTGTCTCGTTCTTCATTTTTGACATCAGCCGTTAAACTCGAACCGAACAATAATGATTTTCAATTAATGCTGAAATTACTCGAATGTTATCAATCATTCGAACAATACGATCATCAACCAACCACCATCGCTCAATCATCGATTATATTTGAATTTTGCCATCGACTCGCCGAGATTGTTATGCCGGAAAACGAACGTGTACCCGAAAGATTTCTCATTCGACTGAAACGACACGAATCGGCAATAAAATTTCTGATTACAGGTGAGAATGATCAGCACGTAACATCGTGGAGTAAAGAACCACAAGCATGGGTGTTCGCACATAATGAACGTTGGCGTTTAATTATGATTCTATTGATATTAGCATTCGATGATGAACAAGTCGGTGGCGGTGCATTTGTTTCGATGTCATCGACGCCATCATCATCTTCCGATACCGACGAAAACATCTTTCCTTCGACGAATGATACAGTCATCGAACGAATACTGCGTTTATTCGAACTCGAATGCGATCAAGAAAAAGAAGCTCGAACATTCAATGAAGGATCCACCTCTTTCAGCACGGTTAATAGCGAAAAAAACATTAAATATATGAAAGCTCAATTCCTCCTACGTTTTGTCGATATGATGACCAATGATATGATATCGAATCGCGACCACCCATCAACGGTCAACAATTCTTATTTAGTTGCATCTGAACCATTGTATCGAAATAATCCTGAAATGATTTATTCATCGGTCTTAGATGAACTGCAAATACAACCAAGTGAAACTAGTCAATCACCTACTAAAAACATGTAGTTGTCTCATTCAAATAAAAGTTTGTCCTGTTTGTTCGTTATTCTCTGTATTAATGAAATATGTACAAGATTTTATTATCGATGTCGATGGAATGATCTTTCCCATTCGAGAAATGCACATTGCTCAAAAATCGAATAGATAAGAAGAAACAGATTCGAGAGGAAATATTTAACTGAGAGAAACAGAGAATCATGTTGATCAAAAACAGTAGAGTTATCTGGTAAAACCAAATACTTCGATTTCAATGATCTGAAAATATTCACAACTTGACAAGGGTTTATTTGCATACGTATCACATTGTTTCGTGCTGCCTTCGTTCAAATCATGTTGTATGCACAGACCTACATCAAGAGCTTCTTTACTTCCACCAAATTGAAGATATTCATCATCAGCATGAATGAAATAATCTTCATAGGGTTTCGTATCACCCATAGTTAATTTTTGATAGCCGACCCATTTGAAAACTTGCCGTTTCGGCTTCAAAGTGAACAGAAATGTTTCACCAGTCCCGAACCAGAGCCGCGCTTTCGATCGTGACGAAAGTGCACTCGAACAAAACACGCCGAATATCTCTTCTAACTCGTTCCGTATGATAATAAAGCAATGTTCATAGAATTCCACATGATCATAGAGTGTTCGTAAGCGACGACCGTGAATATTTGACGAATAAATCCGTTCAGGTTGAAATTCTGTCAGTCGACTGGGAATAAACGACCAAAGATATGCAAAATCCGAATGACTTGCTATTGAAGTATCGAATTCGCGAATCATAATAATCGCAGTTGAATTTTGATGATTGTAACCACGTGCAGAAGCTGTGGTTGAAGATGAATTCGACACATGTTGTTCACTGTTATGTGATATTGAACGTAGAAAGCGACGTTCTTGTTTGAGTTTGTCTTCTTCGATCTAAACAGACTAGTATTGTTAGTTCAGATTTGTCAACGTCGGGATTGAATTAACTTACTTGAATTGTCCGAAAAATATCTTTTCGTCGTAGATTTCGAATGCTGAATGCTTGTTTGAATAGTTTTTCAATTGGAAAATCGAATTGTTGCATGTAGTTAATCAGAACTTCGTTCTTCGTCGTGGAATTTTCTTTCATTGCTGATGTCATCGATGATAGTCTTGAATATGTATCTCGATGAAAGATTGAATAACGTCGTTTATGTTTAAATTGCTGATTGGAGAGAAATTTCGCAAAATGATTCATTAGGATCATACTGAAACGTATCAGAATCTTCATATCTTCGATTAGAAGGCAATCGACGATTGGTGTGAGATATTTCAATGGTAAATTTTCAAATAGAATCCAGAGCCATTGGTCAAATATATTCTGCTGGTACTTCGAAAGTATCTCATACGCCGAATGATAATGCCGACGCAGCAGTGAACGAAATGCACACATTAATGACTGATATTGAATCTCTGTTTGAGTTATTATGTTGTAATTCTTACTCGTAAGAATTAATAGAGACTCATACGCATCGATTTCTGTCATGTAATGTAGATATAATGCAGCGATAGGTGCAAGTAATGGTGCCCATGTGACATCCGGATGATAGTAGGCGAAGACACTGAGAATTCGCGTTCGTGCATGTTGACCTTTCCGATTGAGATGATAATTAGGCAAATGATTGATATCGATACAAGATGGAAGCCGAACAATGATATCATTACGACGGCCGAAGATGTTTCTAGAAGAAGAGATGTTTTTCATACGGCTAACTAGAAGCTGATTAGACGTACCGTATGTCTTCTGGATAACGTTCGACAGCTTGTTGAAATTTGTATTGTTTATACTTCTGTTCTTGGTGAAGAATATCAAACCAAAGTGATGAACGTAATGGATGTGCGATATGTAAATGCGTAGTCCGGAAAAATTGTTTCAGATTTGTCAGCGTGACATTGTCTTCGAAATGAATCGACAGAAATTTATTCAAAAACTCTTCATTCAGTAGTTGCCGATTGAATGGTTTCAATTCTGTTCGCTCGACGTCAACTGTATTCTGAGTATCTTCACAAATACTTGTTAACGTCGTTAATGCCGGATGCATCGAATGAAATGAATTGTATACGATGTTTTGTATGCACAACGACTAGGCAGCGCGTCTATTTCGAAGACTTATCATTCGTTCGTCGTATATACATGTCTAGTCCAATGTATATCCAAAGAAGGTCAAAGAAATAATCGAACAGAGAAACAAGGTTGGGTGATTTTCGTGCATCGTAATTTTGCTTTATCTTTTATTTTCAATAACAACTGAGAGAAAGAGAAAGAATGTAAATGAATAATAATAATATGAGAGAAATAAAAGAAGAAAAAAAAAAAGTAAAAATAAATATTCGGATGTTGTTTTGTTAAATTTCTTTTTGTGAATATCCGAATCGTGTCCAAAAGAAAATCTATGTTAAATATAATTAGATAAAGAGAACTAAACCAACGGACAACACACACACGCACATACATATATATATATATATTGACATGACAGATTTAACTGAGAACGAAAAAAAAAACGAAGGAGAAAAAGAGAATATGATATAGATTTCCAATGAAAGAAAGTAAGGGAGATACTTGTTTAGCAAGCATCGATCACATTGTTTTGTCTTTTTTCTTTTGTATTATCTATTGTTTTTGTTTTTTTGCAAATTAGTCTACTTTGATGACAGAGTAAATTATACGAACAAACCAGAAACAAGCAAGAAATCCGATTGTACCTGAAATATTCAATCGAATGATCGAGTAATTCGTGCAAATCGAGAACTTACCGGTAAATATGAAAAGAATGAAGGTTAACATTAATGTATATCCAAAATACAGAAATGTTGATGTTCCATCGGATATTTCCAGTTTAGTTGCGAAATAATAAATCGAGTAGAGGAAGAAGTAAACTGCAGTGAAACCTGATGTTAAAAATGAACGCCACCACCAGTTATAATCCTAGAAGGAAAATTCGATTGTTAATCAACTTGCTGTCGTTGGTTTCGGACATACCTCAGCGCATAAATGAAAATAGCAGAGAAGAATTGTTGTTTCGGAACATGTGATGACCAGAATGACATAGACAACAAGTAAAAATCCGAAAAAGTAGTAATATTGATGTGCCCTACAAATACTCATTCGCAATCGAAATGCTCAATTGAGGGATCGACTTACCAAATACTGTTTAGGATGAAGAATAACTGAATGAAAATACAACCAAATGGCAGGATTCCTCCCATGAGAATACCTTGAAGAATACGTTAATTGTCTGTTTATATGTCAATAATCATCTCTCACCTGGTAGTGGTTTTGTGTATAAGGTTTGTTCGGGAACTTGTCGTGGGATTTGATTTGTTCGAACAGGATTTTCCGAAACCTATTTTAGCAAATAAAAAAGAATTGAAGTTATGCGATTCAGAATTCTTACGGGGCGTTTAAAGCCGAGGTATGCTCCGATGAATACCAAGGGCGTCGAGACACAGAACCAAAGAGCAAGTAATGCCAGAAATGTTGTGAATGGAATCGCCGCTGAACTTCCATTTGCCCACAGGACAAGGTTTAAAACGAAGAATATCGCAAAGATAACTCTGAATACAATCATTTATTTATTGCTCCTAATTGACTATTCAGATCTTACCCAGGACACGCAACGGCAGTCATTAAAACGTTCTTCTTCCATCTTTCACCACCGAACACTGGGAGAAAATCAATGAATGAAGAGATTCACTTATTTCGACATATCGAATCTTACTCTTATACAAACGAGCTGATGTATAACCAGCTGGCGTTCCCAACAAGACATAACAGACAATAGCACCTATGCAAATCAACATTACGAATAAATTAGTATTCCTTGTAAACTACATACATGTCATCAAAGCACCACGACTTGCCGGCGAAAGAAATCCAAGGCAAGCAAAAACTAAAGGCAAAAATGTATTTCCGAAGTATTTTAGATACGTCAATCTTACTCAGAGTGATCAATGACATAATACCGATTTGAACGCCATTGCCGATGAGGACCGAAAGGAGCATGCCTTTCTGTGGTGGTCGAAAGACATCGCCATGCACTCTGATAACAAAAGAATTTCCATAATGCTCTATCGAAAGCATAAAAACAAATATCTTACAATTTCCATCCGAATTCTTCTTGTGCATCGTCCTACATAAACAAAAATAGATAACTAGAACATATCTTCGTAGCTGTCGACTTACAGCATCAACCATTTGATTATATCGAGCAATATCTTTGTGTAACGTACGTAAAAGAATCATGGCAACCATGCCGGACAAGAACAGAACAATAACTAATGAATTTAAGATTGAAAACCATTGAATACGCGTTTGCGGTAATGATTTTAAGATATAATCCCATCGACTAGCCCAGCGAATCTCATTGTTTTTAGTAAACTTCACACTATATGTAAATGGAATTTCGACATCTGTTGCTGATGATGAAAACATGATAGGATCGGCGCTACGATCACATTTATCTGAATTTAAACTGAAAAGAAAGAGCCTTACTATACAAATCAGTCGAGAAGAGTTCTCAACAGACCTATTCACTTGTACTTTCGCCGCAATAATTCGACCACCATCGTCACGGAAAGCAGTTCCCCATGTTTCATCTGAATTACAAGTGACACTAACTTTTCTCCATCATTTTTCTCTTACCTTGACCGCTATGATAAGTGATTTCAAAATCCAAATGGTTGAAGACATAAAATGTATCATTTTTTCCGTCGCGAATGTTACATGATTCTTTTGAATGTCCGCTCTTTGTTACGTAACAGCCAATTGGAAATCCACGTGAGCAATACTCTTGATTTTCAGTGTTTTTGTAACACAATGTAACAGGCATGTTGTCGACGATCCAGTGTTGTTGATAATTCAAAACCATTCCTTTCATTAAACGTTTTAACATTTTTTGTCGAATTGCATCTGTTGCAGCAAAGCGTTTCGTGCAAACCAAATGACAATCATCGGGTTTGAGAAAATCGAACTAAGCAGAAGATAAAAAGAGCACAATACAGAACTGAAATTTTTTCAATAAAAAAAATCATACTTTATAAGGTGACGGACGAATACGTTCGCCGAATAAAACTTGGCCAAGGTTCTCGACAGGCGACGGTTCATCAGCGACTCCACAGAAATCAAAGCTAAACAATCGAATAAGATATTCGACTTGATGACCCAACTTGATCTAACATCAAACTTACTAAGAATATTCATAAGGTAAAACAGATTCCACAGAATCAAGACGATTGGCGAACACTTCAACCTTTGTCTACGATAGAGATTCGTCCATTACATTCACAAAATATCTTTTTATTTAATACTGACTTTGCATTTGGAGTCCTGTATCCCCGCGCCAGGTCGACAGAATACATTCGGTGCCAAACCTGGCAGGTAGAATCCATGGACCGATGATAGAAATAGAACTCCTAGGACGAAACTACAATATCTTCTCATGGTTTGTTATCTGAAAGATCAACACATCCGTTGATGAAACATGAAGTTACTTCGGCCTTTATTTTTCTCCTTCAACCTGTACACATAGTGAATGTAAAAAAAAATCGTTCCAATTGTCGCACTTCTACCGAGCATAGTCACGGCAAGCAGTAAAGAAAGAAAAAAAACGAAGAAAAAGAAAAAAAAAATCCGAGAAGCAAATGCATGATTGCTTACATCCTAACTCAAATATGCGTTAGACAGTACGTTTCTTTTTTTTCTCTCTTCTTCTCGCGTTCTCATTATTTCATAAAGCTAAACTTATGGACAGATTTTGTATTTTTATTTTCCCTGAGACAGAACTATTTACAAAACATAACTTAGTGAAAATCTGAAAAAATAAATGCATTATGTTTCAAGAAAAGAAAAACAAAATAAATATAAGAGTTTCTTCTTGTGTAAAGATTTCATTGTGCAATGAACGTGGAGAGGACAACGTGCAACAACTATGGCAATTCTCTAGACCAATCAAAGAATAACTCGTGTGACAAGTTGTCATGTCAACCCGATAGTTCAAATATTTATCTCACAACGAGAAGGATTTTTTATTATGGCCAGTAATTCTCTGTTAGAAATCGATTTGATGTGTTAACCAAAGAGCGAAATCAATTAGCTTCCTACCTTCGATATCCGGTAGATTTGATGACGTGTTATTCTAACAAGAGCATGACTCATTTGATATTATATTACAAATGGAAGAAAAATGAATGAGAAACCTTTGCTTTCTGTAGATGTACTCATATAGAAAATGTGACTGATGATTGTCTGTGTCGCTGGTTTGATGCTGAGCATAATCATGTGTTAAGCGTTGAGTCATTGACGGAAGACAAGATCTCTTGGAGAAAAGTGCATTTCGTACATGGTTATAAATATTTCTATCAATGTCTGATTCGAATATAATCGCACATGAATCGATCTTGTTTTGGCTCATGTTTCATATCTTTTTGGTCTTGATATTCATGGTTGTTGTTAATATTAAAATAATTTCATTCAGTCTTTTCTAGGTCATATTTCATTATTATTGATGTTTTGTACCGTCTGAAATGTGGAAAAATAAAGGACATCAATGATGAACACACGTAATTAATCAAGATGGAATAATAATGAAAAAATAACTGTTACATCAATTTCAGTTTGGTTTACTAATTATGTTTATTAATTGGAGTATTGTCGTAGAGAATATATATTAGTAAAAAATACAAAAACAGTCGTGTGAGAAAGTGAAATCAATTTTTTGATTTGTCAAAGATTCGGTTGATCTTTACAAGTTGCTATGTCGTGGAAACGACTCTAAGCTATCGGAATGTAATTAACATTCGTACTTCGCTTCTGAGCAGAGTTTCTTAGAAAAATGGACGATGTAACAAAAGTTCAAATGTATAAAGAAAAACAAGAAGAAGATATGTCTTTTATCTCCTCAAATATAAATAACAAAATAGAAATTTGCATGTCCTAGGAAATTAAATCACTCGAAACATTTCACTTAACGAATTACTTGTTGGAAGATTGGGCGCTGTCGAGCTTTTCACGACTTTTTTTGGATCGATTGGAATCGACGAGCTCGTTATTCGAGGTCGGCCATTTTGCCGTGCGCTTTGTTGTTCGAGATGGAAATGTCCTGGATGAAATTGTTGTGAGGATAGTTTTTGTTGTTGTTGTTGTTGCTGTTGTTTTTGTTGACTTAATGATTGTTGAACGCCACTGGGAGGTAATTGTGCAGATGTCTGAGTTATTTCGTGAGAATTATCAGGTATCGATTGAGGTGAACCAGTTTGTAGAGGCTGAGTTCGAAAAAGCCAAGGACTATTTATATGGCTCTTCTCAACGATAGTCATTGCCAAAAATGGAACACGACGAGCAATGTCGAATAATTTTTCTATATACATATTCAAACATGAGAATTTCATTGGAAAACAGAGTATGAATAACAAACCTGGCTGAAGTTTGCCTCCGGACAGATGTCTTGTAAGACCTTCAAGACTCGGTGCATCTAATTACAATGAAGAAATAAATGAGAAAAACTTATTGTTTTTGTTACGTAGAAGTCAACTAACGTGCAACGATTAAAATTGTTCCACCAGTATTCATATGCCGTTCGGTAATAACATCCATTATAACTCGACAACGTTCATAATAATCAAGTTGACTGTCATGTGGACGCATGAATGGCATCAATGATTGATAAGATTTATCGATGTTATAATTGTTTGCAGCTAATTCATCTTTGGTCATGAAGCATAATGTACGTTTGAAATCATTGAGATAACATTCGAACAATCCTGGTTCCTAGGAGAATATTGAAGAAGTAGGCGGAAGGTAAACGGAAGAAGATCGACTTACCAACTGCATAGGAACAGTTTTCCGATCCATACCATTTAGAATACCGTCAGCACTTTGAACACATCGTAGGGATGGACTTGTATAACAGATATCAGCTGCATATCCATTGAACTGTAGTGCTTTACCCGTTTTGTAGGCGTGCATACGCCCACGATTGGTTAATGGTACGTCAATTACATAATGGTGTAGATACGAACGCGTCGGTAATCTATATAAACAAAAGTACTGAATGTAGAAAGATGAAAAGTGGAAACAGCTTACGCATCAGGTAGATGTTCGCTGAATCGTATATAACGTCCACTTCGGTCGAAACTTTTCTTTGACCAATCAGATCCTAGAACAGCATCAGCACGTTCAGCATGACGAATAATAACGATTCGAAGTGGTTTTAAAAATGGTAAGACGCGTCGAGGGAGTGTAGCACTTGCTTGTGCCTGAGTATTTGTATATCTATCATCACTGGATGGATAGTATTGTTGCTGCTGACGTTGCTGTTGTAACTGTTGTGGTTGTTGTTGCTGTAAGGACGAATGCTGTGGTGGTAGTTGTATCGATGGATGTTGCTGTTGCTGAAGGTGTGGCTGAGGCTGTTGTTGTTGTTGTTGTTGTTGTAATTGGAGCGAGGATTGCTGTTGCGACAATTGTATCGATGGATGTTGTTGTTGCTGAAGGTGTGGCTGAGGCTGTTGTTGTTGTTGTAATTGGAGCGAGGATGGCTGTTGCGACAATTGTATCGATGGATGCTGTTGGACTTGTATTGACGAGTGTTGCTGTAAGGGTAATTGAATCGATGGTTGCTGTTGTAAGGAGAGCTGTATCGGCGATTGTTGCTGTGTCGGAATTTGTAGAGGTGGTTGTGGTTGTTGTTGTAGAGGCAGTTGTATCGACGATTGTTGTTGTACAGGAATCTGTATAGATGATTGCTGCTGTGACAGTTGTAATGATGATGGTTGTTGCTGCAGTTGTAACGGTGGCTGCTGACCATGTAGCTGCGGTTGTAGTTGTAAGTGCGAAAATTGTTGTTGCAGTGGCACTTGCTGTTGCGGATGTGTTAAAGGCTGGTACGGATTTGGCTTACCTACAACACTTTCCCTACGCGAAAGTCGCTAAAAACTCAAAAACATATATATCAATCAATCAATATATTTTCAAGTATATACATGAGCAGCAAGCAATTGACGTTCTTCTTCCATTAGTCTCATGAATTCATACTCGTAACTCTCCTGTGCTAGTTGGTTCTCTATGGGTATAATTGTTGATGAACGACGACTACTATTCATACTATGTGGAAACGTGTTACTATGCGCCATAGGTTTAGAATATAATCACTTAATGCTTTTAATAAATATTATATCTAAAATATTATGCAATGTACGTAAGCAAAACTTGTCACATGTTTATTTCGCGATGAAAACAACAAGATGACTAACCGGACCGAGGAAAAAGAAAATAGTTGGATTAATAATACCTGTATGCAATGAATTCTTTTGTTTTCGTAAAATCAACAATCATACTGATGGCGATGAACACAGGTATCGAATACAAATATGCACATGAGTACCTTGTGTATGGGCAGAGAAAGAGAGAAAGAGAGGAAGAGAGAGAAAGACAAGGTTTTTCTATATGTTGATGGTAGATGAAAAACGATAAATTATATTGCATATGATCAATAAATATGTACACATACATTTATATATGTACATGCATTCTCTTTTTTTCCTCACCTGGTTAGTCAGTCAGTCGATCGACCGATTGACGTCACATTTCTTCTCTCTTTCTATATATATATATTAAAAATTAATTTCATATTGATGAGGAAAACAAACTTATCATATTTTTCTATAGATAGGCATTCGAGGAAGTTAATAGCAAATGGCAAGTGCTATGCTGAATATCAGATGGTTCGGTCTTGATTTCTTGCCAGATATGCTTGTTTAACTCAAGCAGACGAACGATGCAATCACTTTCTTTCCATACCTTTGACATCAAGTAAAGATAATAACGTGGCTAAGTATGTATAGATACGCGATACGTTGTGTCCGATTATTTTCTTTTTTCTTCTACATCTTGACGAATATAGCAAACAGTTTAGAAAAGAGAAATCAACACGTATCGCCTAATCCGCTGTTGATATACTCGTTCATTTTCGGAAAAAAGCAGTTTTCTATAAAATAAAAAATCTATTCTGTGTTGTTGATTTAATTACAGAAAAGATGGATTTATTTGAAAGTATATTTCGCACCCTAAAATTTGAATTATTGATGAAGAAATAGTTTCGTGTCTACGTCCATATTGTATTCAATTTCCAGATATCGAGTGTATCAATAACAATACTGTCATCATCATCCGCCGGACCTTCGTTGATGTAGACTGCTAAGTTATCAGCAGTTCCATCCTCGGGATACACATGACCGGTGAGAGCGAATCGACCGCCTTGAGGTTCGAATACTTCGATAATGGAATGATCAACAAAAATATCTAACTGAAGAAACCAATGAGCGTTTGTTGTTGTGGTTTCCACCCACAACGGTGCGTGAATGATGTCATGTGCAGCATCGGGATTCTTTTGCGATAGAATTCGGTTCATATAAACCCACAGAATCTGCTTATCATCACCTTGTTGTTTAACACCCGATACACATACAGAATTTGGACTAGGAAATGGAACTCCGGATTTCAGGAAACAATTGTTATTCACTTGTCGATCTTTAACAAATGTCCATGCTTGGCATTTCGTATCCCGATTACAAGCAGTTTCACATTCAGACCATTCGATTATGCTAGGCACACTCAGATAATCCCATGCTGGCAGATCCCAGTTGAGCATAACACTTGTGTTATCTCTTGAAGCAATACCGATACTCGTTCGTTGACTGCCATCAGGCGTCGACAAAACAATTAGACCAAAATCTAAATTCTATATGGAAAACAATAACAACAACGAAGAACAGAACGGTAATGATGACATACTTCATGCATGGGAAATTGCCAATTGATAACAATTTCAATTTGATTTCCGTGTACCTCGGGGATCAATTCGAATGGTGTTGTTGGCGGCAAAACGACGCTATGAAAGTGTTGATGACTTTGATCATCGCGTAAAGTTTTCAATGCGTCGATCGGACGCGAAAGTAATTGCAGCCCATCATCAGATAGAAAGATCGCGCGTGGTAATGTATGACAACCTTGCCAGCCACGTTTTGGACCTAAATTATCTTCTTCTGATGTCCAACCCATGATGACTTGTTGGTCATTGACAGGATCATAGAATGTTTTCGATGCGTAGAATCTTCCGTGATCAATCAATTGAATATACTCACCCAGATCATGATTGTCTGGAATGAAAATTAACTTTGCTGGATCGATATCACCCAGTGTCCAGAAATCACGGCCGAGTAATGAAGCTTTCAAGACAATTCGGTTCGAAACACCGAATATGTCCGGACATTCCCAAAAACGGTCATAATGATTGCTATGAAGTGGATGTAGATATGTCCATTTGAGAAAATCTTTTGATGTAAACAAAACTGCTTGTCCACCTTCTTCTTCAGTACCATAACCATAGATTAAGTAATAGTTATTTTCGTCATCTTGAAACGCCGTTGAAGGATCACGGCCGTTGGGAGCTGTAATCAAAGGATTCAATGGTGATTTCTTCCATTTGGTCAATGTCGGATCCGTAATATCAACCGGTTGAGCTTGACACTGTACTTGCTGACTTGTATTCGTTATTCCAGTATAGATAATGGTTGGAATACCATTGACAATAGTTGTACTACCAGTAAAGATTCCATTAATATCATATGACTGATCAGGCGCCAGAGCAACAGGTAAATGAATCCAATGGACCATATCTTTACTGTAACAATGGCCCTGAACATACAATTATGAAATCTAATACGATAGCTTAATTAGATCGACTTTGACTTACCCAATGCATATCACCCCAGACTGCGCCATTTGGATTATATTGAAAAAACATGTGATAATAACCATTAAAATATACAGGTCCATTGGGATCATTAAGCCAATTTTTTTCAGGCATCAAATGATATTGAGGTCGTAGTGGATCATCGGCCTTAACGATCTCGAAGATCGTAATCAGAGACACGAAGAAAAGTATTGTTTGCATATGTTGTCTCTCGCTGTACGGGTGTGTGTGTATGTGATGTAAATATAGTTGTTTTATCTTGTTATCTCGTTACTAATCAGAAAGGTCTAAAATGATATTTTGAATAGAAGAACAAGTATTCATAGTCGTAATCAATATTTGTTTAACTTCTTTCAGAATGGAAATGAAATTTTCTTGAACGTTTCAATTGTTATCAACAATATGCATTCTAAAGGGAAGTGTCATGAAAAAAGACCTTGGCAATGAATTGTATGTCTGCATTAAATCATTCTGGCTTTTTTCTCTTTTCTTTTTTATTTGCTAAGTGAAATGATTTTCCTACTTGACAAGTTCATTATTACGGTTGAATACCAAAACTTTCTTCTTGTCGTTCTTTCTCTTTTCTTTTCTGTAATATATAGCTAGTCCACATATGAACGAAAGCGAGAACGGAGAAAAGAAAGAGACCATTACACTCATGTATACTTTCTTATATTGGATATAACGATCGATCGTCTAGTGCAACTTCTCCTTCACCACACCAAGTACGAACAAGAATCGTTTGTTCGAATGAATTCGAATAATAACGAGCATCAATGGCAGAATTGGGATATTCGAACTGCTTATAAACCCATGCAATGGCGATCGTTGGTGTCCGCACCAATATGTGCACTATGTAAGAAAGCTGTCTATCCGGCAGAAGAACTGAATGCAGCTGGTCAAAAGTTTCATAAACTTTGTCTCAAGTGCAGTAATATTCAAATACTTAGAGATGTTCATATTTTTACGCAATCTTACGTTTTCCTAGCGGCATGCAGTACATTACTCAATCCTGGTAATCTCAATGAACATGAAAAAAAGATTTATTGTGTTCCATGCCATCGTCGACAATTTGGTCCTCGGGGAGGTAAGAACTTGTTTTAATCTGCGAATTCAAGGTGAGAAAGAGCTATAATTAGTTGGCCGTGGTCTGGCGACTTCTTCGTCATTCAATGCTAATACACCACCAGCTAGTCCTCGAATGAATCATGGCAATCAACGAAAAATATCAACGGGATCATCACCATCTCGTACATCATCGGATGATGAATCACGTTGTACTTCCAGTGTATCATCTATTAACGAAGTACCTATTCGACAAGTATCACCGGCAATGAATGGTACAACATTCAAAATGATGAATATTTCACAGAACATCTGTCCACGTTGTTCCAAAACTGTCTATTCAGCTGAAGAAGTCAAAGCTGCTGGCAAAGTAACACATTCCACTCTCCTTCTCCTTCTCCTTCCAACTAGTCATATTTTCTATCTCTGTTCCAGTCATTTCATAAACGATGTTATACTTGTGCACACTGTAAGAGAAGTATCAGTGGTGGTCGATACTGTGAACATGATGGAGAACTATATGACAACAGTAAGATGAAGAAAAGCGAGAATGAAATATGAAAGTAAATGTATGTTTGTTTGTTTAGATTGTTATCAACGTTTGTTTGGACCGAACGGCGTATCGTTATGATTTATGACGAATAACCGGTGCTACGGAAGAATCGTGGATTTGTTTTTCTTCGTTCAGTTCCTAGTTAATATCGTTTCTCATCGAAATCTTTATCTCAATTTAGTGTAGTTGTTTGTACGAAATATGTAAATAGTTAAATAAATTTATTCACGAAAGATAATTTTCTACAAAGTATACGACAAACAAAATGACGATCATTTATCCATAATATCGAGATTTTTGAACGCTTGAGCAAGAAATCGACAGTCTTGTATTGCACCTGGTGGTGAATGACTATCAGTATTATTGAAATAGAAGAAGAGCTCCAGTGATTTAGAAATACTATTCTCAAAGAAATGTTTCGTTGTGGTTTCAGCTAACTGCCGCATACGATCTTCACCATACACACCGGAATATTGACCAATTGAACCATGAAAACCTGTGACAAAGTGAGTTTTATTTTTGAATTATGCAGTCACAATGATGAATTTACGATAATAAACACCCCAATCACATGTTTTATGATCGTCAATGTCTGCGGGTAGTGTGCCGGATGGCATGTTGCCACACCAATTGTTTGAATTTTCGCAAGTGATAACACATAAGCACCAGCTAGAACGAGTGCTATAGAATTAAAGCAGCAAAAAATTTGCATTACTTATATTTCTTCATTAGATGATAAGTTTCCTCACAAAACCAAGATTTATCTCGAAATTCAAAAGCAAATCTTCCACTTTCGGGCAATATTTTTGCTAACTGTTCGAAACGAGCGATTGTGGTTTCATTTTTCTTAAATCCTGGTGAAAATTGAAAAAGCACAGGGCCAAGATGTGATTGTAATAGTTGACATTTTTTCCAAAATGCCTAAAAGACCAAACTCATACATAGTTTCTCATCATAAATACCATCCTACTTCCCATCGTTCGATCCATACTTCGTCAATGGTAAGTTTTTTCAAATGCGTAAAAAATCTTCAAGTGTCAGTCGATCATCACTCAAAACATTTTAAAGTCATCTTCTTACTTATTTGCTTTAATTGTATAAAGAAACGAAGATCGAGGCGCTTTTCTCACCCAACTTTTGAAAGTCGAATCTGGTGGAACATTATAGAATGTCGAATTGATTTCGACGGTATCAAATTCCTAGGTTCAACATTATGTTTTAGGCGCTCGATAGAAAGCAAAATTCATTTACACCACAATAATAATCGAATTCGTTCTTATCCGGGTAGTAATTTTGATTTCTTGGTCCCATATGCCAACTGATTGATGCAAAAAAAAACAGAAAATACAGATAAAATCGATTTCTGAGCAAACCGTTTGTACGAATAGCCACTTGTACCACATCGAACTGGACAGTTCGTTGAAAACAGTTTCGGTCGTATATCTTGTTCTGCTTTCAACTGCTCGCTATTCATTATTATTTCAAAGGCATTTTTCACTCGATTCATTTTGATATGTTTTATTCTGAACGCCTATACTAGGTTATATGTAAGAGATGTGAATATGCACTAAGTGACATATTGGAAACAGTATGGATAAAGAATGACCATTTTTATCTGTTAAGGTTAGAAACGATACGACGCGTATTTGAAACTTTTGAATAGAGTTCTAAACATTTATTTGTGACGATTGCAAATAGCGTATAATACAGAAAACTATTGAAAAAATTGCCATGGATCGATTGCTGCCATCTAGTAACTCGCATACATACGAGCGAGTCGTCATTGGATTCCACCGTTGCCAACTATACAAAAATGTAATATACAAACAAAAACGATACTTACTGCGCCACCACACCGATGAGAATTGGAAAGGTGTACTGTCAAAAAAGCAAGGTTCTACTTTACGGACACTCTATTTCTTCGAAACTCGGCTTCCTCTATAAAATGTGTCGACAAAGTCGAAGGTACACCCATCGAAATTCTCCATATTGTTGTGCATCATAATCAGGTCATCACAAACAAATAGGATTTCAGCATTGATGGCCTTCAACATGTCCGATCAACCCTAGGCGTCGATGTGAAGCGACGAAAGCAGAGTTTCGTGCGACCGAACACGCTGGAAACCGGGTTTATAACTCAAACGTAAAAAGTTCGAGCAACTACGAAGAACGTTTAGTATGCATAAGCAAAATTTTGTTTTTGGACAGAACACGTTTCCAATCCGTCATCGGTGTAGGTTTTTAAGCCACCGGGTGTTGTGCTGTTGAAACACGACGCGCGGTTGATGATCGAAATTGGAGTGTAAAGAATAGACGCAAACACGTGTCTTTATATAGTCGATGTCGTTCTTGCACAAGCAGATGGCAATGCAGAATATTCACGAAGAGAGAAGGGAAAAGGCAGACTGAAATTTGCGTCGAAGCAGTGCATGATGGTGTAACTTGCATACTTCTAGATCATGTTTTGTAGAGATGCTTGCATGAAATGAGGCGGTTGGAAAACAAAATTTACACAACAAATAAACAAGTTATGAAACAATATTTTGGAGAAAAAATAGAAATGATTTGTCGGATTTTAATGCGAGAATTATGTTCTTTCAGATGTGCAACGTATTTGTTGAAATCTGTATGCCATTGTTTCTGTCCACCACAAAAATCAGTTCCGGATAATTTCAAAACAGTTCTGACTAACTGACTTGTAAAAAGCATAAGAAATAAGTATTCTTCTTTCATTACAGAATACAATTTTTCCCCTAACCCCTTTGATAAACGGGTATATATGCAATATATATGAATCTATGCATCGATTCCGGATATTTTACAACACAGCACGTATCGATGGCTGTGTTTTTTACCATAGAGAATGTCATGACAATGAATATTTCTTTGATAATACGAAAAGCAATATGTAGATGTCACTCATCTTTCCGATGCACCGTCTTATGACAATATTTAATCACATGTTATATGGATTGCGTCCATTGATCATTTAAAAGACTACTTCACATTTTTTCGTAGGAGATGAAACATCACTGCAGTATGACATGAATATTTGTTGTCATTTATAAAATTACTCATCGATGTATTGACACAGCCTATTCCTTTATTTATTTCTGATAGATTAAAGTATAAAACGTGAAAAGAAGAAGAAAGAAACACAGCTTTGTGCGATGTAATTGTAATTTCATCGTTGTTGATTATTACCATTCAGTATATTCTATCGCCGAATTGTTGTACAAGAGTCAGTTTCTAGTATCTACTCGAATAAATGAAAGAAAACACAACAGAATCTTCTACGATGTCGAGATTATCTGAACAACGTAGGAAGAAAAACTGAAGTAAAGACGTACCTGTTATAAAGCTTACTTCGATGAATGAGTAAAACCATCGATAAGGATTATAAACGAGCGCTCTCAGAAAAGTGCACACCTGCTCTATGGATAACGCTGTATTTCTTCGAAACTCGGCTTCCTCTATAAAATGTGTCGACAAAGTCGAAGGTACACCCATCGAAATTCTCTATATTGTTGTGCATCATGATCAGGTCATCACAAACAAATAGGATTTCAGCATTGATGGCCTTCAACATGTCCGATCAACCCTAGGCGTCGATGTGAAGCGACGAAAGCAGAGTTTCGTGCGACCGAACACGCTGGAAACCGGGTTTATAACTCAAACGTAAAAAGTTCGAGCAACTACGAAGAACGTTTAGTATGCATAAGCAAGTATTAGTTTAAGGAGAGAGCTCGTTTCCAATCCGCCATCGGTGTAGGTTTTTAGGCCACCGGGTGTTGTGCTGTTGAAACACGACGCGCGGTTGATGATCGAAATTGGAGTGTAAAGAATAGACGCAAACACGTGTCTTTATATAGTCGATGTCGTTCTTGCACAAGCAGATGGCAATGCAGAATATTCACGAAGAGAAAGAAAAAAAAGCGAAGTGCAATTTGCGTCGAGAAAATGTATGATGGTGTAACTTGCATACTTCTAGATCATATGTTGTAGAGATGCTTGCATGAAATGAGGCGGTTGGAAAACAAAATTTACACAACAAATAAACATGTTATAAAAGAACATTTCGAGATAAAAGACACGATGGGAACCACGAATGATGGAGTTGGCACAAGTCAACAAAGATTCAGCGTAAAATGTTTGTATTGAGTCAACCCTATTCAGAAAAAGCGTACATTTTGAAGAATACCTACTCATTCAATTTCTCTCTGAATATTGAAATCCTTTAATCTCGACAACTTTACGAGTAAATCACGCTAAATCTCAGAGAATACTGTGTTGTTAAGAAGAATATTTGAATGTATTAAAATAGTGATGCATATAAACGCTTTGAATGTTCGCGAGAACGGTGCTATAGCGATTCAAAACAGTGTAATCATTGTTTCACCGAATTCGCGAGGTGTTTCGCACGTTTGTAGGAATGAACTACGTTTCGTAGCACTTTGTTTTTTCAAACTTCCAGCACCGATGTCCGTTACGGCGCTCGTGAGAATAAATAATCATGAAAATTTCCTCACCGAATCTGTAAAAGTGAAATTTTAAGTAGTTCACTAGCATTTTTTAAGAGATGGGAATGTACAATGGACACTCATATTAAGTGACGGCGTCTAAGCTCATCCAGTCTTGCTTTTTGGTGAATTTGACGCTTGGTTGTCCAGTTTGGACAGCATTTCTGCTAGCTGTCGCATCCTTTATAAGCAAGAACTTTGCAAACATCCGGGAAATATTTCCGGACATCTAGCATCCCGAGCTCCTGCATCAAATATGCGGAAAAAAACTTTCATTCCGAACATCTGGACACGTTGCTAGGTGTTCGGAATAGGTGGTACGAAACGTCATTTTGCCATTTTTATAACGGAAAATTTCATAATAATAAATACTTCTTTTATAATACGAAACGCAATATGCATCTCTCACTTAACTTTAAGGAAAATGTTCTGATCAGAATATTTAATCACATGTTATATGGATTGCGTCCATTGATCATTTAAAAGACTATTTCACATTTCTTCATAGCAGATGAAGCACCACTGCAGTATGACATGAATATTTGCTGTCATTTATGAAATTACTCATCGATGTATTGACACAGTCTATTCCTTTATTTATTTCTGATAGATTAAAGTATAAAACGTGAAAAGAAGAAGAAAGAAACACAGCTTTGTGCGATGTAATTATAATTTCATTGTTGTTGATTATTACCATTCAGTATATTCTATCGCCGAATTGTTGTACAAGAGTCACTTTCTAGTATCTACTTGAATAAATGAAAGAAAACACAACAGAATCTTCTAGGTTGTCGAGATTATCTCAACAGCGTAGGAAGAAAAACTGAAGTAAAGACGTACCTGTTATAAAGCTTACTTCGATGAATGAGTAAAACCATCGATAAGGATTATAAACGAGCGCTCTCAGAAAAGTGCACACCTGCTCTATGGATAACGCTGTATTTCTTCGAAACTCGGCTTCCTCTATAAAATGTGTCGACAAAGTCGAAGGTACACCCATCGAAATTCTCTATATTGTTGTGCATCATGATCAGGTCATCACAAACAAATAGGATTTCAGCATTGATGGCCTTCAACATGTCCGATCAACCCTAGGCGTCGATGTGAAGCGACGAGAGCAGAGTTTCGTGCGACCGAACACGCTGGAAACCGGGTTTATAACTCAAACGTAAAAAGTTCGAGCAACTACGAAGAACGTGGAATTATAATCCATGAAGTCATGCATAAGCAGATATTAGTTTAAGGAGAGAACTCGTTTCCAATCCGTCATCGGTGTAGGTTTTTAGACCACCGAGTGTTGTGCTGTTGAGACACGACGCGCGGTTGATGATCGAAACTGGAGTGTAAAGAATAGACGCAAACACGTGTCTTTATATAGTCAATGCAGTTCTTGCACAACTAATTGCTAAGGCATAATACTTGAAAAGAAAGAATAAACTTACATGGGAAAAACATATAACGGTGAAAATTACTTCTTTCTATGGTTTTTTTCTCTTAGCCTTCTCACATGATAAGTACGGTAGTGGACTAGTCAAATGTAATCGAGCTGATGTGTGAATAGATAAACGATGAGAAACAAAAAACAAGCCAAACGATGCATGATATTTTGATCCTTGGCGATCGAAAGGCAACCGAAGTGGCGTTGGTTTTGAGTCTATCTTTAGCAGTGAGATAAAATTTTGACGTAGCATATACTGATGAATAATGTATGAACCATTTTTCATACAGTGCAATATATGTTCTAGATGATTCTTCTAAGCACATGTTTCTCAACAAGTACCAATAGACTGTTCATACTCAATCTTTCAGTGAGAAAAATGTTATTACAAATAAAATCGGTGTACTAGAAAGATAACAGCTGACCATGACGGTAAATTATCAAATCAAATAGAAAGTAAACAGTAATAAGCAAAAACATCGCAAGAGGGAAACAATAAGAAATAATAACCGTCCATAATATTCTAGCACAGATCTTCTATCAAAAGATTGTTTCGATTTCATTTTCCTGTTGACAATGCTCCAGCACCAACTCCAAAACCAACACCTTTCGGTCCAAACAAACGTTGATAACAATCTAAACAAACAAACATACATTTACTTTCATACTTCATTCTCGCTTTTCTTCATCTTACTGTTGTCATATAGTTCTCCATCATGTTCACAGTATCGACCACCACTGATACTTCCTTTACAGTGTGCACAAGTATAACATCGTTTATGAAATGACTGGAACAGAGATAGAAAATATGACTAGTTGGAAGGAGAAGGAGAAGGAGAGTGGAATGTGTTACTTTGCCAGCAGCTTTGACTTCTTCAGCTGAATAGACAGTTTTGGAACAACGTGGACAGATGTTCTGTGAAATATTCATCATTTTGAATGCTGCACCGCTGGTAACACTTGCTGAGGTTGGTCGGTTAATGGTTACTGGTTTCTGTCGTGGTGTTATCCCAGTGACAAATGGTAAACTATTCGCTTGACGTGAGTCATCATCCGATGACGTTCGAGACGGTGAGGAACCGATCGATGTTTCGAGATTAAAACCATTCTGATCAGTATTATTTATCTCATTGACTGAATCGTTTTCTTCGCTATTCGTATATGGACTGTTTGGTGGCGTCTCTAAATCAGTTGGTAATGCTGTAGCAAGACCGCGACCCACTGAAAGGAAAATACGCAAGGTGTGATTTTGAAGCATGGCAATGGCTTTACCTCCTCGAGGACCGAATTGTCGACGATAGCACGAAACACAATAAATTTTCTTTTCACGTTCATTCAAATTACCAGTATTGAGTAGTGTATTGCAGGAAGCTATTGTAGAGAAGAATATCAAAAACTTCTGAAATTATCAAACGATAAAAACTCACTGCATTTCAGGCAAAGTTTATGAAATTTCTGTCCAGCGGCATTTACTTCTTCAGCGGGGTACACAGATTTGTTGCAAAACGCACATAATGGTGCTGACACTGACACTCGCCATAGTGGTTGTTTAGCGCTCGATTTTTCATCTAATAGATCACTGCGTCTGTATGATGTCATGACCTAGACAGCAGCAGAAATCAATAGCTACTTGTTAGAAAGGAGACTATATACTTACAGGTGAAGTTTTGTTAGTCGAATGGATGGTCAAAAGATCTGCTGATTCAGGATACTAAAAGACATGTCATCAACATTAATTTAACGCAAATAAAATTCCATTTAAGGAGACGTGAAGAGATCGTGGAATGGAACACAATAATTTTCCTTACTCGGCTCAGTAGTAAATCGAACGTTCGTGAAAAACGAGGCGTTGGAGATGGAGGTGTTCGCCTCATATCTTTGGCAAAAACAGTTCGTCGTCGCATGCCGATAAACGAAGAAAACAATGAAAGAGAAAAGTGGATCTAACTGCTATGTATATCGATGGAAACGATCGATTTTTTTCTGTTCTTGTTCATTACCGCGTGGTCATATCATATCACTCGAACTATAACTCGTTGGATGAAAGGAAAGAAAAAATTCACAAATTCATAATTTGATTTCTATGATGCCGAGGTTATTTCGAAAGGAAGTTGAAACAAAAAATAGTAAAGCAGAAAAACATGATCATACCGCGAACGTCTAGGTAAACAAATACAGCTTTACCTACGCTTGAGTGCGAGGAAAAAAACAAATCTAAATGAGTATTGTCAATCAAATGATCGGCGAAATCAAGCATGTGAAAGGTAATTTAAAGGCCACGAAAATATATTTATCATCAAGTTATTTAACCAATAAGAATACCATTTTTCGTACAGATAAATCAGCTTAAGTAACAATGTTGCGTTCGTCTATTCGAGTAAGTGACGTTTTCGTCTGTGTTTCATAGTTTTGAATCAATTTGAGAGTAAATTCTTGCAAATATAGTCCGATGTTTTAAAGTTGTTCGTATTGTTCTTTATTCGAAGTATTTGATCTTTACGAAGTTTTTCTACTATGAGAAAAATATTGTGGTTATTCTCATTCATTAGCAAAATTACTCGTGCGAATTCGAGAAATTGACGCGTAGCAATTGTCGAAATCGTGTGAAATGATTATTTTGATCGCAGACAATTGGACACGATCGTATACTCTGTGAAACTTTGTCAAGTTCCTTCGCTGTTAGTCGATATTTATGAGCTAGTTGGGAAAGAACAGATATTTTTAGTATTTGTTTAGAGATATTTAATGAAATTTGTTGCTTGAAAGACCGTGAAAATGTGCGGATTTTATCGGTGGAAAGATGGGCTCGAGAAAAATTTTTATTAATTGATAATGACATAAAATTGATTAGAAAATAGTAGATAAACAGGAAAAAGTGCGCAGTAGAAAACGTGTACCTTTTTCACAGTCTACTAAATCTTAGGATGTAGCTTTACACGACACATTTCTGAATAGAATTTGAATTGCTTGGCATCATTGCAGTGCAAAAACAATAACAGCTTAACGAACGACGTGAATGTTCGTTTCGTCGATGAATAAAGTGAGTTTTGTTCTACATGATTGACTGAAAATTGTGAAGCATGCAGTCATCGGATGTCAGCGATAGGTCACAGTCAATTGCATAGTTATTAGATCGTTCGTCGTAATTACTTTTTCAGTTATGATTTGATTCTAATAATGATGATTCGCAATTTTTATAGTTACTACACGTCTGAAGTAGTCGCGCGACATCTCTTTAGAAAGTGTGCTAAAGTACGAAGAAGACCTCAGTTATTGTTCTTTTCGTGACAAGCAAAGACGTGAATATGTTTTAGTGCGCTTTTCTCGACTGTTATTACCATTCGAAGCACATCTGTCATAGAGAGAGAAAGAGAGAAATTCCACCAGGAATGAGTATTTTTTCACGAGCGAGAAAGTATATATGAATTATTAAATGTTCTGCATAAAAGAGAAAAAAACGCCTTATATTTAGACGATGAGACACGCGTTGGCTTTTGCTTTTCTTATCTTCATATTCGTTGTTAATGGAGAAATCTATGACAATAGCATATCTTTGTTCGCTGATGATACACCAAAAGATACAAATGTAACGTGTTTCTGTACCGGTGAGGAAAACTGCGATGCAAACTCGCCAACCTGTCGGATAAATCATCCAGACCAAGCTTGCTACGAAGTTTGGAGCAAGTATCCCGGTGAAGAGACTATTCACATCACTGCTGGGTATGAAAGAATGAATAGTTTGAAGTTCAACTCGATTTGCGTTCTCCTAGTTGTATATATAACGACTTCTTAATTACGCAAATTTTGTGTCACAATAATCAAAGTGATCGGTATATTATATGTTGTAATGATAAAGATAGATGCAATGATCGTGATGCGTATGCCAATGATGTGCGAAAACAATTCGCGTTACTGAGTAAGTTCGAAAGGGAATAGTGCTCGATTGATGGAAAATCTCCTAGATAAACATAAATCAAATAAACTACCGTTGATATTAATAATCTGCATTGTCATTGGGTTTAGTCTTACGATCGTATGCTTAGCTATGCTGGTTTTCATTCGTTTAAAACGTAAACGGTATGTTCCGAATGAACGAGTCCATTTCAACGTTGGTTTTCTTGTTGATTCATAGAACAAATTCGTCGTCGGGTGATATAAAAACTAATGAGTATATGTTCAAACAACGACTGATGAAATATTTACATCATCAATCAAAACCTTCATCATCGATTAATGAAGCACCTGATATATTCGAGGAAGTCTCCGAAGGCTTAGACCGATGTGGTAAGTTCTTCTCTTGAGATGTTCCTATTTCCGTGTACTATTTTGCTTTCAATCTTTAGGTCATCCTCTTCTAGCACCGATTCATTTCGCCAAACAAATTACTTTAGATGAAAAGATCGGTATTGGCGGGTATGGGTGTGTTTACCGTGGTAAATGGCACGACGAAGTTATTGCTGTGAAAATCTTCTCATCCACCGACGAACCATCATGGGTCCGAGAAGTGTATATTTATGAAACACTTGGCTTGAACCATGAAAATATTCTTCGATATATCGCGGCAGACAATATTGTAAATAGCGAGTATAAATTATTCATTCTACATGACACTTTTTTTGCACGCAAACTTGCAGAAAACCATAGAAGTCTAGTCGAATTAGTCACGCGAGAAACACCACGTCATAATTGTGTACTGTTTGGAAAAAACTTTTCTTTCATGTGTAGGATATTTCGAATCGTATTGAACGTTGGATAGCAACGGAATATCATGAAAATGGTTCTGTATACGATTACCTGACAGATCATACGATTACTGTGCCGACTATGATTAAAATGATGTTTAGTATTGCAAGTGGATTGTGTCATTTACATCGACCGATCGACGCCGCGAGAGGTTTGTGATCATTTCTAAGTGCAGAGTGATTAATTAATATTGAATTTTTTCGTTCGCAGGAAAAGTTGCACTTGCTCATCGCGATCTCAAAACTAAAAATATCTTGGTCAAAAAAGATCTAACCTGTTGCATAGCTGATTTAGGTCTTGCTGTAAAAGAGAAACGTCCAAATCGTAATACAGAGGAAAAACCGACAGTAATTGACATTGTCGCAAATCATCGTGCAGGAACTATCCGTAAGCGACAGAGACAAAAATTGTTATTATAATTCTATTGTTCTAGGTTATATGTCGCCGGAAATTCTTAACAAAACATTAAATGATCAAAGTTTCGAGTCGTACAAAGCTGCGGATATCTATGCGTTAGGTTTAGTCTTCTGGGAAATCTTACGAAGATGTCAAACAACAGCAGATGGTTCGTGTACTTCGATTATCTCACATATTCATTCATTTGAACTTTTCTAGTCAACGATGCTGATCCCTATCAACTCCCATATGAAAATATTCTACCGAATAATCCTTCCTTTGAACAAATGCATGGAATTGTGTATATAAAAAAGCTTCGTCCTCCGTCCTCAGCCCGATGGACAAATAATTCGGTAAATTCGACTAACTTTATTCTCAGTAGGAACATCTCAAGGACTTTCATATCTTTAGACATTCTGCTATGTTTTTGATTGTTGTCAAGAATTATGGTTAGAAGATCCAGCGTGTCGGCCGAGTAGTTACCGAGTTCAAAAACAACTCCGCGAGCAATATCAATCGATAGAAATCAATTATTTGAATACTCGTATAGAATCTCAAATCGAAGGTGCACAAACTGTTTAATTCTTCTCAATATTCCCGCTTATTACTTGCAACTGATTATCTTTGTCTAACAAATTCAAACAGAAAACAACTCTTCTGTCAGATTCTTCTTGTTTTGCGTAAAATGCTATTTTCTTGTTCGCATTTATCTCATCGTCATTGTTGTACGTGGAAGACATTAAGTAAAGAAATTCAATTTTTTTATTCTATTTCGGTATAGATAATAAAGGCGTGTCAATGCACCAACAATACAAAGTTATAAGTATAAGAGATTCTCTGAAATTCTTGCTCTGATGATTTCGATTGCTGAAATATTTGATTTTCGCTGTTAAATAAAGATAAAGTGTAGCGGCTGTTGATCGTGATCAGAATATTACGCCTGATTCGTCTACTGTATACCACATATTTGATCCAAAGGATAATATTTATCGGCTGCTCTATAGAAACTTGTTCTAGTCGAAGTATTCGGATGTTGAAAACCTGATAACTTGCTTTCAATCGAATACGATGCAAATATTGCAGCTGTTTTCTAGATTTCTATATGAGTAGAATACCGACGAATCGTTCTATAGCACCACCGAGTAAATCTGTTGTTCGCGAGCGGCGAACATCAGCAAATTCCACGACGAACAACACACCGTCAAATAACCCATTTAGACTTGCTGATCGAGTGACTACTAGTGGCAAATCAGGCATCGTAGCGTACGTTGGTCGCACACAATTTGCAGATGGTTTCGTTGAATTTTCGCTTTTCTCTCATTATGTATTCATTTGATTTGCACTCTCATAGGCGAGTGGATTGGACTCATTCTTGATGAACCTCATGGCAAAAACGGTAGAGACATCAGAATCTTTCTCTATCTAAATCAACACTTTCTCACGTTCGAATTTAGATGGCTCGTGCAATGGCGTTCGCTACTTCGAAACTGAGATGAATCGTGGTCTCTTTTGCCGACCGGATAAAGTTCAACATCTACCATCGAATGGCGTTTCTCATGAAGTTTCTTATAATCCATCGAGATTATCAATTATGGGTATATTTGCGAAATTACCTTGTCAGTTTTGTTCAATCGCTTGTTTATTCCTCGAATAGAATTTGAAGTAAACACACCATCACGGGGCGCAAGGGCCAATCAATTAGATCCATCATCGATAAAAAACCTTGAACTTGGCGATCGCGTCGTTATTCGTGGCACAAAGTACGGCACACTGAGATATATTGGAAAGATTCATATCAATGAAGGAATTTGGTGCGGTATCAAATTAGACGGACCATTGGGTAAACACAATGGTAAAATAGAAGGTGTACGGTATTTTCGATGTTCGCATCGTTTCGGTATCTTTGCTCCTTTACGACATGTTGAAAAAGTGATCGTCGATCCTCGAACTCCACACGACGCTCAGAATCGTTTGCGTGATTCGAGTCCAGATTCGAATGCGTCTGAATGTTCATCATCCCAAGCTAGCCAGAATAATTTCCAACCACGATCACCCACACATTCAAAAATGCCGAATTCATTGAAAAACTTCTCCGCTCAAGAGCAAACGTCAACCAACGAAATTGCTATTCTGATGGAGAAAATCCGAGAAAAAGATAGATACATTGAACAGCTACAACAAGAGAATCGCAGAGATCGTCTTGAATTGTCACGAACAATCGAAAAAATGAATGAATTGGAAATCAATATTCTCGCGTTGCAGCAACAAAACAATATGAAAGATAACGAAAATGAGTATTTAATCAAACAACAGGTGACATTCAATCAACGTCTAGAAGATCTACAATTTCAACTCGAAGAATTTCAATATCCCGATTGCGACCAAAACCAACATCTTGTCTCAACAGACGAGCTGACCGCCCACGAAAGAACCAAAGCGCAAGTTGCTGAACTTCAAACCATCAATGCGGATTTGCTACATCAAAATCAGATCGTCCAAGAAGAATTAAGACGACATCAGGAACTTCTAGAAAAACAAAAGCTTACGGACAAATTCATTGATGAGTTGAAGAAACAAATCGAAGTTCTCAAAGGTCAATTAGCTGATCTACAAATCAAAGGTAATCATTCTTTTCTGTAAATTCAACTATCTACTCTTCTACATAGAACAACATACAACATCGCAATGGATAACTAATGAAGCATCGTACAAACAACAAATCAAAGAGTATCAATTGCGAATCGATCACATTTGTAAAGAATCACAGAACGTAGGAAGTTCATTTTAAATTGAGACAAGAAATCCGACTTACTTGATGTTTAGATACAACTACGACTCGCATCATTAGAACAAGAAAAACAGACAAGTGACAAACGAGTCAAAGATTTGCTCGATGAGTTGAAGCATCACAAAGAAAATGTTGTACCTGGACTGGAGAAACAGTGTCAAACACTCCAATTGGAATTACAAAATCGAGGTAAAATGTGTGATGTTTGTTTTTCAAAATCCGAATCTTCTGGTCTTTCAGAAAGTGCGGCTAACACGACAATGAGTGAACGAGAAAAACATTATGAACATCAAATCAAACAATACCGACAAGCAATAAACCAAATGACAGAAGAAAACAATCAAGTACGAGATGAGTTAAGACATATCCAAGAAGAAAATGCTTTGAAAGATGAAAAAACTGAAGCATTCATCAGTGAATTAAAACAAAACTATGAACGAGTTCAACATGAACTAATCGAACTGAATGATCGCGGTATGTCCATACTGGCAAATTTTTCATTTATCCCCAATTTCTTTTGTAGAACAACAGGCTAGTCTGATGCTCAACCAACGCGAATCATTTTTCGAACAACAAATCAAAGAATACGAAAACAACCTTAACCAAGCGACTCGTCAAACAGAGAGCATTCAAAATGAATTTGCCAAGTTAGAAGAAGACAAAGCTGTGCATGAACAAAAATCCAACAGTGTTATTTTCTCTTTGAAACAAGATTATGAAAATCAATTCGATCAATTAAAACTCGAATTAATTCAATTGCAAGAGAAAGGTTTGATTAAATTCTTCTTTTCTCTCTTTCATATGAATATTTTCTAGATCGAACACAAAATATTATCATCAACGAACGTATCGCTCATTATGAAATCGAAATCAAAGAGTATCAAATCAAAGCCGATCAGGATACACGTGAACTCGAACAGCTTCGAAATCAATTGTTCAACGTACAAGAAGACAAAGTTCAACAGGATAAACAGTTCAATGAGACTATTGAGGCATTGAAACAAGAATTGCAACGACTTCAAAATGAGTCGAAGACTCAAGGTAGGCTGATTACTCTCATCATTGTCTAACTTTGATTTCTATAGAAGGCAAAATCAATCAAACGTTCGAAGACAAAGAATTGAAATATCAACAAGAAATCGACGAGCATAAAATTAACCTTAGACAAGCCGATGAACGTATCGAAAATCTTCAAACTGAACTAACCAGTTTACAACAAAATAAAATCGCTGGTGAACAAAAGTTAAACGATACAATTGAAAGATTAAGACAAGATTATGAAAACTTGAAAGCGGATCTACGAAATCAAAGTGCGAAATCTCCATCCATGCCAATCTTTATTTGCGTTATACTTTTCAGATGAAACTGGAACCTTGGTATTGAATGAACGTGAAGTTCAATACCAATCGCAGATGAACGATTACGAACATCAAGCGGATCAACTTCGAGATCAAATACAAGAACTACAAATGAAACTGACCGAACTAAATGAAGAGAAGACGACTGGAGAAACTCAATTGAACGAAACTATCGATGCACTTAAACAGGAGTATGAAACACAACGTAAAGAACTTCAAATGGAATTGGATGAACTCAATGAAAGAGGTTTGTTCAAGGTCTTTTCACTTTAAATCTCAGCCTTTCTTCTTAGAACAAAAAGCACACAAGGAAGTTCACCAACGTGAAGCACAAATCACTGAATATCAAGATAAATTAGAAGAAGTTCGAATGAAATTCGAAAGTCTCCAAAATGAATACAAACAATTACAAAGGGAAAAGGTCGAATTCAATGAAACGATCGATAAATTACAGCGTAATCTGGCTTCAGCTCGATCCGAACTAGAGAGTCAAGGTAAGGTAACGTCGAATTGACCTTTCTTCTTACGCCTACCATAGATCACACGCAAAATATGGCATTGAATGAACGTGAAATTCATTATCAAGCTCAGATTAAGACTTACCAAGCCGAACAAGAGCAATCTCTTCTACAAATTCAATCTCTTCAAACAGAACTAAGTAAATTGCAGCAAGAGAAAGTCGTTACGGAAAACGAGTTAAATAAGTCAATCGATGTCATCAAACAAGATGTAGAAAAACTTCGAAATGAACTTGAAGAACGCGGTAGGTCCTTTCTCCGCGGATTGTTTGCAGTCACTGTTGATTTTTCATTGTAGAGCGTCAGAAAGAAACAGCTCTGAAACAACGCGAAGCGGAATATAAAGAAAAAATTGAAGAACATCAAAAGAATTTAGAACTTTCGACCGCTGATCATCGAAATGTTCAGTGGGAATTAGAAAATTTGCGTCAAGAAAAGAGTGTAAACGAAAAAAATCTGAACGAAATGATGTTTTCACTACAACAAGATTATGAGAAACAAATCGACTTTCTTCAAACGCAAGTGACCGATTTACAAAAACAACGTTCGTATCACGTCCTCTATCTTTTTCTTGAGCACGATTTCTTCTGATAACAGGCGAAACAAGTAACGATACACTGACTCAGAAAGATCAAGACCTACATGATTATCAAACAAAATTCAATGAATTAAATGAACAGATGCTTGAATTGAAGCAACAGAATGAAACGAAAACGAGTCAGATAGAACAGTTACAAGTCGAACTCAAAGAAAGGGAACAAGTCACTACCGTTGCGCAAACACAGAATGAATTCGTTCAACAAGTAAGTCTGACAAATGATAACTCACAATCCTGGCGATTTTCTTTAGGCAGAGACTTTAGCCGCTCTGAATGAAAAACTCAACAAAGAAATTACAGATTTGAAACACGAGAATGAAATATTATCGAAGAGCGCAGAGAAGAATGATCAATCAAATGAGAAACAGGACACTGCTGATCAGTTAACCAAACAAGTCGATGATCTACAAAAGATGCATTTCGATCTCTTAGAGAAACAAGCGAATAGAGAGCAAACATTTGAAGAGGAGAAGAAATGTTTGAACGAAAAAGTTGCTGAATACCAAATGACAATCGCGCTGATGAAAAGTAAACTTTCTCGAACGAAATTTCATAGGAATGATGTTTCTTTGCAAGGTGAATTCATGGTCGAAATGGAAAATGCAAAACTCGATCATGACCAGGAAATACTTCGTTTAAAAACGCAACTCCAGCAAGTCACTGCTGCATCAAAACCAAGTAAATATTTTCGTTAGTACGACTTCACCCTCGCTTGTGTTGTTTTTAGAAGGGAAAAAATAAATATCAACTTTCCTCTATGATTCGTCGTGTGTCATCGGTACAAATGGTCTTTTACTTTTTCATTAGATTATATTTTTGTAATCGTAAATAAATTGTAATCTAACACAGAACGAATATGCGACAATTGCTTAGTGAAATACAACGATCTGTGATTTACTGTTACATCCTGAACGTTTGAGTCTTTTGTTTTAGAACAGTTATTTATCGTATAATAGTTCATTCAATGAACGCATATTTACAATTAAAAAAAGTCAACAACAGTTTATAGATGAAGTTTTAAAAATGTTCGTTTCTCGAGATGATGATGAGAGACGATCGGAAAGATGAACAGATGCTGTATCGTATACATTATCATCTGCTTTTATTTGTTTTAGTAGAGTCTTACTGTGCAGAACGCGTAAGATCAATTGTTTAAACATAACTCGAATATTATCACCACGCAATGCTGATGTATAACAAATAGCCATACTGTGCAACGATGCAAAATGTTCCGCGTTGGCGAGAAATATTCGTCTATATTCATCATCACAATTTTCTTGAAATAAATCAGATTTATTGCAAATAAGCGTTGGTTCCACATCATCCTTTCCTTTCAGGTGTAACTGTTTATACCAATAAAGTTCGATTCGTTCTAATGTATCTATATCTGTGGAATCGGCCACGAGAAGTGCGCCATGGCATGTACGAAAATGATTATCACAACAGGATTCATATCGTTCCATCCCTGGAATGTCCGTTAGCTGAACAGTAATGACATATTTGTTCTCGAACAGTTGGTCCAAATAGAAAAAGATCAGATCATGTCCGACAGTTGTCGTCGTATTCAAACGTATGAAGTTCGTTTTCTCGCCATACTGAAGATAACGGGCGATGGTGCTTTTACCAACATTTGAACCGCCCAACAGACTAATCCGAATTTTAAGCGTTGGTTTATCTTCCCATTCGCTTGGGATGCGACCAGAACAAACATTGAATGCTAGAAATTGATTTAATGACGCAATTGCTTGTCGCTGAGAACAGTATTCTTCTATGGCACTTTTTAGATTGTAATTATGTATCCAACGGCGGTCAGTCAATGTTTGATTCGTCATAGGTGACGAATTGTGATCACGTAGCCATGCCTCAATAGCAGATAATTCATACGAACGACCCTAGAAGAATATGTTAAGCAGTACAAGTTCAATACTCAATAGCTTACATCTTCGATGAGCACGACGGGATTCTGCATAATTTCTCGAGTTATAGGACAAAGAAAATCCCGCGGAATTGGCATTAATTCTTGATTCATTACTGTATGACAAAATTTAGTGAAAACGATACCAATATTTTTGCGTCCGATTTTATCATCGATGTGAAAGTATCAAAAATACAGAACAGATAAAAAGCATTCACTTCGGACGTCCATTAATGTTTTTCTTTATTACCTGTATGGATGCAAAATGTAACACTCTCCCTTGCGCATGTGCTGTATGTATGATCATTGTTCCGTCAATTCTTAATTACATCTCGATGTACGCTTTGACGTTTCTTCGATAAATGAATATCAGCAGAATATGATGAAATAACTAAAGGCGTAGTTTCATCGGCGTGTACGTTTTCTCCAACGAAAAAATATGATAACGTCGCTGTCATTTTTTTTTCTGTTCTCTTCGGTTTTTTTTCTTTTTACAATTAATCATATGCTCGCAATTAGTTTAATAAACCTCGAAAATATAACAAAAAAAAGGACCCGCCGTTTTATAGATACTCATCAAATAGCGTCTTTGAACAACTCATGCGACTTTCGAAGTACAATTGTTCATCTGACAGAATTTTGGACAAAGATATCGAATATAATCTGTTGAGCACTCATGTTCAAGTACAAATGTGCATATATGTGCTGGTTCTTGTTCGCAGAGCACTAAATAGAACCTAGATAGTATTGTTTTCTAAAAATAAATAACTGTACCTGTTTCGCACTCATCACCCGTGAACGCAGGTAAACAGACACATAGACAATCCGAATTTAAACGTCCACTATGACGACAATGTCTATCTTTACAATATTCGAAAGGTGCTTGGAAGATTGTTGTCGTATTTCGACTAATAGTAGTAGTCGTAGTCGTCATCGTAGTGTGAGTAGTGGTAGTTGATGTTGTTGTCGTCGTGGAATTGAGTGATTCACTGTGAGTTTGATTTATCATACTTAACATCCAAGAAAAGGGAGGTATTGCTAATGTTGGAAATGGTTTGAAAAATTCTAGTAATTGATCTTTCATATGATGATCTTTCAAATCATATATAAATAATGGTTCAGTAAGATTATCTAATGCATGAGTGGTTGTCGCTGTTGTTGTTGTTGTATTCAGCATTAAAGTCATATTATCAATGTCCGAATGTGAGTCGAAATCTAATATTTGATAATCTTCATCTTCATCATCGTCTTCCGAAGACAAATGATCAAATCTTGTAATAGGTAACTCAACAGTTGTATTGAATATCATCCAATCATCGTCATTATCGTCCGTTAGATTGGATGGTGATACTGTAATCAAAGTATCATTGAAATCCCACCAATTCAACGTAATATTCGATTCAGGATTCATCAAGTCATCGATTGATGTACTATTCAAGAGTATTTCATCCATAATATCAAATTCCTCGCTGAGATCAGCCATAGTCGTAGTAGTATGATTATTTGGCAAAGAAACAATTGATAGTACAGGTTCAAATAAATTATAATCTAAATCAGGATCATCCCATATTGCGTTATCATTGTAAATATCAACAGTTGTATTCTTGATAGATGAAGCGATCGTCAGTGTAGTAGTAATTTCAGTCGTAGTGTAGGTCGCGATGTTTTCAGTTATAGGCATTGACGGAAAAGTAATAACGGATGGTAATTGATTATGAAAGATACCTGATAAAACGATGAAAAAGTGAAGTTTAATATTATTTTAAAGATGTGAGTGTTTACCCATGATAACATCGAAACTAACACCATTACATCTTGGAAAACATATTAAAGAATGAACTCTCATTTACTATCAATGGTTACTTACAGAGATTCTTGGCAGAAGAATGCATCGGTTCCAAGCAGTTTTTGTAGACCACTCTTTACGCGTACTTGTGGCCAGTATGTCGAACAATCTCGTGTGATTACTAGAATATCAGACAATAACTAAACGAAGATGTTTCATGCAATTTTAAGTATTCATACAGTCAAGATCATTTGGATTTCGAAAAATAATACAACTTGATGAACACGGACGAATATAGTTCGATGCGTAGCGTGAATCTATAAACTCACCACAACCTTCAAAACGTGCCGTGCACGAATAGCACTGATGCACTTGAGGATGTTGCTCAGCATCTATCCGTAAAGAGTCAACTAGGTATGAAAACAACGAATATTTTAACAAACATTACCTTTTTCAATTAATATCTGATTGTTTGCTGCTAATAAATTTAATTCATGAGGTGATAAGACAATTGGATTATTTATCGCTCCTCTTCTACTATTTCCACTATCGCTGTCCTCGACAGTTCCATTATTACATAGATGAGAATCACAAAAATAAGCTTGTATTCGAGGACTTATTTCATGCCAACCGATCGATTTTGGTATCATATGTCCATAGGTCCACGAACAGCCGCGTACAATGGATCCATTTACATTGCGAAATAATACACATTGACCATTGCATGGTTCAGTATAATATTGAAGAATATTTGTATATAAATAAGAATCGGGTTGACTGTTACCTATACATTCACGAAGTGTATCTTCTGAACATAAATAACAACGAGCAGCGTTTGTAGACGATATCAAGAAGTAATTGATAAAGATCAAAACAAGCAAATGATGTTCAATTGTAATCATTCTTAATGAATGATATATACTCATGTCGATCGACATAAGTTAAAACGCATATGAACAACAACTGTATGACATAAAATCACGTTTATAACCTTCATCATAGTGTTCATAAAGTAAAAATTGATGTTATTGTTTATCTCAGGTGTCGAGTTCAAGCTTATGATCATTTGCTAATTGTAGAACAAAGACGTGTTTAGACATCGAGGTCGTTGTCTATAAAACAACATAATTAGCAATAAGCTATGTGCACGAAACAACGTAATCTGAACACATCTTGCTCGTGCTTAACAAACAAGAGCAATTAAGAAGTCAGAACGAAAGATTTCGAGATCGATAGAAGTCGCTCACTAACAATGAGATATATGTACATCTTTTTCGACCATTTCGCTGAAGAAACAGAACCTCTAGCTAACTATCTTTATTCGTTCGATATAGTATTCAATAAACAAAGCTGAGAGGAGATTGATTATTATCGAACTTATCGATCATGACTAATGCCGATGATTTTTGTCAATTTGCACGTTTAGGTCAAACAGTTAAAATTCAAAAATGCTTACAATCACATAGTACGTCATTTCATTTTATTTCATGACGAGATTGGCTTATCTCTGTTAAGGTGTTGATGTTAATGCGTTGAATCTATATGGCGAATCGGCACTTTCAACAGCTACTTGTCATAATCAAATTCTATGTGTCGAATACCTTCTAGCAAGCAAAGCCGATCCGAAACTGTAAGACTACAATTATTAATTGGAAATATGTCCACAATTGTTTAATTGCGTTAGACGTCTCACGGCTGGACATACGGCCATACATATTGCTTGTCGATTAGGTAATGTTCCGATTTTACACATGCTACTATCGATAAAGAAGGAGAATAATACCGAAGAAGAGCAGCAACGTGAAGATAAACATGTGTATGAATGTTTGAAAATGAAAGATTTTTCGAATCGGACACCAATTCATTGGGCGGCGACACAAGAATCCGTGTCGAAACGACAAAAGATGTTTGCTTATCTCGATAAACGAATGCCTGGTGTATTGGATAGCCGATATAATCTCAACTGGTTTAATTCATGGGCTGCAACACATCCATGGGTGATTGATCAAAGCACTACATAGTAGAATTAATTTCTGTTTTGTGTAAAATATGCTGTGATCCATATTTTAGTGTACCAATTGGATCTGCACCAAAGTTGACAAGTCCCAATCGTACATATCAACAAGACGAATCATCCGATATGAATTCACTTGATATAACACCGAAGGTGTCAATCAATAACTATGAACGTACTCCGCGAGCACCACTAACAACAGCACCAATCAATAGTACCAACAAGAGTGCAATAAGACAACGCGTTCCAGTAAGATCTAAATGAAAATCTTCATTTTTCAATCTGTTTCAATACTTCTATCTTTAATAGACTGAACAACCACCAGCAGTTTTGCCATCGACACCAATATCCAGTTGCAAAGTAACCGTAACTTCTATCTATCACATTCCCAAAAGTGATCAACAACCTACATCAAAATTATCTGAACATCACGAACCACCAGTCAACGATCAGTTATTATCACCTCTAGCCAATCGTTGTACCTATCGTGCTCATCGAGTTCGAATTGAACCAAAAATTGACTTTCCTCCACCGCCATCTGATCTCGACGATATCGAAAATAAGATTCATGATTATGAAGATACAAATACACCACTCTCATCCAAACGTCCATCACACAATCTTCTTTCGAATATCTTTCCATCAGGTGCAACTACCCCCTCAACTGATCAAAGTAGTCAGCAGTCTACTAAACATATTGCCTCATCTTTTGGCTTTGATACATCGATTGAACCACGTCATCTAGCTGACACAACCATGCATTCAACAACCGACACCTACGCACAAAATGATGAACTGGAATCGGTTTCATCGAACGACGACGAATCTCAAAGTAATAAAATTGATTACGTTTGTAAATCAACTTCAACAATTGACCTCGCCTCACCCGGTGCGCATACTTACTATGCATAAATTAGCTCTTTTCTAATGAATATCTTGTCAAATAGTTTGTTTTGTATGATATATCGCTGAACTCAACTTGTTTTATTTTGATATAAAGACTTCACGAAATAGTTGTTGGTTTTTTTCATTGGGAAAAACTAAATTCTTTATTCTTGAAAAATAACATAACAGATCTCTAGTTGTGGATATCTACGACGACTGTCATATGTAATATACATGTAATTTCTTTATATAAAAGTCATCTGAGAGGTTGAAGGAGTAGGAAAATGCATATGAAAAACAAACAACAGACAAAAAAAAATGAATCCAACTTGTTCACTTGTAAAAACCGTTCGAAAAAGTTACAGATCTACTCTCTAAAAAAATGCTTTTCGCGGTTGTCAAATGTTTTTATTACTTGCTTTCTTTTCTTTGAATCTGATCAATATAGTCTTGATCAAAGTAAACAACTGTTATGGTAATATCATCGCGTATCGAACGTGGATTAGGAAATGTGAGAACGTCCGATAAAAGTTTACTATCAAATTGTCCTTTGGATGTATAAGCGAGTGCTTGTCGAATGAGATGTGTCGCTGAATTCTGATCCATGGGTTGATTTTTAATCGCTTGATGTCGTGCGAGTAGTAGTTCATTGATTTCTTTCAATTTCAATGTTGTGGTGCTTCCACTTTTGTGCAGAACGAAACGATCGAAACTTTGAATGCCTTTTTGATGATTAAAGATCAATTGAACGACACGCTCAGGTGACAACAAGTCCCAGACACCGTCAGTTGCTAGGACGAGAAATTTATCCTTTTTTGTTAGCTTATGTTTCGTGATTTCAGGCTTAACAGTTAAATACGGTGGTGACAGGTAAAACTGTGGTAAAGCGTCGCCTTTCTTATAATACGGCTGCAAATATTCCCGAAGATAATTCGCAGGCCATTTGAAACGCACATCACCGAATGCACGAAATGGCATTAGCAGGCCAAGTAGACGTTCGCTTCGTATGATTGAATGAGATTCGTTCGATGGATGCTCCGAAAGCAGACGTTTAACTTCCGATTGATTACGAGCATTGTGATCATGAGAAAGATTAATCACACTTTGATTACCCTCATTGTCGATTGTGCCTGAAAAAGAAAGATTGCATTGATAAAAAGCAATGTTTTGCAAACAAACCGAGAATGGCTCGTGCATCACCACAATTCGCAATGTATAGATCGTCATCTTTGACTAAAGCAACGCATGCACACGAGCCAGCTGTACAAATTTGTAACAAATCCTCGTCGACAGGTTGAGTGTCCACAGGTATCGCTTCTGCACATATGTCACGATCCAGCTTGATGAATGCACTTTCCAGTGCACTAATTATATCAGTATGATCATGATCGATGTTCGTGTAGGCATCTTCAATATGTTTCAATAGATTCATCTGATGAATATCTTTAATCTTTGAATTCCGTGTATCTTTATATGGATTATAATATGAATGCAACAGAAGCGAAGTAATCGTATTTGATACTGTTTTGTCATGACTGTGATGATGAGTGGTACTATGTGCATGTTGATTTGCCATGATTCGTTTTGCTTCTTGCATAATCCGTTCTAAATCATTCGGTTGATGTAATGTAACGGCAATATATTCAAATAAACGTTGACCAACGACATCAGAACACCAGGGACCACCATGCCCATCGAAAGCACCGAATAGATACATCGTCGAATCTGGTGAATGAATACGAGCTTGAACTTGACGGTCCTCTTTTCAGACGAGAAAAACAAAAGAAATATTTTAGAATGCACCATAAACGAATGACTCTTCTTCATCATATTCATACGCACGTACACTGAACAGAACTCATATCCATTAAATTTGTTCTAGAACTATCATTTCATTCGATGAATAATCATCTCCTCAGAGATTAACACGAAGCAGAACATGTACGTCAGACATAGTTAGTACGATATCGATTCAACGAGTTGCTATCTTGATGTGACAGCTACAATACCACATACCTGGCGGATTGTTAGCACCGAGATAATTGACTTCATAATATTTCACTGGGCAATTTGCTTCAAGATCAATACTGGCTTCATGTGTTCGTAAAATTCCTGATGCCTCTTGAGAAGAAAGACGTTGCTCGTCAAAATATGATTCTTCAGGAAGATTTCCTTCGATCGAATCACTATGATACGATGAAACTGAAATTACTCGTTGTTTGAAAGTGGATACAAGGCATGGTATTTGCTTTGGAGAAAAACACGCATGTTTCGAAAATAAGTGCCGAATCATTGCATCTTCAAGAGAAAAAAAACGTGCATAATGGAGATTTTTTCTTTCCAATTATTTTGATTACTATTTGCAACTAGTAACCGAATAGTTAAAAGAACAAATGAATCCGGCTTTTTTCTTTTCCAGCTCATGTGGTGAAAAACTCGGTTTATTATTGGTAGAATACGCGAACGAATAGAGTTATCATCAAAGAAAAGCATCACAGACAACTTGCGACATGAGAACGGAAGGGAATTGTTCTGATTGTGGCTTGAAGTAAGAAAAAATTTGCAGGAAAAGAAAAAAGTCAAAGTAACGCACGATGATTGCGGCTGCGTTTATAATGACAGAGAGGAAATTCCGTTAAGGTACCCGACATGTGCCACCGAGATTTTCTTTGTTATAGAACAATTTTTATCTGTAGAATCGAGTAAAGTTTTCATAAACGTTATCTCGAAGCTATACTATCGAATATACCATCACAATTCGTAACTAATAAGACAAATTCTCCTGACAAATACAGCAATCGATGTATTTGAGAATATTTTCTTTGAAATTTTTACTATAATAAAGTATGCATGACATCAATAGTAATGCAATGTCAATAGTGTCTTTCATAAACAATCAATTAGTGAATACATGAGCTTCATGTCATGCTTATTCAAAGTTGTTATCCGATGAAGACTTTGTCGTTCAAATTCGCGCAATGGTCAATCGCCATAGAAGACATCTTTCGCCTCTACACGTTCTTGTACTACGCCTATTGGTCGAAATCTGAGAAACAGAAAAAAATGCATTGCATGCATGCATACACATTTTTCTACCATGATTAGCTGATTGTTTATCTACGAATTTTTTTTGGATTTGAGTCTGTTCATTCAGTTTTTTTAGATTTAAAATCGCGCCGATCAATGGCTAGCAGTTTTCCAACACGAACGGGTTTGAACTGCATTGTCTTTGGTCAGAATGATTCGTCTTTGTTTGATCTTTAGTTGTTCCACGAAACTTTAAATTACTGGAAGAACTCGAAGCCGCGCAGAAGGGTCAACACGAAGGGTGAATATTTTCAACTAAATCTTCGGAAAGTTTTCATTGCGATCTTTCTTCCTTCAGTTCGGTATCATGGGGTCTCGAAGCGAATGATGACATGTCACTTTCCCGGTGGGTTTGTATGATCATTGGACCAACACGAGTAAGATTCCGTCTTCTCTCTCCTAATCGTTTTCCAATCGATTAGCGTCTTTCGTCTAGACGCCTTACGAAGGCCGCATTCATACACTGAAAGTTCACTGTGGTGATCGTTATCCCGAAGAGCCGCCTACTGTCCGTTTTCAAACACGCATCAACCTAACTGGTGTATCCGCTAATGGTTCCGTAAGCGCCTAATGTTTTCATTATTCTCTCTCTGTTTTACATACATTTCTACTTTCAGGTTGACCCGAAATCAGTTTCATCACTTCGCAGTTGGAGTCGCGATATGACTATCCATCAAGTATTAAACGACATTCGAGCAAGCATGTCGGCGAAAGAGAATGCGAAACTATCTCAACCACCAGAAGGCGCACTCTATCCATCTCAGTGATCAATCCTGTCAAACATAGCAACCAAGAAAAAAAATCTATTCGGACGTCTTTTTTTTTCAGCTTTTTTGTTCATGCGCAAAACAAACCAACAAACAAATTTTTTTCCTTCTCTTTGTGATACCATTTCTTTTGCTTCTGCGTACTAACTTTAATCTATTGTGTATGATTCTGTCCTATTGGAAAAAAGCACATATATAACTTTAAAAAAAAACAATCCTTTGTTCTAGAGAATAGAATGAAATTAACGTTAACGCCGTCGAAGAAATCAAATGAAAGTGATACATCGACGGACAACGACGTTCGCATCCATGAAGGTTCGTCTTACCAAGCAAATATTCCTGTTCTTAATTGTCTGCCAACATCAACCGATCATGATGCTATTCTCTTCTGGAAACCGACGGATTTAGTAAGCGACGATGAATTATTGAAGTATCTCAATTATGCTCGACGAAAACATCGAATGAACGAAGAACAAGCCTTAGCTATCTTGCAAATATGTAAATACAAAATAAATACTAGTCAGTTATTAATGGAACAATACGCGCCGGAAAATGATGAATGGTCAGTCGAAGAGAAATTTCTGTTTGAACAAGCTTATAAATTCTATGGGAAAACGTTTTCACGTATTCGACAAATGCTACCTGAGAAAACGATATCCGAACTAGTTCGATATTATTATTCGTGGAAGAAAACACGATTGTACAAAAGTCTTATGGATAAACATGAAAAACAATGTCAATTAATGCCTTACGATGAAGATGAGGAAAGTGATGAAGAAGAACGGAACACCACATCAGTGTCCATCCCAACCAAGTAAGTGAAAATTGCCGAGAAGGTTCATTGATGTAACCTTGGAATCGAAGGAAGCACGTTAACAAAGGAAAAAGAAATTTTCCTCTCGCCTTGGAAATCGAATACACATTTGTGTTTTGCATGTCGAGGAGAGAACCTTCATCATTGCAACGAGAATATTCCAGACACTGAAAAGCTTTCTATTCAGAGATTTAGATCATCGTTCGAAAGCAACAACAGCAATCGATTCAACGACTGATGAAGATCAAGAATGTTGCAATTGTGAAATACAATGTGAATCAACGCATTCAACGCCGAAAGGTATTCTGTGCGACGAATGCTTTGCTTACTGGCAAAAATCAGGTCTTATGCGTCCGGAATTGTATCGAAGTAAAGCCCCGGTGAAAAAGATCAAACGACCACCGAAGAACATGTCAGTGGATATCAAAACGTTAACATCGACAACACTCGACGATGCGCTAGATAAATTAGAAGAAGATATTCGCAATGAGTGGTCGATCATTCAATCTCATAATCAGACAATTGAACTTCTAACCAATCAATCTCGAGAGGGTATCGATACGATGCAAATTCCATTTTTAACGTCGGATCTGAGCTCAACTGATACGACAACGTCAACATGGTCAACCGAAGAGATTCTGCTCGCAATTCAAGCCTTCGCAAAGTACGGAAAGGATTTTGCAACGGTCGCACGTCTTATTGGCTCGACGAAAACGGTTGACGATGTGGAAACATTTTTTCTCGAATGTCGAGAACGTTATCAACTCGATATGGTTGTCGACACGTACTCGAAATCGAATTCTAATGTGCAAAAGAAAGCGGATGAGATTGTTTTTGTTAATTCAATATGAATAACTTGTTATTGATTTTTGTTGTAACGATAAATAAAGAAAAACACGAAAGACTTTCTTTCATTTCAGATATGGAAGAGATCATTCTTTCTCTCGAGCCAGCCTTCCATCGAATTGAACGGTTTTTACTATGGCACAATCGATATGTGAGTCTAGTTGCATTCATTCTCATCCACGGTATTTTCTATGCCATCGCGCGCGCCGGTTTACGTCCATTGTGTGCGATAACGATCGTATTGATGATTTTCCATGTACTCGATTGTATTAAAAAGAAACGGGTAGTGAACGAAGAGAAGAATCTCTCCGACTTAACTCAAGTGGTTTTAAATTCATACCGTCGAACAATAGAAACACATGAACGGCTAAATGTGATTAAAACTGAGAATCGATCGAAGTATTCCTTGATACTAATTGTCATCTGTTTCATCCTCGCCTACACTGGAATGAAAATCAATGGATTCTATGTTTCGTATATCGTCATGCTGATACTCTTCACATTACCGGCGATTATTTACCACAAAATGATACCGAAGTTATTAAAACGTTTAGCCCCCATACTCGAACAACTTGACGAATCGATGTAAGTCATGCGCAATCCTCGAAGAAATCGTATGTTCCTCTCATTTAGGGAATACAAACGGCGAACATTAGTCGACCGCAAAGATCTTTTAGTCAAAATCAAAACTCCGGGTTTGAATGAAAATGCTGATGAAGACGACGATGAAGATGTCAGAAAATTGAAACAACAAAACAAACAAATGCCAATCATGACTCGTTCGGTGAATACCAGTGACGACGATGGAAAGCTTTTCTCTTCGCGATTATCCAAGACAAATTCTGATATACTTAGTGATTCATCGTCGTCAGCAGCCGATGATGATACAGCCCATATCGATGAATTATATGCCAATGTTGGAGATAAGATCGATGGTAAACATCGAATTAAAATCAAAGGCGATGAGATCAAAATCAAAGGTTATTCCAATCGACAACGAACAAAACTAACCAATCCGTCACAAATAATCAAGAAAAATTCTCTTGGTGAACCTGATCTAAGTAGTTTCGATTTCCTCAATGACTACGACCAACAATAATCTTGAGCTCTGTACAGAAAAAAAAGATGCCATCTCACTTTTGTTCATATTGAATGTTTTGTGTCTTGTTCGTATTCGTGAACAGCTCATGTTTTTAGTTGATACTACAATAAATATGCTTGTCGAGTAGTGCTTTTGTTGTTTTATTCAATTTATTATAGATTGTCACATGCGATTGATTCCTAGAATATTTTTTTTTCGACAGATTCGAACAATGACTACACAGAAAGTCTCCTATTTGACTCAACAACAAGCGAAAGACATCGATGAAGAACTTTTTCATGAATACAAGTTTAGTGTCGATCAATTGATGGAATTAGCAGGACTCAGTTGTGCCGCCTCTATTGGTGAGTAGCGCTTGTCTTTCATTCATTGATTAGATCATCAATTAAGCTTATAATAGTAATTGAAAAGAATTGAAGTGCTTTCGTAACGATTACATCAGATCGATGTTGATATTCATGAACTCAAGCGAGACATTTTCTTTTCTTTTTTTTCTCTTTTCAGCTAAAGCATACAGCGATGCGAAGAAATATTCGAAATGTCTCGTGGTTGTTGGTGGTGGGAACAATGGTGGCGATGGTCTCGTTTGTGCTCGTCATTTAAAGCTCTTTGGTTATGAACCGACAGTTGTTTATCCTAAACGAACTGATAAAGAACTGTACAAGAATTTGACACTTCAATGTGAAAAAATGGATATTGAAATTTTGGAGAAGATCCCAACGAAATCGCAATTCGATTTGATCGTTGACGCAATATTTGGTTTCGGATTTTCTGGTGAGATTCGTGAACCATTCGGAAGTATTCTTAAAGAGTTGAAAACTCTCGAGAAAACAATTCCGATCGTTTCAATTGATGTGCCAAGTGGCTGGGATGTGGAAAAAGGCCCCGGTAGTGATGAAAGTCTTCAACCTGAATGCGTGGTCTCTTTGACAGCGCCGAAAAGTTGTATGCAACATTTTCAAGGCAAATATCATTTTCTAGGCGGACGATTTGTTCCCAAAGCTTTGCAAAATAAATATCAAATCATTCTTCCCGAATATTCGGGTAGCGAACAAATCGTCCAGATTTAATCACACGAGTTTTTATCTTTTTCAGATGTCACCTCTACTGATTCTCGATCCACGACAACCACTTTCGATCGATTCATTTGAATTTCTTTATCAAGCTCTTGCTAAAGAAATCAATTCAATCTATGCACCCGTCCGTGATGGTCTTGCCCTTCTTGCTGGTTGTTATATTTTGAAAAAGTTACTACCTGTTCCATATTATTGCTATAGAACTATCAAACTTTACTTTATTCCTTACAAAATCAATGCAGTTCTATTGAAAAGACCGGTCACGACGCATTCACAAAATAATGATTTGTCATTACCCGATCATGATGAGCACTGGGCGCTGATCAATGATTGTACGACGCCGAGCGGTTGTGCATTTGCACAGAATCTTGCAGTAAATTGATGCGCTTCAGAAAAAAACACTCCCTTCATTTTTCTGTATTTTTCTTTGAAGAAACGAGGATACAACTTAATCTTGGTTTCCACCGAAGAACTACAAGAAGAATTAAAACTGCTTTCAACACACATCGAACGGACATTTCTCATTCGAACTGTCACTGTTCTATATCGCTGGAACAGTCCACAGCAACCATTAGAGTTAACTTCTCCAGTCACATCAATCTCAGGAACATGGTCGACTACCACTCCGCCTACAGTTGGTCAAACGTCATTGACAAAAAAATTCCATCGAGCTGGATCATTCGATCGTCTTGAGACAATCGAAACTATCGCACGAAATGGTAACCTCGTTCTGTACGTCAATTGCACAAGACCATTCAATGATCAAAATCTCTCGAAAACAATCAATCCAGCTGAGTTTCAATCCATTGTTAATAATTATCTAATTCCACCAATGCAACTAGCCTATATTGTAAGTTCATTTGTCTTCTATCTCGATCTATTTCATTCATTTCGCTTAGGTCCTTCCTTTCATGTCAGTTCGTCATCAACCTGCGTATGTATTGAATGTTGTACCACACCAATCCTGTCTCAGTTCCACCCTTCACCGTCTGTTAACCATCTATTTCGACGCACGAAAAGACGAATACTCCAATCGTGGTTTACTTCATTTTCAAACAGTTTATCTGCCGATTCGATGGTTACGTTCGTCTACCGATGTTCGAACAGTTGAGAATTTTCCAAAATATATTTTATCAAAATATGGCTTGAATGAAAATGACAAATTAATCTGGGGCTCATGTAGACCGCAAGTCTATGTTGATACAATTCTTCGTCAACTAGGTCGATGTGATCGCAGTGCTGGCTATTGGTTAAATGCACTTCATTTGACTTGTCTTTCAGTCCTACCTCGATGTGTTTCTCATAAGCTAATCGATTATTGGCTTATGACGAAATGATTTTTCTTTCTAGTTTTGATTTTCCTTGTTTTGTCCATAAATATACGAGAAAAACAAATTCAACTAGTCTCTCGATATTGAATTTCTTTCATGTCAGAAACCTAAATATTTCAATTCCTTTTCAGATCGATTCCGCATGGAACTTGATGAACAAACTCTCCTTCAATCCTTAGTCAAAGACTCCTTGGATGAATCTTCAGCATCAATTGATTATCCATCCTATCTGCCGTATCTTCAGACACTGTTTACCTATGACACCGAACGTTTACATCGTGAACTCGAATATCTAAACGATGAGAAATGTTCAAAATCAGCACAGATGTTATCCCTAACATTCGATAACTATTCAACATTTATCCAAACAGCTGAATGCTCGAAAAATATCTCCAATGATTTCTCAAAAATCGAAGATAGCTTATCAGTAATATTGAAACAACTCGACGATTTTTCATCTTGTTGTCAAACATTCATACGCGAAACTGAACAAACCAACTCCCTTCGAAAACAAAACATGTTTACTCTCCAAAAATATCCTCAACTGTTAGAAATCCTCGAAATACCACAAATCATGGACACGTGCGTTCGAAACGATTACTACGATGAAGCACTTGAAATCGTCACGTATTGTAAGCGTTTAGAACGAAAATTTTCCTTACCACTGAATAAAGCAACATCGAATACGACTTTACATATACCAGTGATAACAAATATTGTCAACGATGTTCGTCTATCATTGGAATACATGCTCGAACAATTAATCAACCAACTACAAACGAACATTCAATTGCCAGCTTGTTTACGTATCATGGGTTTTATTCGTCGAATGGATATTTACAATGAGTTGGAATTACGTCTTTGTTTTCTCCAAGCACGTACACAATTTTTGAAAAAACGTTTAGCCTTAATTCAACAACAATATTCCACAGCGAATACAACTGATTACTATGAACATGCGTCAAAATATATCGATGAAACACGTAATATACTGTTCGATATTGTTACGCAATATCGTGCGTTGTTCAGTGATGATGATGTGACACTGTATGTAACATTTAATCGAAATGAATTTATTAAAGAAACGAATTTGTTTCGCTCATGGTTAATCTATCGTTTGAATGAATTTCTAAACGTTTTACAAGTTGATTTACGACATTGCAGCGGTAAAATTTTCGACTAATCAACTCTAGATTCAATGCTCAGCTTTCTTGTAGGTTCACAATACCAACGGCTGGAATCCCTTCTTGGCCAAGTTATGTATTTTGGTGCATCATTTTCACGTTATGGTTTTGACTTTCGACCATTATTCATTCAATTTTTCTCTCAAACAGCGTTAACAAATTTTCAAAATTCATTACGTGAAGCTAACCATCTATTCGAACAACTGCTTCAATCATTTACGTTCGATCAGTATGTTCAATTACCATCCTCAGACAATTCGACGACTGCAGCGAATCCATTCGTTCCACCGATGATTCTGGTTAGTTATACGCCATTGGCGGTCTATTGTAACACAGTGCTAACAGCATTCAATGATCTGCGACTTTGTTGTCCTTTGTCAACTGTTCGAACAGTAAAACAGACTCTGACTGATTCGTTGGAACATATTCGAAATCTTCTTGTGAATTATTATAAATCCGAGAAGGTGATGTTGACGTTCATCGAATCAGAACATTTCATTGACTTTTTACGAGTTTTTAATTCAATATTCATTCCTTATGTTGATACATGTATGCAAGCATTGTTTCCAGACGCTCAATTGTCACGTGAATTAGGTGTGTCGGTGTTAGAAGTTAGTGAAAAGACGAAACTGAATAGAATCGATGTGGAACAAATCATTGGACCGGTTCAAGTGATTATTGACTCGGTTGCTCCCAAGAAGGTTCCGATTAATGAAACTGTTACGAACAATAAAATAGACTCCTCGCTTCTAATATCGAGAGAGCCAGAAAAAGAAGAACAACAACAACAACAGCAACAAGAGGAAAATACCGAAAAAATTGATGATAAACATGAAGTTACGGAATAATTTATACAATGTTTACGTTTCTCGCTTTCAATATTGTTATTATTTTATTTAAATAAACTGTATCGGGATTTTAAAAAAGTGAAACTTGACTAAACGATTGGAACGAACATATAAACTTGGAAATAACTCTTATTTATATTAAAAACGATTTCCATCATTTAAACCAGTAAATGTAGCTGATGAGGGCGTGAATTCAGCGGTTCTATAAAAAAGAAGCAGGTGTCTCATTCAAGATATCTGTCAATTAATTGTCATAGAGGTACTACCGTCTAGAATAATAAATGTATATCGCGGCTGCTACACCAATAGCGATGGCGAGAGCACCGCCTAAACCTAAGCCCAAGCCTAATTTTAGGCGGAAATTCTCATCTTCAAGCGCCTTGATACGATCAGCTAGGATTGAGTCAGTGCTTGAGGTGCCACTTGAGATGTATTGAATAGGATATACGCCGTAATAATCGAGACATGTGAAATTAACTGTTACATGTGTTTGGCAATACCATCTACTGCAAACATCAAAGCAGGCGGTGGTCGTCGTGGTAGTGGTGGTAGTGGTCGTAGTGGTAGTTGTAGTAGTCGTAGTAGTAGTTGTAGTAGTCGTAGTAGTTGTGCTAGTCGTGGTCGTTGTAGGACTGGTTGTTGTGGATGTGGATGTGGTAGTGGTAGTGGTTGTGGTTGTAGTCGTCGTAGTCGTAGTAGTTGTTGTAGTCGTTGTGGACGTAGTAGTAGTGGATGTGCTCGAAGTTGTTGTTACGCTAGTGGTAGTAGTGCTGGATGTGCTTGTAGCAGCACTGCTAGTTGTCGTTGTAGATGTTGTTAATGTTCCGACTGCAGCGACGGTTGTTGTAGAACTCGTCGATGAAGTGCTCGTAGTGGATACCGTAGTGGTTGATGATGATGATGTGGTGGAATCTGTTGCGGTTGTTAGAGCTGTGGATGAAGTACTAGTAGAGCCCGTCACAATTGACGATGTCGTGGTGGATGCTGTGCTAGACGTGGTAGACCTTGTGGATGTCATCGTAGATGTGGTAGTGGATTCCGTAGTAGTCGTAGTGGTGGACCCTATCATAGTTGATGATGTTGTAGATGTTTCTGACGTAGTTGTGGTAGATCCTGTTACGGATGTAGATGTTATAGATGTTGCAGACGTTGTGGAGAATCCTGATAATGTCGTAGTAGATGTTGATGTTCCTGATACAGTTGTGGTTGATTCTGTCGTGGTCGTACTGAATCCTGTCGTAGTAGTGGTGGATGATCCTGAAGTAGTGGTGGTTGGTTCTGTCGTGGTCGTACTGGATCCAGTCGTAGTAGTTGTGGATGATCCCGATGCAGTTGTAGTTGATTCTGTCGTGGTCGTACTGGATCCTGTCGTAGTAGTGGTGGATGATCCCGATGCAGTGGTGGTTGATTCTGTGGTTGTCGTAGAGGCTCCCATCGTAGTTGACGATGTTCCCGATGTCGTCGTAGTCGATTCTGTGGTTGTCGTACTGGATCCTGTCGTAGTAGTTGTGGATAATACCGATGTTGTCGTGGTCGATTCGGTAGTCGTAGTGGTAGTGATGGAAGCAGTCGTTGTGGTCGTGATGAATCCCGTCGTAGTTGTTGTTGACGTTGTCGACATCATTGATGTCATTTCGGATGTCTCCGGCATGGCAGTTGACGAACATACACATACACACGATCCATTGTTTGAACCTGAAGTGTCTCTTCTGTATCGATAATGAAGATCATCAAACAATGGCTGTCCATTTGAAACGTCTGTTACAATCAATAACACGAGTATTTTAGTACTATTTAAAAATAAAAAGAATAGATCATACCCTTTGGTGTTGGCAAACTGTTTACAAGATAGCAATTTGTAGAAATTAAACACCACAAAAACCATTTTTGAGCATTCTAACGTATGAAAAGAAATCATATATGTGTTGTGAGCAGTATATTATGGTAGTTACGAAATATCGACACGTCAGTTTACTTACAAATCCTGATATTCACACAGGATTTCTCTACTTTCAATCGCTCATTGTCTAGAAGATATGCACCAATAAATGGCTATCTTACCATTTAGAAGGAAGCTTATTCGATTGATAATAATCTATAATGTAAGTACTTTGTCAAAACTAGTTGCATTCTGTGTAATTCTCCATTGAAAGTGTAACATATCTTTCAGCGAAATATGTTGATTTCAGAATTTCTCGTAGCGTTAATATTTCCACAGGAAAAAAAAACAACGCATATGCAAAGTTTTGTAGCATAAATCTATATTTATACATATACTTTTCTCTTTGGTACAGAGCAGAGAAGAGAAAGATTTACATAATAGAAAGCAGAACCAATTAAATTACTGTCGAGTAGTTCACAATATAGTAGTGCAAAAAACATCAATGTACAAATTTTGTTTTTCATCCACAAAACTATATATGTTCGCCTCTGATTAGAAACTGTGCCCGACTACTTATATAAATGAATAATTCTAATAAGTGCTGATCGATTCACAGTTCTCATACTGATTTAAACATTCGAATTTATCAAGTACATTTGCATAAATTTCGATTGATATGAAATAAACATTCGAAAAATAGTTTTCCAAATAACAATTATCTTGCTTGAGACAAGAGTCGAGCTTTTTATCAAAATCGTACTTTTCAAAGGAAGCAACCCATGACGAGTAAATATGAATTAATATTTTTCTCTCCATCGTTACTAGGGTGTTTCTACTTGAGCGACTATATTTTTACGACTGCACTATCAGTTGTCATTTTCTCTTATCCTCCGTTCTTTTACCATAAGGAAGGTTACGAAAGTATTTCACGTTCGCAGGTGGTATTTTGTTGTAACAAGAGAGGCTCGCATTCTTTTTTTTTCTCTCTCAACGTTACACGTTGTTAAAAAGAAAACAAGTGTACTTGATTATCAGCATGTCGCGCGTTACAGCTATTGACTATGAAACAACTATTTTTACTCTCACACCCGATAGTCTTGGTCCTAACAAAGCAACTTTGTTACATGCTCGAACGACAATTAATAATCAAACTCCAATCTATAAAGCAATACTTTATTTACATGGCTATATTGATTATTACTTTCAGTGAGTAATGATGAAGATTTCGTTCTATTAATTTTGACATATATATGTCTTCAATTCAGTGATCATGTTTGTCAACGTTTTCTTGAGCATGGCTATGATTTTTATGCGCTCGATATGCGCAAATGTGGCCGATCAATTATTTCACCTGAACATGATCATTACATACACTATTGTACTGATCTTCGAGAATATGACGAAGAAATATCCTTGGCAATTGAACATATGATCAAGCAAGCAGGTGACAGAGAACGAAAAATCTTATTGTTGGGCCATTCGACAGGCAAGATTGACAAGATACTCAGTTGTCACATAGATTTCATCCGGTTTGCTTTTTTTAGGAGGCTTACTCGCTACTTTATATGCAGCACGAGGTGCTAGATGTGCCGACATCGATGCCGTGATTTTGAATAGTCCGTATTTGACAGCAGTGAAAACAGGCTATGTGGAATCGATACTCTTGTCCATTTTGATGAAGTTACGTCGAACACACACCATACATGCACCCTGGTATGGGCGATCGATACATGTATCCGGTCGAGGTGAATGGAACTACGATGTAACGAAAAAGCCAGTTGAAAAACTGCCGTTACATGGACCATTTCTATCCACCGTGCGAACATATCAAGAAGAGATTATTCGAGGACAAATCAAAATTCAATGTCCAATATTATTCATGTGTTCAAACCGTTCACTCAGACCGGATAGAACTTGGCACGATGAATACACGGACGGTAGGCCTTTTTTCTTCTCATCGATAACACTCATCTATGATTCTAGTTGATCTTATTCTCGACGTTGAAACGATGAAAGACGCTGCTCGTTTGCTTGGCCCACAGATCACTATGCACGAAATTGAAAATGCTATGCATGATATCTTTTTATCGAAAGAATCCGTTCGTGAGAAAGCATTTGATATCATGTTCGAATGGCTTCGCAATTTAGAAGCTGACTGGTCAGCGAAGAGCAAACTTTAACTAATATTTGTAGATTTTCCAAATCGTCTTTCTATCGATATCGACATGTGACAAAAAAAATTTATTTCTTTTTTTCTTCAAACAATCATTATCTGTCTGTTTCTTGGTCGAAGCTTGTAGGGAGACAGAACTGTCAACGAGTTAAACAAAGAAAAAAAAAATTGTACACACACATTTTTTGTTGGACATCAGCAGGATGATTATACAAACTAATTCACAAATCTGTGAAGAACAATAAACATAACAGAACAGAAAAAAAAAGTGAAAGAGAAATGTGCCTTTCTCAGAAAGTTCAATTTTGATCACGACTATCATCATTATTTGACCGATCGGACTCGTGTCCATTCTTGTCATCGTCCATAGCTTCGTCTGCTGAATTACGATCGGCTGGTCTTTTGCTTTCATTATCGCTTCCATCACTTTCATCAGATTTGCGACGTGTTGATTTCTAAAAATAATAAACAAGAATGAGGATTTGCCGTAAGGTTTTTATTTACCTGTCGGTCATTTTCGTTGTCGTCTGCTCCATCACGTTTGGGTGAGGGTGTTCCATCTTTGGAATGATTCGATGAGCGATCGTCGTCTTTGCCTTTTGATACTGATCGAGATGAATGACGTTTCGAACGACCGCTTTTCTTCTTACTGGGCGATTTCGATTTTGTTCGACGACGTTTCGAATGTTTTTTTTCACGATGGCTACCGGAATCGTTAGATTCGCTTCGATCACGCGATTGACTCCTAAAAAAAACATTTCAATTATCGAGAAGAACACAAATCCATCGTTAAACTGTGTACTTGTGCTTGCGTCTTGAACTACGTTCTCGAGTACTATCATGACTGGAATCTCGACTGCTACGGCGGCGACGTGATGATCTGAAAACATATGGATTTGAATTAGTTGATTCATCTTCTTTCTTACTTCTTTTTCGAACGACCGTGACTACTGCTACGAGACCGTGATCGACTAAAGAATATAATCAAACTTTTTCTTCAAAGCAAATACAGCACTAAGAGACTAACCGATCACGGGAACGACGACGTGGACGTCTGAAAATAGGAATTTACTCGAATACTTGATAGCAGCAAGAAAGACATTAACATACCTGCGATCATCATCTCTACCATCATCACTAAGAGAAACAATTGATAATAATGTGTGAAAGTGTCGCTGATGAAACTCACTCTCCACCACGGAAACCACCAAGGGGTGGTCCACTGCGATAATTTCCTGAACGTGCTTTTGCATGTTCGACTCGGACGCGTTGTCCACATACGACACTGAAATGGGAGTGATACGTGCATTCGATAACCAACATCTTCCCCGTTCACTTACCGTCCGTCCATATCTAAAACGAAATCGATTTTGATTAAAGAAGCAAGAAAACCAACGACAACTTACTTCTCACAGCTGAATCAGCATCTTCGCCGTGTTTATAAAGTACAAATGCAAATCCTGGTGGATTGCTAGAATAGACGAAAAGTAGTTCAGAAGTGTGTCGGCTTTTAAATTAGATCTGATTATGTCGTCGACGGAAAGAAAGAGTTAGAAGAGAAGATAATGACGATTTCATTAATTTGTTGCGATGAATCAATAGAAGAGAACAGAAAAACGTAGTAGAAGTGTAGCATGATGCTGCTGATGTTTTTATTTTTGTCGACCAGCAACTGAAAGATCGGAATTGGAAATAATCATAAGTGTCTCATTCTCTTTCGGAAAATATATATATATACAATTTAGCAAGAACTTCAAGCAACGAGTTTGACTTACCGTGCTACCCAACAATCGACCAGTGGTCCATATCGTTCACATTCATGTTGAAGATCAGATATATTTGTGCGTGCACCTAGATTGCCGATAAAAATTCGAAAGCCACCTAGACGAAATTAAATCAATGTGTTTTTTTTTCTTCAAAATTTTTCCTTTGCTGCAAACCTTGCCGAGAATCATAGATTGGCTGAGTCATTTATTTTCTTTGACTTTTAAAATCAAAATATCTGAAAGCACAATTGTTTCACTATGTATAATGATAAATAACTCTCATCCATTAATTTATTTCAATTAAACAAAAAACCTCTTTGATTATTACAAATCACTGAAAAAAGAAAACAAAATATGAATGGGCACGTTTTTTTCGAAGATAGATGACGCTAAGTTCTTGACTATTCATCTTTTATTGCCAATGGGTTCGCCTTGGCTAAAGAACCTCCGTTCAAATACGTATCGGGTGTCAGTTGTACATTTTCATTTGTTGAGACAACTGCGATGTGGGTTGGAGGTGTAACATAACGATTCCACATGATTCCAAGAAGTTCACCTAATCAGGAAAACCAATGCGCATCACTTCGAATCGACATCAAAGTTAGACTTACCAGCAATGACTGGATTGGTATTTTTAGCGATTAATCTCAAAAAAAGTATACCATCTCCACCCAGATGCTGATCAACAAATCTATCGAATGAATGTTTCTCGGTATCGGTCAATTCTGACTGTAAATTCAGACGTAAATGTCGTTTCAAGAAACCACGACGACCACGATAACTCATATTACCAACCCAGACGATAATGCCATAGAATGTCGCAAGGGATAAAAAGATTAACCAAAACCAGTAAAACGCAAAGATACGTTCATTGTACAGATTCACTGGTAAAGCACATTGAATCTAGAATACGATCGAAAGACATGTATTATCTAGCAAGAATCGATTAACTTACGGTGTAGTTTAAATTATTATCACCTAGATATCGTATTGTAAAATCACAAAAGACAACCCGTGGAAAGATAAATTTGTTTTCCAACCAATCGCGTCCGTTCATGATTCCATAGAGAACTTTTTGTCCGTAGGATAAATAATCAATTTGAAGATAATAGTTTATTAAAAAGAATTGACCGATTGCATTCAGGAGATAAAGAATCTTGATAAGAAAATAGATTCCTACAATTGATAGAAAACTCCTCTTTCTCTGAAAACTAAAAGAAATCGATGGAATCTATACCTGTTAATACTCCACCTCCGGCAAAGAACATGCAAGCAGAAAGGGCTCGTTTGAAAATATTATCTGTTTGACCAAGTTTCAATTTCGAGTATCGTTGCGCCTTCTCGTAGTGTTTTGAGAGAACTATCAATGTCGTTCGACGTTCCTCGGGATCAGTTAAATTGGTTTTTGCTACTTGGTGAATCATCGCTGGAATATCGAACGTTGCACGATGACCGACAAGATGCCATATCCATGCTGGTAGATATGTACATAGAGCAGCAAGAGTTAGTATATAAGGAACCCAAATATAGTATGGTGTCGTACGCGAACCTTGTCCGCCACGAACGAAATTTCGTGTTAATGCTGCATTCTCATCAACTGCAAGAAAAACAAACATAATATCGTTTCTTTTGTTGTAGTTTTGAAAGCAATCTCGTACTTGAATATGTCGAGTGAATCCAGCAGTAATTATCCACGTAAGTTTTATGTGTTCCGCCAAAGTCCGGTGGTGGAATACATTCAATTGGATCACCTTGAGAGAAGAATATTGAGACATGATCAAATGAATAGATCTGAACATACCAACAAATTGTTTAGCACTGAGTGCAATGGCAAAAAATCCAAGTAAAATTACTGTCCAACGATGACTATATCGGTCGTAAACATCATCATCCTATAGAAACAACGACTTGACGATCAAAATTTCGACTTGACCATTAAACTTACATTACGACCACTTTGTCCAACTTTTCCATAAACACCAAGCTAAAACACAACGCACATTGGAAAACCCTTGGACTGTTGTTTGACACGACTTACTATCTCATTTAACATGGTCATTCGTACAGTTTGTTCTCAAGATATGCGAATACGTGGTATACTGACGATAAAATGAATGAAAAGCCAAGTGAAATTTTTGATGTTTCTGTTTATTTTTCAAGTGTACTGATGAGAAGAATAAGATAAATCATCGACGTGATGATATACATATATCTACTGTATCAGTAATACGTGCCGGAGAGACATACATGGTATGCGAAAAGAAGGAGAGGAAGAATTTCAATAGACAAAAAGAATGACGATCGAATTCTATCTGTGTGAACTGAACCACCAACCAGTTAGTTCACTGAAATGATGAAATCCATTTTTATGATGTCAACGCGCGAATGATTTTTCGATGCAGTGAAAACTAGTCCGTCGTTCATATCGATATGTTTAGTAGAGTTTCATCAAATAAATTTTTCGTGTTTTTCTTTGTCTGGAATGTTAACGATTCAGAGATAGATGTGTATGTGAATCTATTTCAAAATTGTTGATATTCACAGCTTGACTGTTTGATTTTCATCATGAACTATCGCCACATATGCCGTTCTTTGAGAACAATGTCGATCATTGTCTGCTCATAACTTGTCGTATTTTCTGAAATAATAACTTTGAAAAAATACGAAGTGAAATATCATTGACCTTGATGAAAAACGCTTTCTTGTGCAAACACATTTAGAGCAGGTTATCAGCTGATAACTTCTCTCATAATTCACATGCTCGTTTTCTCAGCATCATCATTGGTGACGGTTGAATCTATATTTACCTCGTTTATGTAATGACAGTGCAATAAGGCCCAAATAAAACCAACGAAACTGTCGCGAGTTTCTCCTCAGTGTTAACATCGAATACTAGTAAAATGCGTTTACAACTCTTCATCGCAAGTATTGCACTTCTTGCTGTTATCGGAACTGCTTCAGCAGGACAAAATTGGGCCGTGCTTGTCGCTGGTTCCAATGGTTGGTATAATTATAGACATCAATCGGACGTATGCCATGCATATCAAATCTTACATAAAAATGGCATCCCAGATTCCAATATCATCGTTATGATGTATGATGATTTAGCTAAAAACAAACAGTAAGTGATTCGCAATTGCCTGGTTCGATGTCTAATCGAATTATTCTCCCTGTCTCTCAATAGAAATCCAACGCCAGGTATTATCATCAATCATCCAAATGGTCAAGATGTCTACAAAGGTGTCCCACACGATTATACAGGCAATGTAAGATCTCTGAAGTTGTTCTCATTGGATATTCATTGGAATGAGTGTGTTTTCTAGACTGTTACACCAAAGAACTTCATCAACGTTTTACTTGGTAAAAAAGATGCTATGAAAGGCGTTGGCAGTGGCAAAGTTCTCGAAAGGTATGTCGATTCTCCTACATTCAAACTAATTTCCATTATTCTGATTTGATTAGTGGTCCAGATGACAATGTTTTTATCTATTTCACTGATCACGGTGCCACTGGTAAGTAGATTTGAATGTCTACATGAACACTTAAAACGGAAGGAATCTTGTTTAGGTCTGGTTGCTTTTCCAAATGGCGTTGTAAGTATTCTTTTTCGAATGTTCTTTCTTCTGTAAGACTATTCATTTGACTTTCTTATTAGCTCTATGCTAAAGATTTGAACAGCACCATTGCTCAAATGCACAGTGAAAACAAATACAAAGAAGTATGTACTTTGCCATTGGTCCGTTCGTTTTGAAATCTCTCTATCTTCCATCGTTAGATGGTCATCTATATTGAAGCTTGCGAATCCGGTTCAATGCTTGAAGGTTTATTGCCCGACAACATCAACATCTACGCTACAACAGCTTCCAATGCTGAAGAATCATCTTATGCTTGTTACTACGACTCCAAACGTCAAACATACTTAGGTGATTTATACTCAGTCAACTGGATGGAAGATTCCGATGCTGAAGATATCAGTAAAGAATCTTTATTTAAACAATTTCAAGTCACAAAACAAAAAACCACCGAAAGTCACGTTATGCAATATGGTGATCTTGTATGTCACATTTGTTTTGTATCACAATTTTTCTTATTTCTCCTTTTTTTCAAGACTCTCGGTGCTAAACATACTGTCAGCGAATTTCAAGGTGCCACCCGAAACGGTAAACAACAATCAGTTAGTCCAGTTGTTGATCGTATGAACACTTTACTCAAAGTAAGACGAGATTGAAAACAATGATTCATTCGAACTCGAATGTTTAGCGTGAAACTACTGCCACTGTTGATGTACGTATCTCAATCTTATCAAAACGTTTAGCCGACTTACCAGCTAACTCCGAAGAACGACTTTCAATCAAACGCGAACTCGCTTATACCGTCCGTGTAAGTTCTTCTTCTCAGATCTGTCTTGATTGTCTCCTTTCTTTCATCGTCTTAGCAACGCAGTATCATTTCGTCAACAATTGACAGCATTGCTAAGAAATCATTCGAAGTCAACCGTTCTGGCTATTCTGACTTAGTCACTAGTCAACGTATGAAACTTACTCAACACGACTGTTACAAAGAAGCTACTCAACGTATTCACGCCAAGTGTTTCGATATTCAAGTTAGTTGGTTACATGATTTCCCTCGTCTAATCATCGCTTTTCTCATTTCTAGAATGAATTCGTCTTAAACAAATTATGGATCGTTGCCAACTTGTGTGAAGTCGGTCTTCATAGTTTCACCATCAACAATGCCGTCGACGCTGTTTGCGATGTTCTTGGTCGTCAACAATTTGAATATTAAACAACAAACCTTGATGTAGTTTTTATTGTTTTATTGTAATAAAAGCGTACATTTGAATTAGACATAACAGTATCAATTGGAAACATACATAACCCTCTTTCGCTGATCTCTACGACAATTGAGACGAGAAAAACAACATCAATAGGACGAAATAGAATTTCAATGACATATGCGAACTCGCTCCTGGTAATCGACCAGATACAGTTGTAATATTATGCTTATGCAAGACTTTTTTCACAGCTTCGATTGTTAATGGACCATTACACAGCATTCGATTGCATTTAACAGTCATCATCGCAAAAGTACCGGAATCGTAAATGTTCACACTCGCAGATTCATGATGACTTCGTTGACATGAACGTCGATGAAGTTTGTACTTAATTAAATCATCGATGATTTGACATGCACCAATCATACCAGAAACGGCACATTGACGAACAGCATCGTTCGTATCGAAACAAGCTAAATCGTGGGATACATGCGGTTTTTGGTAGAGAATTCTTTCTAATGCGGAATAAATACTTGAAAGGTTATATGGCCGCTGTCTCATTTCGAGCACTTTCATTTCAATGAACTGACGCGCACAATCATCGGTATCTGCACATGTATGATCAATGTCATAGGAGAAGAACTTCGTTTTCGCAGTTTCAATCATAATAAATTGCTTACTATCACCGATAGTTGGATCGTTGTTTATCTCGCCCGGAAATGTGACAGTGTAATTATGACGATTAAACCAAAACGTTAGTTTGGCGGTGCATCGCCAACTTGAACTCGTCATACAATTCCGCGGTAATATAAATGGTTGATCTAAGGAGTAGCTCATCGAACAGTTATCTGTGCATTGTAATGTTGAAACAAAATTGAAAATTGCGATCGGCATGAATAGGAAAAGAAACATTGTTGCTAGCGGAAATGAAATACAATCGTCTACACGCTGTGGAAGTAAACAATTGTGGTTTCTGTATACATATGTGTTGTTATTGTAGAAAAATATCGAATCGGTTAGGAAAATGCCAGTATATCATTGTTTATCTTGTCAACTTCAATGTCATCGTCGTGATATTCAGACATTAATGGTAATATATACGAAACGGGAAAGCGTCGAAGAAAGTTTTTTTTTTCTTCTTTCATAGAACGATCGTTCTTCATCAATCTACTGAAAGAACTCTTGAAAAAGAACGTCTTCACATCTCATGCTCGAGAGGAAGAGACGTTGTTAATGATAGGAGGAATTAAAGATTTGTTTTTCTTATGTTGTCTCCGAACATTAATAAAGATCGTCCTTCTCAAGAGAATCTTGTTATTTGATCTATTGAAATAAAATATTGAAATGATTTTAGTTATTCTTTGATGATCAATACATATGTGATGTTTGTGCATGAGCCTTGAATCGGCACAACGACGACGACGACGACGAGAATGAAAGCGTTAGGTACTTGTAATGTGATGCAATAATGAAAGGCTGAGTATGAGTGAGCGAGAAGAGAGGGAGAGAGAGAAGGAAAATGTTCGAACTCACCGCATTCGAGCAATTTTTCGGCAGCATCAATGAATTGTCCTTCTTCTAATTTATTTTCTGTCTGTTGCTCAGTCGAATCTTAACAACGGTAAACATAACGTCGTTTGTATTTTGAAATTCATATTGAAAAACAGATCAGCACTCAGATTCTTCGCGGTAAGTGTACGATTCTTTTCTTCTCTTCTGTTTGCATGAACTGAAGGCAAAAAGAAATTGTTTATCGAACTGAAATTGAACGTACGCATCAATGGTATGTTATTGAGAAGAAGAAATATTCAGGTCAGTTGCGTCCGGTTATGTAACCAATCAATATGTACAATAAAACAAAAGCGAGACAAACCTTTCACTTCGATTTCGTGTTACACGCGAACAATGAAATGTTGATCAAATTAGACGAGAGATATTCTCATACAGAAAAGAATAATCAATCATAATTGAGATTCGAGCAATTAGGTAAATCGAAGTATTGACTAATTGCCGTCAGTCTCCTGTTCGTATTAGTTTCGCCTGTTGCATGATATGGATGAGAGAGGAGGGGGGGGGGGGGGGGAGAGAAGCTTTTTCTTTTCCTTCCGAATCTGACAGTAAATAATTATTGTGTTTCGACAAGTAATTGATATGCTAAGTGAATAGAAATCTCGTCGTATTGACAAGTCATTGTTGTTTGTCTTAGTAACGACAACAACGATATTATTTTTCATTCATCAAATTCGTATTAGAAATTAGACATTCAATCAGCTTAATAAGAGAAAAGAAAGACAGAATGGAGTATATCAGTATATTTGTTTTTTTTCTCCGAGGAGTTCGCACTATCGATATTATTAATGAGAAAAGAATGTAATGCTAACAGAGAGTTAGAAACGTCGTACAAAAGGACGAGAATCAGTGGTTGATAAAACAATCATCATCCTCAGGAGAAGATCGTCGACGAGTCGATCGAGTACAAATATGTTTGTCTAAATAGTTGATAACGAGATTTTATTCTGTACAGCCTGCTGCGAGTTGACAATCTTCTAACGATGTATTGGCATCGTGGGATCGATCGATAACAGATCTGTTATGTTTGATTAAATATCATCGTTATTATTTTTACACAACTCATGACAACTGAGATTCCTCTCGTCCTCGATCATGTTACACATGTGTGTATTACATTGACATCTAAATTCGTGGATAAGTCTAATCGATGCATGTAGAAATGGTCTAGCCCTTCATTCTATATACTTGCTCGACAAGTACACATCGATCGTCCTAATTATCTGCCTATGTATGTGTGTATGTAAACTTGTCTACTCATGGCTTACAATCTCAGTGTCATCTAATGTCTATCGTTTTGATTCTGTAGGTTCAAAAAAAAAGAACGAAGTATAATATCAGTTTGTGAAGGCAAAAGGGAGGAAGAGAATGAGACGCGTAAGTAATAATCACTGGAGCGTTCGATTGATGCATCCGATGTATCGGCGATACTTACAGAAGAGAGAATACTTTGCTCATTATTCTGTCTATGACCCTCAGCTTTTTCCACAAGCTGGAGGAAAAAAAAGAAGAAAGAATAATGCGAACTGCGTGTAAGCAACTATAGTTTCACATACAGACGTGCATCTTTCCACGCATTCATTCTATTGAAAGACGATTTCATCTCGATCATCTCCGTTTTCATCCATTTAGTATGTACAATTCGGTCTTAAAATCTTCTTCGAACATTTCTTTGGTTTCCGATGAATCCATGTCACCTGGAACAACAAATGCCAGTCTGATACCAGCTATGCGGAATGATTATAGTCTCGATAGTGTCTGTTGTACAAAACGAACGTTGCATACATTTTCACATATGTGGATTGTGGAGAATTTCTCATCATATTTGGAAGATCCGGAACCAATTATCTGCCTATCATCATCACCATTTAGTCCGTTAACAGGCTGTAGCGTCTCGACACAATGGCGTTTAGTTTGTTATCCAAAAGGCAATTATGGTGCATCGTCGAATTATATGTCAATCTTTCTTGAATATATCAAAGGTGAACGTGACATCAAAGCCAAGGCTGAGTATTCATTGGTTAATCGCAAATGTGAATTGACCGAGATGCGCAAAGATGCTCAGTTTTCAATTTACAAATGTGGAAATTCTCGTGGGTTTATCAATTATGTCAAATTCGATACATTAACGTTAGTCGAGAATGAAACACTCGATGATGATAAGTTAAAAATCTATGTACGAATCACCATCATGGATGATGCGATCACCGAAGAAACGAAATATCAAGAATTTGACGACGGTGACAGTTTCAATTATGCCACACGTGGCTTTGAAAGTCTGGTCAAAGATTTCGCTCAGCTTTTACTTCAATCAACAGCAAAGATGAGTGATATTACTATTAAGGTTAGCGTGCCATTTTCGGATGCCACGGATGAGCCTATCGAATCACCGGTTATCTTCCATGCACATAAATTAATACTTGCTGCTCGTTCACCCGTGTTCGCAGCCATGTTTTCTAATCGTACTTTAGAAAACACGACCAATGTCATCGAAATCAATGATTTACATCCGAATACTATTCAATCGATGCTCGAATACATTTACACAGGCAAAGTAACTGACATAAAGAAGTCCACCGTTGAGTTGTATCGCTGCGCGGATAAGTATCAATTAGAAGATTTACGTTTACAAGCTGAGATGGCTCTGATGAATTCGTTGTCCATCGATACAAGTGCAGAAATCTTGCTACTTGCTGATCAACATCATTCGGAAGATTTGAAATCACGTGTTATTCAATTTATCGTCAGCGGAAATCTCAAGGCTATAACCCAAACAGATGGCTGGCATCGATATGTTGCTTGCACTCCTGATCTAGTTACTGAAGTGATTCAAGCAACCGCAGTTGAATAAAGGATGACTCGAGGACGATTTCCTTTCCTTGAGAACGCCTAGTCACCTTATCCTCAGACGATCGATGTGTAGAGATTTCGTTCTCTTTTCTTTTTTGTATTGAAAATTTTCTGTTTTTTTATTTTGTTTCTCCTTCACTTTTAATGATTTGAACAGATGTCGAGAGAAATGAAGCGATAAAGGACTTTTTTTTGTTTGTCATTTCTTGTATTAATGATGACCCTGTAAGAAGGTGACTAGCATGTTAATCGAACTTCACACTAACATGGTTGAATAAATAAGAAAAAGTACAAGAAATATCTGTTCGAGATATTCAACAAGCCAGATTGGTTATAGTTGTAGAATTCGAAGATTGTCGAGATTTTTTCAGAAGATCCTCGGTGTCATCTGTATTGGAATGATGAAAATCAAAATCTAATGAAAGGAACAGGTAGATTGACAGTGTATGTCGGGTGTTGATGATTTACCTGACGTGGACGATGGAATCAGATCTCTATCTTTCAGAAAAGCGAGTGATGAAGTCAATGGAGGAGATTGTAATGGATCATCCATATCGAGATCAGCACCTTCGGATCGATTTTTCGTTTCCGTTGATTGATGATATTCGAATGTACTCTTCGTGGATGTTGTGGCGTGTTTTAAAGTTTGAAGCTTCGAAGATGCATCAGTTAATAAAGATGATGGAAAACTAAAGACTTGATTGGAAGACAATTGTTGAGAATTATCAGTATTATTGACAAATTGAGACATGTTATCGTCTGGACTCGGCGTTCGATCAAGTAGATCAATAAGTGAACCGGTTTGTCCTAAATTGAAACATGAACAAACTTTATGAATTCCATTATTTTTTCAGAGTTACCAGAACTTGAAGTAACTTTACATTGAACAAGGCGTTTTTCTAGTTCGGCTACCCGATTAGCCAAAATTCTATACAATGACAAAAATAGTCGATGTTTGTTTATCGTTCTTCATTTACTTGTTGATCTTTCTCTGATGAACAATGGTGACATTTTTATCTTTGAGATTTTCGAACAGCGCTTCAGCAATGGCACGCAAATCATTCTCATTCTCAGGTGTATTCGGGAGCATATAACTTTGATTAATCAAACTTCGCACTAAACAACAAATACATCATCAGTTACATTCAAATTTACTCTACCTTGTTTATAAGTTAACACACTTCCGCCGGATGATGATTGTAATCGTTCTGATTGATGAGTTTGAAGTAATTCCTGATTTAGATTGATGTTGAAAGGAAAAGAATCATTGACATAATCTTTACTTTATACTTCAGAGCATTAGAGATAGCGAGATCTTTCTCTCGAGTGACTTCATTCAATTTTTCCTTGAGATACCTGAATCGATAAATGAGAGTGAAATGGTCGATTCGACTTGGTGCGATTTCTTACCGATTTTCAGACAAAACAAGTTCAACATCAACAAATGAATTTTCGCTCTTCGTCAACATTTTATTCAGTTTAGTCGACTTATCTTTGAATGAATCACGTTCGATTTCAAGTTCATCCTTTTGGCAAACGAGTGATTTGATGTCATTCTCGAGATGAAGAATCTATGGATTCAATGCGATGACAAATTTCGAAACAAATCAATCAGCAACAAACTCGTTCATTCGCTTGTTCCAAACATTCCAGTAAATCAGTTTGACTTTCATTCTCTCCTTGATGATCATCGTTCCAAGTGCGATAACGTTTTTGACGAAAAATCTAAATAGAAACTTAGTTTTTTCTCGAGAATCCGAATTCATACCGATAGGTCGCCTTTGACATCATCAAGTTCGTGAGTAAGTTCATCGACTTTGGCTTGTAATACTTCTTTTTCATCTTGAACAGTTTTTAGAGCTGTTTTCAGTAGATGAACTGTCGACTAGATCGATAAAATAATCGTTGATAAGAAAGGAAAACTAAACAAGGGATTAGTAAACATGAAAAACATGCATCTATCGTGCTTCGTAAACCTAAACAAACCTCCTTGTCTTTCAATGAATTAGGATCTGTCTGAATATGTTAGGAGAAATAGGAAACTTTGATTTGAAGAATTAAATCATGAAACTTACATCATTTGGATGTTCGTAAAGAGTTTGAGACGAATACCTCGCACTAAGAGGTTCATTCTAAAAACTTCTCTTTCGACTCAGAAGTGCAGCTTGTGAAAAAATTTACTTTTTTCGTTGCTTGCTTTTTCAATTGAACGCATTTTTCTTGTAGACTATCAGCAAGCGATTTAAACTGATTTCGTTCATATTTTAACGCGTCTAGTTCATTGATCAATATCGAGAATGCTTTTGATTTACTTTCCAATCTCTTTTGCAACACTTGGATCTAAATTCGAACACACGATGTCAGTTCATTGTGGGCAAATGACAATCTAATATACTTCATTGTTCAATGAATCAATCTGTTGTTGATTATCAATCATATCATTTATACTGAAAAATAAGAAACCGACATTTAAGCATCGAAGAAATAAACGGCGAACATCGGGCGAAAGCTTAGTAACAAAAGACGAAGAAAAATTCACCGAAAATAGAAACTACAAAAGACAATTTGTTCACGAGTCTAAATCTCCGTTTTGGGTTTCGGCCGTTTCACTCGATTTCGTTCCAGAACAAAATCTAGCTTTTGCTGAACTTTTTTACACCCTGAGGCAGAGTAAAGTAACGTTGGTTGAGAGAATTCGATTAAATCCAATACATCATTGATAATGTCTTTATCCGACTTGCGGTATTCGTAATCGTCCTTTTCACGTGCGGAATCAAGTCCACGTTGAATGCAAGTATAAACGTGCGAACGTTCCAACGGTAAGAATGGTATAAAAAAAGCGACTAGATGACGATTGATCAGCGAGGCATGCCACAGTCCACCTGAAAACAATTAGAAGTATGGAAATTTTCATGGTTGACTCGAAAAAAACCTGATTCAGAAAATGCAGCATTGGCCAGTGCTCGCTGCAACTGTGTGATGTTGTAATTCTCGCGTGGAATAGAGGCAAAATAATTGTCCTGAGCAATACGGTTTATCTCCATACCACCGGTATTACTAAGAAACAACAATATAAATCTGATCCAAGGAGGACTCGGATACATTACCTTAAAAATATAAAGATTGTCTTGCGAAAATCGGTCGGTTGTGCGTAGTTCGGGGTATGAAAATCGATGTATGCCAAAATGACTTCTAATAACTGCGCCGGCATCTTGTCGACCTCATCAAAAATGAACGTTGCCTGAGCACAGGCTTTCGTTGCTTTTTCAATATCGTGCTTAAGCCGATCCTACCCAACAAAGAGAGACATGAATATCTGTAACTACTCGTATGGTTCGGGCATACTTTGTACTCTTGAAGATGTGCTTCATCATGATGCATGAAATCACGTGATGCAACATACAGTCGAGCATATTTTGTCTTATAACCTTCTCTATACAAACTTTCAACAATATGTTTCGCAACGAAATTTTTTCCTAAATAGAAAAATAGATTCGGTCTATCAATCTAGCTTTATTCTTGATGAGACAGTTACCTGTGCCAGTACTTCCATGTAATGATAATACCAATGCTTTCGACGGCTGTTTAGAGTTGATATGTGCTTTGATCGATGTAATTAAAAGTTCATGTGCGAGTGGTTGACCCATTAATTGCTCTTTCAATCGTAGATCAAGTGCTTTAAGAAAAGAAATGAATAGATGTCGAACAGATTTGTACGATCAGTCACCTGTGATATTATTTGGCACCCAATATTTCGAACAACACTCAAAGAAACAAAAGGCATGAAAGAACTGAAGTACATCCACCATACTCTATTTTGTTATAGATCTTAAATAAAAGACAGACATTGAAGATTAGTTTTTCTTCGGAAAATAAAACAAAACAGCACTATTTATCAAAATGTCGCGTGTCTATTAGGAAACAAAAAAGAGAAACAAACATGAAAGAACACAAATATGAATCACTGGCGAGAAGAATTGATAAGATCACGTTCATCATTATTTGCATCCATGAGAAATTGTCGCAAACAACCAACTGCGCTAAAGTAACCCTAAACGACCACCAAATTCATTAGAATTACTCAAACCAATTTTTTCTTCATACTTCATGCTCAAGAAATATTGCTTTTATTTCACCACCCGACCAATAATCCATAGCATAAGCTAAGATTCTCATGGATAAATCATTGACACGTAAAAAGCTACCACTAAATAATACTCGATGAACATTCTAAATCAAAGAAGTCTTGTTTAAATAAACTAAAGAACATTCAATGAATTTACCTCAGTACGAGCACACATCATTGAAATGGAACCAATATTATTGAGAACAGTGACTAAAGTAGCACGAGCTAAGTCGGCTTTGGATGCTTGGTCACGCTTGTCCGATTGATTCATATGTCCAAAGCTAGATATAATAAAGTCTCTTATATTTCTATTCATAATCACAGCGAATGATTCTTTACGTCTCACGGTATCATGAAAATGTCAAATAAATGTCAGTCGTCTACAGTCAAACTAAATAATCATTCAGCTTATCTATTGAGACTTGTAGCAATAAGCATTTATTATACGTTATTAATAAGCTCGCAAGTATACTTCCATAGCTAGCTGATCATTTCTCTGTTTAGCAGTGACTTGCCTACATTCGACAGGTATTTGCTTGCAGAGCTCACCAATACTAGACAGATTTCAATAGGTAACAAGACAAACTTCGGCAAATCCTTATATCTTTTCACATGTACAATTATATTCAATTTACCTGCTCGCTACAATATGGCCAGGCAAACCAAATCTTTCGTAATCACCACCGTAGATATCTTTAACCAATTTATCCACCTAGACAAAATTCATTGGTGTACAATTTTTCTCTCCACATTCAATTTTACCTTTGTACTGTCCCCTTCCGAAGCTAATTGAATTGCTTCATCATAACTAGAACATCCTGTTAACAAACAGCATAGACCGAGAAAAGTACCTCCGCCAATACTAAAAGAAATTCGATCTCTATTGATAGATACTCGCTAAATGCGTACCTCGTGCCAGTGATACGTCGATAACTACTTTCTGATTCTACGTATAAAATGCTAATTCCACTTCCAATATTGACTAGAAGAAATGGATGATTGATATCGAAGGTAAATGGATGTTTGTTTGGATTTGCATCATTCTGTGGTTCTTCATAGTAAAAACATTCTTTAGAATTCAATTTAGTTATATAACATAAGCCATTCATCAACGTATCGAGTTCGTCGCATTTACACCAACTAATTTTTAGTTTCTACATGAGAAAAAAAAACACAAGAGATTGTTTTGTTCAAAATACCAAACAAATATTTACTTCAACGATATCTTTCTCAAACTTATAAGCGCCACCTCCTGTTGCAAAGATTTTGAATGTTAACATGTGTAAATTCCTCATTACACATGCATCAATAAAAGTCATCATCTTCGATGTTGGAAAGCGTATGAAATGGAGATTTCCTCGTCGGCTACCTAATTCAATATTTTTCAATTCCAATGCATCATCACGTACGCCATCTTGCCCGTAGGCACGATTAGATGTTAAATAACGCCGAATGTTGACCAAAATTTCACCTTCATTTCGAATTTCTTCAGCTGTTAAATCTAGTGGCTCAAAATAGACCAGCTTAACAAGTGTTCCGCCAATATCAATACCAAACCAAGGAAAAACTATGATAGAAAACGAAGTTTTCCATGATTACGACTCGGTTATATTTCATTTACCTGGAATCACTGTCTCTTCACGACCAGATATCGCAGACGATGCCACCGTATTGCTCGCCATTCTTATTAGAGAAACTCTCGTAGATTTGGAATGTCCAGTATTGCTTGAACTAGAAGAAAAAAACTTTAATAAAATTGAATAGTAGTTCTTCAGATCTCATCTGTCATATTTCAGTAAAGAGGCTCGATTTTAAGGCAGGTCTACACGAATGACAAGGCATCGAACTATCTGTGAAAATATACCGGCTGACACATCGATGATTCGTTCCTACGATAAGAATATCGTATGTTCCTTTAAATAAAAGAACGGTACTATTTGTCTTTAATATTTGAATTCGAAGCAAAAAACGCAAATGCACCTTTTGTTATCCATTTCAACTCCACATGATCAGATCCAACCGCTCATCTGTCGAACAGCATCTGAAATAAGAGTGGAGATAGAGAGTACGTCTTTTTTCACGTGCTTTTTTCAATATTCAATGTATTAATAGAACAAAATATAATAGAACAACATTATTATCTGACATAATTATCTTTTATTCAGTTGCTGCTTCAGCATTTTCAATTTCATCTTCCTCCTCTTCTTCATTATCATTGTTTTCTGTTGATGCTTCTGCTTGATTCTGCTTTTTGTTAGCTGTTTCTTCCTTCTTCTTGCGTATTTGTTCTTGATAATCTAAATCGAAACTTGATTTAAACTAATTAAATCACAATTGTATGTTGCCTTTCAATGCTTCTTGTAATGGTTCCACAAGCATCTCAAACTGATTAGATTGGAGAGATTTGAAAATATCTTGAACTGTCACAGTCTTGCGCTTTGCATTTGCAGCATATTGATTGGCACTAAGCAGACAAAAATATTGTTATTGTCTTACGTTAGAAGAATTCAATACCACCTACGTTGTACTGATGTATAGAATAAATGTCAATGCCGCACGTGACATAGCTAGTCGTGCTTCTTTAGAAATTGTTGGCGAATCTTCCAACTGAAATGGAATGAAGTTTATTGTTTACATTGTGAGATGTTATACTTACAGCTTCATTCATCAATCGGGTGATAACTGCGTTTGGAAATGATAAGTCATCGATTTCATCTGACATGATTATCTACGAAAAAAAAAAACGGAATATTTTTATTAGCATACAGTCGACCTTATAATTGAGATCGATAAAGAGAAACAGATTAGACAGTTTCGATGTTATTTTTATTATCATTAGAATCTGAAATATATAAAGATCCAAATGTATGACTTTGCCAATGATTCATTAGCTCACCTTCAATTTTCTTCACGACCCAACCCTTACGTTCAGGTACGTGCTTCTTCAATGTCTCTCCCCAATCCTGTGTTGTCATGTACGACTGTAAAATGTCGAACACTAAACGAAAAGAATTGACGTATACTTCCGATGACTCAATCATTTCTACCTTGATTTATCGTTAGAATTTGATTGAACGTGCCGCCATCAGCGGAGTGTTCCATATAAGTTTCAATCGGTAGTCTGTAACAAGCAATGTTGATATTTTGACACGTTTGAAACGTCATATTCTACAAACGTTAGCACTAGCAGACTAAATTTTACGCAAAATCATTCCTACTTTTCGCACACTTTCATCAACGAGACCACCGATAACGTATACATTTTGTTCGTTCACTTCGGTCAATACTTTATCACCATTTGGACTCAAATAAATCAAAGAATCAGACGGATGACATTCATGAATCGGTTTATCACAAAGAATGATCTAGAATATTACACACTAGTAGGAAATTGATTAGATGGAAAGAAATGCTACTTTACTTGATAGTTCTCGAAGCCACTATTAACACGACGGCATTCTTGAGCTAGAGGACTTTCATTGGACCAATTTGTTAAAGTAAGTCGTACAGGCTTAGGAGCTCGACGATTTGAACTGTAGCATCGTCCGATTTGTCGAGCAAGGCTAGCAATTTCCTAGAGAATGATAAAGTTAGAATTAGAACTAGTTTTCGAACAGTATTTCTCAGCAATGATATCGACTAACCTTACCCGACATAGATTCATTGTATGCACAATCGATACATATCACAGGTGTTGTTGTTTCTCGATTAATTTCTGCTAAACGCTCGTTGACGGTTCGTTTGAACAATTTTCCAGTCAATGATACTGCTGAAAGGAAAAGTTTCATCAGCACAAAAGTATTGGCGGAAGAAACAACATTACTTTCAGTAGCATCCGATGACGGCAGATTGAAAGATGGACGAGATTTCTTCTTCTTCTTAGGTGCTTGTTTATACTGTTGACGAAGACGCTCGTAACGTAGTCGTTTTTTCGCACTCCGTGGCAATCGCTTTACTTTTGGTACTTCCTCGTTGGACTCATTTTCATCATCTTGAACAGGAGTAACGTCTTCAGTGGACATCGTTTCACATAAAAATCACAAATGACATCATGATGGAAGACTTGACTGAGAAAATAAGTGTTAGCACTTCAACCTGTTCGGATTGGATATAATGTGACGAAAATAATGCGGAAGAGATGTCGCTCACATGAGGACAAGATTATATGCACATCATTGATAAAAATATTTTGAGATTCCTGTCTGTATGTGTGCATGTATATTTTTTTGTGTGAAAATGATTGTTATATTTAACCATATGTACTTTGAAAGAATATTTTTAAGAGCTCAAATACACCTTTCTCTTTACGACTCAATATTATACTTTTCCTAACGTATGTTAATATTATTATTAGGTAATAATAATGCCGTAACTGCCCGTATTTTTAGGAATTTGTTGAGACAAACAAAACTATTTTTGAAGATAGTGATCCATATAGTATCACTGAAGTCTAAAATAGTCATAATATCGAAGTAATTTACTTATTTATGTCCGATCAGATGACTAACAGTTCATTTTTCTCTCCTGACACATTATTGTTACACGTATAAGATGGATTGCTGCTAGATTTGATCCCAAATGACAAAGCGAATAAGATTTTGTTCATCTGTCCGTCTTCTGGAAGAATAGAATAAGATATTTCAAAGGAATAATTGGATATATATCCAAATGATTCGAAATTATCTACTTTGGACAGTCTGGATCAAATTTATCAGCAACCTATTCTTCTATGAGTGGAGATATAACCTTTTGTCTTCAATTCTAAAGTCGAATTAACACATCCCATTAGTATACTATTATCAGTAGATACTGTTCGTTTAATCCCAAAGAACATCAGTCGAGTATGTCAATAAAATATAATGAAAATTGAAAGGTGTGCTCTTATCTGACATGAAAAAACGAAGAATAGAATCGTGTTACTCATAAACAGCTATTTTTTCGACCATGGATTCTTCTTTCTGCATATACCTAGTAGCAGACGAAAAACAAAGATTGACGTCATCATGAGCAGCATTTCTTCATACGGTGGATTTTTCCTTTCGTGTATAGTAATATATGAAAAATGTCTCTTGAGAAACTGGGACATACATACATATGTTGTCATTTCAGAGTTCGTCAGACTCTGTCTTGAATGGTTAGTAATCTGCAAACGGCTATCGATTATTCAAATGTGACCATTTATCAAATAATTACCAAACAAAATCATTTATATGTCTTTGAAATTATTCCTAACTTTTTATTTCACATATCTAATTCCAGCAGAGCGAATAGGGGTGATCAATTTATCAAAAAGCTTCATTCTAAACAATCGATTCTCACTGCACTGATTCGACACCACTTCATGACGCGTGGTGGTACTATTGATCTTGTTCGTTTCAAAGCAAGACGTTGGTTGGTCAGCCTTATTATGGATCGTCGGTGTTTTGTCTAATGAGACATCGGCCAAGCACAGCTTCATCAGAACAATTTATTGAAGATGTATGTGAAAAGGGGTACAGTGATATGCCAACAAAATGAATTGATGCCTGGCGTGTGGTTGGTGTATTTATACATGCAGACCGTGTTAGTTCAAAGTCAACTGAATGTAGTCAATTTTAAACATTCTTATTTCACGGCAAATGCGTGCTGATTCCAAATCCGAACCAGTTCACGAAAAAAAAAACAATTGAGTCTGAAGGTGAATTTATTGTCATTCAAAACGATACATCATTGATGCACGGTAATGGTGACTCATCTGTTGTCGAGCAGCGTGTGAGCTCATTAAAAGATAAAACTACTGATACGAAGTCAGAATATAAAAAAGAAAAAGTACAAGAACATTTTACAAAATTATTCAATGGTATTGTGGTTTTGAGAGTTGACGGTGGTACTGAAGTCAAAATGAACGAAGACAACGATCGTATACCAGACGGCTTCAACGTAATACGTGTTGCACCCAACGGTGGTATCACACCTTTGCGTTATCGCAAATTATCGGAAAATGTCTATGCTATCACATGTATAAGTGAGTCTTAGGAAAAGACCAATATAACACACATTGAAGTCAAGAGAGCGAACCAACAAAACATGCGTAAATGTGAGAGGAATAAAAGAAAGACATATTGGAAAATTCCATATCACATGTCGTAAGAATATTTCTTAACAGATATCGCAATTGTATATACACATTCAAAAACAGGGATTGAAAAGAAGGCCGTCTAGCAAAAAGAACCGCTCAATGATAAGACTTATGCTCAAGAGTTAGTGGAACGTTTAACACCCTACGGTTAATTGCGTAATGTTCAACTATTGCAATTGATCGATTTGGATTTACTTTCATCAGCTGGTAGTTATGATGAGAAAGATGAATTCGACGTCTTAAAATAGTGCTTAGATGAATGTCTGCAGCTGAGATTCATTAACTGGTAAAACTCGAAGCGAAAGTGATTTATCTATGGGTCGATCACTGCGTTTCTCATTCATTACTCATAACGTTCATACGTATATTAAAGATCAATTTCACAGCGCATATGTCAAGCTGAGATAGATGGATTTTGTTGTTTCGGACTCAGTTGCAACGAAAGAAACATAGTCCATCACCGATGACCATCTGCGATTGGAATAGTATTTGTCAGAGCAATGAAGAGTGCGAAAGTGAACAAGCGCATCTTATACCTTTAAGACACAAAATTGTGAATAAATTAACCGATGTTTCATTTCGTTTCAGATAAGTTCTTAGACAGTATTAACAATGGCATCCAATTTGAATTCTGGTGACATGGATGAGGAGCGTCGATTGAAAGAGGAGAACATGTTTCTTTTACGTGAACTTAAATTGAGTGAATTAAGTGAAGCCGAAGAAGCAACAGCTCGCGAAGAACTAAAAATCTACGATGATTTCGAACGACAAGTACAAACACTCGATGGGACCGATAAGCAGAAAATCGACGAATGTGAATGGGAGGTTAAGGATCTAGAAGAACAAATTACCAAAGCGGATAAAGAACTTGACCAAATGCAAAATGACTTGGACAATGCCGAACAAGTACAAAACTCGCATGCGAATGAACTTAGAACCTTGACGGATGCTTTTGCTAGCGTGACGAATGAGAGCGAAACTGTTCAACACGAACTTCAACAAATAAGAGAAGAGCAATATCTTTTAACTGTTGAAGAGGATAGATTAAAATTATTAGTTATCGAACAGAAACAAATACTAATGAATGAAACTGCCAAAATGACTGAGATTGAGCAACAAATAGCTATTTTGGATAATCAAAAACGTTTATTCCAAGAACAACTACAGAAATTAAATGAAATATTGAAACCAAATGAGACAAGTTTATTATCACTTGAAGAGCAAATAAAAACTCTCGATCGTGAACTGAGAAAATTAGAAGTTGAAGAAAAGACATTACAAGAGCAATTAGAACAATCGAAACGTGACGTTGAACATCTCGCTGAACAGCTGCAAACAACTCAAAACAATCTAGCTGAATGTACGAAAAAGGTACAGGAACAAGAGGATCTCATGCGCGAATTGGAACAAAATCAACAACGCATCGATATGGAAATCGAAGCTTTGCAAGAGTCAATTAAAATCATTGAAGAAACAATGCAACAAGTTTGTATAGGCTTTGCTTTTTCGGTCTTTTACTAACCATTTACATTTTTAGAATGAAAAACAGAAGCAGGATTTAACGGTATTGATTCAACAGAAAAACCAAGAGAGGTTAGCTGCTGAAAACGAGCAGACACGCGCGAAAGAGGCTGTTAAGCAAGCAGCAAAAGCTCTCGCAGACTTGGAAAAAGAGCTAGCTACTTTGCAAACAAGACTGACAAAACTGATTCAGGAAAGAAACCAACTAGAGCAGCAATGTCGTCAAGCGGCGAATTTGGTCGAAGAGACAAAGTATGATGTTGTTCAGTTTCAACTCGCAGACATCATCTATTCTATTGATTATTTAGGCAACAAGTTGAAAGAGCAGAAGAGCATGTGGAGCGCTTGCAAAATGAACTGAATGCAGTTAATCAACAATTACAGGATAAACAAGTAGAATTAACGCGTGTTCAAAGTGAAGGAAGAGAGTTACAAAATCTGTTAGAGAGAGAGACAGCTATTCTTGAACAAATAAATGCAGCCGTTGTTAAACTTGTCGAACAAGTTCATCAGGCAAACGCTCAACTCAAAGCGGATTTAGAACGGTTGAGACAATTAACAGAATATCTTCATCAACAGGAAAAATTAGAGCTACAACTGCAAAAAGCATACGACGATCAAGTAACGGCAACTAATCGCGCACAAGACCGAGCTAATGAAGCTGATCGACGAGAAAGAGAGATGAAACAAGCTGTAGACAAAGCTATTCGTGAACAACAACAGGCAGAAGCTGTCGTGGGCCGCTTAGAGTCTTCATTAGCTGCAGATGAACTAGCATTAGCATTGGCTTTAGCAGCTCTTGCTACTGCGCTACTGGTGCCAGTTGCTGGTGAAATTGCTGCTATTCCAATAGTAGCTTCAATTGCTCTGTTTAGAGCGGCGATTGCCAGATGGAAGAGCCAATTAAATGCAGCAAGAGCAAGATTATCACGAGCAAGTACCGAGCGTGATCACGCTATCAACTTGCATACGCGCGCGATGACGGAGAAACAATTAGCTAATGATACACTGGCCAACGAGAAAGGAAAGTTAGGAATTTGTAAAACAAATTGGGAAAATCAAATACAAGTGAAAAATGTAGCGCAGCGTGCAGTTGATGAACAAAATGCTGTCGTTAAAGCTGATACTAAGCATCTGGAAGATGTTCAACATCAACTAGCTGAAGGCAGAGAGCAACAAAGACAGCAAGCGACTAAAGTAGATGGTATCAATATTCAACTGAAAGAAAAGCAAAATCAAATTGAACAACGTAAAGCGGAACAAAAAGCATTAGAATTAAAACAAAAACGGACTCAAGATACATTGACCCAAGCCAACGGCGTTTTGGAAAAAGCAGAAAAAGCACACGAAAAGGCTAAGAAAGACCATGATGATTTACAAAGGCAGCACAAAGCTAAAATTGAACAAGTGAAAACAACAGAGAGTTTAATTCAAACGAAGCAAACTCAACTAGTAAATGTACGGTCTGATTATCATTTCAAAGAAATCGCTGTGTCGAAAATTGAGAATAAACTTAATCTGATTAATCAAGATCTGGGAACAGCAGCAGAAAGAGAACAGAAATTAAACGAACAAATTCAAATTCAAAAGAATAATCTTGCCGCGAAGAATGAACAAAAGACGGACCTTATTTCCAGGAAAGATGTTCTTGATAGAAAACTCAAACAAACTGTAGTAGAAAAGGTCAAGCAAGAAGATCAGGTGCAACGTCTTAATCAACAACTAGAGATACAAAACCAAGTGATGATGGACAAAACTGCACAAATACATACAGTTTCAACAGATTTGGATAAGAAGAAGCATCGAAAGATTCAAATGGAAACTCAACATGCCGAACAAACAGCTCAAGCGAAACTCATCCACTCGCAAATTGATGAATTTCAACGAAGTCTTACACAAAACCAAATGGCGTCAGAACGACTTCAAAACCACAAAGAGAATCAGGAAAAGGCACAAAAGGTAAATGACGCTTTTGACTGTATATACACCGAATGTGTGTCCTTTTTCTGAATAGATTGCTGAAGATCACATACTGAACACTAATCAAATTCAGAAACAACTCAGTGATAATTTGAGATTAAAATCTAACAACATCGCCATAAAAGAGAGAGTTCACGCAGAATGCGAACAACGACACAGAGATCTAACTGATAAAATCGACAATGCTCGAACAGTCCAAGCTAGTTTAGACAAAAAAGTTCAAGATCTGAACGACCGATGGGTAGCTAAGCGAATGATGATGACTCAATATGTCAACGAGGTTCGCGGATTAAGCGAGAATATATCTGATATCAAACTCAAACGACGGGAACGTCTTGAAGAGCAAAGAAAAAGAGCAAAGAATGAAAATGTTCAAGTAAATCAGCAAAGAAAGTATACGAGAAATGTTAACCATTAAGCTTCACTTTGAAATTTGCTTTTTAAAATAAAATCCTCTCTACTTGTTCAAATAAATTTGATTTATTCTCCTGTTGATCTTTTCTTTCAGATATTAAAAAATTGATTGTCTCATGTCGATTAATATCGAGAATCTTCTCGAACAAATCAACCGAGGTGATGATTTAAATGAACTTCACTTGAATAAGTTCTCCAATGATCTATTACACAACCAATCGAGTAATGCTGCTTGTCGTATTTTCTTGGCTTTGTGTAGTACACAAAAGATCGTATCCGATGAAATCTTTGAAAGAATTTGTCAAGTTATTCTCAATGATCATGAACAATCAGCAAAAGAAAACGCCATTCGAGTAATTGACTTGTTGGTTCAAAATGATCGTAGTGCATCACAGTCATGTCTATATGCTCTGACAAAAGCATTGCAAAATAAACAATCGACTATTTTGAGGAATTATGCCTCGAAAATTCTTTGTACTCTAATTCAAAAACAAAGCTGTATACATTTGAATTCTTCATTGTTAGACGTGATGTGTGATGCATTACATGATACTTCAATTACTGTTCAAAAGCATACATTAGAATCATTTGAAGAATTAGTACAAAAAAACCCATCTACTATCTCTCAGCGGGTGATTGATAATATGACAGCGTATTTGTCGAAAATGGGCCAAGATATCAACAAGAATTATGTCAAATGTGTTTCAATAACTTTATTTTTTCAGAATTTATTACGTCAACCAGTTAAAATCAGCGGAGCTCTTCTATCGATCTTCTCTGAATTTGCAGTTTTTGATGCTTCCGAAGAGAAGAAGCTGTTAAATCGTTTTGCATTACAGATTCTTCAAAAGGTGATGGAACATCGATTGATTCATGGAAATTTACCAGACCAAGTCTTCATTAATCTATCGACATGTTTCAATTTAAAATCTTTCGAACATAAAGAATTATTTCAACACTGTCTACGAATCCTATGTACTTTAAACGATGATCAATTGAAATTAACACAACTGAACGGATGTTTATTAAAGAGCTATCTGAAAGAAACCAATCTCGAAGAAAATTTACGAATATACATAACAATTTTGTTCGGCAATTTATGTAAACTATTGTACAAATATGCCGATGGTGAAACGAACGCAACCATCATTGAAGACACCATTGATATATTCATCGAAAGACTCGATCAAGACAAACTACTACAAAGTTCCATTTATGTACTGAGAAATATCGCTGAATATGAACAAAGCTATTTATCCATATATCCTCTTCACAAATTTGTCTACATATTGAACCGAGACGACGTTCACAAAGAAGTCCGTCAATATGCTTGTTTAATACTTCGATTTTCTGTCGAAACACGACAGATACTAACTAATTATGAACTCGATGCATTAGAAAAAGCACTCAATGATTCTGATTCAACAATATCTCTCACTGCTCTTCAAGCATTTCAACATTTATTCGAAGAGTATCATAGGAATGCCGATTTCATCGAACCGTATGTGAACAAACTGTGCACATCCGCTGCGGAATTGATTTTCAATTCTAACGAAAGTTTCACTTTGAACGCATTAGATTTATTACAAACAGTTCTCAAGCACAATTTAAAACACGCGTTTTCACATGATGAAATCGCAAATCTTTGTATTGGCCTGCAAGCAAATCTCGACTCATCAATTCGGCGATCAATTTCCAATATTTTGCAACAAATAATCTCCAAACGATTCGATGTTCCATCATATGCACTTATTTTACTTCGGTTGGAAATGCTAACCGAACAATTTTTACGAAAAGAAAACATCAGTACAAACGATTGTGAAATATTCGAAAAGAACATAATCGAATGTCTTCATGACAAATCATTCGATAAGAGAATGATTCCAATTAATCTACTTAGAGCAATCGATGAGCTACTGAAAACCAATTTACCTAAGGATTCGAGGTTAACATCAATTTTGCTTCAATGCGCAGAAAACAATCTGAATTTTCCAATCGATCTTATCGAGATTCTATTTAAACGCTTTCGAATAACCAAATCGCAAATTTTAATGCAAATTTTACATCAAATCATCGTTCAGAACGGACAATCATTATCCGAAAAGTTTCTTCAACAATTTCAAGAGTTTTTCGTTCAGAATTCATTTTCTTCGAGTTACACTATAGACATATTGAAATTTTTGATCAACAGAAACCAGATTCAAATTGGTATCAACATCTACAGCAAATTGATTGATATGTTGAACGAATCAAGCGATTCGTATATCGAAAGTGTTCTTCTTGAAACATTGGCTTGTGCTTTGCAAAATCCTCCTTCGAACATTGGTCTTCTGCTTAACCGACTTTTGGAATTAGTTGAGAAGTCTTTTCAATCGACCTCGTCGACTAAACAAACAAAATATTCGTCGTGTTTAGCGATACATGCTCTTCTCAGACAGAAAGTAAATCTGTCGAAATCAACATTAGATTTACTTAAAAAGATCTATGAAGAAGACGATGATTTCGAATCAACAGTTAATCTTCGAGATATAGCATTGACTATACTCAAGGAATATCTACCAAATGATAATGAAATTAATGATTTTGTGAATCAAAGGGAACTCGAAGCAAAAATTCTCGATTATGAAGATCCATCAAACCGTTTAGAAGCTGGAAAACGATTCTTATCACTTGTTCAAAATCAAAATCGACGTCTATCGAAGTTTCAATTGGCAAATCTGGAACTATCTCTGAATTTTGCAAATTCGTCAATCGAATATAAGTTCATTGTTTTGAGCATCTTTCAATACCATTCCGCTGATTTGGAAGCAACACAAATCACATCACTTTTTGCTTTTATTAATAATAATCAATTGAATACGAAGGTGATTGAAATCTGCAAAGTATTGGTCGATATGAAGAGATCGTTTTCTGATGAAGTACTACAACGATTAACTGCGTTTGTGTTCGAAAATTCCAACCGAGCTCTACGAGATTCAATCATCGATTGCCTGGAGCAAATCACTAAATATCAATCGATTTCTAAACCTCTATCCGATCGCATCCGACGGGAAATTCTCTCGAAAGTTTTACGCGAGACAAAAGGTGATTTGTCTAAGAAAAAGAATGCATGCCTTCAGTTGATTGCCGAACGAGATAAGTTATCTTTGAACACAATAGATTCACTGGAATATCTGTTAAAAAATCCATCGGAAATGAAACATATCGAGAAAGAAGTTTTCGATCTTATCGATTTAGCGATCGAACATCATCAAAAGCTGCCAGTCACCTTCAATGGTTATCTCAGTCGATTGATTGAAGATACTTGTATGAATCAAATTCAATTGATTTCAACCATGAATCGCCTTTCAATTCATTGCGAACAAACCTTTACACAGGAGATCTTCGACAATGCACAGAAATACTTCGTTGAAAATTTCGATCAATCATTTGAAATTCTTCTTCAAGGTACGCAGAATGGTTGTCATTTGAACCCAACAATGATTCATTCTCTGAAAACAAACTCTTCTTCAAATCAACATGAAAAAGTTCTGAAAATCCTCAAAAATCAAATTAAACATGAATTCTTACTCGAAGACGACATCATTCAATACCTTGAAAACCATTTCAAAGATTATCCTCATTTAGTACTGAATGTTCTCAAATATCAGCCAGTTTACCAACCATCATCAGCGATGCAATCGGATCTTCAAAATCTTTTAATTAAACATCCATTCTTCTTCCAATTTGAGCTCATCTTAAATCGAATTATGGATCTACCAATTCAAGTTCGATTGCATTTCACCCATATTTTCTTTCTTCTCAAACACATGCAACTCGATATTGTTACAGTCTATCCCTTGAAACTCATCTGTCGACAATTATTATGCTACGATCTGTTAGGACAAATTGCTCAACGAAAGAAGTATGAAAAATTTGATGAATTGGAATTTTATACGAACTTGAACCAGCTGGAGGAATATTTCTCATTCTTACCGTATTCAGTTGAACGAGATGAGCTTCTGATCTATCTTATCGAGCATTCGTCGATATTTACTCTAAAAGAAATTAGTAATATTTTATGTTTAGCAAAAACGAACCCGGCAGCATTGAACATACTTTTCAATTCGTCACCGAATGACTGTCTGAAAAATCTACAGATCCATTGGATCTATTTCATCGTCAATCGATATTCTTATATGAAACTCAATGAAGATATTTATCTGACAGATAATCAAGCCGATCAGATACTCGATCTGTTGTTCACAAAACTTCAGTTTAGTATCTCGTTGAGCAAACATTTTCTGCAACGACTCTATCAGATTGAAGATTTCAATGAATTAGTTGCATTTTTAACATATCTTTATGAGAAAAATGTGTCGGATGAGATCAATTTGAGTGATTATTTCACGGAAGAAATCATTGCGAAGGATTTATTCTCCTGGTTGTTGGATATTCAAAGTGATTTGATTCGCAAGAAGATTTTCGCCGTTTGTCAGCAGCGGGGATTCAATGAACCAAAAGTATTTGAAAATCTCCAATCCATGATTTTGTCTATCCGACTAAATAGCTGGTCATTTGAAATATTTGAAAAGTTCATTGGAATTTTGGAGACTAAACAAGACCAATCATTCCACCTCATCGTCGAAAATCTGATCAATTCATTGATGGTAATAAACAATTTTCAAATATCGAGTGAATACGAATATAAAATTGAGTCGATATTCGAATCAACACCAAGTCACGACTGGTCAAAAGAAATGCACCGATTTGCTTTGTCCGTGTCATTCGATCGGAATGAGCAAGAAAAAACCTTGACAGATTTGATCGATGAAATCAAAAAGTAAAATTTCTTGCTTCCCTACTTTGAAGAAATGTCACTCGTTTTCCTTTTCTAGATTAAATGCTTTCGACAATCCAAAGATTGTAGGTGTCGAAAGGATCTATCGTGAACTGACATTAGTCTATGATTCTGACTCAGAATTCTATCCTATCGGAAAAGCAATTAAGATTTGGAATGAAGATGAGATCACTGAATGGTCTGCTCAATACAAATCACACCGAGTTGAAAAGTCTGATAGGACAGCGTTCGAATTAATCGGTGTTATTAGACGTGCTATATATTTACACAATCCCAAACAAAAACTCGAACCTCGCACTATACAAATCATCTCTTTGTTATTACTCTTAGATGCTTCCGAGAAGCACATAGCTCGTTTAGCACAAATCAAAACAGGCGAAGGCAAAAGTGTAATCATAGCCATGTTCGCAGCAGTGAAAGCTTTGAACGGACACCAAGTTGATATCGTTACAACATCGCCTTTGCTGGCTAAACGTGATGCCGAGAACAAGAAAGCATTCTATGAAATGTTGAACTTAACCGTTGGAGAAAACAGTGGCACGTCAACGGTAAAAAACTGTTACAAATGTGATGTTGTCTATGGGAATGTCAATGAGTTTCAATTTGATATATTGAGAGATGAATATAGCCTTTTAGGTACACGTTGTGGACGAAAATTCGATATTGCGATTGTTGATGAAGTTGATAGTATGTTTATTGATGAGAATTCCAAAGTTTGCCGTTTATCTAATAACATACCGGCTATTGATGAATTAAAGATCATTTTAACCATTATCTGGCAAGAACTGAATCGAATACATGAACGAATTGTCCGTATAGACAATAAATTATACTGTATTATGGTACCTTATCGAATAGATGAAAATGGACAGATTATACTAATGAAAGCAGTCGAGGCGGATGATGATGGAAAAATTCTTGAGAATGTTGCTGTTGCCGATGACAATCAAGAGAATTTTCTTGAGATTGATGATGCGTATGCGTTTGTTGAAAATCACATTCGAAATTATGTTCAGAATAAACTATTAAAACCAAATGAAAGCAATGAATGTCTCATTCATATCCCAAAGCATTTGTTTTCTTTTGTTGAACAACAAATACCAAAATGGATATTCAACGGCTGGCAAGCAAAATTTGCTTATCGAGAAAATATTGATTATCTAATCGCCGAGGACAAAAGCAAACGAAAAGCGATCGTGCCGATAGATTATCGAAATACAGGTATTATACAAACGAATACGTCGTGGCCTGATGGCTTACATCAGTTTTTACAAATCAAACATCAATTACGGATTACTGCAGAAAATTTAACAACAAATTTCTTGTCAAATATTGCATTTTTCAGTCGATATGGAACAAATCTGTTTGGTCTGACAGGTACGCTTGGCACGCAAGAAGCGAAAGATCTAATCCATTGTATCTACAATGTGGATTTTATTATCATACCATCGTTTAAATTTACTCAATTTGTTTCATATCCGGATCGATTATGCCAATCGGACGACGACTGGTTGAATGAATGTATAAACTCAATTTCAATCGAAGCCAAACAGAATCAACGTGCTGTTCTAGTCATATGTGAAACCAAATCGAATGCAACGACACTCTACGACAAACTAATTGAAAAAGATAATCAGCTAAAAAAATTCATTAAACTTTATACACGAAGTGACAACGACGAACAGAATGCAATCGAGAATGAGCTCGACTGTGGACAAATTATCGTGGCAACCAATCTTGCAGGTCGAGGAACAGATATTGGGACAACGCACCGAGTTGAAGAGAATGGAGGCCTTCATGTCCTGGTCACATTCTTACCATTGAATACGCGCATAGAACAGCAAGCCTTCGGTCGAACATCGAGACAGGGTAAACGAGGTACTGCACAATTGATCGTTTACGATTACGAAAATAAGTACAGAAACATCGAAGAACTGAAAAACGATCGAAATTTAAGAGAAAAATATCTTATCGACCGAGCAAAATGCACTGATTGGCAAAACATTGCACGACGTGATAGGTTATTTCGAAAATTTTCTAATTTACGAATGGAATTACGTCGGCAAGAAAACGATACGTATAAGTTGAATTCTGTCGAAGAATTATGGGGACTTTGGCTTAAAACAACGTTTACCAAAGAAGATTCAATGACTGGAACACATGCAAATGACCTTACAGATGAATTACTTGACCAGAAATTCCAAGAATTCAGTTCGAAAGTCACCCGAGATTACTCTTCGAATGCAATTTTTCAAAATCCATTCTATTTAATTTTAAAAGCCAACGAACATCTATACCAAAAGAAAAATTACAATCGAGCTGCTGAACTTTTACGAGTTGCCATTGCATCGGATCCTATATTTGCTGTTAGCGCACGTTATAATCTTGCATATGCATTGATAAAACAAACGACGAAGAATAAATGTGAGGCCAAAGCAGAACTGGAGAAAGCTCTGGAAACTCTTGAAAATATTCTCATCGCTCAGCACCAAACGATGTTAATTTCATTCAATACGAATCCAAATGAAACCAATTCGAAACTCCAAAACGATGCCGAAGAACAAATCATGAATCGGATTAATCTTTTATACCTATGTAAAAGTTTAATTGAAGAAGGAATTGCTGTTATCAACGAAGCCGAAGACAATAAGAAAGACATTCGTGTGCAATATAAAATGTTGGATGAATTCTTCAGTGATATCAATAAGCCAACATTAGATATCGACGAATTCAAAGAAAGTGGATTTGTCGGATTTTTTCAGTTGACTGCCAAGAATCCAACGCCATGGCTTAGTATCATCACTGTTGGTCTCATTGGAATGGCGCAAGCAGCTGTTGGTGCAGGGATAATCGTGTTTTCAGCGGGTGCAGCCATCAATCTTGGTGGTATGTTACTGAGTGAAGGAGTAAATGATATGATATTCGCCATAAAATGCGGAATGACGGGCGAATTCNTGCTTCGTCAATCGATATTCTTATAGGAAACTCAATGAAGATATTTATCTGACAGATAATCAAGCCGATCAGATACTCGATCTGTTGTTCACAAAACTTCAGTTTAGTATCTCGTTGAGCGAACGTTTTCTGCAACGACTCCATCAGATTGAAGATTTCAATGAATTAGTTGCATTTTTAACATATCTTTATGAGAAAAATGTGTCGGATGAGATCAATTTGAGTGAGTATTTTACGGAAGAAGTCATTGCGAAGGATTTATTCTCCTGGTTGTTGGATATTCAAAGTGATTTGATTCGCAAGAAGATTTTCACTGTTTGTCAGCAGCGGGGATTCAATGAACCAAAAGTATTTGAAAACCTCCAATCGATTATTTTGTCGATCCGACTAAATAGTTGGTCATTTGAAATCTTTGAAAAGTTCATCGAAATTCTGGAGACTAAACAAGACCAATCGTTCCATCTCATCGTCGAAAATCTGATCAATTCATTGATGGTAATAAACAATTTTCAAATATCGAGTGAATACGAACATAAAATTGAGTCGATATTCAAATCAACACCAAGTCACGACTGGTCAAAAGAAATGCACCGATTCGCTGTGTCCGTGTCATTCGATCGAAATGAGCAAGAAAAAACCTTGACAGATTTGATCGATGAAATCAAAAAGTATAATTTCTTGCTTTCCTACTTTGAAGTAATGTCACTCGTTTTCCTTTTCTAGATTAAATGCTTTCGACAATCCAAAGATTGTTAGTGTCGAAAGGATCTATCGTGAACTGACAGTAGTCTATGATTCTGACTCAGAATTCTATCCCATCGGAAAAGCAATTAAGATTTGGAATGAAGATGAGATCACTAAATGGTCTGCTCAATACAAATCACACCGAGTTGAAAAGTCTGATAGGAAAACGTTCGAATTAATCGGTGTTATTAAACGTGCTATATATTTACACAATCCCAAACAAAAATTCGAACCTCGCACTATACAAATCATCTCTTTGTTATTACTCTTAGATGCTTCCGAGAAGCACATAGCTCGTTTAGCACAAATCAAAACAGGCGAAGGCAAAAGTGTAATCATAGCCATGTTCGCAGCAATGAAAGCTTTGAACGGACACCAAGTTGATATCGTTACAACATCGCCTTTGCTGGCTAAACGTGATGCCGAGAACAAGAAAGCATTTTATGAAATGTTGAACTTAACCGTTGGAGAAAACAGCGGTACATCAACAGTAAAAGCTTGTTACAAATGTGATGTTGTCTATGGGAATGTCAATGAATTCCAATTTGATGTATTAAGAGACGAATATAGTCTATTGGGTACACGTTGTGAACGAAGATTTGATATTGCGATTGTCGACGAAGTTGATAGTATGTTTATTGACGAGAATTCCAAAGTTTGCCGTCTCTCCAATAACATACCGGCCATTGACGAATTGAAGATCATTTTAACCATTATCTGGCAAGAATTGAATCGAATACATGAACGAATCGTTCGTATAGACAATAAATTATACTGTATTATGGTACCGTATCGAACAGATGAGAATGGACAGATTATACTTATGAAAGCAGTCGAAGTCGATGATGATGGGAAGGTTCTTGAGAATGCCACGGTTGCCGATGATGATCAAGAGAATTTTCTTGAGATCGACGATGCATATGTATTTGTTGAAAATCACATTCAAAACTATGTTCAAAACAAATTATTAAAACCAAATGAAAACAACGAGTGTCTCATTCATATTCCAAAGCATTTGTTTTCTTTTGTTGAACAACAAATACCTAAATGGATATTCAACGGCTGGCAAGCAAAATTTGCTTATCGAGAAAATATCGATTATCTAATCGCCGAGGACAAAAGCAAACGAAAAGCGATCGTGCCGATAGATTATCGAAATACAGGTATTATACAAACGAATACGTCATGGCCTGATGGCTTACATCAGTTTTTACAAATCAAACATCAATTACGGATTACTGCAGAAAATTTAACAACAAATTTCTTGTCAAATATTGCATATTTTAGTCGATATGGCACAAATCTATTTGGTTTGACAGGTACACTTGGTACGCAAGAAGCGAAAGATCTAATTCATTGTATCTATAATGTGGACTTTGTGATCATACCATCGTATAAATTCACTCAATTCGTTTCGTATCCGGATCGACTATGTCAATCGGAAGATGATTGGTTGAATGAATGTATAAACTCAATTTCAATCGAAGCCAAACAGAATCAACGTGCTGTTCTAGTCATATGTGAAACCAAATCGAATGCAACGATACTCTACGACAAACTGATTGAAAAAGATAATCAGTTAAAAAAATTCATTAAACTTTATACACGAAGTGACAATGACGAACAGAATGCAATTGAAAATGAGCTCGACTGTGGACAAATTATCGTGGCGACCAATCTTGCAGGTCGAGGGACAGATATTGGCACGACGCATCGAGTTGAAGACAATGGAGGCCTTCATGTCCTGGTCACATTCTTACCATTGAATACGCGCGTAGAACAACAAGCCTTCGGTCGAACATCGAGACAGGGTAAACGAGGTACTGCACAATTGATAGTTTACGATTATGAAAATAAGTACAGAAATATGGAAGAACTGAAAAACGATCGAAATTTAAGAGAAAAATATCTTATCGACCGAGCAAAATGCACTGATTGGCAAAACATTGCACGACGTGATAGATTATTTCAAAAATTTTCCGATTTACGAAAGGAATTACGTCGACAACAAGACGATACGTATAAATTAAATTCTGTCGAAGAACTATGGGGACTCTGGCTTAAAACGACATTTACCAACGAAGATTCAATGACTGGAACACGTACAAACGATCTTACAGATAAATTACTTGACCAGAAGTTTGAAGAATTTAGTTCGAACGTCACGAAAGATTATTCTTCTAATGTAATTTTTCAAAATCCATTCTACTTAATTTTAAAAGCCAATGATCATTTATATCACAAGAAAAATTACGATCGAGCGATCGAACTTTTGCGGGTTGCCATTGCATCGGATCCTATATTTGCTGTTAGCGCACGTTATAATCTTGCATATGCATTGATAAAACAATCGACGAAGAATAAAAGTGAGGCCAAAGCAGAACTGGAGAAAGCTCTGGAAACTCTTGAAAATATTCTCATCGCTCAGCACCAAACGATGTTAATTTCATTCAATACGAATCCAAATGAAACCAATTCGAAACTCCGAAACGATGCTGAAGAACAAATCATGAATCGGATTAATCTTTTATACCTATGTAAAAGTTTAATCGAAGAAGGAATTGCTGTTATTAATGAAGCCGAAGTTAATAAGAAAGACATTCGTGTGCAATATAAACTGTTGGATGAATTCTTCAGTGATATCAATAAGCCAACATTAGATATCGATGAATTCAAAGAAAGTGGATTTGTCGGATTTTTCCAGTTGACTGCCAAGAATCCAACGCCATGGCTTAGTATCATCACTGTTGGTCTCATTGGACTGGCGCAAGCAGCTGTTGGTGCAGCGATAATCGTGTTTTCAGCGGGTGCAGCCATCAATCTTGGTAGTATGTTACTGAGTGAAGGAGTAAATGATATGATATTCGCAATAAAATGTGGAATGACGGGCGAATTCAGTTGGAAAGAATATGGTATACAGAAGGCGATCAGTTTGACAATAACGATAGCGACATGTGGAATGAGTGCGTTGAAAGAAGCAGGCCAATTGGCGAAATCAGGTTTCAAAGGTTGTGTGAGTGCGATTAGAGCTGCGACAGTTGGCGGCCAGCAGGTAATTGGACAATTTACAAAAAATGGGTGGAAACTTGTTGGCGAACAGATTGTTCACGCTTTTACTAAAGCCGGTGCTAGAGAAGTGATAAAAACTGTATTGGATAAAACAGTTCTAGCTGAGATTGGTAAAAAAATTAATCAAGAAATAACTGAAAATATCCAGACAAAAGTTCATCACGATGTTCAACAAAATGAAATAATCAACAAATTCTTAATTGTTAATATCGCTTTGCAAAAGCCGCATGTTTATTATCAAGAAATTGACAGATTAGTTTGCCGAATTTTACACCCGCAAAGCAATCGATTTGTTCAAGCGGCTAAAACGATTGCTTCAGGAATTTTAAATCGATTAACCAACGGCGTTACTGGACGTACCTTGCATATAATTACTGCAGGGAAGTGCCTTGGCGATCTATTGATATTTCTCGATAAATTTCTTCGTGAATTCAATGATGATTTGGCCAAAATGAAAGATCAGCTAAAAATCGATTATTTACTTCATAGTAATAAATCAAACGATATGGATAAACGAACAGCTAAAGAGATAACTCAATCTTTGAATAAACAACAGTATATCGATCGAGATCATGTTCAAGTACTCAAGCCGCTGGAGTTACCGGCATTCAAACTGACTATACATGAAGCTCACCAGGTTTATGTGATGAATCTGTGCAATAATATTTATACAGAAACAATGAAACAGGCTGAATATGCAATCGAGAAAAATTTGATTACCCAAACAATAATAACTCGACTTGCTGATTATATGACTAGTCGTCTTAATGCGGAATTAATCAATCCACTTGTACATGCTGGCGTCGATGCGACTGTGGATCATTTAGCAAACAAAATCGAACAGGCATATGCTGATAGCCGAGAAACATTAGAGGCACGAATAAGAAACCGCCGTGCTCAAAATGATATCATTCGGCAAGGAGAATTTTTACGGAAGCGAACTGGTAAACAGCAAAAGAAGGATCAAAACATTTCTCCTCAGATTCAAGATCTTGCTAGTGCTGTAGAGAATGATGCTCCTGGTGATTTGAAAGATATTATCGCTGTAAGTGCCAAACTTGGGCGTCCAGTACAGATTCACCGCAATGGGAAATACGATCTGACTATTGGCGATCCAAATTCAGGAGAGCCATTGAAAGTTAACTTTGAGGAAGCGCAAATGGGCAATATTGGACATTACACTGATGTGAATGGCAATAATGACATTGTCAGAACAGGTGCAACGGATTGTTTATTTGATGTACTCAGTACTCAAACGAACATGACATCGAACGAATTAAGACAAGTGGCAGCTGCTGGGATACGAGAGAATTCGGACTTATATCTCAAAATGATGCCTTCTCTTGATCATCTCAAACAAAATCCAGACAGAAGTTTATTGTACGCAGGAGGTGACAACGCAGAATACATAAGAGCTAGAAATCATTCCTGGGATAGTATCTTGGACGATAAATATTTGCCATCGAGAAAAATACTCGAGGAAGGTCTTAACAATGTCCTTGCTGCAATGGGAAATGATCCTGCTGCAATTAAAGGGAAACTCGTTTTAGAGACAATAATACACGATATTTATGATGAAGATGTCGCAGAAGTGATCGCTCGCGACAAACAGATGAGAAACATTTTCTATGATTCGTTAAATCGACGTTTAGCCTACTTCAAAATGGAGAATCAAGAATTATTTGCTAAATCCAATACTTTGAGAACCAGTTTTAACAATGTAGCTTCGTATTGGAAGAGCAAAACACATTCTCAAGCTGATTGGAAGCTTTATTATTCTCAAGCAAATGTCAATGCTAATTTCTCAAAATGTGATAGCTGGAAAGCTACGGATTTCTTACCACAGCCAGTGAGGAACATGATTGCAGGTCAACGTATTGAGACAGCTGGTAAAGAAGCTATCGTAACATATGGTCCTGCGGTAGCTCCCGTGCAATTTTTTTCATATTGCGGTAAATTAGTCGCTATTGATAATAGAATGACTTTGGCTCATGAATTAGCTGGAAATCCTCCGCTAAGGCTTATTCCTGCTAAACCGTCTAAAACGGAATTCAACAGAATGGGCAATCCAGGAATACCTCGTGAAAATAAACCGGAATATGACAAAAATGCTTGAACCTAAGTCCAATATTATGCGAATAATCCTTTCAACCTTTGTTTTTTGGGAGTGGCGTATCCTTTTTTTATTTTTATGCATTGTACACGCTTGTCTTCTTTTCTTTTCAAATAAACGTTCTATTCCTCAAAAAATGACTTACTTTAAATGATAATATTGATCATTTTCAAGGAAAATGAAAAGTTACAGCTAAGGTGGATCAAAATCATAAGTTAAAACTCAAATTTTGTTGTATAGTTAGTACGAGGAAAAAGTCGATCGCAAAACATTTTTAATCAAAATATAACTAGATCATTGATTCGACGCACTTTACATCAGACTGTGCTACTCATAATATATTTAATAAAATGAAATTCAACAAACATATACCATACATGTTGTCAATATCGGATTCCTTGATATGTTATAAGTCAGACAGATAGATGTAAAATGTTGAAAAAGTCAATGTCTACTTTTTCGGACTGTACATTGCAAAATTTCCTGCACTTTTACTTGTTGATATACCCAATACTTGTCGTAAGCGAGTAAACGGTCGTACATGCTGTTTCCGGGCTTGTTCCATGTAAACCATAGCTTTGAATGCTCGCACGTCATTATCATCGACATCACATGCAAAACGTCGAGAATCTAATCGTCCTTTGTCGCTATTCAGTGATGAGCTTGACGGAATATCATTTGTAGAACGTGACCATGGTCGATCTATATTAGGTGGAGATAAATAATCACTGCTTGATCCAAAAAAGATTTGCTCTTTCATGCCAAACGATGCTGTCAATGATAAATGTCCTTTTTGTTTTTCATTGCTAGCCGATAGTTTTACAGTTGGCGGACGTGAACGAACGTTTGTATCGTCTTCAACTAGAATCGAATCGTCCGAGAGTTGAGGAAGATCAGCTGTCGCTGATGTGCTACGTCGAAGATTTGTTGGTACTATTAAACGATCAGATATGATAATTTCGGGAGGAGGACGTTTATCTGTGAATGGAACTGATGTCGTCGACGATTGCAACGATAACTGACTAAGTGTCTGTTCAAGAAAACGAATACGATCGATGAGGAGCGAGTTGAAATTATTCAACAGATCTTCGCGAAGTCGAGCGAAACGTAACTGTGTGTCTCTATTTACGCAGAGATCATTAGTGCAACAATCATTAACAACGTTTTCCATCTATTGGCATTAGACAATTGTATAATGATTGTTGTTCAACAATTAAGTTCTTGTCGGATTGGTCGACTAGGAGATAAATTGCTATTTTTCCATCTGTATCTAATGACAGATTGCGTTGATATAGAAGAGAAAAAAAGCAATTATGATTGATCACAAAGGAGGGAATGTTGAAAAAAGCGAGAAGACGAAGAAAAATAGATAGCTAATGGTTTTAGATTGAATCAATCGTTATGTTAGTGTGCTTTCTCGTCTCTTGCCACTCACCGCGTGTATTTTTATTGAAGTACATGCTATTTGTGTTGCTCGTTCGCAAACAAGCTTTTCTAACGGCTGCAAATTACATTCTTCTTTTTTTTTTCTTTCTCTCAATCTCTTTTTCTTTTGCATATCGCCCGTTATTGTAAAAATGAAAGCCCACAACAGCACTAAACTCGGCCTAACATCTTCCAGATCATGAAAAAAAAACTCAAATGCATGCTGATCCGTCGTTTTCATGATCACTGTTGACTTTTACTGGAAAATGAAGGAGAGGATAATAACTATGAAGTGTATTCGTCATGCAATAAGAAATTAGAGATTAGATATAATAATATCGAATGGATTACATTTGTTTCCTCTAATGAAGAATATCTAGACACACACGCACACCCTCAGAGAAGAAAAATAGGAAGTCTAGTCTTGTTGCATTGCATTAGAGTTCTCTGTCGATGTTGAGTGCTGACGAAATTCGAGTTCACTGACGAGAGTTTGATAAAATTTCAGTTTGACATCATGATCATTGACGATGGAAGTTGGTTTTGTCGTCGAGCTTGTTCGATCGAGGATTTTCAGGATATTCTCGTCCGGAAAACAGCTGGCTGCTGTTTCCAAGTTCTTTTTACTTTTCTCAAATTCATCAATATTAGCTCGTAAGAGAATACATTGTGATTTGACGCGTACTGGTATGGAATCGTCGCTGCCATTTGACATATATGTCAGAAAGATTCGCTAAGCAAAAAAAAAGAGAAGTTCACATATAATTAAAGAGGTGTATCAGAATAAGTTCTTCATCGTTTTCCCTAATATAGTCATTAAGACAAGAGATATTCCACCAATTGTACACTTTTCAGCGAGAGCCTATGATTTTGTCGCATCTATGCATCCGGAACACAATCGGATGCAATTATTGTTGGTAATTAGATACATATTTTTTTAGAATCCTTAATCATCGAAGAATCCTGCTCACATGAGATATTTCTAACTAATTTCATTGTTAAAACTTATACTGCAAACTGCTTGATATCGACGGCAACAACTATAATATTCTATCAACGAGTAAGAAAATATGAACAATGGAATGAGGTCAATATGCTTTCTCTCGATGTTCCTAGCTGTAAGTGCATTTGTAAGAGTTCTATTGGCAAACATTATTCATTCGCCATACGTGATTTCGCTGTTCTATAACTAATTATTTCCTATGTTGATATAATAGTCCGAAAACACTTACGGAAAACTCTTCTAAATAATCTTCTTCTTTTTTTATTAAACAATACAAACAATGTTCCCTTTGTCTCTCAATGACGACAATCCGTTCGGACAGTCATGAATGTTCCTTTCATTCCGAATATCATTTGCATAATCACTTATCAATCTAACTGATCTCTAGACGCATTTCCCCGTGAATAGATTTGTTACGCTAACGATTGAATTATTCTAAAACTAACCATGAGATGAGCTTTGAGTAGATGACTGCATTGATGTTCATTTCCATATCGAACGATCAATTGAATAATCAGATCTGTGATGTTCGCACTACGTGATTGTCTTTGACGTAATGAATCGACGACATCTAAACAGGCAAGATGAAACGCAATTGAATTCGCATTCGATTCAATTGTTGTTGTTAACATAAAATCCAATAATCTGCCGAGATCATTATCATCGAGAATACTTGAATGAGTAGTGAAAACACGTAAAAGTTCTAATCGAATATCATTGGCAGTTTGTTCATCGAGTAGAATGCATATTTGTGTTAGTTGACCAAGTAGACATTTGAAACTATCATTCGTGTTCGTGTTGGGTAGGCAAGTTAGAAGACGTAATGTGAGGACGAAGTTCTTCGAAGTTATCTCAGTAATCATTGGCAAGGAGAGAAACTGTTGAATGGAAGAAATACATGTATCAATCGAATGTTGTAATTGATGGGAATTCAGTTCCGTATTGAACAAACGTACGAATGGATAGAGATGATCGATGGTGCTTGGAAATATTAACGATAGATTAGTTGAATTTGTAATCGGTTCTTTTGAACAGTTATTCGAGTAGAAATCGTAGATCCGATGAAATGTATTTGAGGCTACTAGAGCATCATAAGCATGATATTTAACTGTACGTATATGAGGCATTGCTAATAGCTGACTGATTAAATTTGAATGAATATCTAGTCGAAGGAGTTCAGCAAGAAATAAACCAAAAATTGATTGGAATTGTGCTGAAGGATACCGTAGAAACCAAGATTGAATAATGACTTCGCTTGCTAATTGAACAGATGTTGAAGTTATCGATAGATTAACATCATTGAGTTGAAGAAGGTGATTCATTGACGATAGGACTGTTTGCAGAGGTTCATGGTGAGATAGTCGCATCAGAAGAGAATACGCTATATCATACAGACTACCATATTCAACTTGAGTTTTACCGAAAGATACGGGAAGAAGTGCAGGTAGAATAAGTTGTGTTCGACATTGATCGATGATGTCAAATAGATGAGAGATCAAGAGATGAATGAGATGAATAGATAGATCACTTGATTGTTTAGTTAATATTGTGTCGAGTGCTTCGATAATGCGAAATAGTAAGATTAGTGCAGCATATTTACATTTACCAGACGACAATTCGAGAGATAATTCATCAAAGAATAACTTTGAAGTGTTTGAAAGTGAATAATCGATGAAATTGTGAAGAATTTCTTGTAATGGTATACTATTGTTGAAAAATTCCAGTTGATAACGATTCTGTTGACATGTGGCTGCAAGACAGTGATGTAATTGAAGCATAGTGCGAAACAAATCATGGTAACTTTCAATTTGAGGTGTAATATGATAATATTGAAGTAATTTCTGCAGCATTTGAAAATACACACCAAACATCTATGGAATGATTGAAAAATAAACTCGTCTGTTGAAGTTCCACCGATTTACCTTAATCGTTGCCATTTCTCTATTTGTGTCTGACTTCTCGCGAAAGTGTTTGGCATATACACTGGACATCTGTTTCAATGTACTACTGTAAACAGCTAGAATTAAACTGTCGCTAGTATCATCGAGTTTCATTTGAGATAGTATTTGTGGTTCGTCACCGCCAGTTAATGTTTTAACAAGAAGTTTTTGACAAAATAAGGTGGTTATCGGGTCGAAATTAGTTATTGAATCTGTAATCAGATGTAATTGTTCGCAAAAATGCCGTTGTTCAGGTGATTTACTCATTAATGTTGCAGTGCTAGGTGATTTGATGAATTCTTTTATTTGATTGTATAATGTCTTTGTATTTGCTGTCAATTGATCTCGCGAAGAAGATGGAATCGTATCGGAATTCTCGGCACAAATCTTCGACATCGTTACACTGATTTGAAGAAGACATGGAAAAAGAAATGCAACCAATGTTGAATCAGACGATGAGGTAATGCGATTTAAATGATTGAAACATTCATTAACGAGAGATTCAGAATCATTTAATGCTTGTTCTTCATGAAGACGTGAGGTTTGAAGGTTTTTTAGTCGTTGTTCGAGATTATTAACAAGAATCGACACTGTTCGAGGACTCGATTGCATTTTGAAAGGAAATAGAACTTCTCTTATCTGTTCTTTTCCTTCGAATTTTCATTGTATACAGCACGTACATTTACTATTCGTAACCATTCTAGACAAATGAAAATCGATTTGAACTTTTAATAAAAAACGGTCGTGGAGTTGACTGATGGGGGGGGGGGGTTCTTAGCACAAGATAACCATCAGTCTTCGGACCGCATGTATTGTTGTTTTGCAAGGTTTATATCTATTGCAATTTATTTGAAGTTATGCAATAACGCGTTAAAGGCGCAGCGATCAGCGAGTTTTGCAAGGCGCACATATGAGTCATCGTATGTACGGCAGATGTCTGTGTTTTTTTTTATTTGCTGAAGTGTACCCAACATGTAAACCGAGTTATTTCTTACAGAGAATTTGGGTGAATCAGAAAACGAGTCTATACTCGATCGCATTGAACTCTTATATAATATTCAAAAGTGATTGATCGATAGAAAAATAGTTTCGAACAGAAACTGGTTATATCTAATTCCAAAGCATCCAATGGATAGTCAACTTAGAATTTGAAAGAATGGATAAATCAGGGTGAGGGTGTTGGTCGACTTTTTCTTACAATCGTGAAGTTCACTTATCAATTTGACCTTGCTTGACTTGTGATACAAAGAACGACAAAATATCTCTTACTCGTAGCTCATAAACATGTTATAAAGCTCGTTTATCGAAAGTTAATTATCGATATTTTAACCCTTTAGAACAAAACATGTTTTTATTATCAGTCACAAGAGAACACAACACGAAAACTTCGAATTTTATCCGAGAGTTATGCATATTGCAAAATATGTATGAGATAGGAGACACTAGAAGCCATAGAAATAGATCAAATCTATTTAATAATAGAGTCAGTCGTACAAACGTAGGATACCTTCGGGCAGGATTGGACATTTTCTTGAGCCGATTCGTTTCAGCGTATGTTTCAATTTAACCAACACTGGTTCCAAGTACAACTGGATGAGCTCTATCGGTTCCAATCATTAAAAATGTTCACCCCACTCTCACCCTCCAGAAAAGGTCGAACACGTGTCCAATATATCTTACCATCTGCAAAAGAATGTACCCCATGCAAAACAACAAGAAACCGCAGATATTTATCAATATTTTTATTTTCTTTATCATTCACGAATCAGATGTCCAGTCAGTCTTATCTTCGAGCTCCAGTGAGATTCTGACGTAACAATATGCCATTGGAATTTCATCACAATCAAATTACCCTTTCAGCAGTTACACTGTAGACCGACAATAGAAAGCACACTAGGTGCTTCTAGTAATGCGCTCGCTTTCTCAGTATACTATAAGCTCAAAACATTTTAAAATCTGTTCCTACCAACATATCGGTGATATTTTGACTCCCTTCAAATGAAGCACAGATTTCCGGGCAACCCGGCATCCAGCACATCTAGGAGGGTTTATAAGTGTTAACAGACACAAAGATAGTTTGGGTGAATCTCATCCTCATACCCACCCCCAAAGAATTGCCATCATTATTTATTGGAGAATTTTCGGAAGATCAATATCCTCTTGCGTGTCGACCACCAACTTCTTCTTGGTTCAGTTTCATCATGACATCTCTTTGGGATTTGGACAGAGATTCATTCTCACTCATCCTTCCATTCAAGTTAATTCGATTTCAAATGACATTCGACTAATGTTAAGTTTGGCTCGCTTTTCACAACCTTTTTTTTTCATTTATATTTCACAAAAGAAAATCACAACTTTATACTACAATCATTTTAATAAATCCCTTGAAAATTTGTTAAATCAATAATAAAAAAAAGAAGAGTTTGTATAGCAAAGCAAAACACAAATCGTCATCATTGAGAATATTTGTACGTATATATAGTACCACAAGTAGACACACATAAGTTATCATCAAAATGAAGCGAACAGATACAAACAAACAGATGAATTAAACACACGCACACTTATGCTAAAGAACAACAACAAAAATATATGTATATATTAGTTAGAAAAAAAAAAGAGAGCACATTTATTGTCGTGAAGAAGATGCATTTGCTGTTTGACGATGCATAGTCTGAACCATCAAACTGATGTAAGATGTCAACAGATCATCCATTTTATAGCCCTAGACAAGATGATTCTGAGTGTTGAGAAAAAAAAAGTATTGTTTCATACTTACCAATGGTGATTCACATAATAAACGGGTACCTCGAACAATGTCACCAACAGTCTGAAGAAAAGGAGGACATGAGGAATAGTTTGTTTTCTAGAAGGAAAGAGGTTTTACCATGTTAAAATAGGTATTTCCACTTGACCAATTTGAAATACTTGTAAATGAATATGTGACAAGCAAATCTTTACTCTTCGGATGAATCAAATTCACTCCATTTTTGTTAATGGCAATCAATAACTGTTCAGGATATGTTGGATCCGATGTTTGCTAGAGGAAAAAGAATTCATTGGCGTATATAGTGGATCAAGTTCCGTACTACATACTTTCACTTCGAAGAATGCTGAACCAAATGTTGCCCATTGGTAAGTTATTTTCAGGAACATGATTTTCGCATCCTCTGGTGATACATTACGAGATTGGGCATGAGCAGCCATAATTTGCTTGAAAAAAAAAAGAAATCAAGTCTGATTCAGTAATCGCGTTTTAACACCATTCCTACCTTTCGCCATTCGCCATAGGACAGCTTATCGGCGAGATCAGCTGGAACGAAATCTTTTAATCTAGAAGTCGAAATCACATCGTACAACAGCAAGCTTTCACTTTGATTCTTACTGAATATTCTCGAATTGAGTTGTACTGTCACCGAAACGTACACGATATATACAGGCAGCTAGTTCAATAGCATCTTCGATCGAACATTTATGGTACCCGCGAATTAATTTTGGAAGTTCCTAACAGAACAACGATTCAATCCTGAAAATATGCTCTTTTTCTTACTTGATGGTAATGAAAGATTATGTCGGCCATTCTATCTTTGCCTGGAATAGCATTTGTCCATAGTTTTCTCATGAAGAAGATCTGATAAGTGTATTTCGGTGGATCTTCACGTTGTTTCGTCTTCTTAATCCATTCCTAAACACAGTCATCAGATAAGAATGATAATCACAGTCAAGTACTGTAAACTTACGGTTAGATGTCGAACGAAATCGAAAAAGAAATCACCTTCAGGCACACTGATGACTTTATCAAGAATCTTAACGAATAAACTAAAACCTTCACTTGATTGTAGCTTAAGTCGTTCCGCAATATTTCGACAGAAATCTTTCGCACGTGTGGAAGAATCCACTTCAAATGCTTCTGATGTATCATCCGGAAAGTAGACCTTATGGTAAATTTGTGTAGTCATATGTTGGATGGCTTCGACTTCCACCTGATGTGGTGGATGTTTACGTTGACCATTTCTATAAATACGAATAAGTTCTGAATTGAAAATTTTCAATCAAAAACACTTTACTTCAATGTGCGTTGTAATCGAGCGAAACAATCGGCAGCTAACTGATGTTTACGGGAGCGTAGAAACAGATTCACTTCTCGAAGTAAGACAGCACTCGGTGCGAAACATCCACTTGCTAGCCACATCAATTCCCAACCGCGTGATTCGCTTGATTGATTGCTGTTATCAGTTAATTGTTTAATCAATTGACAGTACAATTCATCTTTCAAAATTTCCTAGAGAACGAAAAAAGAAAGCGATGACAATTCAAATGACAATATTCCAGGTACTGACATGTTTCAATGCTGGATCGAAAATCGCGTCCGTTAGTTCGTTGGTTGCCCGACGTCGATATCCAGTTTGATAATCACCCATATATTTCAGTACATTCATAAAGCAAGCACAAGCTTCTTCACCCAATTCAAGTTTTTCTTGTAATTTTTTCAATAATGGTTGGCGTAAAGGCTCTTTTTGAAACGCCCACAGACGATCCGCACCGTTATTTGCTCCGCCGCGTCGCGTGAATGTGTTCGACCAAGTACGTTTTGGTGCTGCACGAAAGTTAGTTTCAGCATATTTTTCTAGTGTATAACCTTGCTCAGGTAAAAAGTCATTATTGTTATTTCCACCGACCGACAAGCCAGAGAACAGATGATCATTGGTTACTTGCTGCTGATTAGCATCAGCCCATTGTAATGCGAAGATATGAAGAATTTCTTGTGAGGGTTTCGATATTGTGGGTAAAATGTAAGCGCATTCGCTTGGAAATTCACCTGTCGCTCCTGTACGTTCATTGTATCCGAATAATAAACCTGCCGAAGTTGAACGTGGATCATCCTCTAATGTTACTAAATCACCCCGACGTACAGCTAAACCAGATCCCATTGGTTCGAAATCTTGAATAACAACAACATATCTCGATTTTCGTTTGAGGCCTTCTAGGAAATTAATGACTAAATCACGTATATCATCGGCATTGTTTGATGTGAATGTATATTCTTCGTTTTTGATTGTAATTATCGTAAAACTATTACTTTGTTGTCGTCCAGCTGCTTTACTGCTGAGTATTTGTGTAATTTCTGGAAATGATAGTTCAAGCAGAACTTGCTCTTGATCATCAATAACATAAACGCCTGTCCAGTTCACGGCAATGATCACTTCATTTTTCGGTAAAGTCGGTCCTGAGAACTTGTATGCTTCGTAGAAACGCGAGAATAACAGTGGCCATTTGAAGCGGGCATAATTAACTATGTCTTCTTTGACACGAATGATCGATATGGATTCCCTTGGATTATTGAAATAACGTTTGTGCGCATGTATAATAATTTGTAACCAACGTTCTGATGCTTTATTCTGTACGAGTTGATTATCAGGAATGTAATGAGGTAATAGTTCACGTAAGCGATCTATATGTAAATCCTGTCCATATTCAATGAAATATTGCTGAGCAGCGATCATAGCTAAATCATCATCTAGGAAAGTAAAAAGAGAAAGATTAGAAGAGTATAACAGTTGAATTGTTAACCTTTTTCACAACGATATTCGCCAAATTTAATTCCTCGGACAACTTGTTGATAGATCAAATTGGTTGCTACTGGATCGTCACGTGGATTATGCCATGGTGCAAAGATTTCCTTACGGAAGAATAATCTCCAAGGTGCTGCTTTTTCCATTGTACCTTGTTCTTTTGCATATTGCTCACATTGTGATATCGCATCCATAACATGATCCATTCCCGAGCCCAGTGAAGAAACTTTATCGAACAAGGCAATGTATAAAGAGAAACCAAATCGATCATTTAAATTAATCTTCTCAGCTAATAGATCGCATAATTCACGTGCTGTGGTAGCTGAATCAGCTTTGAGAGCTTTGGAACTGCCATCCATAAACGTGATTTGAAGTAACAAAGGTTCTTTGTGTTTAGTTGCCTAGTAGAACAAAAGAAAATACGTATAGAACAATAGCAGAGATAGCTTTTCATTACTTGTAATTCCAGCCATGATGGTGGTTGTGTACGTGAACCATTCATCATTGTTCTTGACAAACGTTCATAGCAATATCGTGGAAAGCCACTTGGGCCGTTAAGAATAAAATTCTGTAGATATTTGATCAATTTAGGTGATGGGGCAAAACATCCCACACATAATGAAAGTAAAACCCATCCACGTGCAGTGGATTGTGATGACGGATTACCTGTTAACTGTTTACATATTTGAGAATAGATTTCATCACGTAATTCAGCGACATGAATGCCAAGGCCAATAATAAAATGTAATTTTTCTAAGTTTGATGTCGGTCGATCTTCGAGAAATGGATTCATACCAGACATCTTCATCTGTTGGCTTGCACTCAAGGCATCAAGATCTTTCAAACGCGTCATGGCAGCATCGGTGGATAGTTTTGATTTTCGTTTCAATGTCATATTCACTAATTTCTGTTTGACAGATCGCGACGTTGGTTTATTGGACGTTAATAATGAGCCGTTATTCGAGTATGATGGTGGTGACGAAGGGTCAGGAGATGGTTGGTTATCAATGGATTCGTTCAGCTTCTGTGCTTCTTCCAAATCTTTCTTATTGAATTTTCTTCCAAGTGTCGAGTGAATTTTGTTCATGACAGATTGTTTTTGATGAACGGCATTTGGTGTGCGTACATCAGGTAGATCGCACATAAATCGAAGAATTGTTATCCAGATAGCCAATGCAGCCTAATGAAAGATAGAAATAAATATGAATACAGACTCGATTCAACTTACCAATTGATCTCGTTCCGACTTGATTGCTAATAACGGTTGTCGAAGTGTTTTCTTCGTGAAATGTGACGTCGCATTGCCTTGAAAATACGTTGAAGCAAATTTCGCAAATGTATATTCTCTTAAATCTTCATCTTGATGTGGCAACGGCAAGGATTTATCGATTCGTTCGATATTATCCATAGATTGTGGCATATTTCCTAATGTCGAATGCATTCCACCAGTTGTTGTTGGACGGTACGCTGATGTGGTACGTTCATCAGTACCTGATGGAAACATATTATTGAATAGATCGTTTTCATCGGTGTAAGTCTTTCTTTTCATCAGCAAGCGTTTTTCTTTTGCTCGTTGTTGTTCAGCTCGTTCCTGTTCGTGAATTTCATGTTGAAGCACTTGTAATCGTTCTCGATATTTTCGTTCAGCTTCTTCTTTAGCACGTTTAGCACCGAGGGTTGGAATTAGACGTTTTTCTTCTTCATATCGTTCTTGTTCAGCTTGACGATACATCGTGTCTTGGAGACGATATCGCCTCATCTGTTTCTGTGCAACATGACGACGAACTTCGGACTGTAAAATAAGAATTGCGTTCAACTTTCGACTATAATTTTGACGAGCTAGAAATATGACAAAGAATAGAATCAAATTCTTTTTCTAATTGTTTCTTTTTACCGAGGTAGCCGCGACAATATCGTTGAAGATTTAGTATACGATCATGTAGAACCGAATAGCGAAGTGATAGCATCCGTGTGTGAAATTGTGTTTGTAAACGTGTGAAACCATTGGTGATGATTTGAAAACGTCTTGCTTCACGATAACTTTTACAGTAACGTTGGATAAGTAGAACACTTTGACGAAGAGCAACAAATTGTCGTCGAGCAATCCATTGACGAATTGTATTCTGTAGGATAAGAATTTTTCGCGCCATAACTTGCTCACGAGCCTGCTCGAGATAAACATCTTGCGCATCCTATTCATTTTAAAAAGAAAATGCAGATTGAAAGATGTAGAGATTCTTAATAAAATATACCTTGAGGAAAACTTTTGTTTTACCAATTTGATAATCCTGATTAGCAAGGGCAGCTCTACAGATTTTCTCTGATGCTGCACGACAATCTCCTTCGCGATGGGATGGGCCAATGCCCGCTGCCAATAGTCGATATCGATCAACGAAATCACGGAATAGATGTCGAATAGGATAACCTTTTCGTCGAATGCTAATCGTTTCCATCATACCTGAATAACGCAATTGACGACAGACTAATGCACGATCGAAATTCTACGAGAAAGGGAAAGTCGGACATTTCGTTGATCAAAACTGAACAGCGTTATTTACATCTGGTGCTTTGTATTCATTCGGTTTGATACAACGAACAAAGAACGGCTGACATGCAGACAAAATTGTCATTAGTGAATCGAGTGATTTCTTGAATTGTGTGCCGAGTGTTGGAGCTCGTTTTCGTGTTTCCGTTCCAATTTGAAATTCATTCAGAAATAAATTTCGTAAGAATTTACTCTTCGTCTCTTGTAACAATTTCATCAGATCTTGACTGAAGGTATCTCGATTTTTCTCCAGAAAATCTATCCGAAACGACAATCACAAGTTGATCACTCAATCGAAAATCAAACATACTTTCACAATCATAGTAGACATTGCCGGCAAAATGTCGAATGCCAAAGCTAATCACGTTATCAGTTTTTCTTGGAATGAAATTTTCATTTTTCGAATGATTAACGTGCAGTTTATCACATAACGAACGATCTGTACCTTTGGGGAAACGACTTTCTTCATCAATCAACGCGATAATGTTCATCGATTTGCTCGCAATCAAATCAAGTATACGTTGATTATCTTCAAATGCAATGTGCTGCCAATTGATATGTTCATTGTCGTACTCTTCCTGTTCCAATTTAAAGATGTGATGAACAAAAAATTGTTGCAAATTTTCATTTGCATAGTTAATGCATAATTGTTCGAAACTGTTCCGTTGAAAATTCTCAAAACCGAAGATGTCCAATATTCCAAGACTATAAAAAACGGAAAGTAAATGTCACTTTGTTTGTATGAGTCAGACATGTACTATCAAAGAACAATAGATGTTTTTCGTTTATTTTCAGTTCGATTTTATCATTAGTATTAGAGAGTACATTTCTCTCATAGATTTCTGATGCGGTTTTCGAAGTCGTAAATATCTTCACATCTGATCATAGAGCTTTAATAAAAATCTTCGAAACCTTATCTTTGTATGATCGCAAAAGAAAATAACTTTATTAAATAGAAGACATAGTCGAATATTCAAGGTTAATAAAGCTTTTACGATCGACAAATTCTTGTACCTTTCAAAAGAAAGCATTGTCGAATCATTTACTTCCTGATTTCTAGATAAAATTTCGAACGTATTTGCTGAGGAGATTTTGTTCTGATTTTTACACTCTGAAAAGTCATATCTGAAATATCATCGTCTCGTATTTCTCACTCATCCTACGCAGCAAGTAAAAAGAGAATATTTCAAATACTTGACGTCGATTTATTGACAAGTTCTGTTTGTAAAGTTTTCTTTTAGATTAATACTATTAAGTAAGGTTTCATCTTTCGAAAGTGTTGACTTTCGTGCAATCGATTACCTTTTTCGATAAATGACATGATCGTTGGGCTTGTATATTGCCGAATTGATTTTCTCCACTATCCATATGAACATCTTCCCGTAGATTCCTTTCACAAATGCATCACTGAACGAGTATAACCATTATCAGAGATAATCATCACGAAACTCATCGCCTACCGAACATCAAATGCTTGTTCCTGATTCAGTGGTGTGACAACGGTTTCACCGTGAGCAAAAATCGTACGTTTTAATAAACCATCGCATAGACCACCTTCGTCAATCTTAAAGATAAATAGTTGCTTACAAGAGATTGATTGGAATATGCTGTCACTCTACTTTAAGTAATTTAGAAACAATTCGAAGAACATTCACATTCGCTACAACACATGTATCCATGTTCTGAGTTGTGGTTGCTGAAGAAAAGAAAGTTCGTTCGTTCAATCATAGATAAATCCATTCATACCTTGAAATCTTAAATTTCCCAAATGTAGAACAGCTGCTAGTAGTCTTAGTATATCATTCAGTTCTTCATCACTGAACATCAACACTTTGCATGCACTCTTTATCGATGCCCATTCTTTGGCATCGTCTCTACTATCACAATAAATGGTTCCATCGAGCTAAGCGGAAAAAAAGTGATAATAAAACAGCAAATAATTCATCCCTTTTGAAATTTACTTGGTTAAGATAAACATAATCACTAGCAGTTGTTAAATCCAACTGTTGTTTCTCTTCTTTAGACATTCCCGATAACATGCAGTAGAAAACATGATAATTTCGTTCATCACGAGCCTAAAATGTCCGTTGCGATCGTTATCAGTTACATTCTAAACCACATACCTGAGATACGATACGAGACTTTTCGAGTAGATATTGTTCTATCTTTGCTCCTTCAATAGCTCCGCGTTTATCAAAGTGAATATCAATATATTTTCCAAAACGTGAGGAATTATCATTTCGAACAGTTTTAGCATTACCGAATGCTACAAAGGCAAGACTTCGAAAAGATTTCATTGATTTTCAAACAAACCTTCAAGAATAGGATTAGCATCAAGGATTTGTTGTTCAATCCAGGAATGTTGACCACTGGTTGCTGCCAGAAATTGCAGAATTAATTTGGTGGATTCAGTCTTGCCACTACCACTTTCACCACTGATTATAATACATTGATCATGTTGATATCGTTGCATACTCCAATATGCGTTGTCGCCTGTAGCAAATATGTGTGGTGGTAGTTCGCCAATTTTTTTATTCGAATATCGACGCATGTATTCAATATTGTACACATTTAGTGATTTGTACGGATTGACAGCTACTAGAATTGATCCAGTGTAGGTCTAAACGAAAAATATGATTGTTGGAATGAGATCTTTTCCATCGTAGAAATATTGTTACATAGATGATGTCTTCTTTGTATCGAATATGAAGATTATGTAATATAGCAGATTCTTTCAGATCACCCAGGGATATCATATCATCGACACCATCGATTGAACTTTTATGCATTGGACGAAATTTAGTTTGGGCAGGGAAATGTAATTCCTAATGAAGAAAAAGTAATGAGAACGTTCACAGAGAAAGTAAAAATTTACTTTTTCATTATCATCGATTAAGACAATTTGTCCGGCTTGTGTAGCGACCACACGAGCACCAATTTCGACATTGAACTCATTGCCAGTTCGCTGATCGACCCAGACATGATCACCCTAAAGATACAAATGAAACAAAACGTTTTCCCTCTTGAAGTGTGAAGTAGAAAATGGTTTTAGCAAAATCAACCTGTAGAAAGTAAGTATTTAGCAGTAGTGCTGGCATAGCTTTATTTCACGTTTGAATTCAATCTACGTCTAATTGTTCTTTTCTATTTACTTGAAATAAGCAAGCGCATGTGTACGTGTTCATTGAAATCATTCGTCCTGTTCTTAATACGAGCACATAACGAACACATTATTCAAGTGCAATTATATATAGATATATGTGTTCATCTGTTGACATTCTCTCTCGTTTCATACATATTTGAATAATTCCTAGAGATCAGTCGAAAACTTCAACGATTTTTCTTCTACTTGCAATTCTCTTGTCTGAACATTGAAATGAACTCAATTAATTAATTTAGGTGTTAATTAACTAGCATGTAACATATATGAACCGGTAATAGATCTTGTAAAACAAGTTGATTATTTTTTTTTCCTTTTCTCTTAGATAAAGACATCTCAATCTAACTACTGAGTGTCTGTATGTGTGTGTGTGTGTATGTACGTGTGTGAATAAATCCGGATCAACAATGATCACTGAGAGACATGGAGAAGAAATTTAGAGAATAAGCACACATCAATAAGCGAACATCGACATTGTCGACAACGGCACATAGTTTGCTAAAAGATCAATCTTTGTGATAGACAATTACAAGCGTGATGCAATATAGAACTATGAATGGGAGAGCATCATTTGTAAATCAAGGATAAAACACGTAGAACAGCAAAATAGATGGACAGCAGTTTTGAAACTAATCAAATACCAGAGAATATTGCATTATTTGACTATAGTTTAATATTTATAGTAAACTTGAATACGAGTAAATGGCAGAATTCTAACAGACAAAAAAAAAACTATGAGTAATTCAACTTACTTTTGCAACGCTCACCATTCAGTGTATACCTGAAAGAAGACATAAACGAATGTATTTTCTTTTAATATGAGGTAAAACACAAACTTTCTTTTTATGAAAAAGACATGAAAGACAGATTCGTTAAAAAATAGTAGTAGCAAACACATACACAATCAGAGATTATGCATCACATTTTCTTCGTCTTTTCTTCCTTCTTTTCAGGTGAGTATATACTTGTATGCCCGCCCGGTAAAAGTAGTCGACTGCAAAGAATGGTTCTCTTCTTCTTCGTCTTCTTCTTCTTCTTTTCTCCTTGCCTTTACTTTTATAACATTTTTTTTTATTTGAACAAAATCTTCCCTCCTGTCGTGCACGCGTATGTGTATGTAGTGTGTGTGTGTTCGTTTTGCGTTCTTTGTCTCGCCTTTACAATGACTGACCAAATGCAATCATCGTACAGAGTCGCCTTTCTGCTGTCTCCTTCTACTCATATTTTTTCTTTTCAGTCCTATTCTGATACTGAGCTGAAGTAAACGAAAGAAGATGTTGATGATGAAGAACGAACTGTTCTTTCTTTTTCTTCTCCTTATATTCAGACAAATAGTGCAGACAGTGTCTCAATCACGAATATGAATTCAACATCAGATCTGTCATCTACTATATGCCGTAGAACTTGTCCTCATGTCTGTAAAGAAAATGTTTACTAATATGTCCCAATGAAAGTATAAAAGAAAAAAGGAACGAACACGACAATCACTTTACAGTCTAAATTGACACATCAACATTAGATCAAATAATCAATATCGACCTTCTTTCCTAAACTAAGCGATACTCAATTTACGTTCTCTTGACGAACATGATAAAAGAAGACAGCTGGAGTATACTACTATTCGCAAAAGAAGAAAAATAAAGACATTATTGTAGACTTTGGTAGATGATATCTACCTGTTTGTGTTGACATTTAACATTCCATTTCAAATAAAACATAAGAAGAGAAAAGAATCTTTATAAAAGTCGAAGATTTCTAAATGATAAATTTGTAACTATCGTCTTCGAAAGTTTTCGATGTCAACTATAATGATTCATACGCGCAAGAAACTTCGAAAAAATCGATGTGAATAATAAATCGAAATGATATTGATTTGTTTTCAAAATGAAGCCATCAGAAGAGTGCCATACTTTGCAGGATTTAAAGAAACAGATGTCGTTAAAAATACAGTTTTGATTGGTTTATCAAGATACTTGTCAAAAACCAACAGACGAAGACGAAAAACGTTTTCTTGTTTCTTCTTTCATCCACATTGTTACATCTTCATTTGTGAAACTTAATTATAACTGAAAATGATTCAAGTACATGTTGATATTCTTCAAAACCTTCAACAAGCAATGTTCGTCTTAAATCTTCCAGTGACAGCGTATGTGATGTTCATTAGATAGTTTGTTTGTTTTTTCATAGAAAAAGAAACGAATTAAATCATATCATACGATCTCGTGATACTGTATTTTCCTGGGAAGAATAGTAATAAACGTTACTCTTGAAGTGAAGTATGTACGTACGATTGATTCATGATGAAATCAATCATCAAGTATGAAGTGTTTCTCTGTTTGATATTTATTCCAAGAATAGATGGTAGAATATACCCTCATATGTAATATATTGCCTTCCGAACCATCAACAAGATATAGATTCAATTGTGTATAAAGACTAACTGTGTACATGCACGCGAATGTCGGGTAGTTTCTCTGAACGGCACGCATCTATCTCGATTCGTATAGATTCTCAGTGTTGAATGGAGAACAAATGTAAATGAAAGTTTAAATATTATAATTTGTCCTACTATTTTCTTTTAGAGAATGTAGCATTCAAACTGATCAAGTTGTTATCGAAGACAAATCCCACGCTGAACGAACTATAATTCATTTCAACGGTTTAATAATAGATGTCAATCGAAATACTGAAATTACAACACCTGAAAAGAATACTATTACAACAGTTGAAGAAGAACAGATTCGTCGAACGTTCAGGTAACTAAATACGATCGACTTCAGTACGAGCATGTATTCTATCATTTTTATTCAGATTTCCGTTTCTTCGATTGCCAATTGTCACAGACGATGTGCACTACGATTTGACTAAAATTCAATGTGCTGAATGTCATACACCATTGAAAATCATTCCAGACAAGTACGATTAATTGTTTTTTGAGAAAGAATTTTTCATCTGAATCTAATTGTATATCGTAGTCAGTCGTACAAAATTGTTCAACAACAAAGTACTAATGCAGATGATATCAACGAAGTTATCTTCTGTCATCGGTTTTGTGAAGCTCATCAACATGAACATACGCACGAGCATAAACATCAATTGCATGTTCCTCTTGATCTTCATTCGGAATCGGTAGTTCTCGAAACGGTGGAAAGCTTCGTCATTGGAAAAGAGTTTACATCTTTTGATCTGGTCAACAATGGACTTGTACAATGTCACCATTGTTCTGCTCAACTCGGGACATTCGGTATAGTAGATTTATTAATTGTGTTGAGTGAAGAGTATTTTTTTATTTTCTCTGTTTAGATTCTCAAACAGATCTCGTTTCGTTCGATAAATATGCATTATATCCATTTTCCAATGATTATCTATCAGCATGTTTCCGCCATCAAGAACCCGGCCGATATATAGTGAAAGTACCCAAAGTCAACGACTCGGTCTTTCTGGTCTGGATATTGCCGAATCGGCTACTCTCTGCTGGTACATCAATCAAGTCAAATAATGGATCTATTCAACTTAATTTTCAACAGAAACGCAAGATTCTTTTCTCACATATAACATCAGCAGATGATAAACTATTTGCTGATTGGAAACGAGATTTCTCAGTAACAACTCTTCTAATTAGTCGATTATGTCTCAATCATTTATCAGCAACATTCAAACAAGAACTAGAACATTTTCCGAACATTTTCAACAGCAAGGAAACATTCCAATCATTAACTATATCTTTGTAATACTTATAATAAAACTAGGAACATAATGAACAAAAAAATACTTATTGTATGATCTACATGTGTGTATCGAACGAAAAAGTCAGACTGTATCTTGTCTTCATCGGCTAATCCTTTGTTTGTAATAAGCAGTAGTAGTAAGAAACGAAAAAATGTTAATAAGACCAAATAGCAATTAGTGGACGATCGAATCAACGAGCGAACGAACGAAAGAAAGAGAGAGAAAGTACTCTCTATCCCACTTAGTCACTCGTCAATAAAGTGACGAGAACGTATGCTTTGAGATACATATAGCTATGGAATCCAACAATTGCATCACGAAAGATTGTTCCACTATCTATCGTTTTCAGTTTGCAAGTATCGCTTTCCTCTGCAGTGTTTATCTTCCATACACATTTCATTCAAGTATATGGTCACTTTATACAGAACCGTTCAGCCCAGTTAATTGTTCTTCGATCAATACACCATTTGTATCTGGGTCAACGGCAAATGCACAAACAAAATCGCTTTTGACAGTCTTGATAAAAAATTTCAATCAGTCAGAATGTTGTCCGTGTAATGATATTCTTAGTAGCAATTCCAATGATAAACGTTTATTGAGTCTGTGCCAAGAATGGATGACAAATGTCAATGAACTAAAATCGCGTAAAACAACTATCATTGATGAAGTGAGTGTACAGATATGCGTGATATTATTGAGGAAGCTTTTCAATGATTTCTATAGTGGCATTTAACGTGCAGTCAAGAGAACCGACGAAGTCTAATAACCGGTTCAATTTCATTTTTGATTGCAGAACTTCTTGGTGTTATACTAATGGGCATCTTAGCCGATCATTTTGGAAGAAAGCTAATGCTTCTTATGTGCCTCTATATTCCGGTGGTACGGATTTGTTCAAAGAACGTAATCTTTTCTTGCATCTTTTATCTGTTTTTCTTTCAAGCTATTTGGTTCATTGGCTGCATTCACAACTACTTATACATTGTTTATTATTCTTCGATGGCCTGTAGGGTTCTTAAATAAGGTAGATTCAGGTGTGAATTTATCGATAGTTCAAGACTGTATTGCTTCCCAGGGTCTTCTTGCGCTTGTGTACATCATGGTTATTGAATCATGTGAATATAAACATCGAGCACAAATTGGTTGTTTACTTCTTGCTTCTATACCTGTATTTGGCATTATCATTGGTGTCACTTATTTTTTCCTGTTGGATTGGCGTCATATGCAATTACTTGGTATTGTTTTTCAGCAGTATCCATTCTTTTCTCAGATCATTATTTCTATCATAGGTACTTTGATTACTACATTGACTCTTTGTTATCCATGGTAGAGAATAATCATTTCTTATGAAGTAGTGTCTACCTACACAGATTTTTTAGGCTAATACCAGAATCTCGTCGATGGTATGTGAATAGTCATCGTGTGTCACGTGTGAATAAACTCCTACAACTATGTTCGAACAAACAACCATCAACATTAGGATTGAATAAAGTCGGTTCATCAGCACCATCAACAATGGGTTATGACAAACCCGTTCTCTCGCAAGATGCTCTTCGTGTTCAGACAGGCTCAATCACTTGTCTATTTCTTGATCGGCAACTTCGCACCATTACTACTTGTCTATGCATACTCTGGTTCGATCTCTTTGCTTACTAATAAAGATTACATCGTTGTAAATTTTAGGTTTCTTTCCTCGTTCTGTTATCAATGTACATTTTTTCCAATAATCTTTCCACATCCAACTATGAATTATGTGCTAATGAATGCAACAGAATTCCTGTCATTTATCATTGCATTTCTTGTCGCTTACAAGTAATCATCGATTGATGTATGCAAAAAAACAAGAGGAAGAAGATCTGAACTTCTTTGTAGGGTTGGTCGTCGAGCACCAGTAGCTGTACTCATCCTAATAAGTGGCCTCTCATCAGTTTCGTTAGCAATTACACTACTTGGAACAGGTAGACCGAAATTAAAACATCGCTTTTGATTAATCATTATACTTCATAGGACACATATGGCTTGAGATCACTTTTTCACTCGTCGCTCGTGGTTGTCTTCGAATTTGTTATTGTCTCTTAGTTTTATTCACGTCTGAACTGTATCCAACGTCCATTCGGTGAGCTGAATTCTTCTTCACACCTATAAAAGTATGTTATTTTAATTCACAGAGCAACTGGTTTAGCACTTGGCTTATCTAGCGAGATTGCCGCTCGAATTACAGTTCATCTACTTCTCTATGTAAGAAATTCGAATAATTCATCTGACTTCGTCATTTATTTTCATTCCTAGTTCGCCGTTGATCGAATACTACTTCTATTTATATCTGGTGGCATGCTATGTCTTAGTTGCTGTTTAATATTTCCTTTGCCGGAAACCATACTTTATGATTTGCCTGATTCCTTGTCGGATTTACAATCAATGAAACGTTCTATAGGTAACGACGATAATGGTGAAATGTCGCCACCTAATTCTCACTATCACATGATCGATGCAAATACATTGGCGTTTCCTCCTCTATCGCAACCAAATCTTACAAATGCGAATATGAATGCCTTGTCTCCACTAACTCCCAAGACAATCTTAAAATCATCACAAGAAACAAACACAGGCGACACAAGCGTGACGATTCATTCTCAACCGGAAATCATACAAATACATTCCAATACATCGTCATTGAATGCCTTGAATAATCCATGTTATTTTGCGACATTGAATAATACAATAGATCAGTACGATTTCGGACAACAAATCGATAATCGTTTGATGTTTAGTATTCAAGGTGTACAAAATAATAACAACAATAATAATAGTGAAGAAGAGAGAGAAGATACCAGATTTTAAATAATAGAAGCATGTGTTAATCAATTGAGAATGTTTTTATTATATCATTGTGTGTTTCTTTTTTTGTATTTATTAGTAAAATATCAAGTGTGTAGATAAATTACTATGTACTTCTATGAATCATACAGCGAAACGAGAGAAATTTTCAAATATTGACCTGTGACATCTGGAATTTTTCTATCTGAGTACAATCGATCGATTGTCCGTTGACATAGCATCAATTCGTTGTGATATAGAGAGAAAATTTGATACTAACGAGTATGTCATGCGAAGAAATTATCTTCGAACTAGGTTAGGACAAGATGCATACACATCAATAGGATATTTTTGTTTCACTGCATTCCATACACATACATCGCTCATAAGCATGAAAAATACATTGACTCCTATCAACATTTCAACTTCCCCGTGCTGACGCATCTTAAAACATGAAAGCATTTTTTCTCTGTTCTCCAGCTGAATCACTTATGAACAAAAAATATGAATAGATCGAATGTATCTGTATATGTCCAACATCTAGTCTAACGTCAAGCAGTTCAAATTCATCGTTTTCTCTTCCCTCTCTCCGGATAGAGCAAATAAATACTACAGTCGTTTCTCATTCGAGTGTTGTGAAATGAAGGAGTGTATGAAATGAACAAACAGACATACACATACATGTGGCAAGAAGGTTTTCGCAATGATTTGGTTTTTGTAAATCACCTCTGCTTTCGAGTTCATTCGTGTTATTGAATATAAACTCGAACTCACGGGTGGATATACAGCCAGATAAACGACATGTCAGATGGCTAATCTGAACTATACGAAAACGACTCCATTTATCTACGATACTCAAAATACTGTAACAAGTAGTTCTCGAAAACAAACAAGGTCATGCGGTGACCTTAGAGTTTCAAGATGAATATTTATTGGTTATATTTGTTTGATTAAGAATTATCGATGCATGCACAATCTTTCTAGAACGGCGACAATCTCTAGAGAATTCAACGACGACTGATATGAGTTCAAACTATTATGTTGACAAAAATGTTCAATGAGTAAACTTGTTGAAATGATTCTCAAAACGGAATAGAGATATGTTGAATAGTATATTCTATGTTCTTTTCTGACAACAACTTCGCATTATTTAATGCACGTGAGATCATTGTTTATGAAAAACGATTACATAAGTAAGAAAGAAACGAGTTCAATTCAAAGAAGAAAAGGAAGAAGAATGAAATAACTAGATTGTATACATATATTTCTACAATTTTCGAAAATCGCATCGTAGTAAACGTGTGTAAGTCTTTTTAAATTGTCGATTGGCAAGCGCATAACAAAATGGATTAATTGGACTGTTTAAGTAGCAAAGAAAGTAACAAGCATGAAAGAGATATGTATTAAACACAATACTTTCACGGCATGTTTTGCAAAACGTTTGAATGATTGTATGAATATGCCACTAAAAGAAGAAAAGGAAATGAATGAGAGACTCATCTTTCATTTAGCGACAAAACAGAATGATTAGACATGGATATGATACTAAATATGTCATTTGTCTCTCTAGATTCATTCTTAAACACTCTTGACAATAAGTGTGCTTTTTTATATGAAATGTAAATCTACTCACTGGTGTCCAACAGAGAACAAATGCACCCATAATGACAGTGATAGTACGTAATGCTTTTCTTGCTTTGTTGCTACTTCCATTTCTACCGCCTGGCTTTTGTTTTGTTGCACTTGATGTAAAACTATTGTTCGGCTTGTTAGGTATGAGTAAGCGATTTTCTTCCGATTTTTTATTTGTTTCCACTTCAACACGAGTTATGGGAAGAATTGTTGAAACATTGGGAGATACGGCAGCGACCGATGGATGTTCACCACTAGTTTCATTCGATGATGAACGATTGATAACGTCAAGTCCGTTTGATAATCTATTTTGATTATCATGTTGATTATGATTGATCAATGAACTTCCAGCATCATCATCGATACTTGTATTACGTCGTGAGAGTGACGATAGACTTGGCTGTTTCTTTTTCTTTGATCGCGTAGATGATGATAAACAGTGAGTGGTTTGAGTAACTTGATGACTTTTTGACGCGCTTGTTGCCGCGTCTGTTACGGTCGTCGGCGCACCACCGATCAGATTTGAAAACTTCTTTGCATTAGCATTCGAACGCTTTTCCAATGCACTGGCGACTTGATAAATAAAAAAGTACAATGTAAACATAACTAGTAGTGTCACCCAAAAATAACCAATAGTTAAACCTATGAAATATCAATTAAATATAAACAGATTCCGGTGAATTGTAACGTACCTAGATTGAAGTAAGGATTCTTATTCCATTGCACGCTGAAATCAAATAAAAACAATGTCATGATGTTTTTCTATTCTGGTACAAAACCCTTCGGGAATCTTTGTTCTTACTCGCATTGAAGATCAGCTACACTTAAATTTGGCTTTTTGCTGAATAGTGGATAACCCATAGTCGAAACAAAGAATATCAATGCTGGTACGAACCATGTTAGAAGCACCAATAAAATGATACGTTTCTTTGTTCTCCAATTCCGATATTTCGTAGGAATTTTCACTGAACAAAACCGATCAACAGTTATTAGAAGCACCGTATAGATAGATGCTAAACATACAGTATAATCTAATGATAACCATATATCGCATAGAAATGAACCGAGCACCCATCGATTTTTATAGATAGCTAACGTTAAAAAAGGCATTGAAACACAACCAATGAGAAAATCACTAATCGCTAATGACAGTATGAAGTAATTTGTTGGTTGACGAATTTGACGATCAACGAAAAATGAAACAAGTACGAGAATGTTTCCGAAAATAGTCAACAACGAAGAAAACGTGCCGATGATCGCAATGGCAACATTGACTTGTTGAGGATACGGATGTGATGATGAAATAAATATAGTCGACGACGAATCTTGTAAATCATCGTTCGATAGATTATAAAATATGAACGATTCGTTAAAAAATAGTAGCGGAAGTTGTTCTACCATACATGTAATAGTGGCGAATATTAAACGGACAAAACGAATGATTTATCTAGAGTGAAAGAATTAGGGCTAGACATGATTTACTTCATTAATGAATAACGATTTGTCTAAATTACCTGATGGAACACTATGTACTCGTCACTTATGTGAAATCTATCAGACAGTCATAGATATAAACCGGCTGACAGCCAGACTGGAGGAAGATGAAGAAAAAGAAAGGAACGGGAGATATGGGATTATTTCTCTTGATTTGAAGACACATATTGATGTATATTGATGATATTTATCATTATTACTCTCTTACACTGGTACTAATACAAGATAGGTTTTCTACCCATCCATTTAGTGAGCTTAAGGCAATATGCATATTTCCCTTTCTCGCTTTCTCCTCTCATTCTTTACTCGGCCTCTAGCAATATTCGATTTCTCAAATTGAAGTCGGTCAATTATTGTTAGATCGGCAAGACGAAGACAAATGCATTGTTTCTCTTTTTCCTCAACTTATGTGCTTGTAATGATAATCATCTATCAAGAGACAGTTGTCGTAGACTTCGTTACTGTGCGCTTCTCGTGTTCGCTTTCATCAAACACTATTTTTTTTTATGTTGCTAACAGTCATGAATTTTTTCACAGAAACGCGTGCGTACGACGGAAAAAAGAGAGGGAGAAATCTACTGTAACGGACGAAACGTTTAGAGCAATAATCTATCTATCGTTTCCTTGTTTTCTTTCTTTTCTGTCTTTGGCTTTATTACTTAGAAAGCAAATTTTATTATTTGGTTAATGCTACAACTGATTTTTTTCTTTCTTGACAGAACATTCGCACCTACCTCTAGAGATTTGATAAATCTGAAGAATTAGTTTCTGAATAAAAAATGAACAAACATCAATATTATTCTTGTTAAACACATATCGACAAACGTCTTTACGTAATTTATCATGGAAAATTACAATCGTCGATGGTTGTTATCACTTCGTCTATCTTAGCTGACTTCTTTCCTTATTTAGTTACTGTTTAAGAAGAAAATGCGGCACTGACTCTCTCTCTCTCTCTCTTGTAGCGACAGTTATTACCTTCTTGTGTCGTCACTTAGCCTAAAGGCGGTGAAAAGTAAACGAGCTGGTGTGCAGAAGACTTCGATGATGATAAATGAGCGTGTGTTGTAAGATGTAGATGATGGTTTCGACGCTTCCTGAATGAACTGAAATAGGATGTTTATGGTTGTCGAACACAAACATACGAAGCGGAACAATTGAATAATGAGAAACGACAAAAGAATTCGCACACATTCCGCATAGATAGACATGGTATATCTATGTATTCATTTAAAAGAATCCGAACAATGGCAAATTGATACAGCTGGTTGTAATAGACGTAAGCGAACTATCGAATTAATATCTATATGTGGAAAGAGATTCACTAATCAACACTTAGTAATCGAGTAAAAACATCAGATTAAAAACGATTCGATCTAGGCAGATTCGAGAAACTTGTAACGGATAGTGATTCTTGTTTTCGAATTGATTATTGATCGAAGATTTCTTAACTGTTTCTCTCTTGACTTATCGAAAACGACTCATGTTGATTCCATTGATTTCGAACAACAAAAATAACTACACCATCTAACAATTCTACTGGGAAATTATTCACTCTTTTCTTCATTATCACAATCATCACATAGAAAACGATTTTCTCCAAGTTCTTTCCCTAAAATCATGACAAAAACATATATATACAGCTGATAACAACAACAACAACAACCGTTCATCTTCTCATCATGATCAACCACTCGACACATTCGAAAGTTGTCTCTTTCGATCTTCGCTTTGTGTCGTTATGCTGTTTACTGTTTTATATCTCACTAATGCACTGTTCGAGAGCGATCATTCTATCAGTATCTTCGATTGTCTCGGTAACAACCAGCACTCTGCTCGGGATGAAGAAAATCAGTAAATTCACGCTTATTTTAACTTTCATCGTCATCTTTGTCGGCTTTGCCAAATCTGCATTAGAGAAAGAAGACAAACTTGTTAGCAGCATCGTATGTCAAAAATTGATAGCACTTAGCGTACTTAGGAACGATCTCATGTATATTTGATATGTCGTTAAAGTCCGGACTGGTTCGACAAGATTCACCCTGAGAGCGTTCGCTCGTAGGTGTGACGAAAAAGAAATTGTTTTGTGTTTTTGCGAGATTAATTGATTGATTGGATGCGATTGCTTCCGACTAGAACAGATGAACACCACAGAAATGTTGATGTTATAACTGATTTTACCGAATAACACATGGAAAGTGTAATTTCCTCACTCTTGACTTATTATTCTTTTAATCTATTGTGAAAACAAACACGTCATCAATACTCATGTGTTCTATACCGGTTTCTTATCAAAGTTGGATACCACGGAGATGAATATTTCTTTCGGTCATTAATATATAAGTGTACTGTAAAACACACATGATTAATCAATATTTTTTACTACTGACTGAATTTGCTTCTGGTTTCGAGCACCTCGAATATTTTCTTACTATATTTAGCTGAAATGCACTATTAACTACGAAATTCTTCATACACAGGTTCTCATATCAAGCCACATAGCTTGTGCAATCTGATTCATCTCGCGAGATTCTATCATTTTGATTGTTGTTCAAATCTTCTTTGAATGATGTAATTCACTGGAGATTAGCCTACTTTCATCACTTACCCCGAACATGCAATTACATTCCTGTCAAGTGATCTGTTCGTTATTGATTCGAAATGTAACGAGGAGAGACAGTTTTACGACGTACGTATGTTACAGGTATGTTTTATTATCAAAAAGAAATACTCATATGAATGCAATTAACAGTTCTAGTCATCCGTTATATACAAGCAATTTTACAGCTAGTGAATAAGAGCGTGATTATCATAATCAAGTAGCATCCATTTATTATTTTTCTGATAGGAATCGAAGACTAAATAATTTATCGATAGTACGTGCGACCATCGATTTGTTTTTGAGATTGTTGTCAGAAGCAAACTCGACATCGAACTTCTGCGTTACGATATACAAAATCGTATGATTTATTGTTCAAGATTATCAATCGTATAAAAAAAATCATCACACAGCAAACAAAATTTTCTAATTATTTTCACAAAAGAAAAGGTTAGCAACAGAGATTAAAAGAAGAAACGTGACTTAATTAATCAAATAAAATGCACAAATTCGATGATTATTCTCATTGCATGTATCTAGATTAAAGATCATTGTGAATTCTTAATTCAGCACCCCAATCAGTTGCTTGGCTGCCAACGAACACATCGTGTTTCTCGAGAATTTCTTCTTTACTCAATTGATCATCCTATAAGGGAAAACACCAATGGCATTCTTGATAGAATTATCTTCGAATTTACTTGATCTGCATCAGCTTCATGAAAGAGATGTTCGGTTTCAGCTTGAATATTATCATAATCAGTCGGCATTAGCCAGAGTTCAACTTCCTTTCGGTTCATTTTCCCGTCATGATCAAGATCCCGATATTTTCGAAAGTTTTCCCTTTCGATCTTCACCCAATCGGGTTCAGTTGTATCGTTAGCTTGTTTACTATCCCATATGTCACTAATGAACTCTTCGAGAGAAATCATTCCATCACCATTCCTATCTATATCTTCGATTGTCTCGGTAATAACGAGATCTTTCATGCGAGAACTCTGCTCGGGATGAATGAAATCGGCGAATTCACGCTTGTTTAAATTTCCATTACCATCTTCATCGGCTTTTGTAAATCTAAATGGTGGAAAATTCAACTCAACTAAAATAGTCGGCTTCCTAGCTTTACCGTCTTCGATCTTTCTTTTGCAATCGCAGATATTGATCGGTAACTGTCTTCGGTTCAGGTACGTCATCATCTATATCAAACGATCGAAGTTTAATAGAGTTCTGTGTTCTAGTTCAGTCTTACACAAAGCATAATAGGTTGTTTTATCGTATTCATTCCACGAGATTTCATTATTTGAGTCATTGTTCATTTGTATCCATTGTTTTTGAACATCATCGCTGATGTAACGTGTTTGAACAGATTTGATCCAGTCTTTTAATTCTTGCTTTGTAATTGTACCATTGTGATCCTTGTCAATACGATCAAATAGAGCGCTAAACGAGAAATCAGATGAAATTTTCGTGGAACGGTTTGACCAAAGAATTGTAGATTACCCAAGACGCTTTTTACTTTCTTCTACAGGTAGTTTATCAAAATTTTTCGCTTCTTCAGTGCCTAAAAATGCTTCATGATCATATTCAGTGTTATGTTCGACTTTTTTATCATTATTCAGATCAGTAAAATGTTCTTGCTGACTGAGTGGCTACAAAGTAAAATAGAAATGACAAATCCGACAAAAAATACGGTACATACCAGATCAAGTACTCGAGCTTTATGATCATTTTGTGTTCCTGTAGGTAGAATACCCGCATAACATGAGATAATCAATAGAAATGAGATAAAACACAGAAAAGATGACATCTGAAATAGGATTTTTTTTAGGCAAATATAAAATTTATTTCACGAGGGTAAGAAATAGTCAATTAGTATTGCTCTACGGATGCGTCGAATCAGAAAAGACCACATCATAGAGATTTGCTGTTCTGTATATTTCTCTTTCTTTCTTATCTAGTTGAATACCTACTGTATACGAATATAACATTTGAAAAGCTAAGATTAAATCATCTAGAAAAGAAATCAATCAAGTAAATCCAAGAGAATATCACTAAGTATAGTTGTATTTATTGTCACAGCTTGTTTAAGTATTAAGCGTTGCTCATTAGTTAGAATTTGATCATTTTCTGTACATTTAATTAAAATTTTATGGAGAACTTTAGCAAATGGTAGATTATCTGAGAAAATCGTCGCTGAAATCGCCACTTTTTCCGGTAAAAAGTTAAGTAAATCATTGGAGAAATAAAATTCTTTACTATCGAACCATTTACTAATAAGGGATAATTCATTCATATTGAACGGACATGTACTATTTTGACAGAGATAACAACATAATTTACAACGATCAGACAGATTAGTCAGTTGAGTAAATAAATTCGTAAAAAATTGATTGATGGTGTCTGTGGTGAGACTCCGAAGCCATGGAATGAAACAATGGAGAAAGAATGCATCAGACGATTTGTTCATTAGTTCGACTAAGAGAGAAAAGAAGTCATTGGGTATGTTAAATGATAGATCGATAAGCCATGGGTAGATTAATGTTTGGAAACATTTGACAACTCGAGTCGAATTTGATTCGTGAAGAATTGTTGTGAGATTTTCCATTGTACGGTCTAATGAAAAGAAAAATCAAAAGTGAATATGTTGAGATATGTTTACCTTCTTCGATGGGTGAATCATCTGCTATTGAAATGATTTCTTCGTCATATTCGAGATTTTCTACAACATCAACATTAACAGCAAAGCGTACTCTATTGGTATCGATGTTTATCAGAGTATTCTTCGTTGATCGTCGTCGTTTGGACGATGAATTCTCTTCAATCGTCATTCGAACTTGTTTTGGCTTCATTTCTTGTATATAACTATTGATCAGTTCGAAGATTTTCTTCTCCTCGTTTTTCTCGGAGATGAACTCGAGAAGATTAGATACGCTTGCTGCATCCGAAAAGGATAGATAATCATAATTATCACATGGAGGAAATGCGCTGAGCCAAAATTGTGCGAGACTTTCTTTCGATATCGTTGCCATCGATTGAATATCAAGGATATCTATCTCTGACCGATTTCATCCAATACGATCATGTGATTTACAGTGATATCTATCGAAAATTTGCTAATATCAACCAATCATAGATTGATCGTTAATATTCATGTATGTGTACTCTACTCGGTCTGTCTGATCTTATATAATCACTGAATGAATGGTTGCTGCTAAATGATTAAGAAACTATTGATTTCCCCGATTGTTACACGTACACTTTTTCGAAAAAACTCGCCAAGAACGTATGATATCATTACGTCCAGTGCTTATAAGACAAATAATCTTCCGCGAGTTGTTCCAAAGGAAATTCCTCGACCCAATAATCTTTATAATTTAGTCAGCGGACCTTATCGAGCTTCGACGATCATCAAAAACCAATGGCAATTAGAAGGTATACGTGCAGCATGTCGTCGAGCTCGTACTATAATCGATACGGTTTCGGAATCTGTTCAAGTTGGCGTAACAACTGATGCCATCGACAAATTAGTTCATGAACTATGTATTTCACTCGGCTGTTACCCGGCGCCACTTCATTACGAAGAATTTCCTCGTTCATGTTGTACGAGTGTGAACAATATAGCTTTACACGGCATACCGGATGGACGACCTTTGAAAGCAAATGATGTACTTAAACTAGATGTCTCTGTCTACTATAATGGATTTTTTGGTGATGTGTCGGAAACTTATCTAGTATCTGATAATGAGAAAACTTCCGTCGATAATGATGCACTCTATTTAATAACCCATGCACGGCGATGTCGCGATCGAGCAATTGCTGTGTGTCGACCAGGCATAGAATTCTCTGTTATTGGTCGCGCTTGTGAAGAGTACATTAAACAATGTACAGGATTGAAATTAGTCAAGAATGCGTGTGGACATGGGCTCGGCGAACAACTACATGAACCGCCGCAAATTTTACATTATTACGATCCAAGTGAAAAGCAAATGCAATGGACTATGCAAGAAGGAATGGTCTTCGCTATTGAACCAGTCGTTACAGAAGGCGATGGTCGAGTAAAGATGTGCGATGACGATATTCAAGTATGTACAGTCGATAATTCACGTTGTGCACAATTCGAACATACGATAGCAATCACATCGAACGGTTACGAGATCTTGACGGAAGGCAAAACGGATATGCGACCGAATGTATTAGAAAAAAAGGCGGTTTTTGTGTAAATTTTCTATCATTTTTTGATACTGTATCGAATGTTATATTTTTTAGACGAAAAACAATATCTTTTTTTCATATCTATGTATACTCAAAACAAGCAAAGACATTGAACGAAAAGATCATATCTATTATCTGTATTTAACGCGTCTAGTCGTGATTGATATTTAAATTTCTTATCGGTTGAACGGTATCAGATAACGCAATGTTTATTGACGATTACTTTTGATAGATGGGATAGCGTAAAACTCAACTTTGACTAGTTTCTCATATCTCATAAATTACATCGCTTATAAGTTGTTCGTCATTTGATGAGAAGTCAGGGATTGTATTTGTATAGAGACATTATTACATAAATTAAGGAAATGATGTCATCTATCGGCGAACAGTTTGAAATAACACATGGGAAGCATTGATCATTTTCAATTATAAATATTACGTACTTCAGCTAACGGAATCGATTAAATCTCGTATTCAAGGTGAAGGGATCTTCTCAAGAGTTTCATAATCGAAGGGGAAAACATTCATTATTGGTTTGTCAACATGAAATCTCTATTCTACATGCTGCTGCTGATGACGATGATCATAAACACGAATAAAAAGAGAGAACAAAAATAAATAGACGAGTACTTTTAAACAAATAAAAAAAAACAAAATTTCACACATATGAGACAAAAAACAAAGAGAAAAAAGAAAGAAGATAGACGATTTTTTTTTATTAAAAGACAGTGAAAAGGAAAGAAAATTACCTAAAAAAAAACAAACTGAGATGGATAAAAATCAGATCTTTTGTCTCCCTCTCTCTGGTATTTTTTTTTAATATTCATTTTTGTTTTGTACGAAGGGATTCGCGAACAATAAGATTTGTCTTATGATACATTATTGCTGATAGAGCAAGACAACACATGCATACAGATTGTGACTATGAGAATAAGGAATCCAAATCAAAGACGGTAGAAAAAAAAAGAAACGAAAAACAACAACTGTTCGAAGCGATGATGAGCGGTGAGGAGTAAAGAATTGTTCAATGAATAAGAATAGCAGCACCAATACATCATAGGAGAGGAATCGTGATCAAAATGCTTGTGTAAAGAAATCAAAAGTAAATTTATCGTTGTACAGAGACAACGCGAAGCATTAGTAATTGTCTTTCACCATCTTTGTCACCGATGGCAACTATTGTTCGATTATGTGCAGCCATATGTATATCAACTGGTGTCATACCAACAGGCATTGTCGACGCGATTTGACCCGTCTGTAAACGCCATAAACATATATTTTGATCTTTCGAACCAGTTGCAACTAATTGATTCGTTGAAATACATGAACAAGTAATCTAAACGAAGAATTTTGAGAAATCGAGAGAGAAAAGAATCAAGGAAAGTACTTCTCGTTTATGTCCAACTAATTTTGAAACCAATTCTTTGGAATTCGAATCCCAAACTTTGCCTGTACCATCGGCACTTGTTGAAACAAAACATGAACGATCGGGTGATAATTTTAAATCAGTAATACGATCACGGTGTGCATTTTGTCCATTGTCATTTAATGTGTGTAAACGTTGACATGACGCGATATCCCAAAGAACTAATTGTCCGTTCTTTGTTCCGGTTACCATTTGTTCATTATTCAAAACGATCGAACATTTTGGATCAGAATCTAATGCTATTGTTGGTGGTTGAATCAATTCTTGTTGGGTTGTTAAGTCAAACACGACAAATGTTGTTGAACCTGGACCTGATGGGCAGCCAACAATTGCATGACGTTCATCAGGAGTCAAACTGATAAATGAAGGTGAGCCACCATAAGACTGATTTGTATCTGATTTGATTTCTTTTGTCAATTCGGAATTATTCAAATCGAGAATGCCAACTGATATACCACGTCCGTATTTTTGATTACCAGCCATAACTAGATTATTTGAGTTGTTACTTAATGTGAATGTGGCACATTTTATTTGATGAGTCAATTGAACCGGTTTGCCGGTATTAACATCCCAGATCTAAACAGAAATTTAATCCATAAGGTAAACGAATCAACCGGAAGAACAAGAACGTACTTGAAGTACACATGGTTGAGCATCGACACCGTCACTAGCCAATCCAACCAAGAGTGTGCCACTACACGCCAAGGCCACTTTACTACAATTGACACTGGTTCCTTGCATACTTGATACGAGTTGACCGTTCTATAGAAAAGAAGATGAATCTCTTATTCTCTCAAAGATTATTCTCCTTACAACAGCGTCCCAGATTTGCGGAGGTCCTTGACTTTGTCCAACGATTGCATATTTTCCATTAGGTGTCATGCTAACCGAATTGATATTACTTAGTTCATAGTCTGTTTGAAGGCCACCGTCCGCAAACATGGCATTCATTGAATAGCCACCGCCAGCATTCTCCCATGATTCGAATGTATCACGATATCCTTCCGTGGCCATGCCACGACCATAACCAAAATCTCCGACAGGTGGTGCATGATAATCTGTTTCGATGACGTGTTCTAAACATTGAAAACAACAAATAGAATTATATGCGATTAAAACCATTAGAAATATAATGGTATCAAGCGACATGCAAGAATGCAAATGACGAAACAACAATCATATGCGTGCGTATTCCTACGTTGAGAATAGGCTGCCGATGATTGTTGATGATGAGCATCGCGTGCAAAATCACCATAACGAGATGAAAGTGTTGGATATGTAGTGAAAATACCACCTGCGGTATCCATACCGCCGTATTCTCTAACGATTTCTGTAAGGTGATAGTCATGACTTTCTATTCTAATGATATCTAATATAGATCTTGCAAAACTTACCGCGTGTCTGTTCGATACGCGTTGTTTCCAATCCACCGGATGATCCAGCAGCTGCTGATGCGGCCATATTATCGCCACGTTGATCAATTAATTGTAAATCACGTACTGCATGGCTTGCAGGACCAGTATAAAGTGCTATGAAAAGAAAAGTATTCATAACGTGTTAGTTGTCAATGTCATGCCGTCATTTTCAGTATATGTCATACCTGATGTTCCTGTTAATACTGGTAAGTAGCCTGAACGAGTACCGCCTGGCAAGCACGCGCCATGTGTACATTTACGTGCAGCAAAAGCTAATGCGAGTGGAATTAGAAGTAGAGCGCTGACAATTGCCAAGATCCATCCGATGGGACCGGCACGAGCACCCAATACACGCCCATAATCAATTAATTGTCCTTTTTTAGGGCCAATGACAGAGGCCGTTAATGGCTCTCGAGGTAAAGTTGAAGCGACATAAGAGATTGGAGGTGGAGTAGCAACTAGACAATAGTAGAAACAAAGAAACAATCATCTATTCATGATAAAAGAAGTAATGCATTGCATACGTGGAGTTTCACAATGATATCCTGTGTAGCCTTCCGGACATAAACAACGACCTTCATGACATGTTCCGTGATTACAATTGATACCAGCACAGAGATCGGCTAGAATGAAGAAACGATTATTTCTGTTCTTGTTCGTTGATTTTAAAACTAGAACTTACCAGGTGGAATATCACATCGTGCTCCTGTATATCCTGAATGACATTCACAAATACCCTCTCGACATTGACCATACGCACAGTATACATTATCGCATGGATTGGGTCGATGAACTAAATAATTCAATTGAGGAAATTGCTATTTTTTTTTAATTTCATTCCATCATTACCATCTCGACAATCATCACCGTAATAGGGTGGTGAACAAATACATCGTCGACTATTTCCTTCCGGAACACATTGGCCATTATTTGCACATGGATACACTGCACAAACATCCTCTTGAAAATGTAAGAAAACGTAAACTGATTGAACATTGCGTCAAGTTCAAATAACTAACCTTGACAATGACTTCCTACACGGCCCGCTGGACATATACACCGAGGGACACCTCGATCATTCGTGCAGGTACCACCTGAGCAATCGTAGCGTAAACATGGATCAACTAAAGATAAAAAGATAATAACTTGATAAGTAAATTCCAAAACGGAAGAAAAAAATATTCAATTTGATAAATAAATCTCGGAGCCATATCATAGCCAAACAAGCGCAAAGCATACTTTCATGCATTTAGAACAACATTGTATGTGAGAAAAAAAGAAATTCACATTCCGTTAAATAAAATTAGAAACAGCACATTCCTCATGAAATTATTATGATTATCCTTGATAAGTAAATGTAGTAATGAATGAAATTTATAGTGAGAGGATAGAAAAAAAAGAAGCCTAGTTGCGCCTTTTGCCTTCAAATGGCCTTGCATAGAATAGAATAAGACAATTTCATTCGTTTGTTTAGAAAGGACGGAATGAGCATATAGACTGGCTACTCACTACCGTCATCAGCATTCGCTGCATCCAAGCACACGACACCCATATAACCAGGCATACATTCACAGTACGGTGTACCATCATGCCGGTTAGTCAGACATCGTCCATAATTGCAATTGACATTTTCACAGGAGTCTGTAGAAACGATCAAGACAATTGAAAGACGAACCAAAAAAAGATAGTTTCTTTTTCTGTCAAGAGACCCGTGCAGACTTTCTCATCTTCACAAACAAACATCATTCCACTGATTTCGTTGAGGAAATAGAATACAACAACTCAAAAGACAATAATAGAAACGAACAAACCAAACGTGCTTAATAAATCACTCTCTCTCCCTTTCACACATACCATCGGATTCATAACAATTCGGTCCGCGAAAACCTGGTGCACATTGACACACAGGTTGACTATCCTGTTGAACCGTACATACACCTTCGTTGTAGCAAACAAAGTTCGCGCACGGATCGATTTGTCGATCACATACTGCGCCTTCATATCCTCGATGGCATTCGCATCTGTACGACGTGCCCTCGTTGATACATGTACCATAATTGCACGACACTCTGGCACAAGCGTCTTTACGGATTAAGATAAAGAAGAAGAAGAAAAAAAATTAAATTAAATGTACGATATCTAAATCTAATTATCGAGTTCTCGGGGGCCATACTAGAAAGTACTAATGTACTACAACTAGACTAATGCACGAACACGATAGCAGATCGATCTG